CATGTAGGTTTACTTAATAATGCTGCGGGAAGGATTGCATCACTACATTGGTTGCAGACTTGAAACATCTGGGTGGCACAGCACGTCAAAAAACAAGGTCAGACCCGAATACAAGTATTATCTGATGATACTGGCCTTTACGAGCTCTCCTGCCACACTGCAGAGACTAGAAACGATTAATCAGAATAATTGTGATTAATCGATTATTGAAATAATTGTCAGCTAATATTGTAATTGATTAATAGTTAACTGTCGTATTCAGACTCTGAAAGGCAATTTGTTGAAAAGAAAAACATGTCTTGTGCATTGATTAAGTCAAAACTACACAAAAAATACAAACATGTTGCATTTAGGATGAAAACCCCTTCTTCTGTAAATATAAAGGTGTCATGTGCAGTTTTGGCTTCACCTGGTTCAGATTTACTGAGGAATATTGCTACAAATGATCAATGTTTATTTTTTTAAAAGTGCAATTATTTATTTGCATTTTTAATGTACTTCTAAAATATGAAAACGGCTTCAGTAGCTAAGCTTCCTCTTTGTAATTGTAATTCAGTTTCTTCTTACTAACAAAAGCTTAAAAAAATAAGCTTTTGTTAATATTCTTATTTATTGAGATATTTATTCTCTCCTTTGTTTTTCATTGTCTTCAAAAAAAAAAAAAAATTCTCCAGATCTTCTTTTAAATGCGACTGTTATAAGTTTTGCTGTAGAGCCGTCCTTTTCTGTGTGATTTTCAGGGTTCGATGCCGGAGACGAAAAACACAAAGATCACCGTGCTGACCCTGTCTGACGTCAAACCCTGGACCCGGTACTGCATGCAGATCCGATCCCGCGACAACTTTTACAACAAAACCAGCACATTCACGCCGCCTCTCTGTTCCCAGACAGAAGGTAACTGAATTAAATGTGCTATTTTTTCTTTCATCTTTTTTAAATTCTTTTCTAGTTTTTTATGAAGAAATTGGAAATTAGTAAAAATATCAAAAAGTGGCTTTGGTGAGTTGCACGACATCTACGCACCAAAAATTTGGAACAAACTTCCAGAAAACTGTAAAACAGCAGAAAACCTGACTTCCTTTAAATCTCGACTAAAAACACACCTGTTTAGAACTTTATTTGAAATGTAATATGCAACAATGTATTGTTTATTCTATGATGCATGACTTTGTGTTTTTGTGTTTATGATATAAAGCACTTTGAAATGTCTTGCTGCTGAAATGTGCTATACAAATAAAATTTGATTTGATTTTGATTTGACGGCTACAAAAATTGTTTTGATATTCATTATTTTAGCAGAGTAAAAATGCAACAAATTTGCCACAGAAACATCTTAAAGTTAAGAGGAAAAAAAGGTTTTGTTTCAAATGTTACAATGTTTTTGTGTGATTTTTACTTTCATTTTTCAAAAAATGGTCTTATAAGAAAGTTGAAATTGTGTCTGTAAGACAATTTTTTAAAATCCAATTAATTATAAAAACTGTAGTAATAAAAATAAATGACTGAAATAGAAAGATAAATTAGTTCTGGATGAATCGTAGAAGGAAGTACACAGCAAAAACACGAAATCTTACAAATATTCTGTATCAAGTTTTTAGTGAAAATATTTTAGTACACTCAAAAAAAAAAAAACTTTTCAGCAGTATAAAAGAACTTGTTTTAAGTCAATAATTCCTTAATGTTGATGAGAAAGTCAGAGTTCCACTGGTAGATTATTTCACTTATAACAAAACAATTTACCAAGTTTGTAAGCCAAATAATCTGCCAGTGAAATTAGTATTTTTTTCATTGAGAAATTATTATAACAAGCTTGTATATCTTGCTGAAAGTTGCTTGTAAGTTAGTTTTTTCTTATTTGAAGTTTACGAAGGTTTTGTGTTAGAGGTCAGAGCATGCAGAGCGACTGCTTTAAGTTGTTTGTGTTTGTTGCATCAGGAGTTGTTCCTTGGTGGAAGATCTTCCTGTACTTCCTGCTGTCTCTGGTGAGCTGCTTCCTGGTGGTGCTGCTCTTCCTCTATGGAGGCCATCGCTGTTTCCAGATGTGCAAAGCAACTTTCCTTCCTAATGAGAAGCTGCCCTCCTACATTAAGCAGGTACTGCCTTCGTTTCCCACAGCAGGACAAGTTTTACTGTCTTCCTAAAACTGCAGATTTATTTATTTCTCCTCTTCCTCTATCTTCTTCCTCCAGCATGAAGGTGACTACCCATGCCTCATCGTCTCGGACTGTGAGGATCTGTGCGATCCTGTGACTGTTTGCCCAGAGTCAGCCGTCCTGGTGATTAATCCAGCTGTGGACTCTGCAGCGCCCCCAGTTGGCCTGGACCAGGGCAGAAGGTCATTTGGTTTTCATTTAGCTAATTTTCTCTTGAGATCTGCAAGGGGAATTAAAAATATCCACATTAAAATCTGGGCTGAAACAATTAATTAATTGATGATTTAAATAGTCATCAACGATTAATCATTAATTGGAGTTCACAAACTCAAATAAGGCATCACATTCAGAGGAGTAATCAAACCAAAACTGTACAAAAATGTGAACGTTTTTGCTTTTAAGATAAAAAACAAAACTTTTATTTGTAAATCTGTTCTACCTAGAACTCCTCAAGTGACATTTTGACTTCTTCAGCCTTTAAGCAACTTTTGCTGTCCAGTTATTAATCCCAAATATAAACATATAGTAGACTGTATTTATAAGTGGGTAAATGAAAAATCTGCAAAACGTGACAATTTTTAAATGACTAATCTTTTGAATAATTGATCACTGAAATAATTGTTAGATGCAATTAAACTATTCGGGATTTTTTGTGGTGTCAGATAAATAATTTCACATTTTCCACCTGCAATATCCACCTTTGACCTTTGACTTACTGATGAGACATTGAATTACCCAGCTTGTCATTATGTCACTTTAAAGTTTCAAAAAGTTCTTGTTTTTCTCTGTAACTGGTTTCAGACTTTTCTGTTTTAACTGAGTATCTCTCTGCATTGCCGCAGGCACAGCCGCCAGAACAGCAGCAGCAGCGGAGATTCTGGAGTTTATTCTGCAGGAGGAAACTCCGGAGGCCTGCAGCCCCAGGTCGCCTCGACCTTCACAGACATGAATCCCGGTTTCGACTCCAAGAAGCTGAACATGCTGAGCATGAACTCAGAGTTTAAAGTTTCTCCTGCCGTCCCAGACGAGGGAGTCGTAGACATGGAGGTCTGAAGAAAGAGAGGCTTGTTTTCCACCTGGATCTGTTTGCTCAGAAACTGAAAACACCTGATGGTGACACATAATGGTTCTGGTTCTGGACCGGATCGCCGTTCCACAGGAAAGGCTGTTGATACTGCTGTTTTAATTGTCATCTGTTGTAAATCATGTTGAACTGAAGTGATGTGACATCTTTTTTTTTATTTTTTACTTTTTGTCATCTTGTTGTTGTAAACATTGTTGGTGTCCTGCAGCATTTATTAATAAGCATTAATTATGAATACTGATTGATGAATGAAACAGGATATGGTGAATTTAGTGCTTCAAACTGATTTAAGGCAAACATTTTATGAAGTTGTGTCAGATTATTCATGTGTGAACTGCTTCTGTAATTTCTAATAAACCAATTCTGATCCATGTGTTCGACTCGGCTACCTGCTGGAGCTCTGGTGTACGGTGGCCAATCAGGGTCATCAGAGAGAGGACAAAAAAAGAAAAGGAAAAATTATGCCAAAAAATATGGAAACTAAGATCAATCTAATCAATTTACAGGAAAAAAGCAAGGAAATCTGTGAGCTTAAAAAGTAAAAAAACAGAAAAAATGACATTTTTAAGTTTGAACAATCTTAACATTTGCTAAAAAAAAAAAAAACTAAATTTTTTTTTATTTGAGTGAGAAGTCAAACATTTGCCACAAAAATTTCAAATTTTTTTCAGGAACATTTCTAAAATATCAAAATTTCACAAATGTTTGACTTTTCAAACTGAGAAATTTCTTTTTTTCATAGAAAGTTTTTGAAATTAATCTCATAATCAGATATTTTTTTTCTTGCAAATTTTTGACTTTTCAAGCTTTTTACATGTAAAATGTATTAAATCTTGGCAGAATTTTAAAATGATCTACAATGGATGTATTACATCATGATAATGGTAGGTTTTCATGGTTTAGTTGGCAGTTTTATTCACAAACTAACTATATTGTGGCACAGCAGATTGATATAAAATGCATCAGGAGGCCAACAGGAAAACCAAAAAGGAGAATTATCGAAGTTCTGAAAGAGGACATGAAGCAAGATGCAGCAGAGATCAATCCATTTTAGACATAAAACTTTGGGTCTTCATTGCAGAACGATTGAGTCCGGGGTTGTTGTTTTTTTATGTTCTAGACATAAATAAATAGTCAAAGGAGGCTGTACTCAAGTAAGAGTAACTCTACTACAATATATTTATACTAAAATAAAAGTAAAAAGGAGTAATAAAAATATTTGGTATTGCTCAAAACATCAATCATAAATATTTTAAAATGACATCATAGCAAAGACCAAAATATAAAGTTGTGTAAACATTTTTTGTATTTTAGATTTATATAAATAACATAATCACAAAATAATAAATAAGGCAAAATAAACTTTTGGTCAAAACTGGCTTGTTCATTCTAGATAAAGTCAAAGTAAGAAGTACAGCGTAGTAAAATAAAAATAAAAAAATACTCCTAAAAACTTGTTTTTCCCTAAGTAACTTTTTCCAAAAAAAAGTTACTTAGGGAAACGTAAATTAATATTACCGAACTCAAGTCTCGATACTTTGGAAAAACGTCAAATATAATATCCGTAATGTTTTTGAAGCGGAAGTGACGCAAGTGAGTAGACGTCTTCTGAATATTTTTATTATTTAATGAAATAGCTTCAGAAGACAAAATTTATAGAGAAACTATTTAGAGATATATTTTTTATTTTCGTTTTGGCTGTTTGTGACATGCGTTTAGCATCCCAGTCCCGCTCCTCTCCACCAGGTGGCGGTGATGCACATCTCTATACGAGGCAGAAGCAGAAGCTCGACCATGGTTGAGGTCCGGTGACTGCATTTCCGTATTTTCGTAAACCTTCGGTGGAGAAATGTTTTTATGGAAATGTTGGTAAATATGGACCTTTGGAGACGGTTCTGTCCTTCGACTGATTCTTTTCACTCGAACTTCTTTATCCTGGTTCTGTTCTACGTAGTTAGGCCCACAGCAGGTGAGTTTAACGGAAAGACCCGGATGTTTCGGTTTCTCCTTCTATCCTTGCTAAACTCTTTGGGTTCCACTGGTCCTGATCCTGTCGGTTCGGGTTCAGCTAATTAACTCAGACTTAAAACATTTCCTCTTTTGCTATTAAACGTGGTCCGGATATTCGTGTTGAGTCGATAGAACTATTCGGATTCGGGAGGGAAGTTTCTGAACGAGCCTCTGAAAAACGGGAAGAAAGTCAGAGTTTCTTCTGGTTTTTCTTTTCTATAAGCTTTTCTCGGTCCGAACCTGGAAGAACTTTAACCGTGGTGCTGACTTTTATCTAAACTCTGTGTTTGTTGTTGATTCGGGGATAAATTTGAGAGGTGAAACAAAAGAAGAATTAAAAGTTTTTCTTCTTCTTGAGTTCTTAAAAAGGTTTTTCTGTCGGCGTGTCAAACAGTTTGGAAGCGTTTTTGAAGTAAAAATAGCAATAAAACCAAAAAATGGCATGAAATCCAGAAAAAAAAAATATATATATATATTAAGAATAAATATAGGTAGAATCGAATGTACTTTGTAGGTGCCCAATGGGAAATACCAGGATTAAGGTGTAATCCAGGTAAAAACAGGATTAAATAACAAAAAAGTCCACGTGAAGCAAAGATTAAGTTGCAGGATTCATTTAAAGTAAAAATCCAGATATAGGAAAATATAAAATCATTAAAATTCATGTAAAAGGCAGGATTGAAATCAAGATACTGTCAGAATAAAATGGGAATAAAATCCTGGTAAAATCATAATGTCATTAGGAAAAAAAAAACAAGATTAAAATCTGGATAACAGGATATAAACAGGAGACATTTAGGAAATAATTCAGGTAAAGAAAGAATAAAAATCCTGAACCAAATCAGGAACAGAAGAATTAAATCCAAATGTAAGCAGAACAAAACGAAGATAATTTCAGGATTAAGTCGTTACCAAATCAAAGCTGGATCAAATTTGACTGATGTCCAGTTATGAAGCTGCGATAATTTTGGAATATAATCAGGATACATATAAGATATATTCCAGGTAAAACCAAGATGAAATGATGAGAAATCCAAAATGAGGTAAGGCTATAAACAGCATTAAAATCAAGGTTAAATTACGATGAAATTTTAATGTAATAGAGTAAAATGAAGGATTAAGAAAAGCCAGAATAAGATCCATAAAAGTCAGGAAAAACCTGGGCTGAAATTTGAATATTTTATTTTGATTTAAGCTTTGAGATTTAAATGTTTATTTTCTTCAGGTGCGATCAAGACGCCATCGCCAATCGACGTTGTGATCGACCAATCAAGGCTGAACTGGAACTCAACAGCAAGTGACGTGACGTTTACTGTCGAGTTTAAAAAGTGAGTTCTGCTAATGTGGGATGACGGCAATTAAAATCAGGAACTGAGTCTGGATACAAATCCAGAAAAAAAATTGGGTAAAATCAGGACAAAATGGAGATAAAATCTGGATAAAATCCAGATATGTTTTAGGAAAAATATTAACAGAGTAAAATCATAGTCAGAATGGTGACAATCGAAAGATTTATTTCAATTAAAGTTGGCGGTTCATGGAATAATTTTGGCAGTGAGATTAAACAAGCTAAATTGCTTTCTGTTTTTAAAAGAAAATTATTATGATGAAGCAATATGGCATATAAGATGCTGATGTTTTGATGTGTATTTTTTTATTCCTTGTGTATTAGAAATATGTTTTTAGTAGTTTACTAAAACTACTAACTACTGGGTTTATTTTATGTGAACATTATATGTTTTGCACTTTTGGCTCCTTCTCATTCATGATTTCTTTTAGTTGTTACATGAACTGTTCATATTAGTGAATGAATTAAATAAATTAAATAAAGCGCAAAGAGAAACAGGAATAGATCAATTATGAAATTAATTGAATAATTGAGACAAAATCAGGGGGAAAATAAAGCTTAACTTGCAGGAAAAATTAGGATAAAATAAAGTACAAGTTTTAAATCAATATAAAATTAAAGAAAATGAGAAGTATTTGTATATTTTAGAATTTCAATTATTAGATTTAGATTTTTTTTATTTCATTAATTTATAACATTTTAGGTAATTTGGTCGTTTTTTTGTCCTCAGCATTGAGTTTGATTGGATGCCCATAGAGATGTGCAGAAAGACACGCTCCACTTCCTGTGATTTGAGTTTGGAGGAACGCGACAGCTGCATTCGGCATCGTGTTACAGCTTGGAGAAACGGGGTTGAATCTGAGCCTGTGGAGGCCTGCAGCAGAGACGGTAATGATCCAGATGTTTGCAGCTGTTCAGTTAAACCTTGATCATCTGGAATTTTCCAGTCATTCTTTATAACTATGTTTCTTTCTGCATGGAATAATTATGTGACATAAATCTGCTCTAGTTTTTACCTTCTTGTCATACTTAAATGGTTCAGATCATTAAACATAAACTGAGTAAATAAAAATTTTGTTTTCAAGCGATGTTTTTATTTCATATTGAAGACATTTATGCAAACCAACATGGCTGTGAGCATTTAGTATAACTGATAGTCTTTTTCATCAGTCTTTTGAATTTGACCAAATCAGAAGGATTTTGAGAATAACTGAAATATAAAAAAATCTAATTTAAAGCTACAATATGTAACTTTATTAAAATGTTTTTTTGGCATATTTATTGAAATGATCGCAAAATATGAGACGGAAAAGTCATGAAAAGATTGATCCAGCTACTACTACCATCTGAATAATGCACCCCTCCTGACCAAAAACAACCAATCAGAGCCAAAAAGAGGGTCGTAGCGCTGTCAATCAAATCATGTGCTCGCTGCTAAATATGCTAAAGGCGGAGAAACAACCTACCATTAAGGGAAAACCGTTTATCTGTGTAATCGGTGGCTGTTAACCAGCCGTAGAGTTTACAACAAGCTCTGCTATCAGGAAGAAACTTTAGGAATGAGCAACATCACATGAAGGGTGATTGACAGCACTAAGACCCTCCTTCTGGCTCTGATTGGTTTTATTAGGATCAAAATGGTAAGGGAAAAAAAGAGAGTCTGAGGACTCAACCCTGTGGCACACCACAACTCAGCCAAAGAAATGGCTGAAATAACTCTGGTTGTAGAGGTACGAGCAATGAACCAAAACAAACTCTTATTACTGTTCAGAACTGGAAGAAATACAGAACGATACCAAGAGGGTCAACGACCTGACGCACATCTAAAAGAAGAAAAACTAGTTTCTGCTTTTAGCTGTGGTTTGTGAGAGCTGTGGTTTGTGAGAGGTGTGAAAATCTTCAAAACACTCAAACTGATTGATCTATCTCATAACTGAGCTGCTACAAAATAGCTCAGTTAACTCAATCATAACTCAACTTTATGATCGAGTTAAGGTTCAGTGTTGGGTCATGCTAGCGAGAAGATCCATGCGTCTAGAGAAAGTCATGATAACGTTATAATTTCTGTTGGACATTTAAATGAAGTTTGGCCCTGATGACTGATTGACCTCCGGAGTCTCGGGTCGTTAACGGACTGAATCCAAACGTTTTTTTCCATCTCTTCCAGGCCATGAATGCTCTCCGAACTTCACTCTGACTGCAGCACCCGAATCCCTCACAGTCAACCTGAAGAGAAACCACAATCTGCATGAGGACCATGCAGACATCATGAAATATTCGATCAAATTAGGGAAAAAAGGGGAGCAACTGGAGGTAAAGAGTGAAATGTTTTTTTGTTGAATTCACCAGATGTTCTCATTAACTCCACTATTAACTCTGCTTGTCTTTCTTTGTCCAGAATCCCAGAGTCACTTTGTCCTCAGAGTTAATCGATGGCTTGGAAGTGGGTGAGACGTACTGTGTGACGGTGCAGTTTTTACTTCATTGGAAGGAATACGGTCCAGCCAGCTGCATGCAGTGTGAAACCATCCCTAGCTCCAGTAAGATCCTGCCGTTTACCACTCCAGATGTTTTCTGCCACATTTGAATTTCTCACTAACTGAAATGAACTGGATAAAGTATTTCCTCTAGGATGCGACCCAGGATAATTGAAGATGATTATGTACCACAAGGGTCGGTGTTGTCCTGTTTATTAAAGGGCCTGTTTTCTCCTCAGGTGGATCAAAACAGACGCAGATCATCGTCATCTGCTTCGTGGTTTTGGCGATCGCTCTGTTAGTTGTTTTCGCTTACGTCCGCCTCTTCAGATTCAAGAAAATCAAAGAGATCCTCCAGCCTCCGTACACAATCCCAACAGTGAGAACCTGCTTTGTTTTTCCAACAGGAAGTTAGACATCAGTTTGTTTTTTCTTAATCTGATCCAGATTTGTGGTCCTTATATCTAGTTTTCTTTTTCACTCATAATAACAGGAGACAAACGGTAAATCAGAAGCATTTTAGTGTGGGACTGAACTCTGTCTGCATGCTGAGTCGCTGGTTGCTATGGTGATTCCCTCCTTTTCTGAGGAGGTTAAGCCTCGAACAAACAGTCACTTTGTGAAAACTTTAGGTTGCTTTGAGTTCTTGAACCAGAAATGGTAGAACTATAGAATGTAACCTATGCCTTCAGCTCAGTTCCACTTTATTTTGGTAAAATATCAACACTACACAGAAAACAAAATACTACTTTACAAACCCACAATTTACCAAAGAAAGACAATAGGCTGAAAACCAATGGCTCTTAAAAACTTTGGATGAAAATGAAAGACAACCAGCTAATATTTTAAAATTTTACAAATATTTGCATTGAATATCTACACAGAATGACAGTAAAACTACAAATTCTTGGTATTATTTTTTTCTTGCCATTAGGTTGGCAACAAAGTTTTCAAATTTTTTTGTCCCACAGAAAAAAGATTCATAATCTTTTTACAAAATGTTACATTTATCTTTATTTTACTAGTTTAGAGTAGAAATGAAATGACAATTCTTTAAAAATTATGACAAATTTCTTATTGTCATTATAAAATTATAAGTTGTCTTTCCTAGAAAAAAGAAAAGTTGTGACATTTACAGGTTAAATGAGTTGTATTTGGTTAGCCTGAGGGTGAAAATGGCTCCTTAAATTGTAACGGTTAACCTGGTTTCATTCAAACTTTAAAAAGGTTTTTCTTCTTTGTGTGCGCTCTGACTGATCCATCATCTTCTGTCCTCCAGACTTTAAAGAAGCCGCTTTCGGGGAACAACTACTCGGTCGTGGCCATGAGTCTCCCTGAGGAACATTGCGACGTTGTTTCCGGTTTAACTCCAATCCATCCCAGAGGAGTCTGACCTTCACTTCCTGCTGAAAACTTTACAGATTCAGTCTGTGAATCTTCTTCTTTCATGGAGGAGCGCTCCTCACTTGGTCCTGGCAGGTGAAACTGTTCCAGTCCGGAAAATGGAGAAGGTTCTGTTGAAAACAGGCCTAAACTTTTTACTGTTGATATTTCTGGTAAATACTGAAGCACTCATTCAGAGGGACCAAAAGTGAGTAGAGGAGTCAGAAACTGTACCAGAGTGAGAGTAGCACTGCTTAAAAATATTTTAACTCAAGTAAAAGTAAAAAGTAGCCATCCAAGAAATGACTCAAGTAAGGGTAAATAAGTATTTAATAAAAAGGCTGCTAATTTATTGATCAGAATATCTGATTTAATATTTAGAAATGGAGGCATCAGTCAAAATCTATAAAAAAAAGCAACTTAATTCTGGAATTTTAAGAACTCGGATAAAAAAAATTAAGTAAAAAATACATTTAAGCAGATGAAACATTTTACATGTTTTTCTGTTTAAAGCTACTTCTAAAAGTTTTGTTTTCCTAAAAAGTTGCTCAAGTAAATGTAACTAGCTGCTACCCATCTGTGATCCCAACAAAAATCCTCACCAGTTAAAGTCCAGTCAACCCAGTAAGAATCTGATCAACTCTCTGATTTTTATATCTATAAAATTAAGTTATTTTTTCCTCTGATGTCCCAAAGTGAGTCAGACCGAACCGTTTACAGTTCTTTGGTGGTTTTAATGTTTTTGGCTAGTAGTTGTGCACGCTAACAGTTTTATTAGCCACAGAGCAATCACTGAAACTTCCTCAAAAGGATCCATCAATCTCTGTACTCTCACCGATTTATGCTGCATGCTTTTAGTTTGAAAGGCAGCGACCCGGAAGTAGGGCGCTCTCTGGACGTTTGACCTTCTCTTGTATCTTCATTTGACCAGAACGGTTACTACAATCGAAACAAAAAGGAAATAATCCTTTGTCCCAGTGATGCTGTGGTCCTGGAAAATGGGGGTCGCTTATTTTTTGTTTTTCTGAGTGTTAGCTGCCTGATGACTTCCTCTTCCAGCAAACTACAATGAGTGTTACTGGGATGAGGAGGATTCGATCCCCGCATGCCATCTAATCTCGCCAAAATCGGATTCAAGAAAAGGAAACCTGGATCCAAATTCAGCAGCCAGAATGTGTTGAACTGTTTTCTGCGTTTATATAAATCTGTGTTTATCTGTGTGATTTTGTCTTATGTTTTTTGCTCAGGACGTTATTTTTCTCCTCATCGTGGTGCCTAACAAACTGAAACGGGACAATTAAGCCTGTATTCTTGTCTGCCACTGAACCCAGTATCATTATGGTTCACTTTCTGATTTCTTTGGCTTTATATTTGTCATTAAAAAAATGAAATGTGGTGAAAAAAATCTAGTTTCCTGATGTTTTTGTTCCAGCTGTATTTCATTGTCAAACGTTAGCAGAGATGAATCCTAAAAGGCTCATTCACCAATTGAAACTTTCAGTTTTAAAAAAAATTACTTGGAGAAAAAGGAAAATGTTTAAATCCTAGAAATTTACTGTTGAAAAAAAATTACAGAGATTAAGGAGCAGCTTCAGTCTGACAGCTCAAGTGGGCAGCAGTAAATGGCTGGTTGGGGTTGATTTTTGTTGTTTATTTATTAATTTGTTTCGTAAGAACGTAAACACAAATTTGGTTTTTTTGCTTTGTTTTTTAATCAAGATTCATGTGATTTTTTTGTATTAATTTATTTTTAAGATTGAAATGTCATTTATTTGAATTGTTTCTTTTTAAATTCTTTCATCTAGTTCTATTTATGACAACTTTTTGATTTTATTTATTACATATTTAAGTTGCCTTTTCTTATATTTATATAATATGTACTTTTAATTTTGCTGTATTTTCAATAATATTTTGTCATAATATATCTTAGTAGTATTATTTAGCTTTTAACGTAATTATATTTTATTTTGGTTTAGATTAAACGATAGTTATTTGTATTTTATAGGCAGGCTAGTTTAGATCAATGTCATTTTCCTATTTAAACCCCTTGTAGTTACACTATCAACCAGCAGGGGCCGGTAGCGCAGCTTGCGGCTGTTTCTCCAGCCATAAACAAACCGAAAGGAAGATGAGCCAGAGAAGCAGGAATATCTGTGTTTGATTTGAAGTAATCAGAGTATTTTTCAGGGTAATCGGGGTAAATAAAGGTGAGTAGTAGTTTATTAAGCTGCATGTTGACATTATAGTCGCTGCTACAGACCAAACGTTTGATTTTAAAACCAATTAAAAAGCTCTAATGGATTTAATGTGTCGATATTAATTGTTTAAAATGAGTGGCGCTTTCTGTTGCTAAAATGTAAAGAAGGATTTTTGTAAACTGAAACTAAAGCCGCTTCATTTAGACTGAAATCTGATGTTAGTCATTTACTGAGAAAATAATGAATTATTTGATTCCTGCTTTTATTATTTATCATAGCCCCTCTTCTGTTTCAGAGACAGAATATTCGAAACTGAGGAGGTAAATTAAACCTTCATGCATATTTTCAGAGCCTCTGTTTCCTGGAGGAGCTGCAGGAAGTCTGCTCGGACCGGGCCAAAGAGACGGATCGACCGGTGGGAGGAAACCCTGCGGATGATGGCTGGCTTCCTGGATAACTTCCGCTGGCCGGAGTGCGACTGGTTTGACTGGGGAGAGCGGAGGAACGCTGTGGCCTCGGTGGTGGCTGGATCCCTGGTTAGTGGCACCCGATGGGTTTTAAACTGGACAACCGTTTATTGGTTTCATGGTTTCCTGTTTCTGAGCGGAGTTTCTGTTTTTCTGCAGTTCTTCACCGGCTGGTGGATCATGATCGATGCTGCAGTCATGTTCCCATCTCAGGAAATGATGAACCACTCATTCCACACATGTGGAGTTTTTTCCACCATCGCTTTCTTCATGTGAGGAACAAATAACTGATGGATGGATGGATGCAGGATACCATGGTTGGATGAAACTATGTTTGGATGGATGAATGGATGGATGGTTGGATGACCTCACTAGTAGCATAAACCCTTTGCCACTGTTGTTCCAGTAAAACCAGTATCAGGGTGTTCCGTCCTGATTAGTAATGGCTGCCACTGTTCCTGTCTGTTCCAGGATCAACGCCGTTTCCAACGGCCAGGTGAGAGGAGACGCGTACGGCGAGGGCTGCCTTGGGCGGACAGGTGAGCCGCTTGAGCCTTGGTTCTGATGGGTTCTGGTTCTGAAGGGTTCTGGTTCTGATCACCGGGGAAGTTAAAGTTTTTGGTCGCATCCTTATAAACCTGAAGTGTTTCTGGAACTCCAGGCGCTCGTCTCTGGCTCTTCATCGGCTTCATGATGATGTTTGGGTCGTTCATCGGCTCCATCTGGATCCTGTTCGGAGCGTACGTCATGCCAAGTAAGTTTCCTTCCATCTCCTCCATGTTTGTTTGTTTTTATTCTTCTGATTCAGACAGGAAACTAATAAAGAAACATGTTTATGTGTAAATTACAATTAATATTTAAAAAAACTGATTCAAACCATGTTTAAGAGGAAAAACATGACAACGTAAATTAACTCACTGTGTGAAAGAAGATTTTTTTTCTAATTGGGGTATCCAATATATGTTTTGAGGGCCATTTGCGGCTGTTGGGATGATTTTGGGCGGTCCTCGAAAGCAATTCCAGAATTAAGCAAATTTGATCAAATGTTGATAAAGATTTACAATTCTTAACTTTTAGTAAACAGTTAAAAACTTAATCTTATTCAAATGTATATTTATTGGCATAGCAAGTAATATTTGTTTTAATATTTTTAAAATATTTTATGCCTTCCTTTTAATAATACAAAAAAAAAACATTTCATTCCAAATTTTTCATGATTTACAGAATCATTTTTGTCAAGTCTGCCAACTTCAGTCGGAGAAAATATATGTATTTTTCAAATGAAAAGTATAAAATTAGGACCTAGATTTGCTTTCAATTTAATTGACCCATTTACGAAAATATTTGGAAATCTAATTCTTGATTTGCCCGTAGATATTCCTCAGGTGTCACATTTATCTTAAATACTAAATGTTCTGGTCAAACTTCCACTTCTATGCTGATGATACTGTGATGCATCAAACTCTCCAGCAGCTTTAACATGCTTTTAACAATAATATGTCAATGGTCTGAAAATAATAAAAAACTTTGTGATGTTCCCTTTTTCTCAGAGAAAGATGTTGCTCCGGGTCTGGCCGTGTTCTTTCAGAACGCCTTCATCTTCTTCAGGTGAGTAAAACCTGGAACTAAACTGTAAAGTCAAGCAGCTCCTGCTTTTTGTTGCTTAATGACCTGAAGTTAGAAATAGCTGCTGTCTCAGAGGAGAAAACTCTGAGATAGAAATAAGATGCAGGAAGTTGAGGTGGCCTAGAAAAGTCAACAAAATTAAAGCTACAAAATAAGCCAAAAAACTTAAACTACAGCAGAAATTAAGGATAACTTGCTATGTTATGCTAACAAGTTTGTAAGCTTTTGTTTTAGCATGACTTTAATTTAGAATAACTTCACTTTACCTTTTGTTTGAACAATTTCTGCTTTATCATAGCATCCTGATTTAGCATAATTTTCATTTTAGCATAACTTCAGTGTTAGCATAAATTCCATTTTAGGGTAAAGTCCATTTTAGCATAGGATGGTTTCTGTTTTGGCTTTATTCCAGTTTTTGCATAATGTTTGCTTTAGCATAAATTCTGTTTTATTATTCCGCTGTGTATTTTTGCCTATTGTTGACCCTTCTGGGCCTCCGTACTGAGATGTCTGAGTAACAAACAACAGCGTTTCTCTGCAGCTCTCTGATCTACAAGTTTGGCCGCACAGAAAACCTTTGGGGCTAACCGGCAACCATCCTGCTGTCTTCACCTTTTACTTTTTCCATCTGACTTCGTCCCTGCTCCTGAAATACAAGCATGTTTTTAATAGTTTTTTAAAATAAGACTTAGATTTTAATGCCTCACATGTCGATATTAGGTATCAAAAATATCATTTTAGTGTTTTATAAGTTTCAGAATGTGACTTTCAGGAAGATTTTTGTATATTTTAAAGGGAAACAGAAGGAGAACAGACAAATTCAGAATTATTCTGTAGTTCTCCTGAGGAAATAAGGAAGCTGCTCTTTATTGTCACTTTGGGGGTAATTTATTAACTTTGAAGTCACTGGAATATTTTTAATTGTAGCTGTATGACATTTATTTTCTCAATTTTTGTTGTTTTATTTATGTTAATTTTATTTAACATGTAAATATTTTGATTTTGTATTCAGAAAACATCTGTCTGTTGCTGTAGAGACTTTAGTTTTTATTTATATCTAAATCGGAGGGTTCAGTGAATGTTGAGGTAACAGCATTAATCTCTGTTCTCTTCCAATAACATAATAGAAATATGTTTTTGTTGTTTTAATGATCTTGTATCTTCCTGTATTGTTTTTTAAGCTGGATATGTTTGTTCTTATTATTCCTGTTGCTTTTTAGTAAAAAGAAGCAGACGAGTCAGGGTTCATAAGAAGAGGTTGGTCATTAAAGAGTTATTCTGGAAAATTACCACCCTGTTCTGTGTCTTTTTGGAACATTTCTATTGATCTTTGTTTAAATGTTTTACCAAATACATCCCATTGATGCAGACGTGAACACAAAGTAAAAATCAAAACAGATTAATGTAAGAAAGTTAAAAGATAAAATAAAGACTAATTTCCATCTGATTGGAAAGTATCAGCTGTGTGTACTTGCTCTTCTCTTCCACTGGGGGCAGCATGGAGCTACAGCTCAACGTCAGTAACTGGAAGTCCTGCTCCAAAGCAGGAAATGAGCTGATTACCTGTAAAGCTACAGTAAGCGAAAGTGATGTCATTTCCTGTCAGGAAAGTCATGTTTTCATTTAGACGAAAATAAGCAGCAAATGTTTGAACGACCAGCTCGGTGCTTTTTGTGATTTTTCTGATGACAATTTTTTTCAATTAGAGTAAAAGTAATAATTTTGTGTTCAAAGGTACCTCTGCTTTTTGATGGTGCAGTTGGTCCCAAGTTTTCCTTGTCAGTTTAGCTGAGCTTTCGGTTCTTAAATCGTCCTTTTCCTCGGGGCTTTTATTTTGAAGTCTTTCCAACCGGATGTTGTTCTCCCTGTCGCTGCCGTTAGCTTGTCGCCTTTCCAAACAACTGGAGCAGAAATTTCTACGGAAATAATTTTTCTGGACTCTTGACATCAGGTAAATAACTAAACTCAAAGACTCTTTCTCTGAGATTTAATGTTAGCTAAGATCAAATAAATGTGTTTTAGTTGTTTAGTCTTAGGAAAACCTTAGATCGTCCTACTTTAAGATTAAAAACTGTAATTTTACTAATAAGTTGCAGAAATGGCGAAGAAAATCGGTTTTATTTCCGTGATTTTTTGCGTGTGTTTGCAGATTCAGGTGTTTTACAGGAGAGGTTCAGGGCGGTGTTGCAGCTTCACTTCCGTGTTTGTTTACAACAGGAAGAGTTAATAAAGAATTATTTTAGAAAATATTAGATTTTATCTGATGTTTATTTATTATGACCCGTAGATGTTTAGTTTAACGCTAGTTAAGCTGCTTTGTTCCCCTTTGAGGTTGAACAATCTTCTGGTGTTCATCATGCACCATGTTGCATGCACCAATACAAACACTATTATGTTGAATCCATTGGTTTTCAAGAGTTCTGCTTAGTGGAGGGGTGTCCAAAGTGTGGCCCGGGTGTCATTGGTGGCCCTTGGACTGGTTTTTTGCGGCCCCAAGTGCAATTCAAAATACAAAGTTGGCTGGCTTGATGCAGATAAAGCATATAACTGGGCAATTTGGCATTTAAAAATAGATTAGCTTAATGGAAACATGTCAATTTGGGGAAAAAAGTTTTTGATAAGTTTTGGATGAGGTAGTTTTTGGCCTTATTAAAATTGGTTTATTTCTCATTCACACTTTTTTGCATCACGTAAGTGACATGATCAACAATTAGATGTTTCTACTGGGAGAAACCACAAAGAAGACAATGACAGGAAGTGGTAGAAGGATTGTCTGATAGTTTTACTATTTAGAAAGTTTACACCTGATACAGTTTGTGAAGGGCCGGTGAGTCTGGACTCCTTGACTGCATGATTAGGGAAATGGAAAAGTAGGTGATCTGTTTCTTGTTTGAGTGTGTTTGTATTTCCTCTCTTCGGGCAGGATGGGAGTGTTTGACAACTGCTCGTTTCTTCTGGAGCTCAAAAACTTGCCTTTCAAGGAGAAGAAGAAGCTGAAATCAATAGTGACGTTGAATGGAGGCAGCATTTCTTTCATCATCAACAAACAGGTGGGAAGATCCATTTTTACCTGAGCGTTTTGGTAAACCTTTGTTACTTTAACAGTGTTAATAAGCCAGATAATACAAGATTTATAGGTAATAAACCAGACTCTGAAAAGTGGTTAGCTTAAGTTGATAAAATATCTAAAGCTTTAATAACTGCTAGCTTGTGTTATCTTGATTTTAATTTGCATACTCTGCTTAGTTATTAGTTTTAATTTTAGTAGCTAATAGGATTATAATACCTGGATTGATGGCTGTTACTAGTAGCTATTAGTTTTACATTTAGTAGCTTTTAGCTTTACCCTAAACCAACAATATTTGGTTATTTATTATAGCTGTCAGCTTTACATTTTGTGCTTAGCTTCACCTTTAGCAGGTTTACGCTTATTGGCTGTTAGCTTTACACTCAGCAGCTGTACGCTTAGTATCTGTTAGCTTTGGTCTTAGCATTTGTGGGTTTTGCTCTTAATACATCTCTAAAACATTTCTAAAAGGGTTGCACTTAATAACTGTTAGCTTTACACTTGGTAGCATTTGATTGTACGCTTAGTAGCTGGTTTCTTGACTTGTTTAGTTTGGCTCTCAGTTCTGGTTTACAAAAATATTTAGTAAAATTAGAATGTCAATATATTTATTATTCAGAATTAACTCTGCAGCTTAGCATTCTGAGATAAAAGTTTTCTTTATTTATGATATCCATTTCAATACTTTTGAGAGCTTTGTACCAAATTGGATTCATTAACCAATTATCGGTATTTTAAATTTTAGAAATTCAGTGTCACATTTTTGCCTACATTTCCCACAGTGCTCTCTGGTGGTGACCTCCAACTTGTCCAACCTGAGCTCCAGCAGGCTGCGCAGCATCCAGAAGAACCAGACACCGGTGGTCGGCTTGGATTATCTGCATAAATGTGTGGAGAGAGGCATTCTTCTGTCTGTGGACGAGTACAAGATGGACACTTCACCATCTCCAGATCCTCCTCCTCCCTGGAAGTCACCGCAGAGAGCTCCACTAACTTACAAAGGTCTCAAAACATGTTCAAAAGTATTGTAGAAGGGCTACAAGAAGTACAATCATTGGTGAAGGTTTAGAGACTGACAGGAATTTAATTTTATGATATTTTTTCTTCCTCAGTATATGAGAAAGGTGTTGTGTTTTGGACCTCACTGTAGCATTTTTATTGAACAAACGTTCAATAAAAATGACCCTGCAGATTGTAGTTAAGACTTGGAATAATAATGTGTTTCTGTGTCTAATGTTTCTGTTTGTTGTAGCCGAGCTTCCAAAAGGTCCGACCTCATCAGAGGAACCAGCTGTTAAAAGCAACAAACAGAAGTTCAGGTGGGACCAACGTCGTCATTATCATCATCCTCATCCAAACTTCAGACTTAATCTGAATTTAAGTATTTTCATCTGATTTTCACAGGGGAGATTTAGGTTGAAAGCTACAATAATGGCTATAGAGTTCCTGAGTTAAAGGAGATTTGGAGAGTGAAATTATAATAATTAAATAACTAATGAAGTGATTATTTTAATGCATCATTAGTTATTTTTTAAACTGGAAATAAATAATTAAATGTAGAATTAATTATAGGTCCCTTAAATAAGTGGTTTCATAATTGTCTCATTATTTCATCATTTTTTAATGTTTATATTAAACTGTCAACCTGTGCCATCTTCCTCACTTGGCGGAAGTAAAGCGATTTAAATAAAACCCTAAAGTCTGATTGGCTGCTTGAAACAGCAAGAAAATAGAAATTATTCAGAGTTAGCTTTGACTCTAAAGTCAACATTTTTGCCAGAAAGTGCAAAAAATAACTTCAATAGTATAATTAAATTGTTTCAGTTTATTTACCAAAAAGTCTAGGTGAGGAAAATGACTTCTATATCTCTAGTTTGATCCGAAATAATCTAATGTTGATCCGGTCTTCTGGTAGCTCTCTTGTTAACTTATTAGAGATACTGCAGATCAAACTACCGATATAGAAGCTGGAATTAGTCACCCAGAGTTTTTAGTAATTAAAACTGTCATTTAACCCTCAACTCATTGATTTACCCAGAATCTACAAAGAGTCTGACTCTGCTCACCCAGCGTTCCCCGATGATTTCCAGGTGGCGAAGTACTCCATTTTCGGACAGGTGAGGGAGAAGTTTTATCTTCCATTTCTGTTTTGAAGCTGGGATTCATACTGATGGCGGTTGGTCTGCAGGAGAACGGCGGCAGGTTTTGCGTGTTGGAGCTGCAGAGTGCAAAAGACGAGCAGGGACGGCGCTATCGTGTGGCCAGATACCGGAAGGACAACGTGCTGTCAAAGGTATGAAACCATTAAGACAGAGGGACCATTAGAACTGGTTTGGACATGATCCCACCAACTTGCAACTCAAAGTTACTCATTAAGCAAAGTTATTGCATTAAGACGTCAGACGGACAAACAGGAGCTTCTGCTCCTTCAGTCTGACGGAGGATTAGGGCCATGCTAAGAAAGTGATAAATAAAATTAAGACAATAAAGTCAAAATTACAAAGTGATATACTATGACTTTATTCTTGTAATATTATAACTTTATTCTGAAAATATGACTTTATTCTGGTATTACTACAAATTATTCTTGAACTATTTTGACTTTCTTCTTGTATTTCAATTGCTTTAATCTCAATATAGTATTTTTAAATTTTTTTTATTTGTCCTTTTGACCCAAATTCTCCATCATACATTCAGGGCTCATGTGTGCAAAATTGATCATATTTTCAGTAGGATTTTAAAACAAAGGAATTTGACATTTGGAGAAGGCAGTGGGTGTTTTAATCCAGCATATATAATAAAATTATGAATTGTTCTCCTCATTTCAGTGTTCCAGTACAGCAGATGCATAATGATACAAATATTTGGTGTCTTTGAAACCGTTTTTTTTTTTTTTTTTTTTTTTTTAATAGCATAAGCTGAATCAGATCAGAAGTCCCTGACTTACTTCTTAATTGTTTCTGCTTTTTGTCTCCTGGATTTCCCTTTAAATCATCTTGGAATAAAACAGTCTTAAATGGTTTTTCCAACAGAAGGCAGCTGTGATGGATCAGCTGGTGTTCCTGTCCACCTCAGAAGAAGCTTTGGACGTTTACAAGGCGCTGAGTGAGGAACTGGAGCGCTCTGAGCTGCAGAGGATGAGCAGCTTTCCTGCTGAAGCGCCACACCTGGGCTCTGCCCCCCTGGAGCAGGTCTGATACACGCTGCACCACATGTGGCATTGTACCAGGGCGGTCCTAGCCTGTTAGGTGCCCTGGGTGAACAACATTCAGTGCCCCCTCTCCCCGCTTTTTCAAACAACCATGACACATAATTTAAATCGGTTATCAACCATAACAGCAGTATTAGCCTGAATGTACAACTTTGCACAAATCATATTTTGCTAATTTTTGCTCTTGCATTTGGGTCTAAACTGCTTCTAAGTGTTACAAATATCAGTTTTTTGGCAATGAGTTTTTTGGTGTTTTGCAAATGAGGCATTTCAAAAACCAGCAGGCGCCGCCCATTACCTAGCAACAGCACAGTTGGTCAGCTGGTTTCATTGCTGTGTGCGCCGTATAATGGCTGCAGGAAAATACAAGAATTTTGTTGTTGACTTACCATTCAGAAACTATTGCTGCATTCCTATTAGTTGTGTAGGAGGCTCCACTTCTGCTTTTCAAAGATGTATGGTTGAATAATTGTGCATCTGTTTGCAGCCATTTTCCTGTTTGAGTGTAAATGTTGAATTGGGGACATTTAAAGTGACAGGAGGCCCTAAGATAAATAAAATCTCATTATCAAAGAATAATTTTGCGCATTAAGGGGTAATGAACATATTTTGTATGATCCTAACCTGTTCCAGGAAACATAATAGGTCACCATTAATCACCTGTTGACCTTGATGTTTCTGATCTTCTCTCTGAATGACCTTCAGCTGCTATTGGAGGAGAAACTGAACTCCGGTGAGTTGTCCCCTGACGTGGCGGCGTTTGTGGAGCTTCTGTGGACCGAAGCTCACGGTTGCCTTGAAAACATCATCAGTGTCCCCATCTCCAGACTCAGCCTGAACGATGTGGGTTTGAACCGATCTGCAGTCGGATCAGGGTCAGATCCGAGGCTCCGTCCTCATGAAGCTGTTGCTGTTTCAGGTGAGCAGAGCTGAAGGCCTTCTGCTTCAGGCTCAGAGGAAACTGAAGGAGGGAAATGAGGATGAGGTGTCGTCCCTCCTGGACGAGGTTTTCACCCTGTTGCCTCACAGGGAGCCCAGACCTCAGACACCTACAGCCAGGTTTCTGTCTCAGAAGCTGGATCTCTGTCAGGTAACAACAATGCACAACTTTATGGTAGGATTTTCACACCAGAGATTCCCAAACACTTTGACAAGCATTAGCTTCTGGCTGGATATGCTACAAAATATGTAAAGGCACATCAACATTAGAATGTGTTTTTCTTTACATTTAATAACTTTTACATTCGTACAAAATTGGGCAGTTATCCAATTTTGCAAATGGCATTATTATGCCGTTTTCAAGTAATGGCGTAATAATGCAAGAACATCTTCTTGCATTATTATTAAAATTGTCCTTCAAAAAAGGGTAAGTTGAGAATAAAACAACAAACTGGAGATTTTTATCACCTAGATTTTGGTTGACAGAGAGAAAAATAATAAATAATGCAATTTGTCTGTCAATTAATTAATTTATTTCTTACTGTGACTTTATTGTAGCAGATTTTCTTTCTCCTCTTCCCTCCATCGTTCTAGATGGCGCCCCCTGCCGGCCCCCACTGCTCAGCTAACTTGATTGATTGATTTTCCTGCAGTTAATCCGGGATGTTCTGAATATGACCGAGATGACCATGAACGACCCAAAGCCGTCCTCCGTGGGGAAGTACCGCGCTCTTCGCTGCCACATCGAAGCCATTCCCCGCAGCAGCTCAGTGTTTCAGAACATCGCCGCCCTGCTGACTGACAGGTCCGTTATGATGATGATCATTTATTTCAGACAAACATTTCACCAACAAAACATAGTAATAAAGACTTTCATGTCTCTAAAAGTAAATACAACACTGTATTAACAAATTTACATACTCAAACATGTAAATGCACCACTTATTCAGTGACTGAGTCTTAAAAAGAGTATGATGAAGTTTAAGTTATATAATCATAACTCCTTTTCCATTCATTAATTCTCTGTGTGTTTCCAGGTCGGTGCAGATCCAGCAGATCATGCGTGTCAACAGAGCAGTGGAGCTTCAAACGTTTCGGAGCGAGATTGGGAACGTTAAGCCCCTCCTCCATTCATCCAGCCCCAGCAACTTTGTAGGAATCATGTCCAGGTGAGCAGTGCTAAAAGAAATATATTAAACTATATTATTTTATGAATTTATTTTGTATTTATTTATTGAGTTTATGTTTTGGCTTTAGTTTCCACCAAATATGAGGTTGGTGTAGCGCTTTAGCATTAGCTTCCACTAAATGCAGTGTTGGTTTTGTGCTTTAGCAGAACTAATGTTCAGGCTTAGTTAGCAGTGGCCACAACAGTTAACTTTGGCATCGTTTGTTTCATGTAAGTGTGAAAACACGAGTTTGACCCTGTATCTGGTTCCTCAGAGGTCTGCTGCTGCCCCACGTGGGAATGGAGCATCATGGGATTACGAGAACGGACATGGGGAACCTTGGCAGTGGGATTTACTTTGGTGATGCTTTGAGGTTGGTTTGTAAACAAACTTCATCCATCTTGCATGTTTATTGGTGTGAAAACAACAACGTTAGAACAGTTTTGGATGTTCTGGTTGGCCTGTTGCACTATGGGCTCTCTGTGTTCTCAGCACCAGTCTGAAGTACGCCAAACCCAGTGAAACAGACGGATCGCGCCTCCTGCTGGTGTGCGATGTGGCTCTGGGGGTTTGTAAAGATCTCTATAAGAGAGATCACACTCTGACCGAGGCTCCTGAAGGCTACCACAGCGTTCATGGAGTCAGACAAACCAACAAAACTAAATCTGATTTTGAGGTGGGAACAGAAGAACTGCATATCCATCACATGTTCAGCATGTTAAAGCTCTGCTGCACCTTGAGGAAACTGATTGCTGTTTTCTGTCTGCGCTGCAGGATGACGAGTATGTGGTTTACTCTCTTGACCAAGTGAAGATGAAGTATGTAGTTCAGTTCAAAAAGGAAGGAGACGAGCAGAAGAACTTCAATCCGGACATCAACCTGACTAGAGAACCCATTGAGCCTGGCAAGAACCCCGGTGAGCTGCAGATACCTGACATTCGGCCACCATGACGTTATACTTTTGTTGCTACTTTAGAAGAATTTTGGTAGAGGACCCACTCCACACCATTCAGAAAGCCACAAATGGCACCTGCACCGCACTTTAGACACTCCTGATTTAACTGAATGTCACAGTGACCATGTATCAATAAAGAATTTAGTAATTAAGATGTTTTAGTGTATTTCTGCCTTGGGTTGATAGTAAACATTGACCTGTTTCTGGAAAAAAAATAATTAAAAAATTAAATCTAGTAATTTCATAAACTAGGTTTTAATAAAATTAAAAAGCTTCTGTGTTGTTTCTGCTTTCAAACACATTCCCATCTAACAAGCCACTCTGTCTGCAGATCTCCCTTCAGAATATGTGGAAGAAGATCTAGAAAATGTGAAGAATCCTCTGGAGGACGTTACAGCTGGACTGTTGGACAGTTCAGGCCAGAAGCTCCCCCTGCAGGCTGTCCATGTAAAGTGCAAACTGATGGATCTTCTGTCCCAGGTTGGAAAGAGAAGCCCCTGGATCAGCTTAGTGACACATTAATCCTGGTTCTGGTTCTGATTCAAGCTTTTTCCTCCGTCAGGTCATCATCTTCCAAAAATACACCAATCAGAGCTCAGTGCCCATTGAGGCGAAGTACGTCTTCCCACTGGACGACTCGGCTGCCGTGTGCGGATTTGAAGCTTTCATCAATGGGAAACACGTGGTGGGAGAGGTAATCTGAAGCGAAATACTTAGAGAAATATTCCACAAAATACAACTTTATTAGAACTGGACAGAACAATGGATCAATTTGGTCTTATGTTCAATTGATTCATTTCAAGCTAAAAAACATTTTATTACAAGTTATTTCATAAGTTTTTTTGACAGGCATAGATAATCCATCTCATTTGCTTTTGCTGCTCCTCTTTAAATATTTATCTGGCCATATTGTTAAAAAGATCTTGGGAGTAGGAGATATGATATTCAGATGCATCCTTTGCTACAAATGATGAAATCTTCACTAAATGAATACTGTTACTGCATTTTGGGAAGGAACGTAAAAGAATTTAATTATTTAGTATTTTTAATGTACTTCAGATTTTGTACAATTTGCAGAATTTATGTAATTAATCATCAGAATACAAAAATAATTGTTAGTAGGATTCCAAATTAAAACTTCTCAAAAAAGAAGGAGCATAGTTTGGTTGGGCCTCTTTTGCATCACTTACTGCATCCATGTGGTGTAGAACGGAAGTCCAATGGCAGCTTAGGTTGTTTTTTAATATGACTGTTCTGCTGTTTTCAGGTGAAGGAGAAGGAGACGGCTCGTAAGGAGTACAAACAGGCGATAGCGAAAGGCCACGGAGCGTACCTCATGGACCAGGACGCCCCTGTATGTCCGGGAACATCCTGATGTTTTCAGGAAAGTATTCCAGCCTTTCTGATTGGTTCCTCTCTGCAGGATGTGTTCACCATCAGCGTGGGCAACCTGCCGCCCGGTGCCACTGTCCTCATTAAGGTGACCTTTGTGTCAGAGCTGGTGGTCAGAGATGGGAGCATCCTGTTCTCCCTGCCGGGCAGCGTGGCTCCATGGCAGGAAAGCACCGCGCTCAACCAGACCACACAGGTAGGGGACGGAGCCTGCACTCAGAGGATAATATTTGATGTGCTTTTTAAAAAATTTGAGGAAAATTCTTTCAGAATAGTTGCCATGTGTAGCAGCAAAGCACAAAACTTAATAAAACAATGTGTTGTTGCATTTATCTAGAATACATCCTTCTCACAAGTCTGAACCGGAAGTAATCCTGCCACTAAACCGCCATCTTGGTAGGCAAACGTAGCGCAAAGCATGGCGAACCTGTGGCTTTGAGATTAACAAAGCCACAGGAACAGGGAAGAGGGAAGGTCTGTTTGTCCTTCCCTCTTCCACACCAATCTGTTTTCAGAGAGTCCCAGTACTGAACCCTGAGGCACTCTTGACCAAAGTGCAAGAGGAATATATATCTACAAAATGGCTGCCGTCATTGTTCACTGCATTTTTCTAAAAGGAAATTGATATTACTATCATTTTATTTAGTCAATTTAGGAAACATTTTACATTAAAACTTGTTATTGTTAATTGGAGATCATTTTATGTGCTCTCTATACCTTCAGGTCTCTGTGGAGAAGGTTTGTGTGGCCAACGAAGCAGCGAGGTGAGAATAATTGAATTTTTTTTTTTTTAACTCATGATGTCACTGATCTGTTTTCTTATTGGATTTGGATTATTTAACCTTTAACCTTTTTGTTTGGTTAAGTAAGTATAAAGAAACGGACTAACTACTGTTTCTCTTTCTGGTTTTCAGAGAGTTTACGTTGGACATGTCGGTGGAGATGCCCTTTGAAATCTCTAGCCTGACGTGCATCAGCCATGAAGTCAAAATGAAGGTGCTGTTTTTAATAAACACAATCATATCATCTGCATATTGTTACATAATCTGCAAGTTAATCTGTTTTTCTGGGTTCATATTTAGCATTTTTAAAGCGTTTTACCTCTAAAACGTATTTTTTGGGGATGAATCTTTATTGTTTACCTGTTTCTTATTTTTATGTAATTCATTTTGTTTGTATTTTGTTTTCCAGAGGACTGACTGTAAGGCAGTGGTCAGTGTTCTGCCAGATCAGGTCATGGGGTCAGATGGGTTCCAGATGTCTATCACTCTCTCTGAGGTTCATCTTCCCAGAATGTGGGTGGAGAAACACCCCGACAAGGAGAGCCAGGTCTGTTTGTCCTTCCCTCTTCCACAGAGAGTCCCAGTACTGAACCCTGAGGCACACCACACTAAGTGAATTAACTGTCTACTCTGCTGCAGGCCTGCATGCTGGTTTTCTACCCAAAGTTTGAGTTTGACTCCAACTCTGAAGGCAGTGAAGTTGTTCTTTTGCTGGACACATCTGAGTCCATGAAGGGGGAGTCGTTCCAGCTGGCCCAGAAAATTGCCTTGCAGGTTTTAAAGAATCTGAAGAACGACGTTAAAATCAACATCGTTTTGTTTGGAACAGGTTGGTTGGTACAAGAGCAGAGAAATGATTAGAATTCACTGTTTTATTTTTTGACTGGATATTATTTAAAACAACCCAATCTCTCCGTGAAGTTATAGTTTTTTTTCAACTTGTAAGTTGCTATCCTGGGAGAATTTCATGTAACCTTCAACATACAAAGTGCACTTTCTAAAAGTCTCCTGTAAATGATATAAAAGTTCCTTGAAATTGTCCTCCAAGTTGCTAAAATAACTCAGTAGGAAAGTACAGACTATATTTGATAATAGTACTGAAATATCTTAATTCCCTCCAGTTCATTTCTGCATCTGACTTTTCACCTCTTGATTTAAAATTTGTGTTGCTTTATTTAGTGACTATATTCGGGAGCAACCACCATCTCCTCTCTATCAACCTGGCTTTGTCTTTTGATTTGTCTTGTTTTTGGTTTTCAGAGCACACAGAAGCTTTTCTGTCGGCTCAGAAACTCGACGAGGTTCAAGCTGAAGCCAAGAAGTTCATCAAGGTGAGTTCAGACTCATTAGCAACGTCTTTATTTGGAGAAAATCCTAAAAACTGCACAAATTCATGCTTTACTTTTAAAGTTGTTTTTTTTAAAACTGCACTGATTTTATTTGCAATGATTAGCTATATTTCAAATTAATGTTGAGACCAGATATTTTTATGAATTGCATAAAAATCAACATTTTTAAAGTCTGTCTAAATCAGACACAAATATTTATATTTTAGGTTACTTTGGATTGTTATTTTCAGAATATTTGGGTTGTAAATGATTTTAAAAATAATTCTAAAACTCAAGCGTTTAGGAAACAGGAGGTGATGATGTCATGGCTTTGCAAAGTTCTGTCTGGTCAAAACATTTGAGTTAAATGGAGGGATATTAATAAATATAAATAATTTTGGTAAACCTAACTGACCTAAAACAAGAAATATTCAGTCTGAATATGGGAGTGTGTCTTTTCTTTTTTGTCTTTTTTTTTTCTGATTTTGGAATTAAAGCTGAATGACTAATTGTATTGATCGTGATTAATCGATTATTGAAATAATTGTTAACTAATTTCAGTCATGGTTTAATCCTAAACTAGAGTACACAAACTGTAAAAAAGACAATTTGCTGAAAGAGCAACATAATAATGGCAGTAATTAAATCAAAACTGTACAAAAAACATATTCTTTGCTATAAATAACCAAGCATACTCTAAAGAAATGCTGTGTTATGGCATTTTAGGCAATAAATGTTTGTTTTCTTATTTAAAAAAGGAATTAAATTATTTCTTTATTTACAACTTTTAATGTATTTCCAATATTGTATAAAGAAACTAAAGTGGTTAAATGAAATAAATGATTAATGTAAAAGAAAAATTGATTACTAAAATAATAATTAGTTGCCGCCTTACTTGGAATTAAAATCTATTTCCAAACTTTATTCTGTTCTGTCTGCTGTTAGAGCTGCTCTTCAGTCGGGGGCAGCACTGAGCTGTGGCGGCCTCTCCGGGCGCTCAGCCTGCTGCCGCCGTCCACCGGCGTGCGAAACCTGCTGCTGCTGTCAGACGGCCACATCCAGAACGCGGCGGCCACGCTGCAGCTGGTCAGAGACAACGTCCAGCACAGTCGCCTCTTCACCTGCGGCTTCAGGTGAGGAAGGGCTTCATCCCTCTCTTCTTTTTCATTTTTAGTTCCTCTTCAAAGCAGGTGAAGCGACTGTTTGTCATTTCAGCTCCACAGCCAATCGCCACATGTTGAGAGTCCTGGCTCAGGCAGGGGGCGGAGCTTATGAGTTTATCGACTCTAAAGCAAAGCACACCTGGGCTGAGAAGGTGAGACTTTCTGATTCACATGACAAGCTCACATCCAACTTTTCTGTCGGGCAAAAGTTTGAGTCATAATCACAGTGTGACTGTGGGTGGTTGAGGCTACCACTCACTCACTCCTAACATAGCCTGGCTAGATAATTAGCTTTTTTGGATCTATCACAGGCAAGTGCAAATTTATCTCCAGTTGGCTGATTCTAGTTTATACATTTCTGCAGAACTTATGCCAACCCCCCTTAAGATACCACCCTGGGTGGTTGCCCATGTTGCCACTGACTATAAGTTCATTAAAAAATCTCTGCAGGACTGGTCAAAAATGTTGGATGATGTTAACTCTATTTCTTATTTTGACTAACTTCTTTCTGCCTTACTGAAGTTATAGACCATGGTCAATATGGCGAGTCACAAAATGTCACTTTTAATGTCATTTTAAGTTGAGCAACACAAAATCAATTATTTTTATTGCAAAATATCACAGAACAATCACGAGATTCTGGATGAACTGATGAATATAAAGAAGTACCTATGGAATTTAAAGATGGCTATTTATTAATATTTTAACAATTGAATGGGTTTATCAATACACAACTAGTCCTTGACAACATTCATGATCTTTATATGATCCAAAATGGAAGTGAGTTTAATTAATCCATAGAGTTATTCACATGTTGCATTTTACATAAGAAACATTCATTATGAAGATTAATTTGAGTGTTTATCAGTTGAACTGGAGACGTTCTGATACCTGAACACCTGGCTGCAGGTGAAGCGCCAGGTGAAGCGCATGTCGTCTCCCGGCTGCAGCTCCGTCTCTGTGAAGTGGCAGCAGTTCAACCCCAAAGCTCCTCCGGTTCAAGCCCCGAAGCAGCTGAACTCTCTGTTCAACGACTGCCACACGCTGGTTTACGGCTTCGTGCCCCACTGCACTCAGGTATTCAACTGGTTCTTCTTCTCTGCTTTACCTGCTGGGCCAGGTTGATCGCTGATCAGAGAAATTACAAAGGAGAGTAGAGTTGATCATGAACTGGCTGCAACTAACGATTAAAGATAAAATTAATCAGATTTGTGGTTTTTCATGCAGGCGACTCTTCTTGGAGATTTGCGTGGTCAGGAGCTTCAGACCATGGTGTCAACAACAGAGCTGCAGAAGACCAGAGGAACAGTGAGGCTCTGTTTATTATCTATATAAACACACTGAAATATGAAAAACTATCAACCTCAGCTATTGATTTGTTGTTTTAGTTTCTTCATAAGCTCACAGCAAGAGCCCTGATCAGAGACTACGAGGATGGAAACCTTCATATCACCGAAGCTGAACACGAGGTCAGCATGGTGTCACCTTTGACCTCAAATCACAGCTAAACTTGGTTGAAACGCCTGTTTTTGTGTTTTCAGGGTAAAAAAGCAGAGTTGAAGTCCTTCATCATCGATCTGAGCAAAGAGTTCTCCATACTGTCTCAGTTCACCAGCTTCGTGGCCATTGAAGAGAGGGTCTGTTTGTTTTCATGCCATGTTCAGAGTTGTTTTTGAATCAAACCAAAGTAATTTTTCCTGTTTTAGGATTCTAAGAAGGCAGACGATGGCGTCACAGACATCCCAAAGCTGATCGCAGAGGAGGATGTGGACTTCTTGCCATACATCAGCTGGAGTCTTCCTGAGGACAAAGTGAAAATATTTCTGTTACAATTCCTCCTAGGGCATCAAAACTATATGAAGAGGTTTAATCTGTGTGGTTATTTTTAAAATACTTGTTTTACAGCTGCACCAGCCTCCATTTTAACTTAACTCAGTGTAAATTTGATCTACTGGTGGGAATAGAAAACAAAGGGTCCAAGAGTTGATCCCTGAGGGACACCACATGTTTTCAATGCAGCTATAGTCAAACTGGAGAAATGTTTCTGGACACGTAGAAATTTATTGCCAAAGGAAACAATCAGATTTCAGTCAGCTCTTTAAGATTTTTGATCGTCTCTGCTGCAGTAAAATACAAATTTAAAAGCTTTGAAAGCTGATGAGATTATTGGAAGGTTCAAGGATTTTAAAGAAATGGTTCATTTTTCTTTTTATAAAACCTCAACCTTGGGTTTGTGGCAGGAACTGGATAGTAATTGTGAGAAATAGTTAATTATTGCTCTGGTAACTGATTTTCTTCTTTCTGCTTTCTTCTCTTCAAGTTGTGGTTTGTGATGCAGAGGTATTGAGTATTTCTTAACTTAAATGTTAAGCAAGAGATGCAGCTAAAACAAATATATCTTACTGTTTGGTATTTTAGAGGAACATTGATTTCTACCAATAAATGACTGAACTGAAGTGATCAGATGCAGATTATACCTCTAATCGACTCTCTTTTCCTGCTTCTGTTTCTTTCACTGTCATCTGAAGAAATCAACCGTGACGTACGAACCTTCACATATAAATCTAGTATTTGTATAATATGGTTTTAACTTTACAGTATGATGCTTTAATATTTAACAAGAACAAGTATTTATGGAGTACTTATAAGAAAATTTTAGGCAAGCTTAAGGCAGGTTTTCACTATGACACCCATAATTTTTTTGTATCTTTCACTAATAAATGCATATATTATTATGATGGATCATATATGCATTTATGTAAATGCGTTTACATAAATAGGTTTGGTGCTTTAGCATTAGGGAGCCATGAAATACAAATCTGAGAACCAATGGAGCCTTGACATCAGCTGGACTGATGGACGTTAAATGAACTGTGGTAATCATGACTCCTTTCCTCTGTCCTGCACGTAAAAGGCCAATCCCAGAAAAGAAAATTAATAAAATTATAACCAGTAACTCCCAAATATCATAGCAGTTACTCTTTGAATCCTATGTAGAGTCACTCCAAAAACTTGGAAGAGGTGTTACTTAAAATTAATTTCTGTTTTTACTCAGTTGAGGTGAAAGGACTGCTTGCTGATTTATTGGTTTATCACCAATAAAGTCTAATGATCCACTCATTCCAACATGGAGCTATTAATCTCTTTGCAACATTATCAGCATCTTTGACTTTTTCTGGTTCATCTCAGATTTTATTTAAATCGAAGAACTTATGGATAAAAATGACTGGAACTTCAATTGTATCTTTCTCTGTTACAGATGGCGTTACTAGATAGCTGGTCCTCTTCAGAGGTAACAAAGAGTTTCCACCACTGTTGTTTTTATAGCTACTACTTTGCAGTTTATTTTATGGCACTATTTATGACACATTTTCCCCAAAAAATGTCAAGATTTAAAGCTAGAAGAAATGTATTTTAATTTTGGCATTTTTCTTTAGCTGTGATTTTAGCTAATAAACTTTAAAAAATAACATAAGAGGTCAAGTGCAGATCATGACATTCTTATTCACTTTTTTTGCTTTTGGTTTGTTTCTTTTGCAGATGTTATACGACATCAATGACCTCGTAAGACCCTTTACACACAAAAATAGTATTTGTATCGTATGGCTAAGATGTTTTTAATTGTTGAGGCTTTCACTTTATATCTGAATATATTTGTCACTAAATAAGAATTTAGTGACAAAAACAAATAAGAAAAACCAGTACTCACAGAGTATCTATAAAGGTTTCAACAACGACCCCTTACAGCTTTTTTTCTGGGACTTTTACTTCATCTTTCCCATTAGTTGGATGCATTTCCTCTAAGGTGTCCAAAAAAGGATGTTTTGGCCCCTACAGAGATAAGATTTAAAGCTAGGAGAAATGTATTTTAATGTTTGGCATTTTTCTTTAGCAGTAATTTTAGCCAATAAACTTTAGAAAATAACAAGTGATCAAGCGCAGATCATGCCATTCCAATTTACGTTTTTGGTATTGGTTTGTTTCTTTTACTGATGTTTGACAGCTCCGATGATGATGTACTACTCGTTACACGCAAAAATAGTATCTGTATCGTATCAAAGGACAGTCAAACCAATGGAGCGTTGATATCAAATGGGATTGATGGATGTTTAATCATGACTCCTTCCCTCGCTCCTCCACAGAGAAGAGAGTTCCTTCTCTGTGACTTTTCTCATAACTGCCCAAAATCACAGCAGTTACTCTTCAAACCTTACATAAACAATCTAATTTCAGCTGATTGGACTTTAATTATTAAGACGTTTGTCTATATAATGTCAAATACCAACCATGACATCCAGGGAACCTCAGAGTCAGGATTTTCTTGAGGCACAACTCTGGAAAAGATACAGAAATATTTCTCTCTGCAACATTTTTCAACATCTTTGGATCTTTCTGTTTTATCTGTTTTTCACATTGAAGAATGATGGATAAAAATACTGCAACTTGGTTATGTTTCTCTCTTACAGTTGGACATTGGTGCACCTTGTTTCCTTAAAGTGTCTTCTAAGGTAACATGGAGATTTCACCACTTGATTTTTTTAGCTGCGTCTTTACAGATCTGTATTTCTCAACCCCTTTTAAAGCACATGCAGAAAACCAACAGTTGGTTGTTTACACACTATCTGTGGTTCACTTGTGACATAACCACATCTCAGGGTACCGGTGTGAAAATATTGGAAACTAGACAAGTACATACATATCATTTGCATCTAGAAGAGCCTTTGTGGAAATGACAGGTAATTGTAGGCTAACTCCAGGATATTTACAGATGATTTAAAGATTTTATGGAGAAGCAGAAAAGTTATACTGGTGCCTATAACTGTCCTTACAGAGTTTTTATGGTGTCATTATTATGTATTTTCTCTAAATGGCAGCTAGAAATTGATTATTTTTTCTATTAAAGTTAAGAAAGAGTTACAGCCAGAAGGAATGTATCCTTAGTCCTGATTTCAATTAATAAAAGTTTAAACAACATAAGTGATCAAGTATAGATCATTCCTCTCTAATTCACTTACCTGCTTTCTGCTTGTTTCTTTTACAGAGATCTGAAGAGAGCGATGATGATGTACGAACCTTCACACACAGATCTAGTATTTGGCTCAGATGTTTTTATTGATATGCCTTTTATTTTACATCTGGGACTTATTTAGTGATAACGCTTAACAAAATCCATGGAGTATCTATAAAGGCTTCAACTACGACCCCTTACAGCTTTTATTCTGGGACTTTTACTTCATCTTTCCCATTAGTTGGATACATTTCCTCTATGGGGTCCAAAAAAGGATGTTTTGGCCCCTACAGAGATAAGATTTAAAGCTAGGAGAAATGTATTTTAATGTTTGGCATTTTTCTTTAGCAGTAATTTTAGCTAATAAACTTTAGAAAATAACAAGTGATCAAGCGCAGATCGTGCCATTCCAATTTACGTTTTTGGTTTTGATTTGTTTCTTTTACAGATGTTTGACAGCTCCTATGATGATGTACGAACCTTCACACACAAAAATAGTATCTGTATCGTATGGCTAAGATGTTTTTAATTGATAGGAGTTTCACTTTATAGTTTGGTCAATGTTTCAATACTTAACAAGAACCAGTACTTATCATGTACCAACAGCTCTGGAAAAATGAGACCACTGCACTGAACTCCATTGAAAACCTTATGATTAAACCCCTCAATATAGATTTCTAAACTCTTCCTGAGTTGAAACATTCATATTGTTGGTTTTGTTTCTCTCTTCTTCATTGCTTGTTTTTCAGATACAAGCAGCTAAATTAAGAGCGGGGAAAAGTTACCGCTTTTTTTTTACACAAATTTTAAGAAAGATTTATACCTGGCAGAAAGGGAATGTAATGTTTGGTATTCTTTACACACTATCTGTGGTTCATTTGTGACATAACCACATCTCAGGGTACCGGTGTGAAAATATTGGAAACTAGACGAGTACATACATATCATTTGCATCTAGAAGCACCTTTGTGGAAATGACAGGTAATTGTAGGCTAACTCCAGGATATTTACAGATGATTTAAAGATTTTATGGAGAAGCAGAAAAGTTATACTGGTGTAGATCAAGTGTAGATCATTTCTTTCTAATTCACTTACCTGCTTTCTGCTTGTTTCTTTTACAGATATTGGAGGAGCGCGAACGCGATGTACGAACCTTCACACACAGATCTAGTATTTGGATCAGATGTTTTTATTGATATGTCTTTCACTTTACATCTGGGACTTATTTAGTGATAATGCTTAACAAAAACCATGGAGTATCTATAAAGGCTTCAACTACGACCCCTTACAGTTTATTCTGGGACTTTTACTTCATCTTTCCCATTAGTTGGATGCATTTCCTCTGTGGGATAACTAGGCTATCTGAACAGGTTTGATGCTTTAGCTTCAATGATTGATTTAACGCAGGTCTAACGCCAAAATTCACAGCAATTACACTTTAAAACATACATAATCAACCTTAATTCGGTCAATTGGACTTGATTTGGAAAGACACCTGTCTATACAAGGTCCCACAGTGGACGATGCAGGTCAGAGGTCAAACACCAAACATAAAATCAAGGGAAGTGACATTAAGCAACTTTTTTAATTGTAATTCCAACCTGTGTAGATTTATGGTCAATGGAAATGCAGCTCTTGATGGATTGATCTTCCTGGTTTATCATAAAATAAAGTATATGATCCGCTCATTCCTCAGGCCATGGAGACATTAGTCTCCCAGCAACATGCTCAGCATATTTTAATCTTTCTGATTTATCAGTATTTTACATATAAATAATGATTGGCAAAATCATTTATATGTAAATAATGATTTACATATAAATCTTCTGTGCTATTAAAATACTGTAACTTGGATGTTATGTTTCTGTTACAGAAGGAGTTGCCTGTCCTGTCTGTTCATCAGGTAACAAGGAGTTTCCATCAACGTTGTTATTTTAGTTACTTCTTTACAGTTTGTTACTTTAGGCCGTTATGTCTCAGGGCTCACACAGCAAACCACCAGATGTTGGTGCTTTATTTGTAGTTCACTTGTGACATACTCTCAGAATACCTCTGTAAAACATATTGAAATCTAGAAGCATACGCAAGCCGTGTTTGTTTCATTAACTATCTGCAGACTGGGCACTTACAGACTAGCTCTCACTTTACATTATTGTCAATGTTACAGCTAGGTTTCACTGGGAACCAGTACTTATCAGAAAACTTTAAACCACCTGTAACCAGGTTTTTAAGCTCCTTAGAATATTTTTCTGGGGCCTTTTATTTTATCGTTCCCATTAGTTAAATGTATCTTCACACTGAGGTTCAAAACCAGGCCTGTTTGCATAAACTAGACGTGGTGCTTTAGTGATCCAGAGAAGCTAACTTCTAGCTTCACTAAGGACAGTGAAGCTGGAATAATGGAGATCGACAACAGATGGGATTGGTGTACGTTAAATACTGTAACAACAGTGAATCGTTTAGCTTCTTCTTGACAGTTTGTTGGATATTAAATGAACTTTGGCAATCAGGACTCTTCCTCCCTCTCCTCCACAGAGAAGGGGGCTCCAATCCCAGAAATTAAAATTAATAAAATTATTACCGCTAACTCCCAAAAGTCACAGCAGTTGCTGCAGGGCTCAGCATGGTCGAATTGAAGTGACGTGGTTTCAGGATGGTTTCAAGGTCCTCACTGAGCCAAGCTCCTCTGAAACTCTTCCCACTGCAGTATTTGTCATCATAGGGGAGCGACTACTATGAGTTCACAAGTTCAATCAATCACACAATCGTTTCACACGCAGGGGGGCGAAATGTTTGTCAGGAAAGTGGTGACACGAAGGAGCGGACAACATGATGGCGTGAAGAAAATGACGTGATTTTCGTTATGTTACCATGAAGATGGGAACCGATTTCAGCTCCACCATGCAGAGCCCTTAAGTCCCCTAAAGGCTACATTCAGTAAACAGAGATGTTCACACAATGTATTTGGTGTACTTACACACTTCTGAGTTACTAGAGGGAAACTTGTAGTATATAAGCATCTTCTGTGCTATTAATGGGTCGGTACAAATGTAGCAGGATTACATTATGTTAATAAAGTATGCAGAAGGTAGCTCTGATGTACTCATGACTTACTGTCAGAAAATCTATAGAACCATACAGAAAACTAGTACCTGTGAGTACTTGCTTCCAAAACAACCTATAGGGATATGGTACTGAGTATTTACTATGAGGTTTTTACAGGGTGCCAACAGGATGATCCAAAGGTATTTTGGAGAAGAGTAAAAGGATAAGGAAAAGGGTATCTACTGGTACTTACAGCATACCTGTAGAGTGGTACTTAAAGGTGTATTTACTCAACAAATGTTGAGCAAGAGTTGGAACTATTTAATGGTAATGGTCAGTGAACACAGATCTAAGGACAGTGAAAACAGTGGAGCCTTGATATAAGATGGGATTGATGGACGTGAAATGAACTGTAGCAGTAATGACTCTTTTTCTCTTTCTTGCACATAGAAGAAACCTCTAGACTTAGAAAAGGAAGGTTCTTCGTCCCAGAGGAGCACAGAGGCACAGCGCCAAATTCCAGTGATGAGGCAGCAGTCGGCGGTGCGGAAACCACAGGTTTGAGTTCCCATCTGTTCAACTTTGGTGCATGTCTTCTTCCTCTTTCACAACTTTTATGTTGTTTCATTATCAAATAAAGGCCAGGAGCTCTACTGGCCAAAAAAAACTAAAAAAAAAAGAAAGAAAAATAAAATGAAAGCAGTGTCTCCCAAAGTTACAGCAATTACTCTTTAAAGCTATGCAGAGTCAGTTAAAACTTTCAGGAGAGGTGTGTCTTACAGTTATTTTCACTGATGCAGACATCCGTATTTACTGAGGTGAGAATGCCACTGACATTTATATTTTCTGATTTATTACCAAATGAAGTTCAGTTATGACCTTCCGTGCTAGTGACTGGTTACTTTCAAGTGCAGATCACATGCTTGCAGAGGATACAAAATACACACACTGTTCTTGGGTGTACTTGTGAAATACTCTCAGGATGGAAACTATATGTGTACTTACAGATTACAGAGTACTTGCTTCCATAACTACCTATAGGGATTTGGTACAGACAGGATATCCTGACTATAAGTGACAAGACACATAGAGCGTACCTGCAGGAGTACTTACCGGATACATGGATTGTACTTTCAGAGTTCCTACAGAGGACCAATGGGACCAAAAAGTCCCAGTAGCTTCTAAAAGGGTAAATGTGAGAGTTTCTACCAGGTACAGATTTAAAGGGGCTTACAGGATACTGAATGGATACGATTGCTATTCATAGTAACATAAAGCATCAATTTAATCTAGTTTATCTTGGATTGTTTAGATGAGTCTGATTCGTGTAAAGATAGATACTGTTAGGATAAAAAAAATAGTCTCTAGTTGTGTGATCATGAAGTAGGGATAATGCTGTAATTTGTAGAATTTTGTCTTATTTTCCAAAACCGTTTGGGACCTTATAATACCCGACATTTACCCTATACTTACATAATGCAGTCTTTTCCTGGTGGGTGCCTCTAAGTACCCATAGTCATCATGTAAGTACCACACAAGCATGATGTTCCCACCCAATGAGAGCAAGCGATGCTGCTAAACCCCCTGCTAAACACTTCTTTTGTTTGAATTGTGTTTTATTGTTTTAAGTGTTGACTCTGTATGTTTTTAATGAGATTAAATGTTTGATAACGGTACTGGAATTAGCATGTTCTGTTTATTGGTTACAGCTCACTGCGCCTATCTGTGCCTCTACTAGAATCTCTCAGGTAAATATGAGCAGGTTTCCATGACATGTCTGCAGAGCAGGGAACTGGGTTCATAGTTCTGCTCTATTCAGTTTCTGACATATTGTTTGGTTCTGTCTGTTAGCAAACGTTGAACGAGAACTCTTAACTAGAGCACTAGAAGATTTTAGAGGAACAGTAACAGTAACAAAGTTTATATTAAAAGTATTGTGCCTTTACACTGTGTAGAACTACTTTGCAGAAAGCTAACATTTGCTCCAAAAAGCACCCAGAACTGAAGCATCTTGCTGTCTTGAAGTTAATACTGTAAAATGAAGCATAAAAAAGAGCACATTGTATTCAAGTTACAATTATTGGAATTAATCACACACAAGGTAGCATTAGCATTGCTACAGGCCCAAAAATATCCATAGAATCAAAAGTGTAGCCAAAAGGACCCACAAATAAGGATTAGCATGAATGCTAATTTACATTGGAAACACCATAGAGATGCTAGTGCTAATTCACGTCTTATTTTTCTCCAATTTCTCAGACCTAAACAATTTGAGTTTAGCTGTCAAGAAGGCAAAATGGAAACATTTATTGCTCAAATTATAAAGTGTACCAAACTCCAGCTATAACTCTTTCTGGAAGTAAAAGACATATTCCTTGAGATTAATTCAATGAGTATTAAGAGCAATGACATGAACAGCTGTGCATTTTATTCAACAAAAATGGATAAACTCTATGATTGTTTCTTAATCAGTTTGGATCAGAGCATTGGATACTGTTTGTACTCTTTATTTATTTACACTATGTACAAAACCTCTTTAACTTTTGAAATTAGAGATGTGTGGTACCATGTTATAGCAAAGGAGGCTAATTATCTTTACACAGTATATGTTATCTAATGGGTTGTCATGCCAGTTCTGTTCAAATTATTTCTAGAACCTACAGGTCCGACATTAATGTGGCCAGGCTATGGAAAGTGAAATTGAACCAAAGATTTAGTGAATAACTTATGATTTAAGAATAGGGATCAATTTGTCATATAGTGCTAGGTTAATGTTGATAGTTACATCTTGAATTAAAAACAGTATTTTGGAAAGGACGCCATCACTTCTACTTTTTACAAAATCAGTTTTCTCTTTAATCAAGGTAGCCTAGGTGAAAACCTGTTTTAAAGAAAAACATTGAAAGGTCTGAACAGTTGAATGCTTTCAGGATTCTCTGGACTAAACTCAATAGTGTGAGCAGCAGAAAACAGATATTTTGCTGCATTGTTTAGTTTCTTGATGCGTTTGTTTTTTTCTCCATTATATGTCAATTATAGGATCTCAGCTTTCATAGGTCAAATCATTCTGCTTCATCTGGAAGTTGGGATGAGCTTCGGAAAGTGTCTCTACGTAGTTTTAGTTTTTGTGCCTCTCCAGCCACGGCTGCTTATGATGCACTCAGACCTACTGTCCTCTCGACTCCATCATCCCTCAAGGAACAACCCTCGGTTAGAACCTTTTTAAATGAGTTTAAACGTTGGGAAACTGTTTTGACTTTTTTACATGGAACACAGAATATATTCATACATTGTAAAACCTTCTGTTTTTTAATCAATGAACAAGTGAATGTTAAAGGAGACCTATTATGCAAAATCCATTTTTAACTGCTTTTAAAAAAAAACAGCACAGGTGCTTCAAACAACACTCAGCTCCGTTTTTGGTGTTTGGAAAATGAGCGTTTTCAAAAATCAATTATGTCATAATCAGTGAACACTGCACTGTTACCTAGCAACCCCAGCTTGTCACCTTGCAACCCAAGCAGCGCTCTAGCACATTTGGTCAGCTGGTTTTAACACTGTATACACTGTACAATGGCTGCTGAAAAAGACAAGTGTTCTGTTGTTTACTTACCATCCAGAAACAATTTGTTGCATTCTTGTTACTAACTTCTGATTTTCAAAGATGTGTGGTTGTATAATAATTTGCAGCCTTTTCACAGGTGAGTCTAAATGTTGAGTCTAAATGTTGAGTTGGATTCATGGGAAACAGCAGTTTATATGGATTTAGTCACAAGATGCCCTAAAACAACTCATTCTGAAAGAAGCTTAAAACGGACAAAACTGACCAGTTTAATATTTCATTATCTAAGAATGATTTTGTGCAAAAAATGTATTGAACATGCTTTGTATCACCCATAGTCCTATCGTAACCTGTTCAGGAGAGCAAAAAAGGTCACCTTTAAGCACAATAAGCACCAACTAATGAATAAAGTTGTAAATCCAGGCAGTGTCCTTTACAGTTTTCTGTTTATGGTTCACATAAATATTCAGCGTAAACTGAAGAAACAGCATCCAACGATCAGAGCTGTTTAATGTATTTATATTTGTTCTTGTGTCTGAATTTCTTTGCTGCAGCTGGATAAGTCTTCCTCCAGAAAAAAAGCTCTGATTTTCCCTCAGTCTGCCACACCACTAGCCCAAGGACAGTTGTTCGCTGGTTCTGCCCCCTCACCTTTTTGTTTTGGAGCCCCACCTGCTGGTTCTGCCCCCTCACCTGCTGGTTTTGGAGCCTCACCTTCTGCCCCCTCAACTTTTGGTTTTGGCGCCTCATCTGCTGGTTCTGCCCCCTCACCTGCTAGTTTTGGAACCCTATTTGGTAGTTTTCCAGCCCCACCTGCTGCAGCCCACCATATTAGTCTTAAACCCACAGTTGCTGGTATTGCACCTCCAGCACAATCGCTGTCTGATTATGAAGGCCTTGACTCACCTTCTGTTCTCACCTCTGGTCCGAGAACAGCCTCCATTTTTACTGCTCTAGCATGTAAGGAAAATGCCACACCTTTCTCACGCGAAGCTCCTTTGACACATGTAGAATCTGAATGTTTTGCAAGCCAAGAAGAGGAACTCTCAGCCTTACAAAGGAATGAAGGACAGACAATGTGGCATCATGTTCCAGAATCTCCCCAAAATTTTAGTTTTCATAGACAAGGGCGTATTAGCGCTCCAACACCTCTTCCTGAAATGGGCTCCATTAAACTGTCTCGCCTAAAAGCCCGACCTCAACGACTTAGTCAAGCTCATCTATCTCCAGGGTTCATGGGAGCTCGTCCTCCTCCACCTTCAGGGTTCACTGGAGCTCCTCCTCCTCCTCCTTCAGGGTTCACTGGAGCTCCTCCTCCTCCACCTTCAGGGTTCACTGGAGCTCCTCCTCCTCCTCCTCCTTCAGGGTTCACTGGAGCTCCTCCTCCTCCACCTTCAGGGTTCACTGGAGCTCCTCCTCCTCCTCCTTCAGGGTTCACTGGAGCTCCTCCTCCTCCACCTTCAGGGTTCACTGGAGCTCCTCCTCCTCCTCCTTCAGGGTTCACTGGAGCTCCTCCTCCTCCACCTTCAGGGTTCACTGGAGCTCCTCCTCCTCCACCTTCAGGGTTCACTGGAGCTCCTCCTCCTCCTTCAGGGTTCACTGGAGCTCCTCCTCCTCCACGTCCAATGCTCAAAAGGGCTCCTTATCTTCCAGCGATCATTGGAGCTCCTACGCTAGCAGGTCCAGTGGCCAGTGACGCTCCAGTACTTCGTCGTAGATACAGCTCCGCCCGTGCATTCAGTTCAAATCAAATGGTTAGTCTGTTTGGTCAAGCATATGAGCCACAGTCACATCATCCATCCTTTGAGTGAGTTCTTGAACACAAACCATTCTATCTTTATTAGCACTGAGCTGATATTTTCTGTCTTATTACCTGAAATTGAGCCTTTTGTGTTGTGTGATGTTGGTCCAGAGGTCCAGACCCAGACGAGCAGAAGCTGAAGTGGATTCAGATCTTCCAGCTGCAGCAAGCAGTAAGATGTTTTGATCCATTCTTTAAATTGGTCCAAAGCTCAGAGAAGAAACTTATATCATGAATCATACGTAAAAACGATCTCCATCTACTGTATATTTTATTTTATGAAGTAATAAAAACTTCTGTTCAACTCCAGTTTGTTGAGCGAAACAATTGATTGTTTTTTTGTGTAAGAGTGAATAATCAGGGTTGTACTGTGGGGGGGATACAACACCCCACATTTAGAGGCCTCAGACCTCGACGCGGACATCGTGGGTTCGACTCCCGGGTTCGAAGGCCTTTTCTGCATGTCTTCCCCCCTCTCCTTGCCCTCTTTCCTGTCAGTCTATTGTCAAAAAATGCGAACCACTAGCGCCGCTAAAAACTCCTCGGAGAAAAAAAAAGTGAATAATCAAACTCTAATACAAACCAAAAAACTGAGCTCTGGTCCATCTACAAACCTCAGTCTCAGTTCGATTGAAGTGACTTTTGGTGTGGTTTGAATGCAGAGACCGCTCCAAAAGCACGAAGTGGACAATAGTGCAAAAGCACGAAGTGGACAATAGTGCCGGGCATTCAGGGTGAATACAACCATAACAAATGTGTGTCTAGTGCTAGTAGGAGAAATGACTTGTGGTCTTTTACCAATGACAGAAGAGAAATCCCACAACCGCTAAAATCTGACTACTCCATTTTTATTTACATTTTCTGAAGAAGGAAGATGCACTCAGCTTCTTTTTCAGAAGTTTTTGTGTCGTTTCCTTCAGCGGTTCTTGGTGCAGGACAGACGATGAGGGGAACAGGTTTTTCTGTTAGTTTTGGTCATTTGATAGTGCAGTGCAAAAGCAAACTGTACCATAAGAAAATGTAACAAGTTTTGCAATTTGCTGCTGTTTGGACTAAGATAGCTGTTGGACAGACAGACTCATATCTAACTCTACATCACTGGAATCAGATAGTTGTTGCTGTGAGGTGCAGATGTGCTGCTTGGTCTACAACCAACCATCTCTGATCTCATCTGTCCAAACAATGTTGTTACGGAGGTCTTCGTTATTTTAAAGAATATAAGTTTCTTCAAATGTTCCAAGCAAACATAAAACATGCTGTAAGGTCTGCAGTGGAATATTTATTGACGTAAAAAGGCATTGCATACAATAAATTAAAAACTGCTGCTCCATAAAGTTATTTTGATTACAAATGCCAATTTGTATGAATTGTTCAGTCTCAGTATGCTTCAATATTGTGTCCCATAAGACTTAATACTGGATGTAAGATTGTTTATTATGTATGTTAATGAGATATGTCCTGCTTTTCACAACAGCACATTTCTCTCTAAATGTCATGGATTCAGAGATAATTGATTACATGTTTGTTGATTTTATTGAACAAAAATATTTAATTTCAACCTTCCTGAGTTCTAACTTGTGTTAATTTTTTGTGTACTGCAGGATGGATACTGGGAGTTAACTGTAGAGCTGGGAAAACTGATCAATGTCGACGTGGATGTGTTTGTTGAGAAGCACCTGAAGAAGAAAGGCATTCATTCTCTGGGTGAGCGTTCACCTTACGCTCTGTGTGGAAGAGCTGTTAGTGCTAAGATGCTCACTGATCTCATTTATTTACTATTTATCTCCTAGAAACAGATTAAAATAAACTTGGTGGTTTTAAATCTCAGTCGTCCACATTTGGTTTACTCCAGTGTTATAACTGAACCGTGTGGATGTTTATATTACAGGTTCAAAGGTCAACGAAGGCATCCGGAGGCTGGTGGCGACTCTGTTGGTTCTGCAGCTGATGAGGGAGGAGAAGCTGGAGGAAGGAAAACTGCTGCAGAGTCTGTTTGACCTGAAGGAGCCGACTGGGTCCAGGTCTGAACCGCAACAGAACACATAGACACCTGAGGAGAACCCGGTCACACAGACAGGAACTCACATGGAATTTAATTCAGTTGATCAGAAAAGTGATTTTCAAAATGATTAATCTGAACCGTCCCAGTAGTGCAGTATTCCTAGCTTAGCAGAACATGAATGAAAACAGTCTGGACCAAACCAGAACCAGACCTGGTCCAGGTGGAAAGTAAATTGCTTCTGTAGACCCAGAAATCCATCTGTAAGGAGCATCAGGAACATTGATCTAAACACTCAAGTTAGCTTAACTTCATATTTCTACCATCCAGAAAATCATTAATCGTTACAAATCAGTTTTTGAAATAATCACCAACTAATGTGGTAATCAATTTATCATAAAATGAAGTACACAGACTCAAAAAAGGCCCTAAGAATTATGTACAAAATGACGTGTTAATGAAAATAAATAATCACATACTCAACATAAAATACTAAAGCAAATATATATTAATTTTTTATATCAAAAAATTAAGTACTTGACTTAATTTATAATGTAAGATAACCTGTAGATGCCCGCTGACTTAAAAAAAGGGGAAAATAACCATAAAACTGCACAACCTCTACAACCAACATGCTAACGGTTGCTAATGATTAGCCTAACGCCAGCCAGCGTTTTATATTTTGCATTAATATCTCAAAATGGAATATCAACAAAAAAAGTCTTAAACTAAGAAAAAAAATCCCTAAAAATTACTTCAGGATGTAAGTATTTTACATCCTTAAATTACTACTAAAATATCAGGTTTTTAGTAGTTTATCAGATGTAAGTATATATTCCATTGATATTTATCATGTATGTTTCGCAATGTATTTTGTTATTGGTTTGTATTTTATATATTGTGGTCTTTTTTAACCTTTCTTCACAAAAGTTAAAACAGAAAAAAACATACAATACCTGAAAAAAACACAAGACAAAATAAGTACAGAAATAAACAAAATTTAAATTTCTATTAGTGGAAGGAACACAAAGTGTAAACTGGATAAAGTTTGTTACACTTTCACTTTGTTATATATAAAGCTGAATTTTTCCTCTATATTTTCTAAAACACATCTCTAAGTAATTCCTGCTAAGTCTGTAGTCATTTAAGAAAACATAACCCTTATGTATTAAACTCTGTTTAGTAAATTATGTATGTTTATGTTTTGTGCATTTTTGGCTTAATTACTTGCATGAGCAGAGATGTAAGTGTTTGCTTCCAGATCAGTGTTTGTGAATGTGTTCCCCTTGCAGGTCAGAGCGCTGGCAGCAGGTGAAGAAGGCAGTGGACTGGGTGCGCTGGGCCGACCGGGAGTATCCGTGCGCCTACAGCCGGCTGGAGTTCGGCTGGAGCTGGGAGTCTTCCACCCGCCAGCTGCTGGGCTTCGAACGCTTCCCGCCGTTCTCACCGCTCATCAGCCTGGAGCTGCAGAAGACTGCAGCGCCGCTGGCCGTCCACTGAGGAAACACTTTCTGAAAGTCGTATATCAATTTGGACTTTATTTTGTCTTTTATCTGCTTCGGTTTATGTTTTGCAAAGAGGTAAAGAAGATCAAAAATGATGTGACACAATATTTTAATATTTTAGAATATTAAAACATAAGAGGAAGGGAGGGAAAGATTCATGTTTCATCCACAAAAATTATACAAAATTTGTAAAATTACACTCACAAATCGATAAATAGAATTAGAAACAAAACCGTTATTGATCACAAACTGGCGAGCGTAATTGATGTCACAATGTAAACGTCTTCCTCCCTAAAAATTAAGAAAGCCAAATCTTGGTGGTTTGCTTAAAAACCAACAAGAATAGATTAAAAATTGTTTGTTTGTGATATTTTTGAAGTTTAATTCTTATTGTGTTATAAAACAAATTTCTGGGGAGAAATTTGCTATTTTTCTTTAACTCACCTTCCTATATTACTTTCATCTAAAGATGGCTTTGTTTTACGTCAACAAAATCATTCAAAGAATTCTAAGGCGGTTTGTTTTTATACCTGTTTCTGTTGTTTTTATACCTGTTACCTGTATACCTGAATCTGTAATCATTTTTATTCGACTAATTAAAGTAACCTGAAAATGTTTTTTGAAATCTAATTCCTTTGAATTAGATTTAGATTAGATTTCCTTTGAATTAACTGTTTTGAATGTATTTTCAATCAAGGTACTACTGTCTTTGTTGCCTATTCATAGGAAAATTTGAATAAATTACAAGTGTGGAAGTTGTAACTGTTTCAAATTTATTTATTTTCCTGGGTATGGGTGTCTGTTTTTGTTCAATGTCAAATTTATCTAAAATAAAATTAGCTTGTTGGTAAGTAAATTATGATTGTTTTGTACAGGCAATGTTTGCTTTTCTATCTTGTTTCTGAGTTTGTCAGCTTTTGCTGAGCTTTAGTATTTTTCAGATTTAAAGAAATGCTTTAGAAAATAAAGGGGATAAAACTGAGAGGTATTTAATTTTTTTAAATCCCATGTTATTTCAAAAGAAACCTCGCGATATTTTCTTTAATCTCACCTCCCTGCCTTCCTCCACTCTCGAAGGTTCTATTTTGCGCTCTTGGACAGTTGACGGTTGAAAGCCGGCAATTTTTGGAGAAAGTTTACCTTAAGTAAAGGTATGAACATTTTTGACTTGATTTGAATCTCGAGGTATCTCGAAAATGTTCATACACAATTATATAATGGGGCAAAGCAACGTGTATTGATAGCGAAGTCCCAGTGACGTTTTCCTTAGCATCGAAGTTATGCTAAGCTAGTCGAGAAGTTGAACAGAATGTTGCCCGATTTTACAGTTTGGAGGCATTATCTTGAGTATACCTCTTACGCTGCACCCAAATAAATAACGGCTTCAACTTAACATCAAATTGTAGGGTTTGATACAACATTTTTTTTACTATGGAGCGGAGGCGGGTATTCTGTTGGTCCAGACATTCAAGCTTAAGCAGCCATTTAAACGGCAGACGTTAAAATATCTACGAAATGTTACAGTATGTAGAATAATGAATACAGTCTGATTGAACTCAATAGCTGCAGCTGAATACCGTTATACATGACAGCTCAATGAGAAATGAAACGGCCTTTTCACTTCACCCTCTGTGTGGGATGCGCGCGCAGCGTTAGGGGCTTATTGTCAACAGTTTTTTTCATTTCTTTAACACAGTGCATGTGTTTTCTTTAACTGCCAATAATTAATTGTTTCATGTTTTCTTTAAGTTGACACATAGTATAATAAGTCACCAAACACCATCACATAGCTCAGCTGTTAGATCAGAGTGGTAAACATAAAATGCATTCAAGATCATGTGAGCTTTTTCTTAAAGGCCAGTGATCCAATTCAGATGAGGACTAAATGTGACAATAAGCAGAGACCTCACCACCTTCAACACTGGAGAAGAGACAATGAAAGGAGTATAATAATTCGCCAAACACCATCACAAAGATCAGTAGTAAAAGGTAACAAAAAGGCCTTCTGTATATTTTGACATTTACTTTTATGATAACTTTTCATGTTAAATTCCTGTTGTTGTTTTTTTGTAAGATTGGTTTTCAAGTGGAGGAATTCAAGTATCTCGGGATCTTGTTCACGAATGAGGGAAGAAGGGAGCGGGAGATTGACAGGCGGATTGGTGCAGCGTCCGCCGTGAAGCGGGCCTCATCTATGGTCATGAGCTTTGGGTAATGACCGAAAGAACGAGATCGCGGATACAAGCGGCCGAAATGGGTTTTCTCTATAGGGTGGCTGGTCTCTCCCTTAGAGATAGGGTGAGAAGCTCGGTCATCCGGGAGGGACTCAGAGTAGAGCCGCTGCTCCTCCACATTGAGAGGAGCCAGTTGAGGTCGCTCGGGCATCTGGTCAGGATGCCCCGGGGAAGACCCAGGACACGCTGGAGGGACTACTTCTCTCGGCTGGCCTGGGAACGCCTCGGGATTCCCCTGGAGGAGCTGGAGGAAGTAGCTGGGGAGAGGGAAGTCTGGGCCTCCCTTCTTAAGCTGCTACCCCCGCGACCTGATCCCGAATAAGCGGCAGAAGATGGATGGATGGATGGTTTTCAAGAGCATTTCTTGTGGTGTTCAAATGGGACCTGAGGGCTTTTGGTGGCCCTTCGCACAGATATTTTGCAGCACCCAACTGTAATTCAAAAACGATACAAAGTTTGCTCATCCATCACAGGTGCTTGGTGAGATGGAGACTTTTTATTTGTAATCCAGATAATTTTCTTACAATTGAAAATGTTAAGTGAAAGCCAAAGTTTGTCTGTTTATAACCAACATTTTGCAATAAGTAGGCCCACATTTATCCTGAGTTTTACTGAAAAGATTACTTTTCTGCACACAAATTCTGTTACTGAAAACAAATTTGTGCAAACAAGCCCAGAAGAACGTTGCACAACAAATTTGCATCGTTCCTTTTATATGTATCCATTACATAACTGTTTTTTTCCTCTCTACAAGCAGCGTAACCTGTTTTGACAACTGCTCAGTGCTCCTGGGGCTCAAAAACATTTTGACAGGAAGAAGTTCAAATTACACGATGCTACATGTCATGGTGAAAAAAAAAAGATCATACTATATTTGAAGTTTAAAAGCTAAAATATCTGTGGGTCATATTTCTATTTATTTCTGTCCTATTTTAATCACTTTGGTTAATTTTCAATTAAGCGTTAGATTTTCTTTTAAGATCTCTTTTCTGTCAGGGCTTTGGAAGTCTCTCCTACTGCATGTTGCCATATGTGTCACTTGACACCATTCCAAATAGCTGAAGCACAAAATTCTCCAGAAGGGCAGGTTCCTCGAATCTTGTGTAAAACCAGGTAAGTAATTCAACCCTTAGAACTAAAGCAAAAATAACAAAGAACTTTTTTTTTATTTCCGTTATTTCTCACAGTTGTTTACAGATTCAGGAGTTTTACAGGAGAGGTTCAGGTTTGTGTCGCAGCTTCACTTCTGTGTTTGTTCTCAACAGGAATAATTAATCAAGTTTTTGTTATGAAAATATTACATTTTATCTGATGTTTGTATACATGAGAAAATTTAGTTTATCTCCAAAGAGGTTTTTCTTCAGGCAGTATGGGCGTGTTTGACAGCTGCTCTGTGCTTCGGAGATCAAAAACTTGTTTTTAAGGAGAAGAAGACGCTCACATCAGTGGCGAAACAGATTTCTTCCACAATCAACAAACAGGTGAGAGGATGCATTTTTACCTGACCATTTGGTAAACCTGTGTTAATGAACCAGATAATACAACATTTATAGCACATATATAAATGTATTCAAAATAAATTTAAGAACATAAACTTTAACCCTAGCTGTTGAGCTCTAAAAACTTTTAAGGCTTTTGGAGCTTTTAAAGCTTTTAGCCTTTCAAAACCTTTAAGGTTTTTATAGGCATTTAAAGTCAAGATGACAAACTCAAGCTACAAGCCACTAAAGCTTTCACATATTTAAGCAATTTAAATTAGCTGCTTTTCAGGCTTCAATTAACTACCTATATGTTGTATATGAGCAATGTTAAAAAAATAACCTTTAGCTTTAAATAGAGAAAATTATAGCTTTTTAGGGTGGCAATATTTTGATTGATGGGTTTCCGCTTTACGCTTGGTATGAGTAAGAGTTATATTTAGCAGTTATTAGATTTACCTTTGGTAGATAATAACTTGACCCTTAGTATATGTTAGTTTTAATTCTAATCGCTATCAACTTAGTATCTTTTAGCTTTACATTGAGTAACTGAGATCTTAACACTTAACTTTTTTCATAGCGTTTAGTTTGGCTCTAAGTTTTAAAAAATATGGAGGAAAATTAAAATTTTAACAGATTTTATCATTTAATCTGAACTCTTTAGCATGCTGAGACAAACTGTTCTGAATTTATGACATACATTTCAAGACTTATTAGGGACTTCATAACTGTACCAAATTTAATTAATAGTCCAGATATGGAAATACAGTGTCATATATTTGTCTACATTTCCCACAGTACTCTCTGGCAGTGATCTCCAACTTCCCCAACCTGAGCTCCAACAGGCTGCACAGCATCCAGAAGAACCAGACGCTGATGGTCGACTTTGATTATCTGTACAAACGTGAGCGCCGTTCTTCTGTCAGTGGATGAGTGGAAGATGGACACTTCATCATCTCCGGGTCTTCCTCCCTGTAAGTAACAGAAGAGAACTTTGCTAACACATAAAGGTCTTACCACATGAACCAAATATTGCAAATATAAATCCAAAAAGCAAAAAGAGAACAGGAAAAAGTCAAACTATAAGAAATAAGAATTAGATGTAAAATTGCTGAAAGTTTAGGGAGTGACAGGGATTTAATTTCATGATATTTTTACAGCCTCAGTGTTAGCTGGAATATTCAGTGTAAGAGAAAGATGTTATGTTTTGGATCCAAGGGTCACTGTAGTGTTTTTATAAAAACTAGCTTTATTAGAAAAAAGGCTTAATTGTAGTTAAGACTTGGAATAATAATGTGTTTCTGCGTCTAATGTTGTTTCTGTTTTTTGCAGCCAAGCTTTCAAAAGGTCCGATTTCATCAGAGGGACCAGCTATTGAAATAAATAATGTGAAGTTCAGGTGGGACCATCATCATCTTCACTCCTGACATTACCTCACATCACAATGGTTTCACTTTGAAATAAGTATCTGACTTCTTTGTATCTGACTTCCAAAGGCAAGATTTAGGCAAAAGCTACATTAATGATTTTCTCAGAAAGATTTCCAGGAATAAAGAGAATTTTTTTGTGTGGAGAATTTGTCATTAATTTTTTAAAACTTTTTAAGGAGAAATAAACATAGAAATTATTTATTAAGTATAGAATTAATAATATGTACATCAATTGCTTTGATTTCATTTTTAAGAGTAGCTAAAATTATTTAATAAATTATTTCTTGTTCCTGTGCTGGAGGACATAATTAATAAATTTAAATAGTCAACTTCACCCATCTATCTTAAATTGTGGGATTAGGCCCTGAAGTCTGATTGGCTCGTTCAAACAAAGGTCATTATTGTACTGGCATGTGTTGACTAGTCATCACATAGCAAACACTGAAATTACTGAGATTCTTTAGAAATCATCGTTCAAAGGTTTTTACTCTTTGCTGGCTTGCTGCCATGGCGATAACACGTGGAGAGGTGCAGTTCTGCAGAAACAGAAAGTTTCCATCATTGCCCCAGGGGTAAAATCGACCCAAGCTTCTCATGCTCATGTTGTGTTTAGAGGCAGCGTTAGTGAAACACATAATGACATGTCAATGCTAGGAGATTGAAGACACAGATGTAGTGTGAGCTGACCCAACTTCAGAGGAATTCAGCTCAGTCAACAGGCTTTTAATATAATTTAAATGCATACCCTTTATGTAACCTTTCATATAAAATAACCATGTTGTTTAATACAAAAACATGTAGAAAATCAGTAACGCACTGGTATACTAACTAGAAAAAGTTTTTTCCATTTCAAAAGTTTCTGTCCTTTTCTGGGTTGCTGCCATTATTCTATTAGAGATGCGTATGCTGTTCTGCAGAAACGAGTGTTTAATGGTGCCTCAGAAAAACATTTTATGATATGCAAAGAATTAAGCAGCTGAAAAAAGTGGGGGGATAGAGGGCACAGATGCAGTGCAAGAACCGCTGTTTTATCAAATTGAGCTAAGAATAAAAGAAAGTTGGCCACTGAGGTATAAAAAATAAACCAAAAAACAGTCTTAGAAAATACAACTAAAACAAAGACTCAAGTCTAGCACTACAGGGAGAAATGGCTCCTGGTCTTTTACAATAAAAGATAAATCCTACCACCACTAAAATCTGACCCTACTCCATTTTTCTTGTGTAGTTTCCTTCAGTAGTTCTTGGTGCAGCGCCCCTCCAGGAGAGGAGGTGAACAGTTTTTTCAAGTAGTTTTTTTTTAAATCAGTGCAGTGCAAAAACGAACCACATCAGATGAAAGTAGTAAATTATATTTTGCTCATTTGCACTGTCAAATGAATCGATCCCTTTGAGCAAACTGTTACCCAACCTATTCGTTAATGTCAAATTTTAACAGTTGTATGATTTCTCTTTTGTCTGGTAAGAGACAACAAACCATTTCTCCCTGTTATGTCGGACTTGCGCATTTGTTTTGTTTTCTCTGGTCTGCTTGGCATTCACATATGCATTCAAATAGTGCAAGAGTTCACTTCAACCAAATCAAGACGGAGAAGTTTTGGGCAGACCAGAGTTTGCTCTTTTGGTTTGCTTCAGAGTTTAATTACACATTCACACCTCCCTAAACAAACTGGACTTTCTCAGCAAACGAGCTAAACAGGGCTAGTATGAATGCCTTTTTACAGTTTATTCCACCATTTGTAGTTTCTTTGATTTGTTTTGTTGCATCCATTTACTTTACTAATGTATTTTTATTTGTGGTTTGATTACTAACCTGCTTGATAATTGCATGTTTTATAGAACAACTGAAACATTTGTCTTTACTTCACACATCCCATTTTTCCTCAGGGATTGAGCAATATCCCTGGAGCCCAGTTTTAATTAGGATTATCTGCTTAAGCTGAATTATTAAATAAGTGTTTTGCAAAACTCAGTCTGCTGTCCAAGAGAACTTTTGAACTTGTGCTCTTGCACTGCATCTCTGCCCTTTTGAAGTTTTGAACTTATTGCGCTATAAAATCCCCCAACTGGCACCATTGAACTTTAACAAAACTTATACAATTTCTCCCCCTTCTGGTCATACAAATATAATTAATTCTGAACGTAATATGTTATTTATAGTTTTAAAAAATTAATAACACATTCAAGTTATTTAGATATAAAATATTGTGAAAGTAGCAAGTAATCCAAACTGTCATTTAACCCTCAACTCATTAATTTACCCAGAATCTACAAAGAGTCGGACTCTGCTCTCCCAGCATTCCCTGATAATTTCCAGGTGGCAAAGTACTCTGTTTTTGGACAGGTGAGGGAGAAGTCTTATTCACCATTTCTGTCTTGTTGCTATGAACCGAACTGACACAAGTTTTCTGCAGAAGAATGGCAGCAGGTTTTACGTGTTGGAGCTGCAGAGCGCCCAAGGTGAGCAGGGATGGCGCTATCGTGTGGCCAGATACTGGAAGGACAACGTGCTGTCAAAGGTATGAAACCATTAATACGTCAGACAGACAGTACAACATGAGCTTCTGCTCCATCTGTACGACGGAGGTTTATGACCGTGCTAAGAAAATAATAAATGTTGCAATTATAAAGTCCTAAATTATGACTAATCTCGTATTATTACAAGAATAATATGTGTTAATATGACTTAATTCTCGTAATGCTATGAATTTGTTCTTCTTTGACTTTATTCTCGTGCAAGTTTATTCTTGTAATTAAATTTTTTATTAGTATTGTCCTAATTTTCCATCATACTGTCCGGGCTTATGTGTGCAAAATGGATACATAGGCCTGTCACAATAACAAATTTTGCTGGGTGATTAATTGTCCCTGAAATTATTTTGATAAATGATATTACTTATAGTGACAAGCTTATGGATACGGTAACATTTTCAGTAGGATTTAAAAACAGGTAAAGGAATTGGAGAAGGCAGTAGCTATTTTAATCCAGCGTATATAATAAAACTGCATTTTTCTCCTCATTTCAGATGCACAGCGATCAAAATATTTGGTGTCATGGAAACTGTTTAACAAAAATTTAATCAGATCAGAAGTCCCTGACTTATTCCTTTAATCCATCCATCCGTTGTCTAACCCTAGTGAGGTTGTGAGGTCAACAGGTGAGAGGCGGGGTACACCCTGGACAGGTCGCCAGTCCTTATTCCTTTAATGTTTCTGCTTTTTGTCTTCCAAATTAATCTTGAAATTACATTGGAACAACGTACATTTTTCCTGCAGAAGGCAGCTGTGATGGATCAGCTGGTGTTCATGTCCACCTCAGAAGAAGCTGTGGACGTTTACAAGGCGCTGAGTGAGGAACTGGAGCGCTCTGAGCTGCAGAGAATGAGCAGCTTACCTGCTGAAGCGCCACACCTGGGCTCTGCCCCCCTGGAGCAGGTCTGATACACTCTGCACCACATGTGGCATTTTGTAACTATTTGTGTGTGGAAACTTAATCATGCGTCCGCCAAATGTGTCAACATTTCTGGAGGATTTATTGATGTCACTGCATGGCAGAAATATTCATGCCTCTTGAAATAATTTCTTGTGGTGTTTTTATGACTGATTAAAACAAAGTGCAAGATTATGACCAAGAAAGAATATAAAATGTGGTGTTAATTTTAATTTTTTTTTTACAAATAAAAATATAAGAAAACATAGGCTACCTTTGCATTTAACTGGGAACTGTCTAAAATATGGTTCTTTAATATTAACTTTTTATAGCGCATATTGGTACAAGTTTATGAGCTAATGTTTGTAATCGGTCAAATGAGTTTTGCAGCAAATTGAGGGGAAATGGTGACTGATAAATAAGTTTATTACATGTAGAAGAGACTAAAACTGAAGAAAAATTGTGACCGTTAAGTTACTATGATGAAACATGGCAGCATGATGACCTGAGAGATGGCCCAGTCAAAGTCTGTAACTAATTACAGACTTTAACTAATTACAATTGAGAATCCAACTGAACTAAAGCTACTTTTCAAAGAATGTGTAAAAATTTCACTCCCACATAATTGCCTGCACAAAGGTAAATATCAAATTTTGTTTTGCCATAATGACCCTGACAGACAAATCAAATACCAATGAGTGAAGGAAGTTATGCTTGATTTTATGTGTAATTTCCAATGGTAGTTCTATGGCAGCATGAAAAAATGTGCTGCAGTAACTGCAGCTTTTACATTTAAGTACCTTTTAAGTCTAATGTTTACTTCTAAACATTTTACTGAAGGGAGATTTTCACAAATCTGTATTATTGAAGTCATTACTCACCCGTTTTGCTTGTACAAAATGAGCCCGACAGCGTTCACACTCATCCAATCAGACTTTGTGTCCCTCATTCTTCCTATGGTTGAGAAAGACTTGGGCTTTACCGTAGATTTCTCCGTTGTTTCCCACAAATAACCGTACAGACCTGATGTACGAGTCGTACGACTCTTTGGAGAATTTTTCTGCCTGTTGTTTTTGCCTCAGTGTTGGCTGATGAGGCAAAAATGACTCATTAAATGTATTAAGTAGCATATTGAGTTCCACTACCACTGTATCAGAGGTTTGCTCTATTACTGCAAGGAGCGGAGCCAGCGTCATTTTAATTGCGTCTCTGTTTGCTGTCATTTTCATTCGTGAGTGCAAATGTTGAGTTGGGGGCGTGGCTTGCAGCAGCTTATTTTTTTAAAAGGATTTTTTGGCTCTAGTGGCCTCTTAAGTAAATTGGCAGGAAAGTGGGATATGAAAGAGAAGGCAAGGTAAGGGAATTTTATTTATATAGCATGTTTTCAGCAACGAGGCAATTCAAAGTTCTTCACAGAAGTTAAAAGGAAATACAAACAAAATAACAAACCAAGGGAAAGAGCAAAAGAAGAAAAATAATCTATAAAGTATATAAACTAAATGCTCCAGTTGAGGGTTGCTAACTATCCTCAGGTCTAATTCTATATCTGGGTTTGAAGAACAGGAAAAATAGTCTAACAATGTTGATCCAAAAATGTCCTCTGGGTTTCTATTCTATGTATACTCCATAGTTTCTAAGTAATAATAAAAACTAAACAACGGAGAAGGAAGAAATCTGGTGAAGGTCAACTGGCCGAGACCTGAAACTGTGACAGCCGGGATTAGGCCTCATCAGATGGGTCGTCTGCACTGTCAGCGTGGCCAGCAGTGGTTTATTTGGACTTAAAGGGACCCTGAAACTGCTAAATTCTCATGACCTAATAATAATTTTGTGTAATAAATGCAATGAATATGGTTTGCATCATGCTTGACTTGTTTAATTAAGCAAGATAGGTTTTTAATTACCTGTTGACCTTGATGTTTCTGATCTTCTCTCTGAATGACCTTCAGCTGCTATTGGAGGAGAAACTGAACTCCGGTGAGTTGTCCCCTGACGTGGCGGCGTTTGTGGAGCTTCTGTGGACCGAAGCTCTCGGTTGCCTTGGAAACATCCTCAGTGTCCCCATCTCCAGACTCAGCCTGAACGATGTGGGTTTGAACCGATCTGCAGTCGGATCAGGGTCAGATCCGAGGCTCCGTCCTCATGAAGCTGTTGCTGTTTCAGGTGAGCAGAGCTGAAGGCCTTCTGCTTCAGGCTCAGAGGAAACTGAAGGAGGGAAATAAGGATGAGGTGTCGTCCCTCCTGGACGAGGTTTTCTTCCTGTTGCCTCACAGGGAGCCCAGACCTCAGCTTCCTGAAGCCAGGTTTCTGTCTCAGAAGCTGGATCTCTGTCAGGTAACAACAATGCACAGGTTTATTTTGGGATGTTAGGCTCTACTGGGATAACTTCTTTTCTTCCAGTTAATCCGAGATATTTTGAACGTGAGCGAGATGACCATGAACAACCCGAAGCTGTCCTCTGTGGGGAAGTACCGCGCTCTTCGCTGTGGCATGGAAGCAGTTCCCCGGAACAGCTCAGAGTTCCAGAACATCGCTGCCCTGCTGGATGACAGGTCCATCTTTAAAATAAAAAAAACTACAGATAATCATCACAATCCTTTCTGGAAACAAAATAACAAACATCTCTGTGTTTTCAGCCCGGTGCAGATCCAGCATATCATTCGCGTCAGCAGGATGGTTGAGCTTCAAAGGTTTCAGAGCAAGATTGGGAACGTTAAGCCCCTCCTCCATGCATCCAGCCCCAGAAACTTTGTAGGAATCTTATCCAGGTAAGTCCCAGCAGAATCCTGAATCGGAGAAGACAGTTTACAACTGATAGATACTGAAAAACTCAAGATTTTTAAATGACGCAAAAGGGAAGAGTTATGTGACCTACATTTATCGTGATAAATTTCTTACACGGTAAGAATTTAGAGGTGTCATTGTCATGATAAATTCTAGTTAATGTTTTTTTAAAAAAAATTCCATATTATCAGGATTGTTAGTTTTACTATTTCTTTCACTGGTTGTTAAACAAAGGCCTCAATAAATTTGAAAATATGACTAAATGGAGTTGCAGTTTTTATCTTAGTGATATAAATCACACTTCTCTATGTGACTGGTGTACTAATGTTTATGATTAGTACAGTAGGGTTTGTGCAACTAACTTTTTCATTAGTGGTGTCCACCACTGTTAGAAAAGAATCATATAATCATTGGAAGCTTTTCAGAGAGTTTTCAGGACTTTGTCTCTCCTTTTCTCAGGTGCATCACTCTTGTCAAAAAATTTTTAACACCTCTAGGAGCTAACGAATAGGTTAGCAAAGCTGGGCAATATGACTTAAAAATAGTATTTTGTTCAAGCCAAATCAATTTTAATCTTTTTATTTTTTACATTTATTTTACTCACTCTTTTTCTTACAAAGAAATTACAAGTGAATGTGAATTAACCTGAATTAACGGTCAAAATAAGCAGAAGCTGTAAAGCACATTTGTCGAAAAAAATGGGAATCCTTGTATGGGATAAAATCACTGAACTATAGAATCCAGATTTTCCACAAATTAAATTTTAAAAAACAGATCATTTGTTTTATTGCCCAAGATAAAATCTCAGATTCCTGGATCAGTCAATTCATCCTCTCACATAGAAAAAATTCTAGATTAAAATTGAATCTTGAGTCTGATTGCTGCATATCTTATCATGTTTTGTTTCATTTCAACACAAGTTTGTTTCTATATCCGGATCCTCAGAGGTCTGCTGCTTCCCCGTGCTGTAGTGGAGCAACATGGGATTACGAGAACGGACTACGGGAAGCTTGGCAGCGGGCTTTACTTCGGTGATGCTGTGAGGTTGGTTTGAATAAATGTTCAGTGGTCTTGTATGTTTATTGGTGTGAAAACAACGTTAGAACAGTTTTGGATGTTCTGGTTGGCCTGCTGCACTCTAGGCTCTCTCTGTTTTCTCAGCACCAGTCTGAAGTACGCCCACCCCAGTGAAACAGACGGATCGCGCCTCCTGCTGGTGTGTGATGTGGCTCTGGGGGTTTGTAAGGACCTTAATAAAGAAGCCAAATCTCTGACCGAGGCTCCTGAAGGCTACCACAGCGTTCATGCAATCCGACGTGCCATCAACCCAAAATCTGATTTTGAGGTGGGAACAGAAGAACTGCATATCCATCACATGTTCAGCATGTTAAAGCTCTGCTGCACCTTGAGGAAACTGATTGCTGTTTTCTGTCTGCGCTGCAGGATGACGAGTATGTGGTTTACTCTCTTGACCAAGTGAAGATGAAGTATGTAGTTCAGTTCAAAAAGGAAGGAGACGAGAAGAAGAACTTCAATCCGGACATCAACCTGACTGGAGAACCCATTGAGCCTGGCGAGAACCCCGGTGAGCTGTCGCCACGATGACAGCACACAGCTCTTCTTCCTGGATATGATTGCATCTCTCTGGAGAATAGCACTCTGTTGCTAGGAACCTGAAAAAAGTCATTTTTTCTTTATCTTTTTTACACGTGTAATTCTTGACTTAAATCCAACAAGTTCAGATGAGTTACAGTTCTTAAAAATAAAGTTACCTGATTCAGGTGAATGTCACAGTAACCATATGTGTTAGTGTGTTTTTGCTTTGGGTTCATAGCAAACATTGACCTGTGATAATTAGTCATCCATTCAGATTCTGGAAAAAATAAAATTAAACATTCTGAACATGAAATTCAGTATTTTTGATGTCTTAAACCAGTTTTTATTTTTGTGTTGTTTCTGCTTTCAAACACATTCCCATCTAACAAGCCACTCTGTCTGCAGATCTCCCTTCAGATGATGTGGAAGAAGATCTAGAAAATGTGAAGAACCCTCTGGACGACGTTAAAGCTGGACTGTTGGACAGTTCAGGCCAGAAGCTCCCCCTGCAGGCTGTCCATGTAAAGTGCAAACTGATGGATCTTCTGTCCCAGGTTGGAAAGAGAAGCCCCTGGATCACCTTGGTGACACATTAATCCTGGTTCTGATTCAAGCTTTTTCCTCCGTCAGGTCATCATCTTCCAAAAATACACCAATCAGAGCTCAGTGCCCATCGAGGCGAAGTACGTCTTCCCACTGGACGACTCAGCTGCCGTGTGCGGATTTGAAGCTTTCATCAATGGGAAACACCTGGTGGGAGAGGTAATCTGAAGCGAAATACTTAGATAGATATTCTACAAAGCAAAATGCAACTTTATTAGAACTGGACAGCACTGACACAGTTCAACCCACCATGTCTGTATTTTATTTTTATTTTCAGAATCCAAAACAACAGGGAATAATTCAACCCTTTAAAAACAAGTCAAATAAAACATGTACAAACAAAAACCTAGAAAAAGGAAAAGTCAGAACATAATACAGCTACTTCATCATGCTGCGAATGGAGGGCTAAAAGGGACAAAATTAAATAAATAACTACGTCATTGACTTATTAATTACATGTACCAAATAAATATTTTACTAGTTTATTTAGAAGACAATTAGCTTATTAAATAATAAATAAATAATTCATGGTTCCTGTTTCATGTCTATCAAAATTTAGCAAATTATCATCTTGACGACATGGTAGATAATCTCATTTGTTTTATCATTTTAGGTAATAAAATTTTTATTTTCTTATTTAACACAGGAATTCAATTATTTGTTTGTTTGCATTTTTTTAAATTATAGTGCAAAAAGTGGTGAAATAAAAATTCTGCAGAATGTGTTTTCATTCTGCAGAAAGTTTCTACTGAGAGTTTTCACTCTACCCTTATTCTGAAAATTATTATTTTCAGAATTATTTATTATTTTAGTAATTGATTACTAAAATAATCATTACTTGCAGCAGTGATTGAAACCCACTCCACAAAAAACTTTTTTTTTTAATGAAATAATGAGAAGAACCACCAATGTGTGGCTAAAGTCCATGATCTGTACAAAATATGAACTTTTGGTTGGGACTCTTGATGGGATCATTGCCTCAATAATTGCATCAATGCTTGGTATAGTGGAGTTTCAATGGAAGCCAGGTTCTTTGTAATATGACTGTTCTGCTGTGCTTCTGTTCTCAGGTGAAGGAGAAGGAGGCGGCTCGTGAGGAGTATAGGGAGGCGATAAAGAAAGGCCACGGCGCATATCTCATGGACCAGAGCGCACCTGTATGTCCAGGAACATCCTGAAGGTTTCAGGAAAGTATTCCAGCATTTCTAATTTGTTCCTCTCTGCAGGATGTGTTCACCATCAGCGTGGGCAACCTGCCGCCTGGCGCCACTGTCCTCATTAAGGTGACCTTTGTGTCAGAGATGGTGGTCCAAAACAGGAGCATCCTATTCTCCCTGCCAGGCAGCGTGGCTCCATGGCAGAAGAGCTCTGCCCTCAATGAGAAAACACAGGTAGGGGAGGAGCCTGTACTGAGAGGCTAGGCTTATATTTACCCCTCAAACTCACTTGGAGTTTGAGGGGTTTAATTTTTATTTATGCAGTTAGAATGGTGCTCCTCAAACTTTTTCAGGCTACGGACCACTTAACCCATTTAACAGTTACATACCACCTAACCTAAAATAGCCCCATAATATCAACATCTTCATACATACAACCAGAAATGAAAACATTCATCTCTTAAATCTTGTTTTGTTGTCTTCTTTGGTGCTGCTCTGGCCACAACAAAACCATGAATAAGTTGGTTTGGGGTGTGTTTAGATATCTGCAGATTTTCAGGGTTTCCGCGCCACAGTAAAGGGTAATAAATTAAATGAGCTCAAATTAAGGCCAGTAAAAGGTAGTAAGAAGTAACTAAAAGTAGTAAAAAGTAGTACATTTTTCATCATCCCTTCAAAATATGTTTAATTTTCCATTTACCCTCACTTATTGTTTTAAGTTCGTTTTACTAAAATCTGTTTTATGAATTATAACTACTGTACTGGTAGGAACTGAACTGTCACTGACTGACTCCAAGCTGCTGTGCGCATGCGTAGTTTTGGAACCGCCTAACGTGTTGAGACTAGCTAATCATTTTGCACTTCGCCATAGGAAGATATAAGTTTTCACAACGTTAGCTCAATGATTTGAGAGTCAAAGACTGGGAATGACCGAAAGGCATTTTGTAAAGTATGCAGGAAAACATCCAAATTTGACCTGGAACGATGTGGTATGTCATATTTAATTTATTTAGTTTTTTTTTTGCTTGTTTTTTTTTTCTTTTGGGCATGAAAGTTCCAATGAGTAAACATTATATTTTCTGTTTGTGACTCGGCACTGAGCTAGCTGCTAACAACTTTACCACTCTGAGGACAACCAGGCTAGGCCATAAAAATAATATATCTTACCTTATACCTTATTTTCTAAGTAAGTGTCCAATAAAATATCTGAAAATACTCCAAACTGTGGCATTGCTTGTTTTCACACTGCCTGTTTTTAGCTGTACAGTCATGGCCAAAAGTTTTGAGAATGATTCAAATGTTAATATTTCCAAAGTCTACTGCTTCAGTTTTTATAATGGCAATTTGCATACACTCCAGAATGTTATAAAGAGTGATCAGCATAAAAGCAATTAATTGCAAAGTCAATATTTGCCTAGAAAATGAACTTTATCCCCCAAAACACATTTCAACTTCATTGCAGTCCTGCCTTAAAAGGACCAGCTAACATCGTTTCAGTGATTGCTCCATTAACACAGGTGTGGGTGGTGATGAGGACAGGGCTGGAGATTAATCTGTCATGATTAAGTAAGAATGACACCACTGGACACTTTAAAAAGAGGCTGGTGCTTGGCATCATTGTTTCTCTTCTGTGAACCATGGTTATCTCTAAAGAAACACATGCAGTCATCATTGCACTGCACAAAAATGGCCCAACAGGAAAGAGAATCGCAGCTAGTCAACAATCTATCGCATCATCAAGAACTTCAAGGAGAGAGGTTCCATTGTTGCCAAAAAGGCTCCAGGGCGCCCAAGAAAGACCAGCAAGCGCCAGGACTGTCTCTTAAAAGTGTTTCAGCTGCGGGATCGGTCTGCCAGCAGTGCAGAGCTTGCTCAGGAATGGCAGTAGGCAGGTGTGAGTGCATCTGCATGCACTGTGAGGCGGAGACTCTCGGAGCAAGGCCTGGTCTCAAGGAGGGCAGTAAAGGAGCCACTTTTCTCCAGGAAAAACATCAGAGACAGACTGATATTCTGCAAAAGGTACAGGGAGTGGACTGCTGAGGACTGAAGTAAAGTCATTTTCTCTGATGAATCCCCTTTCCGATTGTTTGGGACATCTGGAAAACGGTTTGTTCGGAGAAGACGAGGTGAGCGCTACCACCAGTCTTGTCTCATGCCAACTGTAAAGTATCCTGAAACCATTCATGTGTGGGGTTGCTTATCAGCCAAGGGAGTCGGCTCTCTCACTGTCTTACCTAAAAACACAGCCATGAATAAAGAATGGTACCAGAATGTCCTCCGAGAGCAACTTCTCCCAACCATCCAAGACCAGTTTGGTGATGAACAATGCCTTTTCCAGCATGATGGAACACCTTGCCATAAAGCAAAGCTGATATCTAACTGGCTCAGGGAACAAAACAGAGATTTTGGGTCCATGGCCTGGAAACTCCCCTGATCTTAATCCCATTGAAAACTTGTGGTCAATCATCAAGAGACGGGTGGACAAACGAAAACCTAGGAATTCTGACAAAATGCAAGCATTGATTGTGCAACAATGGACTGCTATTGTTGCACAATCAATTGAGAGAAGTTGATTGAGAGCATGTCAGGGAGAATTGCAGAGGTCCTGAAGAAGAGGGGTCAACACTGTAAATATTGACTTGCTGCATTAACTCATTCTAACTGTCAATTAAAGCTTTTGTTACTCATAATATGATTGCAATTGTATTTCTGTATGTGATGACATCTGACATACACACATGACAACCAGAGGGCAGCAGATTATGTGAAAATATAATATTTGTGTCATTCTCAATACTTTTGGCCATGACTGTCGATTGTTGACCCACTTTTCTCCTCTTTTTTCGGTAAGCTATTTAAAATTAACTCCCATGTGGCCAACTACCTTTGAAACACGAAAATAACGTATATCTTTTTCTATTAGAACGGTTGGAACAACTGTACAGGACACAGACTTTAGACATTTTGATGCTGGGATCAACAGAAATAAATGGACTGTATTTACTTCCTGCCCTCCATGTGCATTGGGTGACGTCGGTGCTACGTCATCTGAAACCCAGCAATTACAATCTTTTCATTTGGTCAATTTAGGAATTGTATATTAAAACCTTGATATTGTTAATAGAAGAATGTTTTATGTGCTCTCGAACACTACAGGGCTCTTTGAAGAAGGTTTGTGTGGCCAATGAAGCAGCAAGGTGAGAATGATTGAAATAAAATTTTTAACTCATGAAGTCACTGATATGTGCAGCAATTCATTAGTTTTCTTGTTGGTGCTTTTGGATTTGGATTTTTTAACCTTTAGCATTTGTGTTTGGTTAATTAAATATGTTGTTTCTTCTGTACTTCAGAGAGTTTATGTTGGACATGTCGGTGGAGATGCCCTTTGAGATCTCTCGCCTAATGTGCATCAGCCATGAAGTCAAAATTAAGGTGCTGTTTTCAATTAACACAGTCATATCATATGCATATTGTTACATAATCTGCAATTTAAAGTAAATCTTCATTGTCATCCAGTTTTTATTTTTGTGTAAATAATTTTGCTTGTATTTTGATGTCTAGAGGAAGGACTGTAAGGCGGTGGTCAGTGTTCTGCCAGATCAGGTCATGGGGTCAGATGGTTTCCAGATGTCTATCACTCTCTCTGAGGTTCATCTTCCCAGAATGTGGGTGGAGAAACACCCCGACAAGGAGAGCCAGGTCTGTTTGTCCTTCTCTCTTCCACACCAATCTGTTTTCAGAGAGTCCCAGTACTGAACCCTGAGGCACACCACACTAAGTGAATTAACCGTCTACTCTGCTGCAGGCCTGCATGCTGGTTTTCTACCCAAAGTTTGAGATTGACTCCAACTCTGACGGCAGTGAAGTTGTTCTTTTGCTGGACACATCTGAGTCCATGAAGGGGGAATCGTTCCAGCTGGCCCAGAAAATTGCCTTGCAGGTTTTAACGAATCTGAAGGATGACGTCAAAATCAACATTGTTTTGTTTGGAACAGGTCGGTTGGTATAAAAGCATAGAACTGGTTAGAACAGAACTCTGACTCATTGTTTAATTTTGGGACTGGATATTATTTAAACTATCTATACCAAAATGTGATACAGTTGTATGTTTCCGAGACTTTTCTGTCTGCTGTTTCTAGGAACGCACATTTCACTTCCAGTACATCTTACGTTCATTGAACATGGAGTTTACTTTCCAACAACTTGCATTGTACTTTTCTTGAACTTTCTTGAACGTATCTGGATGGAAATTCATGAAACCTTCAACATACAAAGTGTACTTTCTAAAAGTTTCCTGTAAATTATTTACAAGTTGTAAAAAAGACTGTTTTTTCCTGGAGATACTCCTTTAAGTTACTGAAAATGACTCCATAGGAAAGTACAGACTGATAGATATTCTGAAACATCTTCATTCTCTTCAGTTATTTTCTACATCAGATTTTCCATGTCTTAAGTTAAAACATGTTGCTTAAACTTTTACACTCTATCTATTGAAGTAAATTCTGAAGCATATAAGAGAAACACACCTGATCACCTCCATGCTTTGTTTTCTCTTGACTTGTCTTGTTTTTGGTTTTCAGATTACAAAGAAGCTTTCTTGACGGCACAGAAACTAGACGAAGTTCAAGATGAAGCCAAGAAGTTCATCAAGGTGAGTTCAGACTGAACGAGAGGGGGGAGAAGACATGCAGAAAAGGTAATCGGGCCGGGACTTGAACCCGTGACAGCCGTGTTGAGGAGTGAAGCCTCTGTACATGAGTCAACGCTCCACCCACTGCGTCACTGCTGCACTCAAGTTTAAATTCTTTAACAGTTTTTAATTGAAGAAAATGTTTAAAATTATAAAAATGTGGTGCTTTAATGCTCAAATTTAGCTTATAAGCTAAAATTGAAAACAGATGCTTATATGAATTCCATAAAAATCAAAATCTTGTACATTGTATCAGACTGAACTATTTATATTAATCATAAGAAATCCTTTAATCTCCATGGCAATCATTCAAGAGGTGCAAAATGTGTGAACGGACCTAGCTACGCTTTCAAGGCACAGCTCTTTGCAGTTTCCCAGCTTCTGAGCTTCACTCTCTCTGAGCTTCATTCTCACAGAGCATCCCTCCCTTGTGTCGCCCCCATTTTTAGCTCCTTCAGACTAGTCAGCAGCAATTAGCAAACTGGTGGAACTGCACATCTGCTGAGCTCATTATGTGAGCTACTTCTTAGTGCAACGCTGGTAAAAGCGTTGTGAAAGGGTTAATATAAGAGTGATGTTATGATGACTTCCTGAAGGTGGAGTTTCAGAAAAAAGTTAGTTTAAAGAGACAGAGGCCCAATTTTAAGGTGTCAAATCAGAACATAAAATTTATTTTAAATTATATTCAATATACACATATTTATAAAGTCGTTCATCTTTAATATATTTCTAATTTTTCATAATAATGACTGAAGTGGCTAAATTAAAAATCTGCAAAATGTTCCCCATTCTTTTTATCTGATTAATTTATTAGTCACCAAAGTAACTGATTGAATAATTGGTTACTAAAATAATAATTAGTTGCAGCCCTACTTGGAATTAAAATCTATTTCCAAACTTTATTCTGTTCTGTCTGCTGTTAGAGCTGCTCTTCAGTAGGGGGCAGCACTGAGCTGTGGCGGCCTCTCCGGGCGCTCAGCCTGCTGCCGCCGTCCACCGGCGTGCGAAACCTGCTACTGCTGTCGGATGGCCACATCCAGAACGCGGCGGCCACGCTGCAGCTGGTCAAAGACAACGTCCAGCACAGTCGCCTCTTCACCTGCGGCTTCAGGTGAGGAAGGGCTTCATCCCTCTCTTCCTTTTCATTTTTAGTTCCTCTTCAAAGCAGGTGAAGCGACTGTTTGTCATTTCAGCTCCACAGCCAATCGCCACATGTTGAGAGTCCTGGCTAAGCAAGGGGGCGGAGCTTATGAGTTTTTCGGCGCTAAATTGAAGCACACATGGGCTGAGAAGGTGAGACTTTCTAATTCACATGACAAACTCACATTCCTGCCGAAGCTTTTGAATCTATATCCTTAAAAGTCTTAAATTCATATATGTAAAATTAAGGATTGAAAATGTCTTCTATTCATTTAAAATAAGTTGGTCTTTAACATGTTAATGACAGGTCTTAGATTTTGTCTCGATAAACTATTTAATCAGATTTTCTATGCATTCCCTTCTTCCTCCCCCTCACGGGACTTTTAGTCTGACTCACACATCTACATTGCGTGTGTTTACCACTAGCATAGCTTTGTTTGCCAGCTCACTGCTTAGTTAGGTTTTCGGCTTCTATAATGGGTAAATGCAAATTTATCGCTGTTTGGCTGGACGAAGATACAGGAACAAAATTTCATTTAATTAAATTTCATTCATAAAGTCTTAAATTGGAGGTAGTGAAATCTGCAGAAACCTTGTTTTCTTGGGCCTTTAGGCTCCAGGCAACAAATTACATCAGTGTTTTGAGGTCTTTTGCAATTCTGCAACAATCAGCAGATTCCTGCACGTTTTTTCACACTAATGCATAATTGTGACTTTATTGAAAATGTTCCACAACAGTGACCAAAAATATTGGGTTTGATGCTAAACTCCCCCTATATGTGGCAGTATTTCTTATTTTTAGGACAGTCTTGCCACAAGCTTACTGAGGTCAAATTATAGTTCCTGAGTGATTAATAGTTACATTAACGACATACAAAAGCACAAATTTTCCAAAATTCCTTGTAACTATTTCTAAATTAGCACCATTAGCACCAATATTTTAGCAGTTTACTGAAACTGTTAAACAAACTGAATGTGCACAGAATGTGCCTAAACTCATTAAAGCAGGTGTCAGATGAGTTTGACATCCCTGGTCTAATTCATCCGTAGAATTGTTGACTTGCTTCATTTTACAAGGTGAACATTCATCATGAAGATTAATTTGAGTATTTATCAGTTGAACTGAAGACGTTCTGATACCTGAACACCTGGCTGCAGGTGAAGCGCCAGGTGAAGTGCATGTCGTCTCCCGGCTGCAGCTCCGTCTCTGTGAAGTGGCAGCAGTCCAACCCCAAAGCTCCTCCGGTTCAAGCCCCGAAGCAGCTGAACTCTCTGTTCAACGACTGCCACACGCTGGTTTACGGCTTCGTGCCCCACTGCACTCAGGTATTCAACTGGTTCTTTTTCTCTGCTTTATCTACTGATTATACTTCTGTCTATTTTTATGTGTCTTGACTGTTTGTTGACAGTTGACTGACCTTTAGAAAAGCCTCAAGCAAAGCTGTACTTGTATTACTTACTGTATATTACATGGCCGCTCTGTGTATGTCTTTTTTTAATTATTATTTTTTTAGATTAGCCGATTGATACTTGATTAGCAAACAGTGCTTAAAAGGAGTTTTGTTTTTAAACCAAATTTGAACCAGGTGAAGCTAAAACTGCCACTTAAGGAGCTTAGAAGATATTTGCAGAAAAGTTTTTTCATCTTAAATGTGTTTATTTTATTGTCCAGGTTTAGCTTAGTTACTGCTCTAAATGTGTTCTTTCAGAAAATTGCCTTTTTTACACTCTCAATACTCCAGTTAACAATTAATTGATTAGGAAATTAGTTGACAGTTATTTCAATAATTGATTCATCACGATTAATCAGATTAATCTTTTCAGTGCCAGATGTGAGGGATGGAAAAATTCAGACTTCTTTATTTTTTCCAACTTCAGTCAGATTTGTGGTTTTTCATGCAGGCGACTCTTCTTGGAGATTTGTGTGGTCAGGAGCTTCAGACCATGGTGTCAACAACAGAGCTGCAGAAGACCAGAGGAACAGTGAGGCTCTGTTTATTATCTATATCAACACATTGAAATATGAAAAACTATCAACCTCAGCTATTGATTTGTTGTTTTAGTTTCTTCATAAGCTCACAGCAAGAGCCCTGATCAGAGACTACGAGGATGGAAACCTTGATATCACCGAAGCTGAACACGAGGTCAGCATGGTGTCACCTTTGACCTCAGATCACAGCTAAAATTGGTTGAAACTCCTGTTTTTGTGTTTTCAGGGTAAAAAAGCAGAGTTGAAGTCCTTCATCATCGATCTGAGCAAAGAGTTCTCCATACTGTCTCAGTTCACCAGCTTCGTGGCCATTGAAGAGAGGGGGTTGTTTTTCATCCCATGTTCAGAGTTGTTTTTGAATCAAACCAAAGTAATTTTTCCTGTTTTAGGATTCTAAGAAGGCAGACGATGGCGTCACAGACATCCCAAAGCTGATCGCAGAGGAGGATGTGGACTTCTTGCCATACATCAGCTGGAGTCTTCCTGAGGACAAAGTGAAAATATTTCTGTTACAATTTTTAGGGATTCAATCCTGGCGATGCCACACTGAGACAGGCACATTAATCCACATGCTATGGATTTACTCTGAAATTCAAGATTTCTTGTATGCAATTTATATATCAACTCAATTACACAAAAAGAAATTGTGTAGAAATGGTACAAACAGGCTAATTGTAGGTTAACTACAGGATATTTATGGATGAGGTTTTCTAGGGAATCTTAAAAGGTTAACGAACATAGTACATGTTTAGTACTTAAATCATTTCCACAGCACTACATATGATATCAATGGTATCATTATGACACAGTTTCTCTATGTGGCAATATTAATATTTTTTTTTCAATAAAATTTAAAATTTACAGCTGGAAGAAATGGATTGTAATGTTTGGTATTTCACTTGAATAGTTATTACAATTAAAAAAATGTTAAACAACACAAGTGATTAAATGCTGATCATACCTTTCTAATTAATTTTGCTGCTTGTTTCTTTTACAGACGTCTGAAGAGAGCGATGAAGAAGTACGAATATACACACATAAATCTAGTATTTGTATCATGGTTCATAAGTTACTATAGATCATTATTTTCATTCCCTTAAAGGCGCATTCAGCAAACCAAACAGATGTTTACACTATATCTGTAGTTTACTTGTGACATACTCTCAGAATACCTAATATCTTCGGAGCATCTGGGTTTACCTCAGATTTTGTACATGGAATAAACTATGATAAAAATATTGAAGCTTGAATGCTATGTTTGTCTGTTACAGATTTGTTTTGGGAGTTCTCTGATTACTGAAGAGGTAAGGAGGACAGATTTTCAAATGTTGTGTTTAGACATTTCTTTATAGTTTGTTACCTTAGACCAGGGGTCACCAACCCGGTGCCCGCAGGGACCTTGTCAGTCGCCGCGGAGCCACTTCTAAAAATAGCCATTATCATTAGGGAGCACTACCAAAAAAAAAATTAAATGTTTTTACATTGAAGTAATGACATTTATTTACATTTGTATTTCAAAGGACGGAAATGATAAAAACGTTTAAAATAAGTCGCTTTACGTATAAACTCTTTCCTGCTGTTAAACTTCAGAACTGCGCAGGCGCCTGCAGCTGCACTCTGCGTACCTTGACATTTTCCTTTAAGTAAAGAAAGAAAAGAATAACTTCTGGAATTTTATTATTTAACCCTATTTACTATTAACAAAATTGTGAAGAAAAACTAAATAAATTGTGCCAAACATCTTATTCGTAGCGCACATCTGGGAATCAACCACCGTCCTCTTTCCGTGAACCACATGGGGAGGCTTCGCTTCCACGTCTTTATTATTTAGCATCGTCTGGAAAAAAGTCTGCTGCTCTTGGTTTAGGCTTGTGCTGATTTTTGCGCATTGGAGAAGTGTTTGTGCTCTTGCAGCTCAGGTGCAGTGATAGTTTTGTGTCAGACCTTTATTTTTTTCCACATCTGCTAGTGTCAGCCCTGGTGACCCGTCAGCTGTTCGGTTCGCGAAACCATAAAAAAAGCGAATAAACCGGCAACCCGCCAGAACCGCGCAGACTAAGAAGCTCTCGGGATCTTAGAACAACGGGAGGTTCAAACCCAACTCATTCATTTTTAGCTTACAGAAAAACGCAAAGCCGTGAAATAAATAAAAGCAAACTGATCAATTAGACTGAGGCTTTGTTGTTCCCCACCTCACGCATCAGACTGACAGCTGTGTGTGTATAATATGTTTTGACACAAAATATATTTTATTTTACACAATATTGCTAATAGAACAGATGGTTAGATAATAAAACAATAACTATTCTTTTCTTTTTTATTTAAAGGAAAATTTCAAGGTACTCAGTGCTGTACAGCTGCAGGTGTTACTGCAACAATCCATCAGTTTTCTTTGGTTTATTTAAGTCACTTGTGGCCAGTTTAGAATCACAGAGAAACTCCAAAAAGGAATCAAACTTAAAACTCTGTGAGCTAAAAACTTCTGATCACATAATAGCAATTAACCATATGGTAAATTATTTCTGATAACTATTGTGAGTAGTCCTAACATTAATATGATCAGACAGTATTATCGTGTGTATATATATATATATATATATATATATATATATATATATATATATATATATATATATATATATATACTTATAAAGACTGTATCAAACAAGTAGCCCTTCGTGTTGCTCTGTACCCGTGAAGTAGCTCCCAGTCTCAAAAAGGTTGGTGACCCCTGCCTTAGACCATTATTTCTCATTCCCTCAAAGGCACATTCAGTGAACCAACAGATGTTTACACTTTATCTGTGGTTTACTTGTGACATAATCTCAGAATACCTACAGTATCTTTAGATCTTTTGGGTTTATCTCAGATTTTGTTACGTTGAAGAAAGTATGATAAAAACACTGAAACCTCAATGCTATGTCTGTTACAGACGTTGGATGACTTACCCGTTGCCACTAAAGAGGTAAGAAGGACAGATTTTCAATCTCTGTTGTTTTTTAGCTACTTTACAGTTTGTTACTTTAGGCTGTTATTTCTCAGTGAGGAGGCTTGCTGGTCTCTGCAGAACTGGAATGCACTTAGGAGGCGATTCAGTTATTTGATTAAAGTGTGTTGGATCAGGGAGACATGTAAGAGTTGCAGGACTCTGGCCCTTGAGGACTGGGATTGCTCAGCCCTGCTCTAGAAGTACCTGTGTAGAAATGGTACAAACAGGCTAATTGTAGGTTAACTACAGGATATTTATGGATGAGGTTTTCTAGGGAATCTTAAAAGGTTAACGAACATAGTACATGTTTAGTACTTAAATCATTTCCACAGCACTACATACATGATATCAATGGTATCATTATGACACAGTTCCTCTATGTGGTAATATCAATATTTTTTTTTCAATAAAATTTAAGATTTACAGCTGGAAGTAACAGATTGTAATGTTTGGTATTTTACTTGAACAGTTATTACAATTAAAAAAATGTTAAACAACACAAGTGATTAAATGCTGATCATACCTTTCTAATTAATTTTCTTGCTTTCTGCTTGTTTCTTTTACAGACGTCTGAAGAGAGCGATGAAGAAGTACGAATATACACACATAAATCTAGTATTTGTATCATATGGTTCATAAGTTACTATAGATCATTATTTTTCATTCCCTTAAAGGCACATTCAGCAAATCAACAGATGTTTACACTTTATCTGTAGTTTACTTGTGACATACTCTCAGAATACCTACATATCTTCGGAGCTTCTGGGTTTACCTCAGATTTTGTTACATGGAATAAACTATGATAAAAATATTGAAGCTTGAATGCTATGTTTGTCTGTTACAGATTTGTTTTGGGAGTTCTCTGATTACTGAAGAGGTAAGGAGGACAGATTTTCAATATGTTGTGTTTTAGACATTTCTTTATAGTTTGTTACCTTAGACCAGGGGTCACCAACCCGGTGCCCGCAGGGACCTTGTCAGTCGCCGCGGAGCCACTTCTAAAAATAGCCATTATCATTAGGGAGCACTACCAAAAAAAAAAAATTAAATGTTTTTACATTGAAGTAATGACGTTTATTTACATTTGTAGTTCAAAGGACGGAAATGATAAAAACGTTTAAAATAAGTCGCTTTACGTATAAAACTCTTTCCTGCTGTTAAAGTTCAGAACTGCGCAGGCGCCTGCAGCTGCACTCTGCGTACCTTGACATTTTCCTTTAAGTAAAGAAAGAAAAGAATAACTTCTGGAATTTTTATTATTTAACCCTATTTACTATTAACAAAATTGTGAAGAAAAATTAAATAAATTGTGCCAAAACATCTTATTCGTAGCGCAAATCTGGGAATCAACACCGTCCTCTTTCCGTGAACCACATGGGGAGGCTTCGCTTCCACGTCTTTATTATTTAGCATCGTCTGGAAAAAAAAGTCTGCTGCTCTTGGTTTAAGCTTGTGCTGATTTTTGCGCATTGGAGAAGTGTTTGTGCTCTTGCAGCTCAGGTGCAGTGATAGTTTTGTGTCAGACCTTATTTTTTTCCACATCTGCTAGTGTCAGCCAGCTGGTGACCCGTCAGCTATTCGGTTCGCGAAACCATAAAAAAAGCGAATAAACCGGCAACCCGCCAGAACCGCGCAGACTAAGAAGCTCTAGGGATCTTAGAACAACGGGAGGTTCAAACCCAACTCGTTCATTTTTAGCTTACTGAAAAAACGCAAAGCTGTGTAATAAATAAAAGCAAACTGAGCAATTAGACTGAGGCTTCGGCGTTCCCCACCTCACGCATCAGACTGACAACTGTGTGTGTATAATATCTTTTGACACAAAAGATATTTTATTTTACACAATATTGCTAATAGAACAGATGGTTAGATAATAAAACAATAACTCTTCTTTTCTTTTTTTATTTAAAGGAAAATTTCAAGGTACTCAGTGCTGTACAGCTGCAGGTGTTACTGCAACAATCCATCAGTTTTCTTTGGTTATTTAAGTCACTTGTGGCCAGTTTAGAATCACAGAGAAACTCCAAAAAGGAATCAAACTTAAAACTCTGTGAGCTAAAAACGTCTGATCACATAATAGCAATTAACCACATGGTAAATTATTTCTGATAACTATTGTGAGTAGTCCTGACATTAATATGATCAGACAGTATTATCGTGTGTGCGTGTGTGTGTATATATATATATATATATATATATATATATATATATATATATATATATATATATATATATATATATATATATATATAAAGACTGTATCAAACAAGTAGCCCTTCGTGTTGCTCTGTACCCGTGAAGTAGCTCCCAGTCTCAAAAAGGTTGGTGACCCCTGCCTTAGACCATTATTTCTCATTCCTCAAAGGCACATTCAGTGAACCAACAGATGTTTACACTTTATCTGTGGTTTACTTGTGACATAATCTCAGAATACCTACAGTATTTTTAGATCTTTTGGGTTTATCTCAGATTTTGTTACGTAGAAGAAAGTATGATAAAAACACTGAAAACTCAATGCTATGTCTGTTACAGACGTTGGATGACTTACCCGTTGCCACTAAAGAGGTAAGAAGGACAGATTTCAATCTCTGTTGTTTTTTAGCTACTTTACAGTTTGTTACTTTAGGCTGTTATTTCTCAGTGAGGAGGCTTGCTGGTCTCTGCAGAACTGGAATGCACTTAGGAGGCGATTCAGTTATTTGATTAAAGTGTGTTGGATCAGGGAGACATGTAAGAGTTGCAGGACTCTGGCCCTTGAGGACTGGGATTGCTCAGCCTGCTCTAGAAGTACCTGTGTAGAAATGGTACAAACAGGCTAATTGTAGGTTAACTACAGGATATTTATGGATGAGGTTTTCTAGGGAATCTTAAAAGGTCAACGAACAGAGTACATGCTTAGTACTTAAATCATTTCCACAGCACTACATACATGATATCAATGGTATCATTATGACACAGTTCCTCTATGTGGTAATATCAATATTTTTTTTTCAATAAAATTTAAGATTTACAGCTGGAAGTAACAGATTGTAATGTTTGGTATTTTACTTGAACAGTTATTACAATTAAAAAAATGTTAAACAACACAAGTGATTAAATGCTGATCATACCTTTCTAATTAATTTTCTTGCTTTCTGCTTGTTTCTTTTACAGACGTCTGAAGAGAGCGATGAAGAAGTACGAATATACACACATAATCTAGTATTTGTGTCATATGGTTCATAAGTTACTATAGATCGTTATTTTTCATTCCCTTAAAGGCGCATTCAGCAAACCAAACAGATGTTTACACTATATCTGTAGTTTACTTGTGACATACTCTCAGAATACCTACATATCTTCGGAGCTTCTGGGTTTACCTCAGATTTGTTACATGGAATAAACTATGATAAAAATATTGAAGCTTGAATGCTATGTTTGTCTGTTACAGATTTGTTTTGGGAGTTCTCTGATTACTGAAGAGGTAAGGAGGACAGATTTTCAATATGTTGTGTTTTAGACATTTCTTTATAGTTTGTTACCTTAGACCAGGGGTCACCAACCGGTGCCCGCAGGGACCTTGTCAGTCGCCGCGGAGCCACTTCTAAAAATAGCCATTATCATTAGGGAGCACTACCAAAAAAAAAAAATTAAATGTTTTTACATTGAAGTAATGACGTTTATTTACATTTGTAGTTCAAAGGACGGAAATGATAAAAACGTTTAAAATAAGTCGCTTTAAGTGTAAAACTCTTTCCTGCTGTTAAAGTTCAGAACTGCGCAGGCGCCTGCAGCTGCACTCTGCGTACCTTGACATTTTCCTTTAAGTAAAGAAAGAAAAGAATAACTTCTGGAATTTTTATTATTTAACCCTATTTACTATTAACAAAATTGTGAAGAAAAATTAAATAAATTGTGCCAAAACATCTTATTCGTAGCTCACATCTGGGAATCAACACCGTCCTCTTTCCGTGAACCACATGGGGAGGCTTCGCTTCCACGTCTTTATTATTTAGCATCGTCTGGAAAAAAGTCCGCTGCTCTTGGTTTAGGCTTGTGCTGATTTTTGCGCATTGGAGAAGTGTTTGTGCTCTTGCAGCTCAGGTGCAGTGATTTGTGTCAAACCTTTATTTTTCCACATCTGCTGGTGTCAGCCAGCTGGTGACCCGTCAGCTGTTCGGTTCGCGAAACCACGAAAAAAGCGAATAAACCGGCGACCCGCCAGAACAGATCTTTTGGGTTTATCTCAGATTTTGTTACGTTGAAGAAAGTATGATAAAAACACTGAAACCTCAATGCTATGTCTGTTACAGACGTTGGATGACTTACCCGTTGCCACTAAAGAGGTAAGAAGGACAGATTTTCAATCTCTGTTGTTTTTAGCTACTTTACAGTTTGTTACTTTAGGCTGTTATTTCTCAGTGAGGAGGCTTGCTGGTCTCTGCAGAACTGGAATGCACTTAGGAGGCGATTCAGTTATTCAGTGAACCAAACAGATGTTTACACTTTATCTGTTGTTTACTTATGACATACTCTCAGAATACCTAGTATCTTTGGAGCTTCTGGGTTTACCTCAGATTCTGTTACATAGAAGAAACTATGATAAAAATACGGAAGCTTGCTTGTATGTTACAGTTGGTTCGACTTCCTGAACAGGTAAGAAGGACTGATTTTCAATGTCTGTTTTTGTTGTTTTGTTGTTTGTTTTAGCTACTTCTTCACAGTTTATTTTAGATAATTATTTTTCATTCCCTTAAAGGTGCATTCAGCAAACCAACAGATGTTTACACTTTATATGTGTTTTATTTGTGACATTCTCTCAGAATACCTAGTGTCTGGATCTTTTGGGTTAATTTCAGATTTTGTTACATAGAAGAAACTATGATAAAAATACTGAAGCTTGAATGCTATGTTTGTCTGTTACAGATGATGTGTTGTCGCATGAGTGAAGAGGTAAGGAGGACAGATTTTCAATCTCTGTTTTTTAGCTACTCTTTCTTGTGGTTCTGATGTTACAAACTTTGAATTTGTTTCCCTCTGAGATTATAAAACTCATCATCGTTTTTTGAATACTTTTGAATATTTTCTGGTAACTGTTCATTTTGTGCTTTAAATAAGATGGACACTGTTTGTAAATTAACCAAATCAGAAAGTTTTAATAATTTAGTTTATAAATAATGGATTTTTGTGATCCAGGTAGCCACCTTTATTAATAACCTTAACCCTAAACTAATGAACAGTATACAATATGTAGTGCTTTCTGTTCAACACATTCCTTGGAATTATTCAAGATTCAATTATTCAATACTGTTTGATATTTTCTTTAGGATATATTGAATATGTGGTTTCCGATTAACCTTTTCATCAATTACCACTCCAAGCAATTTGTTTTCATGAACGCTTTCTATATTTACCTCCATAATGTCTTTTTTTGTTTCAGAACTTGGTTTGCAATTCCCAAATAACATTATTTTAGTTTTAAACAAATTTAGCGTCAACTTGTTATAATCAAACCACTTCTTCAGTGTGTTTATTTCTTTGCTTACATTATTTAGAAGTTCCTCTATATCATATATATATATCACCCGCCGTGGGTGAGAAGGGAATTTTTATATATATATATATATATATATATTTGTGTCATCTGCAAATAATATACCTCATATGAGGTTATACAGTATATAGTATATATAATTTCTGTACATGATAAAAAAAGACTTTGGGGGCGTGCTGTGGTGGCGCATGGGGTTAACACGCCCCACATTTGGAGTCCTTGACGCGGACGTCGTGGGTTCGACTCCCAGTCCCAGCAACCTTTGCCGCATGTCTTCCCCCTTCTCGCCCTCTTTTCTATCTTCCTACTGTCAAAATACGACCCACTAGCGCCACAAAAACTCTTCGGAGAAAAAAAAGAAAAAAAAAACTTTGGGCCAGGCATTGATCAATTGATCATTGGGATTCACCACAAGCAATGTGGAGCTGATTTCTCCGAACTGTACATATTGTTTTCTATCTCTATAACAGCTTTTTACCCAATTGAACACGTTCCACCTAACTCCATAGCTTTCTAAAAAATTTTTTAGTAAATCATGATTTATTGTGTCAAACGCTTTTTTTAAATCAAGGAACAATCCAGCAGCAATCATTTTATTTTTGTATTTATTTATTTGAATAAAACACTGCTCCATAGAGCAAAATTATTGGTACTGAGGCGCATTCAGGAAACCAACAGATGTTTACACTTTATCTGTGGTTTACTTGTGACATACTCGCAGAATACCTCTCAGACTGTTTGCTGTTATAAAAAGAAGATTGGGGTGCAGCAACTGCAGATCTGATTTTGGCGTGTTCTCAGGGCCGCCCCAAGGCAAGGCAAACCAAGCAGTCGCTTAGGGCCCCAGAGCCACGAAGGGGTCCCCTCAGTGGAGCTGTTTTTTTTTTCACTTCTGTCATTATATTATCAAAAACACACAATTTCACTATGAACTGATTTGTTTTTACAATTATATATTTAATAATGTAGTAAAAATTGTTATTTTATTGATAAAAAGAAAATATAAATTGCTCTTGGGTGCCCCTTGTGGCCGCAGTAGGTACTGCACGTTACGCCGGTAACGAGCTGCTGTGCAGAGCATCCAAAGCTCCAGTCAGAAGTTAAGTAAGCAAAACAATGTCTCAAAAAGGACTTATCCTTCAGGGAGGGAGAAAAGAGAGAGGGAGAATAGAAAACAGGCAATGTGCCTTTTATGTAATGTGCCTTGGTAATGTAATGTAAAAGATTTGTAAAGCTGATACTAGAAAATTGTCTTGATAGTGACCTGTAACAGTCCAGTTCAACAGCCAAACATTTATGCTAGCATCTTTGTTTGAAACTGAGCTTTAACTTTAAATGAATTGATTCTCATGGTTGGCCCTGTGTATTTCTGAGGTATTTTTGCCTTCAAAACATTTGATAACAATAATTAAAACTTATCAATATTTGACATTTTCAAAATGTTTTTATGTCAGGCTGCTTAGCTGCTACTTCGATAAGCTGCTTTATGCTGTAGTTGGGGAATATGTTGTTTGCTGCTGAGCAAAATCATTTTGTGGCTAAAAAAAAACAAATTTTAACATCAACTTGGAAGTTATGTAAAACTCCTGTTTAAATCTTTAGAAGGTTCATAATCAGTCCATTACCGGTACCGGTCCATCCAGGAACTAGAATGTAATGTTTCTATTTTACAGAGATGGGCTTAGATTTCTCTGATGGTCTTGTTCCTTGTTAGCTTCTCCTGAGCTAACAAGGAATTTCCATCTCTGTTGTTATTTTTGTGACTTCTTTACAGTTTCAGTTAGGCCCTGATTTCTAAGTCATTAAAGGGCACATACACAGTCTTTTTGGGTTTTTGTTGTTTATCTTTGGTTTTGTTTGTTTTTTTTCACATAGAAGGAATGACTGATAAAAATACTGGGACTTGAATGTTATGTTTGTCTTTTTCAGATGGAGACTAATCTAGTGCCAAAGTTAAGAGAGCTGGCTGATCCATTCTCCATTAAACACCAATCAGCAACTGCCTTTTTGGATCTGTTAGTATCTTGTGTCCTCCCACCTTTTCTCTGGTATCTTAATTTACTTGGGAATTTCTTTTCAGCTCCACCATCTCCAGTGTGCAGTGGAGCTCTGCAACCTCTCATTTCTGTTAAGTGCAAATCCTTTCGAGATTGTAAATTCAGTCCAAAACTAATGGTTGGTCATTTGATTGGCTCAGCGACACCATCCATCCTTTCAGTTCTCAAACACACAAACCTGAATGAATGAATGAATGAATATTCTTTATTAATCCCCGAAGGAACTTCAAACCATTCTAGCTGTATTAGTTGGAATTGAGTCTTTTGTGTGATGTTGGTCCAGAGATCCAGACCCAGAAGAACTGAAGCTGAAGTGGACAAAGATCTTCCAGCTGCAGCAGGCGGTAAGTTGTTTTTGCTCCGTTCTTTAAATCGGTCATGAGTCATTAAAAAAGATCTCCATCTATATTTTCTGTTTTATTATGGGATAAAAAAAACTTCTGCTCTTATGGTCAAATTGCTTCCTAAAAACTTGATCTCATCTCAACAACATTGCATGTTGTTATTTAATATAAATCCAGTCTAAAATGTGATGAAAAATGCATTCTGTTTAATCTGCTTTAATTCAACTCCAGTTCGTTTGTCTAGAAAGTCCCAAAAAATTAACTCTGGTCTACCCAAAGAACTAGGACTCGGTTTGAGAACTCTGGTGCAATTTTAATGCATATATGAACGCCAAGTGGACCAGAGACAGCTCTGAAAGCAAGTCTCTGGTTTTGGAAAAACCACAGAGCGCTCTAGGTAAATACAACCAAAATAAATGTGTGTTTAGTGCTAACAGGAGAAATGGCTTGTGGTCTTTTGCCAGCGCCAAAAGTGAAATCCGACAACCATTAAAATGTGTTTTTGTATCGTTTTCTTCAGCATTTCTTGATGTTGAACCTCCATCGTGAAGAGCAGAACAGGTTTTTCAATTAGTTTGTGTCATTTGATAAAGTATGAAGGTTAACATCCACCAGCTGAAAATGTAAGAAATGTTGCTATTTTGGTTCCCAGACTATCATCCTAAAAGTCCATCCCATATCCCATCAATAACTCAGCAGCTCCTCTCTTCTTCCTAATACCATTTCAACTCAAAGGTTTATGTTTCTGCACTTCTGTCTTTAGATACCTTGACATTATTTCAATCAGGTTGCAGTCCAGACTGCAGCACCTTGATCTCTGTAACTTTGAAGTCATTCTGATGTAAATTTGCTTCTGGACCAATTCTAGAGTCAGGTAGTTGTTGCCATGTGCTGCTTGGTTTACAACCATCCTCCTCTGCTCTGGTCTCATCTGTCCAGACGTTGTTATTGCAGAAGTCTTTGTTGTTTTAAAAGACCAGAAGTTTCTTCAAATTTTCCAAACAAACCAAAATTTTTCTATCTCGTTATTAATGTACAACATCCTGAAGGGTCTGCAGTGGGACACTTATTGACCTGAAAAAGGTGTTGGATAAAAATCATAATATACTACTACATAAAGTTATCTTGATCAGAGATGGCAATTTGTACAAATTGATCAGTCTGAATATGCTTCAATATTACCTGTGGTGTCCTGCAACACTTAATGCTCAATTATTATGTATGTTAATAACATATGTTCTGCTTTTGTCACAGCTGCACTTTTCTCTCGATTTTATTGAGCAAAAATATTTAGTTTCAACCTTTCTGAGTTCTAACTCGTGTTAATCTTCTGTGTGCTGCAGGATGGATACTGGGAGTTAACTGTTGAACTGGGAAAACTGATCAATGTCAACGTGGATGTGTTTGCTAACGTGTTCCTGAAAAACAAAGGCATTCATTCTCTGGGTGAGCGTTCCCCTTACGCTCTGTGTGGAAGAGTGTTAAACTGTTCACTGATCTCATTTATTTATTTACTATTTATCTCCTCGAAACAGATTAAAATAAACTGGTGGTTTTAAATCTCAGTCATCCACATTTGGTTTACTCCAGTGTTATAACTGAACCGTGTGGATGTTTATATTACAGGTTCTAAGGTCAACGAAGGCATCCGGAGGCTGGTGGCGACTCTGTTGGTTCTGCAGCTGATGAGGGAGGAGAAGCTGGAGGAAGGAAAAACTGCTGCAGAGTCTGTTTGACCTGAAGGAGCCGACTGGGTCCAGGTCTGAACCGCAACAGAACACATAGACACCTGAGGAGAACCCGGTCACACAGACAGGAACTCACATGGAATTTAATTCAGTTGGTCAGAAAAGTGATTTTTTTAAATGACTAATCTGAACCATCCCAGTAGTGCAGAACTCTTAGCTTAGCAGAACATGAATGAAAACGGTCTGGACCAAACCAGAACCAGACCTGGTAAATTGCTTCTGTAGACCCAGAAATCCATCTGTAAGGAGCATCAGGAACATTGATCTAAACTAGAACACCATCGGAGTAACATGAACACCAGACACTCAAGCAAGTTCTGGAACATGTTGCAGGGTTTCCCCGCCCTCGGTGCCCCCCCGGAGGGCGAGGCGCCAAGGCGGTCCAATAGTGACCCACTGTGTTTTTGGTTTAAAAGATATTAGGTTGACAAAAAAGTTAATTATCACTGGATAATCGCACCTTACTGGAAGGCATTGCTGACGTACTTAAACCCAAAATTAGACTTAAAAACAAAGAAAAAAACACAATTAAAATACAGTACAGATCAAAAGTTTGGACACACCTTTTCATTCAATGAGTTTCCTTTATTTTCATGACTATTGACATTGTAGATTCACCTTGAAGGCATCAAACTATGAATTAACATGTGGAAATATGTATCAAAACGAAAAAGTGTAAAACAACTGAAAATATGCCTTATATTGTAGTTTCTTCAAAGTAGCAACCTTTTGCTGTGATCAGTGCTGTGCACACACTCTGCATTCTCTTGATGAGCTTCAAGAGGTCGTCACCTGAAAAGGTTTTCACTTCACAGGTTAATAAGTGGGCTTTCTTGCCTTATAAATAGTCATTAAAATAAAGGAAACCCATTGAATGAGAAGGTTGTGTCCAAACTTTTGGTCTGTACTGTAAATATCAATTATTTACCCTTTTGTTTCATCCAAATTAAGTCTGCAACTCCTTAAAGCCCCTTAACCCTCAGATCCAGAAAATACGATGCTTTTCAAGGAGTAAAGGCTGCCCAGAACTTCAGGACCACAAATTTAACTCTTGTTTACTCAGATTGACAATGGTGTTAAATTTGATTTAATAGTAAAGATAAATAAACATTTTTAAGGAGTTGGCAAGTTTACTTTGTAATAGTTCAAAAAAACAATCTTCATATTTAGATTGTTTTGTTCCAACAGTCTGATGCTATGAGATTGAAACTCTTTGTTTGCAAATATATTTCAGTAATTTACAGTTATCATTGATTGCTTTTAAGGTTGGCCAATTAAACTACCCCCCAATTATTTTCCCCCTAAATCTGTGTTGAAATGCTGTTATTGGTGCTGATGTTATTAGAAGGAAGAGGGTCCCATAAATCTAATTCTCTTGAAGGCCACATACCGTCTTGGACCGGCCCTGCATGATGAGCTTAATCCACTGCACTTCATCTCTGTTGGACACAGAGGAACAAAAGAGAGATTTAATTTATCTGGCTTTAGTAGCTCTTTCTTTTCATGTCTATCAAGTTTTTAATAAGCGCCACAGACTGTTTTGGTTTGTCAAGCTTTATGGGACCAGTATTTGAAATAGCACAGTTTGAAGCATCATGTCGCCATAAAAAAATAAATGAATCCTGTGCTGCATGACTATGAGGTGAGTGCGACTGAACCATACGTCAACTAATTCACCGGCCAATCGAGGAAAACATAAACTTTTATCAGTGCAGACAGAGCCACGCGTTTGGCAGTGTGTGTGTGTGTGATTATAATGTATTAATTATTTATGGATGGTGAAACGTCAGTTGTGTACGTCATTTCAGATGTCTTTGTTCATCACCTTATTTGCCTCTATGAAGGTTTATTCTGTTGGGCTTACTATGTACTGCTTAATGTGTAAATTATGTAATCTGAACTTTTTTTCAGCTACGCTCTAATTCCCTCAAATGGGGATATATAAAGGAAACGGCAGCCGTGTGTGTGCATAGTTTCATACATCTAGATTTGTTTGTACTTTTTAAATTTGTCCCTATGCCAATTTTTAGTGTGAAAGCTGTGCACTCTTTTATACATGAGGTCCCTGGTGAATGAGTCGGTGCCATACAGTACAATTAAAACACAAGTAATAAAAGAAAGACATTTTGAGGGGATGTTTTCTCATATTTAAATAGTTTTGAGTAGCACACTGGGAGAGGTTGATCGCCTACATTTGGATAAAGCATATTTACAGACAGTATTGTTTTTTTGTTGTTTTTTTTTTTTTTACTTAAATGCAAAATGGATATACTTTTGTACGTTTTTGGCTTAATTACTAATTAGAGCGGAAATGAATGTTTAATGTTTCTTCCAGGTCAATATTCCTTTCTGATTAACCTGAATGTTTTCTCCTTAAAGGCCTGAGCGCTGGGATCAGGTGAAGAAGGCAGTGGACTGGGTGCGCCGGGCCAACTGGCAGTATCCGTACGCCTGCCGCCTGCTGGACCTCGGTCCAAGCTGGGAGGCTTCCATTTACCAGCTGTTGAACGAATTTCATTCGTACAGCACTGATGGAGATTCACTGACCGGTTAATGCAGCACTTTCTGAGAAATGTGTCTGTCAACATGTTTTTTGTTTTGCTTGTTATCTGCTTCAGTTTGTGTGCAAAAAGCTAAAGAAGATTCTGCATTGAATATTTTTGTTTTAAATGACCCGAAAAAACAAAACAGGAGAGAAAGGAAGAGAAATATTCAAATTTTTCACCCACTTAAACTGCAAGGTGAATTAAATTACAAACAAAACGTTTAACAATCATATCCTTTATTTGCTCTTTTTTGTTAAAAACTAACAAGAATAAATCAAAATTTGTTTGTTTGGAATATTTTTAGACTTCAATTCTTGTCCTTTAAAGCTAATCAGTTATTTGGAGGAGAAATTAGCCGATATTTGAACTCACTTTCAGGTTGCACGTTCATTTGAAGACAAACCCGCCTTAGTACTTTGCTTCACATATAAAATCTGTTTTCACCTGCTGATGGTAACAGTGATAAAATATAAAATGGCAAAAAAGAATCCTTGCCTCTTTGCAGTAACATTTGAGCTAAAGCAACATTTTTCAATAGCCTTTATTCACATGTCAAAATCATCCAAAGAATCTTACTAAGATGATTTTGTCTTTATACCTGTGTCTCATGCCGGTGATGGGTTTTTGAGCTTTTCTTTTAAATTACATTTGGGTGGTAACGTAGATGAGAATCGGGGAATTAAATGAACAAAACCAACATTCTGATCTTGTATTTGTTTTAATCACCTCACCTTATGAGTCTTTGTTGAAACTTTGTCCTTTTTGATGAACTTATGCAAATGAACTAAGACAGAAAAAACAGATATCAAAAGCAACCAGTGCTAAAATAAAACAGGCATCTTTAGTCAACTTAACAACATATTTCCACAGCCTCAAATTACCCAAGAAGTGAGCGGCTGGATCCAAATACTGCCCTGAAATTATTTTTATTTTAGATTTAGATAAATTCCAGTTTCAACAGAAACAGACATTGATGCTTAAGAAATGATTTTATTTTAATGGCAACAATTGCTACTTCAATAATTTATTCACAATTTGCCACAAACAGTAAAATGAAGCAGGAAGTTAATTAAAAATTAATTTTGTGTATTGTAAACAGTCAGTTAAAAAAATCAGGCACCATAGTTTGTCATTCAAAATTAGTCTTTTACCAACTTTATTGTAGTTTGTCTTTTTACTAAGAAAACTTTGTAAAGTATCTATTATTGGTGAACTTACATGTTACATAAACTTACGGGTCGTGGTAAATAAAATGTATCGTCTGTTCACTCTCCTGCCTTCATGTCCCTAAAAAGTCCTGGAGGAAAACCAAACAAATACTTTAAAATTATGTACTTGTTAGCACTTATTTTTCACATACTTCTAGCATAGCAATCAATTAATTGTATCTTTATGTCTTTTATAAACTTTCCCTAACATTTTATTGCCTTTTATGTTAATGCTGCAGCAGAGAACAATACAGGACCAAAGAATCAGACAGAGACATCCTGTAGTGCTGATCATGCTTTATTAAATCAATAATTGCAGAAAAACTCAAGGAGGCTGCAAAAACACTGAAAGCTACAGCTAACTTCAATCCAACAAAGTGCAGGATGACACCAAAGGAGACGCGTGCATTTGCTGTTGTTTGTGGCTGCTGGTCGTCTCATTGGCGCCACCCTGTGGACCGACGGGTGAACCGCTACAAACTAACACACAAGCACACTGCAGACCTCCAAGAGGAAGCTCTGCTTCTGAAAACGAGCGCAGGCAGGACTCTGGCCAGGTTGATGGAACGACGGAAGAGTCTGAGTTGACGGTCGCTTTCCAGAAGCAGAGCACAAAACAAAAAAAAGAAACGCTTTGGACTCAAGCAGTGCAGGCCGCTCGCACTGTGAGCCTGTCATAGAAATGGCAGTATGACATAATCAGTCGGAGCACGAGGTCCAGTCGTCCTGCTTGCATGAGGGTAGATGCAAACAGCACTCAGGATCTCATGCTCCTGTTACAAACTAAAGCGCCGCTCCTTTTGCAGCGGCGCGCTCAAAGTTTTGTCTCCGGTTCATAACATCAACAGGGAGCCTCTCTACCTGTTGAGGCAAACTTAAAGACTTCAACTTATCGTTGAGGCACAGAGTTTAGTTTCCCAGTTTAGCAGGGTATTCGTTCCAGCGGAAACTTTCTCCTGTTAAACTATATTTAGTTTCTTTAAGTTTCAGTTAATATTGTCATAAATAACAATGCATACATTTCCCATAACCGGTAAACTCGGCTATATACATTATGTACATGTCAAAGAAAAATGGATCAAACATCCTAAGTCATAGTTATCCAATATGGCACATTTTACAACTTTAGACTTTAGTCTAGTTTGGCATAAATTAACGTCAGGTTTGGTACAAAAATAGTTCCTATTTACAAGAATATTCCAGATCCTTATCAAGTAGACTACTGTGTTTCATCAATAAATAAAAAGTCATGAAAGAAGGGAAAAGGGGACATTTGAAATATCATTTTGTTTTTTTTTTACACCGATCGAATGCTGATATGAACGGTTGCTGAGTCCGATCCGAGCTCATTGGACAGTTTGAGGGTGTAGGCGCCGGCGTCCTCGTCCTTCACCCCTGTGATGATGAGGGTGGTCAGGTCCTCCGTGGTCTCGATGTGGAATCGTCCACCCGTGGACACGTCGATCGTCTTGCCTGAGCGGGACCACTCTATGTGTTTGGTGTCGCCAGAGAACGCACAGGCGACTGTCAAGACTTTGCCAGGTTCGATGCTGATGTCCTCTGGCAAAGCTTCGATTCTCGGAGCAGAACCTGAAAGTAGCAGAGTAATTTAAACTTAATAAGAGAGTCACATAAAGGTAAAAATACATAAAATAAATAAAAATAACACATATTCAGATATTTGCATACTTTTAAATGAGACATATTATGCTTTATTGAACAAGTTAAGATGTTCATTACATCTTTTGTAAAAAAATCATTAGATCATGAGATTTTTTTTAAGGAGACTTGTTATTGTAAATCCAAATAAACTGCTGCTGGTCACGACCCCTAAACTCAACGTTTACAATTGATGTGAAAATGGCTGCAAACAGATGTTAAATATTCAACCTCGCATCTTTGAAAAGCAGAAGTGGAGCCTCCTGCACAACAAGAATCCAGCAAGTGATTTCTATTTCAAAAAACTTGATTTGCTGAACAGTTTTAGCACTTTTGTCTGGAATGCTGAAGAAATTACTAACTTAGCAGCTAAAGACTTCAACAACGGTTGAAATTTCATACCGATTGCTCTCATTGAGGTTCCCTCCATGTGGGACGTCATTTCTGTGAGACTGCTGGAGCTCATGGCATATGTCTCAGATGTCATAGAGGACATGCTGGACATTGACATGGTCTCAAACTTCATCTCAGCTGCCATGCTGCTGAAGGAGCTGGACTCCATCATGGACGACATCATTGTCTGGTGGGCAGAGGAGGAAAAGGCCGAAGACTCCTCCATTGTGTGGATTTCTTTCTTTGTCATCATGGAAGAGGCCTTTGATGACTCCTGGTGACTCACCATCATTGACCCTGTTGAAAATTAGTTGGACAATGAAATATAGAAACCTCATTAATCATCTCTAAATTAACATTCTAAACAAAAATCTATCGCTGGAGGAAGAGCTCACCTTTAAGCGCCATTTGCTGCTCTCGGTAAGCAGTGACTTTCTTGTATATGGACTGAAACACCTGACCACTGAAGGAGAAGGAGGATTTGGACACTCCTCCATCTGAGGTCATCTCACAGGTGTACTCTCCCTGGTCACTCTCTGCCAACTCATGAATCAGAAGACTGCAGGATCCTTCAGAGTAGTGCATCTCAAAGCGGCTGCTCTGTGAAAGCCTCCTGCCGCTAACGTACCACACCACCTCCCTGACACTGCTTTCACAGACGCAGGACATCTTGACTGAACCCTCGCAGGCCTCAGCTGTTAGCTGGCTGAGGACTTTGGGAGGTTTAGGGGTTGGGGATTTCACAGTAGGAGGAGAGACAACCCTCTTGGGGGACATAATTGGAGGAGGTGATTTTACCCTCTGAGGTGATTTGATTCCCTCAGGCTCAGGTGACTTCAATCCCCTTGGAGATTTGATACCTGGAGGTTCTGGAGACTTGATGCCTCTTGGTGTTTTGATTCCTGTGGGTTCTGGTGACTTGAGACCTCTTGGTGTTTTGATACCTGCAGGCTCTGGTGATTTAACACCACGGGGAGATTTTGCCTCTTCAGGTTCTGGTGACTTCACACCTCCAGGAGTTTTGACTGGTGGTGGTGACTTTAGTCTGGGTTCTGGAGATTTTAGCCCACGTGGTGACTTGATTCCTTCTGGTTCAGGAGATTTTACACCAGGAGTTGGTGATTTTAAGCTGCGTGCTGGAGAGGGTGCTGATGGCTCTGGAGATTTGATACTCTTAGCAGATTTTGCTTCCTCTGGTTCAGGAGACTTTACACTTGGTGCGGGTGACTTAACTTCAGGTGCAGGAGATACTGCAGCTGGGGACTTTACACTTGGTTCTGGTGACTTTATACTAGGTGCTGAGGAAGGAGCAGGAGATGCCGCTGAGGGCTCAGGTGACTTAACACTGGGTGCTGGTGACTTCACAGGTGGCTCAGTAGTTTTGACAGCTTTGATTTCCTCCTTTGGAGGTGGTCTACGGATTGTCAGAGTGAAATGAGCCTCCTGTCTACCTGCTGAGTTCTCGACGACCACAGTGTAACTGCCCTCATCAGATGTGGTCACAGATGAAATCTCTAGGGTGGACTTGTACTGAGTTGTGGTGACATGAATACGAAGAGATGATACAATTGTTTTGCTCTCATGTATCCAGGTTACAGTTGGTGCAGGCTCCCCATCGATGTCACAAGAGAACCGGGCTGTCTCTCCCTCTGCAACAGTTACAGACTGTGGCTTGGTGAGGATTTTGGCAGGAAGAGACGGTTTCTCTTTAGGCAACGAAAGTTGCTCAAGAGCAGAAGCAGTAGAGGATGTTTTCAGTTTATCTTCAGATGTTGCATGCTTTCCAGTTAAAGAAAACTTCTCTGAAGAATATGAGGAACTAGAAGAAAGATATTCAGTGGAGGCATACTTGATAGATGAGTCATACCTCTCAGCAGAGGAGAATCGCTCACCAGAAGAGAATCTCTCGGCCGAGGCACCAATTCTTTCCTGTGTGACAACCTCACGTGTTTCTGTTAGCTTTGACTTGCTCTCTTCCACCTCCAAATAGGTTTGCGAGGTATAGCCAGACTTAAAGTGCGTGGTGTGATAATGATCAATGCGTGTGACTTCAGGAACAAATGCTTTAGGAGCTTCCTCATCTTTGCGGCGGGAGGAGAATGTTGTGTATCCACCTCCTGACACTTCCAGGGTGGCATAGTCAGATGCCTCACCCTTTGAATTGGAGCACACACAGCGGTATGTGCCGCTGTCTTCTTCTTGGCAGTCCAGGATAGTGATGGTCAGAACGCCACTCATGTTTGTGAAAATGTATTTCTCACCATGTTCAGAGATTTCCGCTCCATTGTGGAACCATGCAACTTCAGCCTCTGGTTTTGCTTGGATGTTCAGGGTGAATTTTGTGTCCTGACCAGTTGGGATGCGATGAGAACGCATCCTCACAGTTACACGAGGAGCATGATCAAGACTGAAAGGTGCTTGACTCACAACCTGATATTTCCTCTCAGACTTCAGAGCAGCTTTCCTGGCTTCATAACGAGACATGATGTCAAAACGTGCCGACCGCTCAAACCTAGAGGAGGAGCGGGACGACCTCTCCACTGACCTAATAGGACTGGGAGAACGAGGACGGGTCCTCTCTGGAGTAGGGGATCTCCTCCCCACAATCTCTCCCTCTGTTTCAACAGGTCTAGCATGTGGTGGTCGGATCAGCTCCGAGACTGGTCGCATCAGCTCGATGTAGGTAGGAGACAGTGACCTTCTCCGTCTTGTGTACTGAGAAATAGTACGTTTCTTCTTTGTCTCTGTAACCTCAGCGGCCTCATGTATGACTCCCTGCTTCCTTTCCTCATGTTCAACAACACGTCGTTGAACTCGGATGGGGCTACCTGGAGGAGAGGCAGAAAATCCGAGCTCAAGTTCATCTTCCAGCATCATTGTCTCCTCCTCAGTTCTCTTCCTTGTCAGGTAGTCATCCACAGGCATCAGCAGCTCTTCATCACTGAGAGCTCCCAGAGACCTCCTTCTGGATCTAAAGGAGACTTCAGACTCAGGAGATGGTGAACGTCGGGCAGGTCTAACAGTCTCCAAATCATCCATTGTCAACTTGGGAATTCGCCATCTTGGTCTGTATTGGTCAGTGATTCTGGGGAGAGGCATCACATAGAACTGCTCCCACCTGGACAGACGAATACGTCTCTGCCTCTTTTGCACAATCCTTTCTGTTTTCTCTGATACCTCATACTGATCTCGTATCTTGCGATACCACTTCATGTCAGAGAGAGGTACAAACTGCTTAATGGCTTTGTCTTCATCCAGGGCTTTGGGATCATGAACCACAGGCTCGGGAATTTCATAGGGCATGAAAATCCTTCTCTCTTCCTCTAGCTTCTTGGTCTCCGTTTTCTCCTCTGTGATGTCAAATTCGCCTTCAATGTTCTTGGTGCTTACTGCGGGTTTGTAGACCTCTGCAGCAAATTTGAGGGCCTCCTGTGCTGTTGGGTTTAGAGGTACAAGTTCCTCTGTAGCTGCAATATGCTGAGCCATTTTGTTGGTCTTCTCTATTTGTTTTTGTACATGTCTGAGTTTCTCCTCTTCGCTCTTGTACTCTCTTCTAGTGTAAGTGAGACGGTCCACTTTCAGAGTAGCCTGGCAGCTTGCAGAGCCAGCAGAGTTGGTTGCTGTGACTTTGTACACACCACCATCCTCAAGCAGAGTCTCCCTGATGTGAAGGACATGATAATCAATGTCCTGTTCTATGACAACAACTTTGGGCCCAAACTGTAGAGGAAGGCCATCTTTTTCCCATTTAAGAGAAGGAGTGGGAACTCCTGACACCCTGAGTTCAAAGCGGACACTGTCTCCCTCTGTGCATTCAATATTAGCCAGTAGACGTTTGAACATGGGCCTCATTGTATCCTCAAGCACAGGATGAGGTATCACAGTGAGACGAGCCTTGCAGCTATCTTCTCCAAACCTGTTGTGGGCCATGACTGTGTACTCAGCATCATCACCAATGTCAAGGTTGTGAACCATGAGCTGATACAGACCCTTATCACTTGTGAAAGTGTACTTGCTGTTATCCTCTTTGATTTGTTCTCCATTTTTAAGCCAGGTTACATGAGGCTCTGGGTGCACAGTGATAGTGACACCAAAGCGCACATCCTCACCAATATATGCTGTGCGGTTGTAGAGTGGCAAAGTGAACTCAGGTGGTCTCTGGAGAAGTTTAGTTTTGTCAACCCTCCTCCTCAGCTTCCTGATGGTGCGGCTCATGTAGTGCTCTCTGATGCTCCTCACAGTTTCTACAAAGAGTTCTCCATAGGCACTGTCCTCTCCATCATCACTCACCACCTTGCATTTGTAGACACCATCATCAGACTCTTCAATGTCCTTCACATAAATACTGGCAAAGCCATTGCTGTAGGAAATCTCATACTTGGGGCTTGGATGTAACTGACGGTTTCCGAAGTACCATGATACCTGAGTACTCTTGTCAAAGTTCAAAATACTACAGGTAAATCTGACATGGCCACCTTCCTCAGCTGAGGCATGCATGACAGGCCCAGCACGCAAGCCATGGTACTCAGTTCCAATCTTAACTTTACCAACTTCCAGTCCTCGCTGGTTTCTGAAGGCACCACCGAACGCCACACGAGCTGCTGAAACTATGGTGTCAGTCTTCTTTACTAGTGACTGATAGTATCTTCTGTGTCTCAGTGTCCTGATGACCTTGTTGCTGACATGCTCAATCTTCATCTTGAGCCATGGATGTTCTAGAGCTTCATGGGCAGTCAAACGGAGCTTCCTGTCCTTGACTAGAAGTCTATCTATAAAGTCCATTGCCTCTAAGCTGATGTCCTTGAATGCTTCTCTGTCAAAAACGTATTCACAGTTTGAGATGTTCTCAATCATCTTTGTCATAGACTCTGCGGCAAATGGATTAAGGCCACTGAGTAGAACATATGCTAAAACACCAATAGACCACATATCAGTGGCTGTGGTGACCAGATCATGACGGTGAACCTCTGGGGCATAATACTCTGGAGCTGAAAATAGCATTCTGATGTTTTCTCCAGGAACCAACAATCGAGACTGTCCCATTTCAATCATTTTTATGTTGAGACTTCTCCTTGTGGAGTAAACAATGTTATCTGGGCGGATATCAAAGTGGCCAAAGTTTTGGCTGTGTAAGAATTTGACAGCAGAGCAAACTTGTCTCAGGTAGCGGACAATCTCCTGTTCCGTGAGCTCAAAGTTGTTGGTACCAAGCCGCTCAAAGATATCAACTCCAGAAATGAATTCAAAGATCAAGATAATCTCCTCCATGCTTTCAAAGTATTCATGGAGGTAGATGATATTCTTATGTCTTGCAACATTAAGAGCCTCTATTTCCCTGAGGACTAACTCACGATCAGTTCCTTTCACTTTGATGAACTTGGCCATGAAAGTCTTCTTTGTGGCAATCTCCACACAGCGGTGGACCACTCCAAACTGTGAGCGAGCAAGCTCCTCTGAGATGATGTATTTGGAAGAAAGCTCCTTCACCTTGTAGAACACAGCTTCCTCCTTGGTGATCTCTCTGTCTTCATCAACTTCCTCGTCATAGTTTCTGATCACAGATTTGTCTTCTTTGGTGGTAATGGGCTCAGTTGGAGGAGATGGAAGGCTGACTCCAAACTGGTTCTCTGCAATAACGCGGAACTGATATTTGGTCTTTCCAAATATGTTGATGATGGTGATACTGCAGTCTGTTGTATGACCAGCACGAATCCACCTATCAGCAGTAGTTGGGCACTTTTCTACAATGTAGTTAATAATCTCACTGCCACCATCACTGGCAGGGGGCTCCCAGGTCAGTGTGATAGAATCCCGTGCAATGTCACTGACCACAAGTCCCTTTGGAGCATCAGGGATGTCAGCCACATTCACCTCTATAGTTTGCTTGTCTGATCCGAATCTGTTCTTTGCAGTAATGGCATAATAGCCAGTATCCTTCCTCTGTACTCCCTTCAGGAACACCAGGGAGGTGAAGGATCTTGTGGTGATAACTTGATGATAAGCAGAGCTTGAGAGGATCTCCGGACCCTTCTGCCAAGTGACCGCTGGCTCAGGCTTTCCTGAGATGGGGATCTTGATGGTGACGTGATCACCACGCACAGCTTGTACAGCTCCCATTCCCTGGAGTTCTTTAGGCAGGTGTATTTTTGCAGGAACTGAAATTAAAGAATCAAAAAATAAAATTTCATTAGAATGTAAAAAAAAAAAAATAATAAGAAAACTTAGAATATAATCTAATACAGATGTTTGGCATAAATACCTTCCACCTCCAGGTTGGCTGTTGTAGAGATTGATCCTGACGGATTAGTTGCTCTGACCTGGTACAATGAGGCATCATTCTCATCAGCTGCAGTGATGACCAGCTGATAGTAGCCACCCTTGAACTCAAGGACTTTTATTTTTGTTCCATCTGCCAGGATCTCCTTGCCACTGCGGTACCATTTGACAACAGGCTTTGGATGGCCCACAACCTTGTTATAGGAAAATATAATCAGAATAAATTAACCTGCTGAAGAAAAATCAAAGATAGAAAATGACATAAAAAAGTTTTTCTATTTTGTAAATACCTTGGTGACAAAGGTGGCATTGCTATGGTATTTGACAGTCATGTCTCTGATCTCCTCTCTGAATGCAGGAGCACGAGGAGCCTGTTCAGACTTGGGAATGACTGGCAGAGAGATTTCAGACCAGTCGCTCTCACCACCAATGTTCTGGCATTTCACACGGAACTCGTACTCAAAGCCCTCAATCAAGCCTGTGACTTCATAGCTGGTCTCTGTAAATTTCTTTGTTGTTACAGAAATCCATTTGTTCTGCTTCTTCTCGCGTTTCTCAAGGAAGTAGCTGGTGATTTTCGCTCCTCCATCGCTAGTTGGAGGCTTCCAACAAACGACACAAGAGTCTTTGGTCGAACTCATAATGAATGGCTGCTGTGGGATTCCAGGTTTATCTGTGATCAAAACAACAGAGGGTTGTTATTCTGTCTTTCTGCTAACTAGAACTCAAGGCAAAATTTAGTTTAAGGGGATTACCATATGGAGTCTTGATGATGACAACTGATGGAATCTCCAGAGACTCACTGACACCATACTGGTTCTGTGCTGATACTCTGAAGTAGTATGCAGAGCCCTCAGTCAGGTTGGGCACACGGCAGGTGGTGCCAGAGACAGAGGAGGACACCAGGTGCCACTGTTCACCCTCTTTGGCTTCACGTTTCTCCACAATGTAGTTGGTGATTACAGACCCTCCATCATCCTTAGGAACCTTCCAGCTGATCACAGCTGAGCTCCTGAGCAGGGATTCAACAACAACGGGACCCTCAGGGATGCAAGGTTTGTCTGGGGAAAAAATAGTAAAGCGACATCAGGACCAGCACATGGTGTTAATTGATAAAAAACTGTCAAAGAATAATCAAAGAATGCAAATATTCAATGTTCATTAGAATTTTACTTTTAAAAAAATATTTTTAAGTTGTTTTAAAAAATAAATTTTAGTGATGTACGCCAATACCTTGGATTTCAACACGCAGAGAGGTGTCAACAGTTCCAAACACATTGCTGAGCTGAACCTTGTAGCGGCCAGCGTTGGTTTTTCGTTGGGCATTCCTCACAACAAGGTGGGTGTAGCTTTCTGTGTTCTCAATGATTACGTTCTCAGATGAATTTAGAGGTTTCTTGCCGTAGAACCACATGATCTGGGGGATTGGACGACCAATGTAGACGACATGGAGCCGGAGGCTGGTACCTGCCCCAGCATAGTACTTTTCTTTCAGAGGGAAGCCAGGATGGAATTGGGGAGCTGCCTGCAAGCGTAGTTTGCCACTGGTCTCTATCTCTCCAGCCTCGTTGACAGCCCTGCAGGTGTACACGCCTTCGTCTTCTTGCTCCTCTGTCAGAATTGTGAGGGAGTGGTTACGACCATCCGAGCTCATCTTGTACTTGCGGCTCTGGATCAGTTCTTTGCCATAGCGATACCACTTGATCTCAGGCAAAGGTCTGCCAATGATTCCACAAGTTAGAGTGCCAGACTCGCCAAGCTTGGTGGTTACATCTTGGACCTCTTCCTTCAAAGCTGGAGCTTCACCAACTGCAGAAAAAATATGATTTTTATTTACTCCAACCTTAAATGTTACATCAAAATTTCATTGGGTCCAGAATAACCAACTCACCGCTCAATTTGGTCTTGATGCCCATGGGTGTGCGACGAGGTCGGCTGAGTCCAGCCTCATTTTCAGCAAAGATTCTGAATTCATACTCTGTGGCCTCCATCAAGCCACCCATGGTGAACTGCCGATCCTTGGAACGCTCCTTGTTGCATTTCTTCCAAGCGCTCTCTCCAGCCTCCCTGAACTCAATCCAATAACCCAGGATCTCCTTTCCACCATCGTGTTCTGGTCTGAGCCAATGAATGGTGATGCTGTCTTTAGTAATAGAGATGATGTCAATATCTCCTGGTTGGGTGGGCTTGTCTACAGGGAGAGACGGCAAGAAGTTAATAATAGAAAAAGTTTAAAAATTCTAGCAACGTTTTATCACTTCATTCATGGGAATATAAGCATTAAATAACACAACTCACCAAATGGATCTTTGCAGACCACCGATTCTGAAGCAGGACCGGGTTCACTCTGCCCAATGTCATTTTGAGCCACCACTCTAAACATGTACTCTGCATTGGGTATAAGTCCGGTGGCATTGAACATGGTGGTAGTGATGTGGGTCTTGTTGTGACGGACCCACTTCTCTGTGGAAACCTCCCTTCTTTCAACATAGTATCCTGTGACACGAGAGCCACCATCGTCCCGAGGCCGGGCCCAAGACAGAGACACTGTGGTCTTGGTGACGTCCATGATCTCTGGTGGGTTACTGGGAGGTTCAGGTGGACCTGCAAGTATAGGTATTGTCAGTAAAACATGAATGTATTTTGAATCACATCACAGCAGCTTAGATTTGAAAGTTGAGAACAATTTCAAAAATAGTACTCACAAAGAGGTGTCTTTGGCAGAACAGCTCCATCTGACTTAAGGGATCTGCTAACACCAAATTGGTTCTCAGCAAACACCCTGAAGTGGTACTCTACATTCTCCTTCAAGCCCTTGACCACCAGGGAGGTCTCAGTTACCCGGGCATCCACTGTGTACCAGGCAGCCTTTGGTACTTCCCGCCTTTCTACTATGTAGCCCAGGATGTCAGATCCACCGTCATCTGAAGGTGGTCTCCAGCTGACGCGAACTGATCTAGCTTGGATGTCATCAAATTCTAGAGGACCTTCTGGGGCATCAGGTCGACCAATCACTTTCACCTGGTAGTGAAAAGCATAAACATTATTACATTTTTTTATTTAATCTCTTTTTCTTCCTAAGAATTCCTAGAGCTGATGTATCTCACCTTAATGTACACAGCTTTCCTACCACATTTGTTTTCCAGCACCAAATCATAGGTACCGGTGTCATCTTTGTGTGCCTCTTTGATGACCAGCTCAGTAATGTCATCGTGGGTGGCAATCATGGCACGATGTGAGATGTCACGACCATCCTTTGTCCACTTAGCTGTGGGTATAGGTTTGCCTTTGATGGGTACAGACAAATGGACGACTCCACCTTGCCGCACCACGTATCCTTCCTCGTATATGCGATCAAGCTCAAAGTCAGGATAATCTGAGAAAGACACAAAAATCAGCTTTGCTTATCAAATTGTTCATTCAACATATAAATGCATGTACTGTGTGAAATTCTTCTCTTACCGAGCATTTCTTGGACTTTAACTACTCCAGAAATCTCTGCAGGCTCTCCGGCACCACCTGCATTGCAGGCAATGACTCTGAACCTGTACTCTGCACCCTGGGGCATGTGTGTTAGGGTGTACTCGCACATCTTGGTGGGTGTAGTATTGCACAGAGTCCATTCAATCTGGTCCACCTTTTGCATCTCAATGAGATAGCCAGTAACAACAGAACCACCCTCTTCTTCAGGCGGCAGCCAGGCCAGAGAGACTGATGTCCGTGTGCTGTCTGTAACTCTGGGTTTAACTGGAGGACCTGGAGGTTCTATTTAGCAACACAGAAAGATGTACTAAATAAACTGATCTCCTTTATTGTAACTCTAAATTTTTGCGTCACTTACCAATGGGATCCATTGCAACAACTATGGCAGAACTTTCACTGGGTTTGCCAGTTCCTCTGGAGTTGATAGCAGTGATTCTGAACTCATATTCCAGGCCCTCAATCAGCCCGGAAGAACGATATCTGGTCATAGTGACTGGATTCTTATTGATTCTCAACCACCTGTCAGATCGTGCTTCTTTACGTTCTATTATGTAGCCAGCAATGGTGGAGCCACCATTGTCCACAGGTGGTTGCCAGGTCACGGTCATGCCTTCATGGGTGACATCAATCACCTCTGGCCTGCTTGGAGGTCCGGGGATGGCTACACGGGGAGAAAACGTGGAAATTTTACTGAACTGTGGGGCGAAAAGTATCTTTTTGACCAAATAATCCAAGAAATTCATCTGGCCAACCATGATTGTAGATAATAAGAACAGCAGATATGAAGATGACTCAGAACTCACTCTTGGGACTCTTGCACTCCACCACTTCAGACTGCAGGAAGCCACCAAAACCAAAGCGATTCATGGCAGCAACACGGAACACATACTCGGTTCCTTCGTTAAGCCTGGTGAACTTGAAGCAAGGTCTGGTCACAGATTCAGAGACGGTGGACCAGCCTGGGTGGTGGGCTTCTCGCTGCTCCACCACGTATCCACTGACATTGGCTCCACCGTCTTTCTCTGGAGGTTCCCAGCTAACTGTCACCGAGACTCCATCAACCTCCTCAATTTTCATGGGACCAACTGGGATACCAGGTTTGTCTGCACAGAAACGACAAAATACAGTCAATTTATGTTCAAGAATTATTTCCGGAGTCTCTGTTACTTCAATGCACAGGTCAATCAGATATTTATTTGTATGACATGTTCTTACCCAGGATGATGACCTTGATAACCTCCGTTGCCATGCCAACAGCATTTTTAACCTCCAAGGTGTAATCTCCAGTGTCATCGATGGTGGTGTCACGGATGACCAGGTGTGTGTATTTCCCGTTGCTGTCGATTTTGATACGGTCTAAGCTGTCCTTCAGCTTGGCACCACCGAAGAACCAGGAGCAAACTGGCAGTGGTTTGGCTTTAATCGGGATGTTCAGGTCAATAGATTTGCCACGGTGCACATGAACAATCTTCTGAGGGATGCTGGTCAAGTCAATCTTTGGCGTCACTGAAAAAAAACAAAATAATATTTATTTGATTAAATTCTGAGTTTCTGAAAGAAAGTATAATGTGTGCTAAATGTTTTAGGTCAGGGCTTCCCAAATCACATTAGTTTCTGGCATGGCAGCCTCTTTGCAAACCAACAGATAAGGCCACAAAATACGTAAAGGATCATTGAATTTTTTTCACTCTCATTTGTTATTGAATTTTTACTTTTATTTGGTAAAAATGGTGTCTCATACTTTCTGATTTTAGTTGGCAAACTAATATGACTTTATAAATGTGATACTGAATATATTATCAGATCAAAAATTTCCACCATAATCCCCTCGTTTAATAAGGAAATATGTGATATTTTTTTAAATTAATTTTATGAAACTCTATTTAACCTCCATAGTTTAGGTTTTTCAGCAGTGTCCTCTGGCTGCTGGACAGTTCCTTTGATCCTTTGGTCGTTTTCTTGTCAGAAACCCAGTTTTCCCTCAGTGTATCATACTATTTATTACATCCCTAAAAGGCTGTTTATTTATTTTATGTTTATTTAAGTTAGCCTTATTTCATACTTTAGGTGTTATTAATATCTTCCAATAGCACTAAGTTACCTAACTAGTGATATTTTCCATTTTATTGTTAACTTTTATAATTCAAAAACATGACTGCCTGAGCCTTCCTACCAGGCTTTAGCAAGTTTTCTGTGGGAAACCCAAAGAAACTTTTCCATTTCTAGTTTCAAGAGAAAAGTAACTGGAAAAATGTGACTTGCAGCTAATCAGAAAGATAAGTATGGGAAAACATATTTCTCATCTTTTGCTAATACTCTGAAAGCCCCTAGTGCCCTCTGAGGTAAACAGAATTGTTCCAGGTTGTTGACGCTGTGAAGACTCACCCTTGATCTCCTGGATTATGATTGGTGTCACAATGTCCATGGGCTCACTGACTCCCCTGCTGTTGGTGGCACGGATCCTGAACAGGTACTGGTCGTTCTCTGTAAGCGACTGAATTGTGTGCTGGGACTGAGAGGCCTTAACTGTCGCCACAGCGCTCCACCTGTCTGACCCCACTTTGCAAGCCTCTATGATATAACCTGTCAGCCTGCTGCCGCCATCATGCAGTGGTCTTTCCCAATGGAGGGTCACAGTGGACTTGGTGACATCAACAATGCTGAGGTCCATGGGCACTGATGGTACTTCACACACCAGCACAGGCTCAGTTGTCTCACAAGGCTCACCAACACCATAAATGTTCTCAGGTAGGACTCTGAAGAAGTAGTGCACGCCTTCCTCCAAGCCTGTGATCCTGTACAGAGTCTTCCTGCATTCAGTGGTCACAGTCTTGTATGACTTCATGTTGGCTTCTCTCTTCTCTACAATGTAGTTGCTGACATGAGCGCCACCGTCCAGGCTTGGGACGTCCCAGGTGATCACAACCGACTCCTTGGTGTAGTCTTTCACCCTGACAGAGCCAGGAGGACCAGGGGTGTCTGAAGAACAGACACATCAAGAAATTGACAATTTATGTCTCTGCAAATCTCTTTCAAAAAGTGTAAACATCGGAAAATTACTTGATTAAAAACGAACTTGACAGAACTTACCGTAGACCTTGACCAGGATAATGCACGTTTTCTTTCCAGATGGATTCTCTGCCTCCACAACATATTTTCCAGAATCGTAGCGATTTACTTTCTCCACCAGGAGAGAGGTGTGACTGTCGGTGGTCTCAATAAAGCCTCGGCTCTGCAGCTCCACCCCGGTCTTTCTCCAGGCAACAACTGGTGCCGGTCGGCCAGTGATGGACACGAACAGGCGGAGGGTACCGCCAGCACGCAGACAGACCGTCTTCTTCAAGTCTTCGGCCAGTTCCAGGTCAGGCATTTCTGAAGATGGAAACAATAGGAGGTCATTAAAAATCCTGCTCAGATACACACATTTTTTGTTGCAATTTTGCCCTTATTTCAAATGTATTTAGTTTTTGTTTGTTTTGGGTTTTTTTTTTTGCAAATTTCAATACTTTTTGTTTGTACATCCAAATAGTTTCACATTTCAAATGCAACTTTTACATTTGAAATGACAGAATAAAAAGATTCTTACCAAAAATGTTTTGACATTTTTATTAGTGCGCAAAAGTAATGATTCATATTTTCTTTCATTATTTTTTTCTTATGGAGTTATTTAACCCTCTCCAGGTAGATGTTGCAGATTTGCAACAGCTAAATGCTACTTAGCTAGTCTTTGCAAGTAATTTGACCCTGACAGGGTTAAAAGAAAACCTTTTAAAAAATCTTTCTGAGGACATTTTTCTTAGAAAAAAATATCTCAAATTAAGAGAAACTACTTCCTCTACTCATAAAAGAACCAATTTCCACAATTTCCTTGAAATTTCAGTTACAAATCACTGACCCAAGAAATATTTTTAAAAAACAGTTTGTTAAATATTTTTCCAGCAGCTTAATGTACAGTTTTAGATCAGCTTCTTATCTATTTTTTTAAGCGACAATAACAATCGTACAGTTAATGAGTTTATATTTCAGGGGATGTCCAAATATTTAAAAATGCAAATTAAAAAATCTCAAAAGAGCTTATGAATTGCTTAGAGCTGCAGTGTGAAACTTTTTTAAAACTTTGTTAAAATGTCACAATGTTATGACAGTACGGTATGAGACTAATACTAATGAACTCACCAACTTTCTCCAGTGGCTCGACCTCTCCACTCGGTTCACTGAACTCCCCGGTGCCTTTGCCGTTAATGGCCGCCACCCTGAACCTGTACTTCTTATTGGCTGCCAGGCCACCGGCCACGTACTCATTGGTCTTTATAGGCTTAGCAGTGGCGCGGTACCACTGCTCCGAGTCCTCCTCTAAGATCTCTATGACGTAGCCTGTGACATCGGAGCCGCCGTCGTACATGGGTCTGGTCCAGGTCAGGCTAATGCTGTGCTTGGTTGTGTCCACTATGCGAGGTGTTGATGGAGCAGCCGGGGTGTCTGACAGGGATGAAATAAATAAGTTAACAACATACTTTCATGTTTTAATATTTGGAAATTCTGAAGTTAAAAGTAAAAAGACTCACATGTGGGATCTTTACAGACAATGTATGGTGATGCATCGCTTGGCTGGCTTTCTCCAGCATTGTTGAGGGCTGTGACTCTGAACTGGTACTCGCCTCCCTCTATCAGGCCAGTGATTTTCAGACGGATGTCATAAATTGTGTAAGTTCTGTTCACCCGAGTCCATCTGATTCAACAGAGCAAAGAAATTGATGCATGTTTTTCTGAGACAGTTAAAGCTGATATCTGTTTAAAGAACATGTTTTAACCTTGTGCTGCTTTTCTCTCGTTTTTCCACGATGTAGTTCTTAATCTCACTGCCTCCGTCGCTCTCAGGCTTCAGCCACTCGATGATGATGTGCTCCTTACCCACCGTTGTGGCTTCTGGGGCGCCCGGCGGGGATGGGACGGCTGGGAAAGAGGTGTCAGATTAGAGAATAATTCTGTCTTGCCCTTTCGCAGGAGGAAAACAAACTGCAGACAACACCAACTAACCTAGCCAATGTTATTAAAATGAACAGAATGAAATTGCTTTCATTCAGGAGAAAACTATAACTGGCTGCAACTATATTGCACATATATAAAAACAAATACTGAAATTATATATAAAATATCCTTTACTTCCATGTTTATGAAAGTATTAGCCTTTCGGATTGATGTGAAATAGATTTTGTTCTGCAGCTATGAGAAAATTACGGCACTTCATATTTCTTCTGGCAGTTCTGACAGCAAAAGTTGTGCAAGAACACCAGAGTCATTTGGTTTCAACAATAATTCAATACATATTTTGAAAATAGTATTTTCTGTTGAGTATTCATTACCCCAAAAAATTTGTGTAAATACAAATTTTTTTAAATTCTTCACCTAAAAATTAACCAGTGTGAAAAACTCTGTTACTATAACTAATAAAAAGCAAACTAAAAATAAATTACATTTGCATAATAATAATAATAATGATAATAATAAATCAAAGCTAGCAAATGCATTAATTAAATTAACAAAAGTTGACTAAAAGTCACAACAAAATAAAATTAAATTATAATGAAAAACTCAAAACTATTATAACCTCTGAAACCTAGATGTAGAAATATTTAATTATTTAAATTAAACCTGAAGTCTGAAAGTGAAATATTTGACAAAGAGAAGCGGTTTCGTACTGTAGGCGTTTCTGGCGATGACCGGCTCGGACTCCAGAGGAACTCCAGGTCCAAACTTGTTGACTCCCCTGACTCTGAAGACGTATTCATTGTTCTTGATCAACCTGGAGCTCACACATGACAGCGACTTGCACTCTGTCTCCATGATGACCCAGTTGAGCCGGCTGGTTTCACGTCGCTCTACGATGTAATGGCTGACGATGTCTCCGCCGTCCTCCAGAGGAATCTTCCAGGAAACCGTACACTTTTCTTCAGTGACTCTGCTGATCACGATCTTGTCAGCAGGTTGTCCAGGAGTGTCTGAGAGGAAAACAAATCAAGAGTTAGACATTTTTGTGACATGTTCATATTCTGGCCCAAGCCTAAATACTGAAACATGGCTACTCACCCAGAACCTTCACATTGACCGAAGCGGTCTTAATACCATTGGGGTTCTTGACGGTGAGGATGTATCTACCCGTATCGTATCTGTCGCAGTTTTTGATGACAGCCATGGCTCTTGTTGATGTGTATGTCAGAGAGTATTTCTCTCCCAACTCCAAAATCTTGTCACCCTTGGACCAGTACACTGTGGGTTCTGGTTTGCCTCCCACAGCACCGTCCAGAACAAGGTCAGAGCCAGCCATAATGGTGATGACCTCACGCGTCAGTTTGCTGTCAAGTTCAGCTCTAGGAGGAGCTGCAGTAAATAAGACAAAGTTTTGAGTTGTGATAAACATTTGACTATAAAATGGATTTCAGTTCAATTGTTCTGTATGGATGTTGTAGCAATACACCCACCAAGAAATACATTTTAGCAATACTTCCAGGACAATCATGACACAATTGTCTTTCTTTCACAAGTAGAGTAAGAGTTTTACAAATTCTAAACTGCAATTTATATTTTATCAAGCAGTATTGCTGTGGCATAGCCCTCTAAGACAGCGGAAATTGCTGGAAAGCGGTTTGTTTTGATGAATAACAAGCTTTGTGAAATGCAGAAGAAACTGCAAAGATTCCACTTTTTGATCATGTATGTTCTGATATTACCACATATGTGGAAAAATCTTAACCTGGACTTTTAGAAATGTACTTTTGATAGTTTCAAGTGGTTAACAACAGAGGAGTAATCAAGATGAATGCTAAATTGGAAAAAAATTTGGAAAACTTTGCAGGTTTGATACTTTAGGTTTGTCGACAAAAACACCAAGAATAAATACTTCATTTATTCTAAGTTTGAAATAATCTCTATTAATTTTATTATTATTCATCTGGGGTTAATGAGGGTGTTTTTGATTTGAAATTTAGTCTATTCATTAAAAAACTGTGAAATTGCCCTTTCATTTAGTAGTAATAGAAATCATATACTAACTTGCTAGCATTGTTAGTCGCTGTTAGCAAGTTACTGTATTCTCACAGTTCTTACAAATCTCATTTTCTCTGATCATTGTCTCTTTTTCTTTAAATTACTCAACAGGCTGTGGTTCAGATGATTTAAAAGAGGTGAAAGCTTCTTTAATGTTTATGTAATCAAATAAAGTTGACCAACCTAAGTTCAGCTCTAGGAGGAGCTGACTCCTTCAGTTAACATTATTAGGGAACAACTAAAATATTGCTTTGTTTCATACTTCAAAATGAGTCTCAAAGTAGATAAATATGTAAAACCCTGCTCCTCACCTGACTCATAATAATAATTTTTATTTAATTTTCAACCATTATAAATAGTGATTCTCAAGAGCAGCTTCAGTTAGATGAGAAATATCGCAAGATCTTCACTGGTGTGATAAAGTTTTTTTAAAGTTATTAAAATATAGTAAATTGTATTGTAAACAGAACTTTAGAAATAAAAACCATCTCGAAATTTAAATATAAAAAAAATAAGGAGAAACATTTAGACGTACAGTATTCATCCTTGCATGTGATTGGACCAGTGGTCTCAGAAGGCATGCTGTGGACCCCGGCTGCATTCTTGGCGATGACACGATACTCAAAGGTTTCTCCCTCTCCCAAGTTTGTGACTGTGAAGTAGTTCTCTGTGATCGTGGTGTAGTTGCACTTGAGCCAGCGGTTGTCGTCCCACTCATCTGTGCTGTAGACCTTCCTCTCCACAATGTAGCCAACGATCTTATTGCCACCATCATTGAAGGGTATAGTCCAGCACAGCGAAACAGAGGAGCGGCTGATATCGGTAATCTCAGGTTTACCAGGCGGATCTACAACAAGCAAGTTAAGACTTTATAAAATAGCACAGCAGGAGTTTATTCAATTACACATTGGAATTACCAGTGGTTCCTTACCAACAGGATTGAGTGCTACCACTGGTCTGGAGGCTTCACTGGCCTTGCTCAGTCCAGCGAGGTTCATGGCATACACTCTGAACTGATACTCCAGGCCCTCGATCAGGTTGGACACCTTGTAATGGCACTCAAGGCAGGGCAGTTTGTTCTCCCTCACCCACAAGATTGTGTTCCTCTCTTTCTTCTCAATCCAGTATCCTGTCACCTGGCTGCCACCATCAGAATATGGCACATCCCACTTGATGCCAATGGCATTTGCTGACACAAATACCACATCAGGGCGAGTTGGAGGACTTGGAGGAACTGCAAATGTAAACAGAGAGAGATTATTAAGAGCCAAAAAGTGCCAAGATGTGTAATGTTGCCTTACTTAAGCAGAACTTACTGAATGGATGCTCGATTACAACAGCTGCAGACTCAATGGACTTGCTGACTCCAAACTTGTTCTCAGCACACACTCTGAATGTGTATTCCATGTATTTGGTAAGATGAGTCACTTTGATTGTTGTTCTCTGCACACTGGAGTTTACTACCTGCCATGAAGCATGGCCAGACTCGCGTTTCTCAACAATGTAGTTGGTTATTTCAGTGCCGCCATCATCAGCTGGCTCTGACCATGACAGTGTGCAAGACTCTGATGAGATTCCAGAAATCTTCACAGGGCCAGTTGGTGGGCTCGGTCTACCGACGACGACCACAGTCACTGTGAAAGTCATCACACCGGCAGCATTCTCCAGGATCAGGTAATACTTGCCACTGTCACTTCTCTTGCTGTCTCTCACTATTAGTGTGGTTCTCTCCTTTGTGGTCCTGATCAAGACTCTGTCAGTCTCTTTCAGCTTCATTTCCTCCAGTTTCCATGTGACCTTGGGTGCAGGTCTGCCACTTATTGGGATATCAATTGTGATAGTATTGGAAAGCTTACAGGTGATGAGCTGGTTAGTGATACTACTGAGATCAGCAGTTGGCTCAATGAGAGGCTCCTTAATGACCACAGAGCTGAAAGTACTTTGAGGCTCACTGATTCCAGCATCATTTTTGGCCTTGACCCTAAAGTCATACTCAGTGTTTTCAATCAAACCTTCTACCAGCATCTTTGGCAATTTAGTCTCTCCATAAACAATCCAACGGTCACTACCCTTGGCTCTGAATTCAACAATGTACCCTCGGATGCGGCTGCCTCCATCATGGTCAGGTTTAAGCCACACGAGGGAGGCTGTGGAACTAGTGGTATCGACAACATCTAATCTTTTGGGTGGTGCAGGCTCTTCTGTGGCAACGACAGGCTCAGTCATTTCCTTTGGTTCACCTTGACCATACTGGTTAACAGCAGTCACTCTGAATAAGTATGGCACACCAATGTCCAGACCAGTTATCCTTATCATTTGGCGTGAGCTCTTGCTGCTGACTTCCTGCCAAGCAAGGCGGCTTGCCTCACGTTTATCTACTATGTAGTGATGGATGCGGGATCCACCATCATTGGATGGAGCATCCCACATCATTGTCAAAGCACCACGTGTAACATCTTTGAAGGAGATTGTGCCTGGAGGTCCTGGAGTGTCTAAGACTTTGATAGTGAATGTGATAGACTTTCTTCCACTGTTGTTTTCCAGGGATAGGGTGTATTTTCCTGCCTCATATCTTGTGCAGCCTTCTATAGTCAAAGTGGATGAGCTTTCTGTGGTGTTGACATCTGCCATGACAGGAAGCTCACCATCTACTCTAGACCAGGTGGCCAGCGGAGTAGGCTTTCCTCTGAAAGCAACGCTGAGAGTGACTATTCCTCCGTTCTTCACAGTGTGAGTTTGTTTGAAGTTTGCATCGATGTCAAATTCTGGAGATGTAAGTCTATCCAGAGCCTGAACAGGGTTTGGCATAACTGAAGCTTCACCCTCTCCTGACCCATTCACAGCACTGACTCTGAACTTGTAAAGCTCTCCAGCTACCAGGCCCTTTACAGTGTATCTATTGTGGATACAAATCTGACTATTGACTCTGTGCCACTCCTCTAGACTGGCCTTACACATGTCGATGTTATAGCCAATAATTTCCAAGCCACCATCAAATACTGGTTTTGTCCATTCCAGGGTGACAGTGGACTTAGTGGAATCAATGACCTGTTAAAGAAAGAAAGTTTATTTATCCCTCTGCTCGTTTTTGCTGAGGTAACTCTTGTTATACGTATCAGTTTCCTTAAAGTACAAATAATTCACTCATAAAGCTTTATGATCCTTCACAGAACAGCTTTGTAATTCTTGTTAAAGATCAGCATTAAAACTGAACATGTATACCATTACAAATAGAAGGTTTGGATGGGGATACAGCTCTCAAACAGTCCTACCTTGATTACACTTGGAGCACTAGGAGCACTTGTTGGCTCTCTGCATTTGAAGAGCCTGGAGGTGCTGCTGGCTGGTCCGATACCAGCTCCATTTTCAGCCATGACGCGGAACTCGTACTCATTGCCCTCGGTCAGGTGGGTGACACGGTGCCTTAGCTCTGTTATGGGCCTCTTGGAAGACACCCTTACCCAACGAAGGCTCTTCTTCTCTCTCCTTTCCAGAATGTAATGTTTGATCTCATTACCTCCATCTGATCTTGGCCTGGTCCAGCACATAGTGATGCTATCTCCAGTTATGTGAGTTGCATCTGGTGTACCTGGAGCATCTGGCACAGCTAAGAGGAAAGCACAGCAAAACTGTAAGTTGAAAAAAATGCTTCTTTGGATCAGGTGGAAAATTTGAGGTTTTACTTCCAGACATAGAAATAATCTTCAAAGGTTTACTTACTGTATTGCATGCGTGCAATAACTGCATCCGAATCCAGTGGTTTGCCGACCCCAAATTTGTTAACTGCAGAGATTCTGAACTGGTACTCATTTCCCTTGATGAGGTTCGTGACATTATATGAGCAAGCTTCACATTTGGATGTAACCAAAGCCCAAGAAATTCTGGATGTTTCCCGTTTTTCCACTACATAGTGGGTGATTGCAGCACAGCCATCATTCTCTGGTGGGTTCCACCATACAGTGCACTTTTCAGCTGTGATGCCGGTAAAGCGGATGGGACCGTCAACAGGTCCAGGAGTATCTGTGTAAACACAGGGGTTCAGAGGTCTTAGTGTGAAAAACTATCTAATTTCTTTCTAATTAACTCATTGGCCACTTTTAGAGATCTGATAGTGAAACAAAAATGTATTGGTTTACCAACCTTGCACCCTGACATTAACATCTGCTTTCCTAGAGCCAGAGCTATTTTTGGCTTCCACAGTATAAATTCCACGGTGGTTCCTGTCTGCATCACGAATAAACAGACTGCTGGTGCCAATGCCAGTGGTTATCTCAATGTCAATCATTGTTCGCTTATCAATTTCTTTGCCGTCCTTGTACCACAAAACCTGAGGAACTGGGCGCCCAGTGATGGTACAATTGAGCTTAACATTTTCTCCAGCCTTCAGAGTGACCACCTGGTCAGGAGACCACTCAATTTCAGGAGTAACTGATGACAAAAACATTAAAACCAAAATTAATGTCAGCTTATTTGTGATAAATTGGTAAATTAAATGATCAATTTCTAAAGAAAAAACACATACTGCTCTCGTCCTTGGTCATGATATATCCAGAAGAGTTAGATGGTGGGCTGACTGTACCGACAGCATTTCTTGCAATCACTCTGAACTCATATCTGTCTCCAGGGGACAGACCAGTCACAGTGAACTGGGTATCACTTATATCAATAAAGTTGCATCGGAGCCATTTTGCTCTGCCTTGGCGCCTTTCTACATTATAAGCCACAATTTTGCTTCCACCGTCTCTCTTTGGAACTTCCCATTGCAGGGTGACTGAATCTCTAGTTGTATCAATGCAGACAGGATTGCCAGGTGGGTCTGGGGAAAGTGAGAACAAACCCGTTAATGTGTAATATTCGGGTTTAATTAAATCCGTATTGTTCATCCTTCTAAAAAACATTTTTCCAGTTAAATTGTCACATTCACAGTTTTTAAACAAAATAACATTAAACTTACCAACAGGGGATATGGCAAGAGCATGTTTGCTCTGCTCGCTGACAGGGCTTAGTCCAGCATTGTTTTCAGCATAAACTCTGAAAGAGTACTCCAGACCTTCCATGAGACCAATGATCCTGTACTCTTTGCTGGAAATGATTGTGGAATTCACCTTCTGCCATAAGAGGCTGTTCCTGTCCTTCTTCTCAACATGATAGCCCAATATAGGAGAACCGCCATCAAAGCCTGGGGCATCCCACTTAATGGTCATACCATCACTGGTGACGTTGAAGGCAACTGGCTTTCCTGGTGGACCTGGAGGTTTGTACTGGTGCTGAGCAATAACATCTGAGGAGCAGAGTGGTTCGCTGACTCCATACTTGTTCTCGGCACGGACTCTGAATTGGTATTGAGCTCCCTTGACTAGATTAGGAATCTTGAAGCTGGTCCTTACAACACTTGAACAGACCATTTTCCAGTTGGCCTGGGAGGTTTCACGTTTCTCCACGCTGTAGCATGTAATCTCACCACCGCCATCCTCCTTTGGCTCATCCCAGGAAATGATGATACTCTGAGCCTTTATCTCATCAAAGCGAACAGGACCAACAGGAGCTGTGGGTGGTCCAAGAGTGATCACATTGATGTCAAAGTAGTTTTTGACCACTCTGTTGTCAAGAACTAAAGTGTACTGGCCAGCATTCTCCTTCTTGGCTCCTCTAATTGTGACTGCAGTCTTGTTGTCAGTGGTTCTAAAGCGAATCTTCTCACTCTCCTTTAGTGGAAGGTTATCCTTCATCCAGCTGATTGCAGGTCTTGGTTTTCCCTTAAATGGTAGCTCAATGTGGATGTTTTGCCCAATACGAACAGCTAGCTCTCCATTTGGATAATCACTGAGACTGGCTTCTGGAGGAATAATAAAATCTATCACTGGGATTGGACCAATCAGAGAGAAATCACTTCTTCCTTTCTCATTTTTGGCAAACACTCTGAAATCCATGATGGCATTCTCCCTGAGTCCAGTCACCTCACATGTGCAACGTTTGCATGTTGCACCTAAACTCCAGTTGACTTCATCCTGGCTTCTCTTTTCAACTATGTACTCTGTGATGTGACTGCCTCCATCATGGTCTGGCCGGGTCCACTGTAGTGTAACAGAGGTTTTTGTAGAGTCCAACATCACCAGGTTTTTGACAGCTCCAGGAGTCTCTGTTGCTCTGACCGCTTCAGTGGACTCACAGAAGTCACCCACACCAAACTCATTTTCAGCTGACACACGAAAGAAGTAAGCAATATCCTCTTCCAGGTCAGTCACCTTGTAAGATGTGTTGGGACATTCTGCACTGATCACCTGGTAGGCCTTCATGGTTGAGGCTTTCTTCTCAACAATGTAATTTGTGACAGGCGAGCCACCATCAACAAGAGGAGCCTCCCAGCTTAGGGTCAGCTTTCCTCTAGTTACGTTCTTTATTATTAGCTTCTGGCAGGATGATGGACTATCTAGAACCCTGAGGGAAACGGTGATTATCTTGGGTTCACCTACACCATTCTCTATTTCCAGCAAGTACTTTCCACAGTCATCACGAGTGACCTTTGGAATAAGGAGTGTGGTGGATCTCTCAGTGCTGTTGATGGTGAAGCGATTGTCACCAGCCATGTTACGATCACCACGTCGCCAGGTGACATTGGGAGCTGGTCGTCCCTTCAATGGGATAAACACTTCAACATCGCGGCCAGCTTTAGCTGTGTATTGAGTTGTCATAGGAACATCTAAGTCCAAATCAGCCTCCTCTGTTAAAAAGACAAAAAAAATAATAGTACCAATAAATAAAAGAAATTATAAACCACCAGGGGAAAAGAAAATGTCCAGATTTTATGACTTTTTTAAGTCAAAATAATTTTCAATATTTTTTTCTCAATTATAAATAAAATCCAAACCTAATATGTCTTTGGCTTGCACAGGCTGGTACATCTTGATGTCCTCTCCTTTGCCCTTGCTGTTCACAGCAGATACTCTGAAAAAGTAGTAAGTAGCAGGTTTCAAGTGGGGCACCACATACTCGCAACCCTTAACCTGTGGGTTGGTGATGACCCATTCTTTCTCTCCTGCATTCATCTGTTCCAGTAAGTAGTGTGTAATTTCACTGCCACCATCATAGACAGGCTTCTCCCAGCCAAGAGTGATGGAAGTCTTGGTGGAGTCGACCACACGGAGCTTTGAAGGTTCACCAGGCAGATCTAGGGAGGCCAAATAAGGTGAACATTTTTAGTAGCTGCATATAAACCCACCTCAGGTTATAAAGGTTAACATTCAGAAACAACATGAAATCTTCTGGCATACCAATGGGGTCATAGGCTCTGTAAAGATCAGAGGCTTCAGAGTAGTTTCCTGCCCCAGCTTTGTTTACTGCACAAACTCTGAACTGGTACTCATTGTTTTCTGTTAAGTTGCTGACTTTCTGTCTGGTGTCTCTGATTGTTCCTTTCACCACCTGGAAAAAACAGTGGATAATGTTATAGATAATAAAAATATCCATATAGTTTATCTTTTTATAAGCATGAAATTAGTAAATAATCTATAAACTAACCTTGAACCACTGAAGACTCTTCTTCTCTCTTTTCTCAAGGTAATAACCATCAATATCACTGCCTCCATCTAGAGCAGGTCTTTCCCAGATCACAGTCATTGTGGACTTAGTAATCATAGTGACTTTAGGCTTGGATGGTTCACTTGGAGGAACTGTATAAAATGAAAACACACAGCTCACATAAGACTGTTTAGACTATTATACTGTGTTAAATGAGTAAAAATGTGCTGTGTTCTGCTACCGAATGGGTTCTTTGCAATAATGGGCTCAGATTCCAGAGGGTCTCCAATGCCATATTTATTGACTCCACGGACTCTGAAGATGTACTCATTACCCTGGATGAGTCTGGGCACATTCACGATGCAGTCTACGAGTTTCTCAGACACAATAGACCACATGACTCTGCTGGTCTCTCTCTTCTCTACGATGTAATGAGTTACCATGGCACCGCCCTCATCGGCAGGTGGAGACCACATGATGGTGATGTTGTCAGCCATCACTTTCTTAAACTGAATTTCGCCAGCAGGAGGTCCTGGCTTGTCTGATAAAGGAACAAATATACACAAAACATTAGGTGTACATTATGTCTTTCAATGCAAATGTGTTGTCGTAACATTATCATGTGAATACCTTGAATAAGCAGCCTGACAATTGCACATGAAGATCCCAGGGAGTTCTTCACTTTGACCTCATACGTCCCTGAGTTCAGACGAGTAGTGTCCCTCAGGAATATACTGGTGGACTCAAACATGTGTTTGAAAGTGAGCTGAGCAGTAGGTTTGAGCTCTCTTCCATCCTTAAACCACTCAATTGTGGGGGTAGGTTTGGCTGTGATATTGAATTTAAGTTCCACATCTGAGCCAGCGCTGTATTTGACCTCATTAAGGTACTCCTGGGGAATTTCAATTTCTGGGGCACCTGATAGAAACAAATATGTGTTTGTTGAATTTCTGAGGTAGCTAGCTATCATGCATAACAAGAGCACAGTGACAATTTGTACAGATAATCATAAGCTTAACAGGGGGAAAAAAACACAAAAAAATAGTAAAAATAACCAATAGATTATATTGTATTTAACTGAAACAACTATAAGTAAATCCAGGATCAAAAATAATTCCTACCATAAGTGTCCACACAGGTGGCTGGTCCAGCTGTCATAGATGGGTTGCTTACTGAACCAACAGCATTCTTGGCCATGACCCTGAATTCATAGGTTTCATTCTGGGTAAGTCCAGCCACAGTGAAATGTGTGTCCGAGATATTGGTGAGGTTAGCTTTGGACCACTTAGGACTAACACCTTCTCTCTTCTCAATAACATAACCAGTAACAGGGGATCCACCATCATAGTTGGGTTTCTCCCACGCAAGGCTGATGGAGTTTTTGGTGATGTCACTGATTCTTAGGTTGATGGGTGGCTCTGCAGAAATGTCCAGAGAAGGTTAATTAACAGACTTTCACCATAATTTGATTATGTTTATCTTTAAAAATGTTTCACTTTGAACTCACCACAAGCATCTATAGCCAACACAGCATCTGAAGCCTTACTGAAAACACTGAGGCCAGCAGCATTTTCCGCTGCCACCTTAAACTCATAAATAAGTCCAGCATTAATGTTGGTGACCTTATAGTGTGTAGAACGGATCACGGTTTTGTTAACCAGCTGCCACATGATGCTGTTCCTATCTTTCATCTGGAGATGATAGCCAAACACATGGCTGCCTCCATCTGACTTGGGCTCCTTCCAGGCTAATGCGATGCTTTCCCTGGTTACAGCAGTAACTTCTGGAGTTGATGGAGCATCTGGAATAGCTGGTAGATAAAAATCAAAGTTACAAGGTTTGTGCTTGTTCATTATTAAACTTGGAGGATTACATGTTACATTGTAATGATAGCTAAATAAACCACTTACTGTATGGTAGGCTGACTGTGACTGCTGGAGAGTCAATATGTTCACTAATTCCATATTTGTTCTCAGCCCTGATTCTGAACTGATACTCCAAGCCAGTGGTAAGTTTCATAACCTTTATGGTGCAACGAGCCACAGCAGATGAGACGTCAATCCAGTTTGCTGTAGTTGTTTCTCTCTTCTGGATGATATAGTTAGTGATAGGGCTACCACCATCATATGCAGGTGGGAGCCAGCTGAGGCTTGCACTGTCTTCTGTGACATCAAACAGTTCTACAGGTCCAAGGGGAACACTTGGACGGTCCAGAATCACAATATTGACAAAGGACTTGGTGGTTCCACTGGAGTTGGAGGCAGTTATATCATAGCGCCCCGAGTCTCCAGCAATGCTTTCACGCAAGATGATTTTGATGCTGTCAGGAGTGACTTCAGAATTGAACCTCATTGTTGACTTCAGTACTACATTATCTTTGGAAAGAGTGACTTTGGGCAGGGGTCTGCCAGTCAGAGGAATTTCACACTTCAGAGTTGAGCCAGCTCTAACGTACACAGTATTGTGGGGGAAGTCCTTCATGTTGATTTCGGGAGATTCTAGAGAAACATGAAGATCACAGGTTTTACAATGTTTTTTGATTTTTGACTAGACTGTATCAGAACAAGTACAAGTATAGAAAACAAGTTAGACCCGAAATTATTTTCTTCAGGGTCACAGTAGTGAAATTGAATATGTATGTATTTTGTAACTTACCCAGCTGGTCTTTGACCATAACAGGAGTGAACATTTCCTTAACATCACTATATCCAGCAAGGTTCTCAGCTTTGACCCTGAAGTAGTATTCAGCTTTCTCCCTTAGGCCAGACACAGTAAAGTGGATAAACTTGGTGACGCCACATTTAACCCACTTCTCCTGACCCTTCTCCAGTGCTTCAACCAGATATCCAGTAATTCTGCTGCCTCCATCATGTTCAGGTTTAGCCCATGCCAATGACACACTCTCCTTAGTGACATCAGTTACTCCAAGCTTTGGTGGTGGGCTTGGTTTTTCTGGAAAAAAGAGGACATAATTTGTTTCATTGACAAAGCTCATATTTTCTTGTGTGTAAATTTATTTTGTGCAAACGACAGATAACATAACATGAATGTTTTTACCTGTGATCTTGGTTCCCTCTTTGGTCTCAGCTGGAACACCAACACCATAGTCATTCTCGCCTGTCACTCTGAAATAGTAAACTTCTCCTTCCTTAAGGTTTGACACCTTATAAGTCAGTCTGTGGCATGTATCAGTCAACCTAGTCCAACCTTTTTTGCTTGCCTCTCGGAAATCAACAAGATAATTCTTTACTGGTCCTCCTCCTTCATTCTCTGGAGTGTCCCAAGTTACAGTAGCAGATGACTTAGTGACTTCCTTGACTTCCACATATGCTGGAGGTCCAGGTGAGTCAAGAACTCTAACATTGAGTGTCAGTGAGGAGGTTCCAGCAATGCTAGACAAAGTGACAGTGTATTTTCCAGAGTCATTGCGTGTTGCTTTCTCTAAGGTGATTGAGGTGAAGGTGTCTGTGGTGTCAATGATGGCACGTACTCTAAGATCAATATCAGGCTTTGTCCAGCTCACAGTGGGAATAGGCTTGCCTCTGAAGGGTACTCTCATTGTAAATGAGCTGCCATCTTTCACAATAAGAGTCTTCCTCATTTCATTGCTTATTTCAAAGACAGGCTCTTCTTCTTTTTCTTTCGCAGTCTGTTTGTCTGATTCAGGACTAGGCTCACTTGCTCCAATCTTGTTAATGGATCTGACAACAAATACATATTCAGCTCCAGGAGTCAGTCCCACCACTGTAAACTCTGTATTCTTGGTGTTCTGGACTCCAACGAACCATTCATCATCTAATGACTTTCTGTATTCTACTCGGTAACCAGTTACAGGTGCTCCACCATCAAACAGTGGTTTATTCCATGCTAGTGTTACTGTGGTCTTTGTTGAGTCAATGATCCTGGGCTTAGCAGGAGGTGAGGGAAGGAACTGTGGGTCTTCAGCCTTGGTGAGTGGGCAAGGGGTGCTAGGTGCACTAAGTCCAGCAGCATTCTCTGCAAACACTCTGTACTCATATTCACTTCCCTCACGAAGATTGGAAGCTTTGACTCTTAGGTCATAGACAGGCTTCTTATTGACACGGCACCAGCGGAGACCAGTCTTCTCTCGCTTTTCAATTACATAGCCAGAAATACTGCTGCCACCATCAAAAACTGGTCTTTCCCAACAGATTGTCATGGCCTCACTAGTGACTGAGGTGACCTGGACATTAGTGGGGGCTGCAGCTACCGTGAATGGATCCAAAGCTTTTACTGCCTCACTCTCCAGAGGCTCACCATCTCCATATTTGTTAACTCCTCTGACCCTGAAAATGTACTCATTTCCTTTGAGCAGCTTAGTAACTTTGCAGGTAGTTGCCTTCATGTCACCATAAACAAGAGTCCAAGCAAGGCGGCTTGTCTCACGTTTCTCCACTATATAGTACATGATTTCAGCTCCTCCATTCTCTTGAGGTGGACCCCATGTTATAGTGCACTTCTCTGCTGTAAGACCAGACACTGCCAAAGGTCCTGAAGCTGGTCCAGGCCTGTCCAGAACCTTACAGTTGATAGCTACAGACCTGGTTCCAGCTACATTGTGCAAAGTCAAAACATACTGTCCAGAATCCCTCCTGATAGCATCTCTGACAATTAGAGTAGTGGTAAAATTTGTGGAAGTGATTTCACACCTGGCCTTGGCCTCAATATCTTTTCCATCTTTAGTCCATGAAACCACTGGGATTGGACGACCTGTAATTTCAGCATCAATTCTAATTATCTCTCCAGCCTTAATAACAACTAATTGCCTGAATTTATCCTCTAAGGTGATGGAAGGAGGGTCTACATCGTCTTTGATGGTGACAGGACCAGTGCATTCTGAAGGGGCACTCAACATTTCTGCAGAATTCTTTGCAATAACATGGAAGTCATATTGTGCATCTTCTGTAAGACCTGTGACATCAAAGTAAGTCTCCTGTAGATTGGCGAAGTTACACTTTAGCCAGCGACCATTAGGGAGCTCTTTTTGCTCCACTATGTATCCAACAATTTTCACTCCACCATCATATTCAGGTGGATCCCAGAAGAGAGAAACTGAGTTTCTGGTGATATTTGTGACTTTAAGGTTATGTGGTGATTCACATGGGTCCCTGGCTGCAACTGGTTCACAAGATTTAGTACATGGACCAATGCCAGCAATATTCTCTGCATAGACTCTAAACTGGTATGAGAGGCCTTCTTCAATGCCTGTCATCTTAAATTGATTTTCAGTCAGCAGACCTCTACTGACTTTGGTCCACAAAATGCTGCTTTGGTCTTTGGATTCAACATGATAACCAATGACAGGGCTTCCACCATCACTGGAAGGTCTTCCCCAGACTACAAGCATGCCAGTCTTGGTAGCATGGGCAACATGAAGATTGGTTGGAGGACCAGGAGGCTCAAACGGATATTGTGCAACAACAGGAGCAGAATCAATCGCAGAACTCTTGCCATAGCGGTTTTCAGCTGCAATGCGGAACTGGTACTCTGTGCCCTGAGTGAGACGGGAAACCTTTATGGATGTCCTGGCTACTGTAGCTGAGACAATTTGCCATGTGGTAGAAGTAGTGTCTCTCTTCTCCACAACATAGTTGTTAATCTGGCACCCACCATCATAGGTTGGAGCATCCCAGGACAGAGAGATGAAGTCAGCACTCACCTCATCCACCCTAATGTTGCTGGGTGGGCCTGGTTTATCCAGAATTATTACTAAAATTTCAGCTGTCTTTGTGCCAATTGAATTAGTCAAAGTGATCTCATATTTTCCAATATCATCTTTGGTGGCATCTTTGATTATGATCTTTGATGAGGTCTTTGAATTCAGAACATTTACTCTAGTAGTTTGCTTTAGTGCACTGCCATCCTTCTTCCAGGACACCTCGGGTTGAGGTCTGCCTTTGAAAGGAACATCAATTTTCAAGTCATCTCCTGCTTTTACACTGTATGTGTGGAAAAGCAAGTTGATGGTGGGCTCCATTGTGATATCTTTTACTAACACAGGCATAGCCAGAGGTTTGGGATCACTCCTACCCTTATCATTCACAGCAATTACTCTGAAGGAGTATTCCTCACCAGTAGTAAGTCCCTCAATAGTAGCTTCTAGTCCTTTGGCATCACTGCACACTGTCCATTTTTCATCTCCCTTAGGCTGCATCTCCACTGTGTAGCTTGTAATTTTGCTGCCACCATCATGATCTGGTTTTTCCCATGAAAGGGTGACAGTGTGACGAGTCACATCAACCACAGTTATTTTACCAGGGGGCAAAGGTGCTTCTGAAACTTTGACTTGATCTGTTGTAGCTGACAGACCAACTCCTAGCTCATTTACAGCCAACACACGGAAAAAATATCTACCTCCCTCCTGCAGGTCAGAAATAATGTATGAGTTCCTTACACAATTGGTGCTAACACTGGTGAAAGCCATTCGCTTCTGCTCTCTCTTCTCCACAATATAGTGTGATATCTTTGCTCCACCATCAATCAGAGGAGGCTCCCAGGAAAGAGAGACAGAATGTCTCTTTACATCCTTGACTTGTAGGTTTGTTGGAGCACTGGGTGAATCCAAAACTCTAACGTTGATAAAAGCTGATTTAGAGCCACTAAGGTTCTCAAGGGTTAGTACATATTTGCCAGTGTCAAATCTGTCAACATTTTCAATCACAAGCATTGTGTAAGAGCTTGTGACTTCAATCTGAGCACGCTCATTTAGAGTGCCATCAGCCTTTGACCACTTGACTTCAGGCTCTGGTTTTCCTCTGATAGTTACAAAAAGACGTAGTGTTGCAGTGGCACGAACATTGACCATCTTTCTCAGGTCAGCATCTAGTTCAATTTCAGGAGCCTGCAACTTCTCAGCTGCAATCACAGACCCTGGGAGGTCCACATGATCTCCTACTCCCTCACAGTTCATAGCACATATGCGGAAATTGTATTCTGCATTCTCCTTTAACTTCTTTACAGTGTAGTGAGTGTCTTGGACACCAGTATGAGGTGTGCAAACAATCCATTCATCATCTAATGCCTCCTTCACTTCAACAACATATCCAGTAATATGTGCTCCACCATCATAGATAGGTCTTGACCAGGAAAGGGAGACTGTCGTACTGGAATGGTCAGTGACTTTGGGGTTATTTGGAGGTCCTGGTGGATAAGTGGCATCGCATGCTTTGATGTACTGTGTCGGTGTGCTAGGCTTTCCAACACCTGCAGCATTTTCAGCTGAGACCCGGAATTCATAGGAATGGCCCTCTGTGAGACCAGCACACCTAAATCTCAAGTCAGTCAGTCTCTTCTTGTTGCACTTGGTCCACCTGACACCATCCTTGTCACGTTTTTCTAGTACATATCCTTCAATCTCAGCTCCTCCATTATTCTCTGGCCTCTCCCAAGTAAGTACAATGAAATCCCTAGTAATAGCACTGGCTTCAGGAGTGGAGGGTGCACTGGGAGTGGTGAATGGATTACGGGCAACAACAGGCTCAGATTCTAAAGGTTCACCAACTCCATATTTATTCACAGCAGTAACTCTGAAGATGTATTCATTTCCAGGGAGCAGTTTTGTAACTTTATAGCTGATTGCCTGGATCTTTGGCTCAACCATGGTCCATGACAAACGACTGGTTTCCCTCTTTTCAATGATATAGTGAGAGATGCTAGCTCCACCATCATGTGAAGGATGGCTCCAGTGCAGATAACATTTTTCAGCTGTCACTCCTTTCACTTCTAATGGTCCATCTGGAGGACCAGGTCTGTCCAAAACCTTTACATTAACTGGGATCATTTTGACTCCACCCACATTAACAAGCTTGAGAACAAAGTGGCCACCATCAACTCGTATGCAGTCTTTAACTGTCAGGATGGTGCGGGTTAGTGTGGTCTTGATTTCCATTCTTGGGGTAGTTTTGTCAATTTCCTTTCCATCCTTTAACCATGTGACCTCAGGCAGAGGCTTACCAGTGTAATCAGCATCAATGATAAATGTCTCATCAGCATGAACAACTGTGAGATCTTTGAACTTAGGATCCATGGTGGCATCTGGAGCCTCAATTTCATCTTTAGCTGTTATTTCTCCGGTGCTTTCAGATGGGCTACTAGAAATACCGGCAGAATTCCTAGCAATGATTCTAAACTCATAAACACAATCCTCAGTGAGACCAGTGAGAGTGTATTGGGTATCAATAATGTTGGTGAAGGTTGCTTTCATCCAGCGTTTATCTGGGTGCTTCCTCCTCTCAATCAAATACCCAGTGATTGCACTGCCTCCATTGTACTGGGGTCTGGTCCACTGAAGTGTGATATGGTTTCTGGTGATTTCAATAGCCTCAGGAGTGCCTGGTGGGTCACATGGATCCCTGGCTACTGTGCTCTCTGAGACCTTGCTAGCTGGGCTGAGGCCAGCCATGTTCTCAGCATAAACCCTAAATTCATACTCTATACCCTCTTCCAATTCTGTGGTTTTAAATCGTGCATCTGGAATAAGAAGCTTGTTTAATTTGGCCCATAAAAGGCTGTTCTTCTCCTTTCTCTCCAGGTGATAGCCTAGAATTGGACTACCCCCATTGTTGGTGGGGGGTTTCCATTCAACAACCATGCTCTCTTTGGTTGCAGATGTAATAACTGGTATTCCAGGGGCAGCAGGCTCACTGAATGGATACTTGGCAACCACAGCAGGAGAGACAATAGCTGAACTCTTTCCATATCTATTCTCAGCTGAAACTCTAAATTGATATTCAGTGCCAGTCTTCAAATTGCTGACTTTTATGGTTGTCCTGGCTATTGTAGCAGAAACAATTTGCCATACAGTAGTAGTGGTGTCTCTCTTCTCTACGATGTAGTTGTTGATCTGACAACCTCCAGTATACTCTGGTGGTTCCCAGGACAGATTAACAAAATTAGAACTCACTTCATCAATCTTCACAGGGCCTGTAGGAGGTCCAGGTTTGTCAAGAATGATAACAGTAATCTCCTCTGTAGCTGTTCCAATGCTGCTGGTTGCTGTAATGGTGTACTTGCCAGAATCTTCCTTATTGGCATCTTTGATTACCAACTTTGTAGATGATGGTGTGCTTGATACATTTATTCTAGTCGTCTCTTTAAGAAGTTGTCCTTCCTTTTTCCATTCAACCTTTGGAACAGGACGTCCAAGAACTGAAATCTCAATTTTCAGATCCTCGCCTTGTTGTAAGCTGTAGGTATTGAATCTCATCTTGAATCCAGGCTCAACAGTAACATCTTTAGCAGTAACTGCTGCAGCCAGAGCCCTTGGGTCACTCTTTCCTTTTTCATTGAAGGCTGATATTCTGAAAAGGTACTCATGTCCTGCACTTAGACCGGTAACAGTACCCTCACAGGTCTTAGTTGTGGTAGCCACAACCCATTCTTCTGACCCCACAGGCTGCATCTCAATGTAGTATCCAATGATCCTGCTGCCTCCATCATGGACTGGTTTTTCCCAGGAGAGCGAGGCTGTGGTTTTTGTGACTTCAGTCAAATTAACTTTACCCACAGGTAAAGGTGGCTCAGATGTTTTAACAGATTCTTTTGTTTCAACGGGCTGTCCAATACCAAATTCATTTTCTGCTAAGACTCTAAAGTAATAAATTGTTCCCTCAGTAAGACCTGTGATACGGTAACTTGTCTTTGTACATTTGTTGTCTACATTAGAGTACACCTTCCTGGTTGACTCACGCTTCTCAACCAAGTAATTCTTTATTCTTGAGCCACCGTCAATTACAGGGGGTTCCCAAGTCAAAGTGACACTCTCCCTCTTTATGTCTTTAACTTTAAGATTTAATGGAGCCCCTGGGGTGTCCAGAACTTTAACGGAGACAAAAGCTGATTTGCTACCAGCACTGTTTGCTACGTTGAGGATGTATTTTCCAGCATCATATTTATCACAAATGTCAATAGAAAGCTGTGTGAAATGTTCAGCAGTCTCAATCTGTGCTTTACTGGGCAGCTCACCATCCTCTTTAGCCCAGCTTACGTCAGGAGTGGGACGACCCTCAAAAGGAACGCAGATTCTCATTGAGCCTCCTGCACGAACCACTATTCCCTTCCTGAGCTCTGAATCCAAAATGATCTCCGGGGGGTCAATTTTATCTACAGGGATCACAACTCCCAGAATTTCTGTGGGCTCACCAACACCAATTTTATTCATGGCACAGACACGCACCTTGTATTCTTGATGTTCTGTCAGGTTTTTGATGGTAAACTTGGTAAGATTCACTCCAGTTGGTGGTGTGCAAATAGTCCATTCCTCTTCTTCTGCCTTGGTTATTTCAACAGCATATCCTTGAATTTCACAACCCCCATCATATATAGGCCTGTGCCAAGCTAAGCTGATGGAGTCTTTTGTTGTGTCAACTACGTGGGCATTAGTGGGAATGCCTGGTTCAAAAGTAGGGTCACAGGCTTTGAGATAGGGTGTAGGTGGGCTTGGCTGGCCCACTCCAGCTGCATTTTCAGCAGATACCCTGAACTCATAATCATGGTCTTCAGTGAGACCTGTTACTCTAAAACGCAAATCAGTCACTCTGCGTTTATTGCACTTGGTCCATCTCACTCCAGCTCTGTCTCTCTTTTCAATAATGTAACCAGCAATGTCACTTCCTCCTGTAGACTGTGGGCGGTTCCAGCAAACAGTCATTGAATCCCTAGTAATGTTAGTGATTTCTAGTTCACGAGGTGAACCAGGAGGAACAAATGGATTTCTCATGATAACTGGCTCAGATTCCAGAGGTTCCCCTACTCCATACTTGTTGACAGCCAAAACTCTGAAGATGTACTCATTACCTTTCAATAGTTTGGTAACCTTGAACATTGTAGCTCCACAATCACTGGAGACCACAGTCCAAGCCAACCGGCTAGTTTCTCTCTTTTGAATGACGTAGTGAGAAATGCTAGCTCCTCCGTCATGCCTGGGTGGCAGCCATGACAGTGAGCATTTCTCCTCAGTAACATTACTGACTGTGAGGGGTCCCTCAGATGGACCTGGTCTATCAAGAACCTTCACAGTGAATGGGACGGTCTTAGTTCCTGCAACATTTGTCAGAACCAAAGTGTACTGTCCACCATCCACTCTGATGGAGTCCTTTACGACAAGTAATGCTTTAAAATCAGTGTTTTTGATTTCAGCTCTTGCAGAGTTTTCAACTTCAACACTCCCTTTGAACCACTGGGCTGTTGGGATGGGCTTTCCTTCTACACTAGCCTCCAGACTGAAAGTTTCTCCAGCATTAAGGACAATTGTCTGATTGTATATTGGATCAGTTTCACACTTGGGTGGCTCAACTTCATCCTTAGCTGTTATGGATCCTGTGCTCTCAGAGGGTTTGCTGACAGCACCAGCGGCATTCCTTGCAATCACTCTGAAGTCATATTTACTGTCTTCTGTAAGGCCAGTAACTGTAAATTCATTTTCAATAATGTTTGTGAAACTAGCTTTCATCCATTTTCCCTCTGGAAGGTCACGTTTCTCTATTAAATAGCCAGTTACAATGCTTCCACCATCATATTGTGGGGGTGTCCATCTCAGCATCACAGAGTGTCTGGTTACAATTACAGCCTCTGGACGGCCAGGAGGATCACATGGGTCACGCGCTACATAAACTTCTGAGACTTTGCTGCATTTTCCAATGCCAACTATATTCTCAGCATATACCCTATACTCATACTCAATGCCTTCCTCAAGAGGAGTAGACTTGAATTTACAATCTTGAATTAGCATTTTGTTGATCTTTGTCCACAGGATACTATTCTTCTCTTTCCTCTCCAAATGATAACCCAAAATGGCACTGCCTCCATCAGATGGAGGTCTATGCCACTCGACCAACATGTAATCTTTAGTGTAGGAGGAAACAAATGGTGTTCCTGGTGGTCCAGGTTCTTGGAATGGATATTGTGCTACAACAGGCACTGAATCAATTGCGTAACTCTTTCCATATCTGTTTTCAGCAAAGATTCTAAACTGGTATTCACCACCAGTCTTGAGATTGGCAACCTTTAACGTTGTTCTAGCCACAGTGGCAGACACAACAACCCAATTAGTTGTAGTTGTGTCTCTCTTTTCCACTACGTAATTGGAAATTGGACAGCCACCTGTGTATGAGGGAGGTTCCCAATTAAGAGTGACACTGTCAGCACTAACATCATCAATCTTGATTGGACCTGTTGGTGGTCCTGGTTTATCCAGGGTGATAACTTCAATAGTGGCATCCTTGGAACCGAAAGCATTCGCAATAGTGACAGTGTACATACCACCATCCTCTCTGGTGGCATCCTTTATGGTTAGAGTGCTGTGATGTGCTGAATCACTGACATTAACTCTGGTGGTCTGCTTAAGTGCCACTCCATCCTTAATCCAGGTAATAGTTGGTTTTGGATGACCAGCAACTGGAACCTCTATCTTGAGGTCATTTCCCACCTGAACACTGTAGGAACTTGATTTGGGTCTCACAGAAGGCTCAATGATTAGGTCCTTGGCTACAACTGATTGAGCCAGTTGTCTTGGGTCACTTTTACCTTTCTCATTTACAGCAACAACTCTGAACTGATATTCCTCTCCCTTCAGAAGGTTGCTCACTACTGTCTCAAGGCCTTTTACACTAGCACACACAGTCCATGCCTCACTGTCCTTAGGAGCCATTTCAATTTCATAATAACTGATCCTACTTCCACCATCATGTTCAGATTTCTCCCACCTTAGAGTAACAGTACTGTTGGTGACGTCAAGAACAGTAACCTTACCGGGTGGCTGAGGCTTCTCAGATATTTTAATTGGCTCCATAGTTTTAGCTTGGAGACCCACACCATATTCATTCTCAGCCAAGACCCTAAAGAAGAAGATTCCACCCTCTGGAAGAGGTTCAACTTTCCATGACATCTTGTTACATGTTGTAATGGTAGTATAAACTTTTCTTGTGCTTTCACGCTTCTCAACAATATAGTGCTTAATCTTTGAACCACCATCCAGAAGTGGAGGTTCCCATGAGAGAGTGACAGAGTTCTTAGTAATCTCTTTGACTGTTAAGTTAGTTGGTGGACTAGGAGAATCCAGGACTCTAACACTGATGAACACTGATTTAACTCCACTGGCATTCTCTGCAGTCAGTGTGTACTTGCCACTATCAAATCGGTCAACATTCTCAATGGTAAGTGAAGCATAGCTTCCTGTGTTATCAATTTGGGCAGTCTCTTTAATCTCACCTTCAACCTTTCCCCATTTCAATTCAGGAGCTGGCCGCCCTTTCACAGGTACAAACAACCTGAGTGTGCAAGCTGATCTGATGTTGATCATTTTTCTCATATCAGCATCTAATTCAAGGTCAGGGGCCTCAAGCGTCTCTTCAAGAAGGATTTTACCAGGCACATCAGCATGTTCACCAATACCAATTTTGTTAATTGCACAAACTCTAAACTGGTACTCATGCTTTTCCAAAAGCTTTTTCACTGTGAATTTAGTGTCTGCTATTCCAGTGGGTGGAGTGCACATAAACCACTCATCAGCTGCTACATCATATGCTTCAACAATGTAAGCCTTGATCTCACTTCCACCATCATATATGGGCTTACCCCATGTAAGAGATACAGTAGACCTAGAGGTGTCTACTACCTTGGGGTTGTTGGGTGGGCCTGGTTCAAAAACAGGATCCAGTGCTTTGTAGTATAGTGTTGGTGTGCTAGGTGTACCAATTCCAGCAGCATTCTCAGCAGCCACTCGGAATTCATAGCTATGGTTTTCTATGAGTCCTGTCACTCTGAAACGCAACTCTGTCACACTGCGCTTGTTGCACCTTGTCCATCTCACACCATCCTTATCACGTTTCTCAATGACATAGCCCTGAATGGAATTGCCACCATCATTGTTTGGTCTCTCCCAGGTTATCACCATAGAGTCCTTAGTAATTGAAGAAACATCTATGTCAGTTGGTGGACTTGGTGCGACAAATGGATTTTTGGCAATCATTGCCTCAGATTCCAAAGGCTCGCCAATACCATATTTGTTGACAGGGATCACTCTGAAGATGTATTCATTACCAGGTAGAAGTTTGGTGATTTTTAGATTTAGGGTCTGAACCTTTTGCTCAACTACAGTCCATACCAGCCTGCTGGTTTCCCTTCTCTCAACAATATAATGGGAGATATCACTACCTCCATCTTGCAAGGGAGGTTTCCAGGAAATTGAGCATTTCTCACTGGTGACACCATAAATAGAAATAGGGCCCTCAGGTGGACCTGGTCTATCCAATACCTTGACATTAATGTTAATAACTTTTTCTCCACCAACATTCTTTACCACTAATGTGTATTGTCCTCCATCAACACGAATAGCTTCTTTAACAATTAAACAAGCTGAAAAATCGGTATTATGGATTTCTAAACGAGCTGCTTCTGCAATCTCAGTGCCTTCTTTCAGCCAGTGTACAGTGGGTACAGGCTTACCAAAAATAGCAGCCTGAAGTTTAAATGTCTCTCCGGCATTTACAAGCACAACCTGGGAGTATTTAGCTTCCAGGTCAATTTTTGGTGGGTCAATTTCATCCTTGGCAGTGATGGATCCAGAAGAATCAGATGGTTGGCTAAAGACACCAGCTGCATTTTTGGCAATGACACGGAATTCATAGGTTTGATCCTCAGTAAGTCCTGTGACAACAAATTCAGTTTCAATAATGTTGGCAAAACTGGCCTTCATCCAACGCCCACTTGCCTCCTTTTTCTCAACAACATAACCAGTGATTTTGATGCCACCATCAAATTCAGGCTTGGCCCATCTCAGTGTCACTTGGCTTCTTGTTACAATGACAGCCTCTGGTTTTCCGGGTCTGTCACAAGGATCCCTGGCTACTTGGATTTCACTCACCTTGCTAGGTTTGCTGAGGCCAACAATATTCTCAGCATACACTCTAAACTCATATTCAATGCCCTCTTCAAGTCCAACCACTTTATATCTGGTCTCTGGGATTATCTGCTTATTTTGTTTCACCCAGAGAATGCTGTTTCTTTCTTTAAGTTCTAAGTGGTACCCCAGAATTTTGCTTCCACCGTCATTGCTGGGATTCTCCCACACAACAGTCATGGTCTCTCTGGTGGCCGACTTTACCACAACAGATCGCGGGGAACTGGGCACCTCAAATGGATACTGAGCAACAATGCTATCAGAAATGAGAAAAGATGACTTGCCATATCTATTTTCTGCAGCAATTCTAAATTGATACTCTGAACCAGTCTTCAGACGAGCCGCTTTGATGGTTGTTCTAGCTACAGTAGCAGAAACAATCTGCCAGTTTGTAGTTGAGGTATCTCTCTTCTCTACAATGTAATTGTTGATTGAGCACCCTCCATCATATTGCGGTGGATCCCAAGACAAGACAACACTGTCTGCTGTGACCTCATCCAGCTTGATCGGGCCAGTAGGAGGACCAGGTTTGTCCAAGACAACAACACTGATATCTGTTGTAGCCTCCCCAGCTGTATTGTTTAGTTTTATAGTATATTTTCCCACATCGTCTCTGCAAGCCTCCTTAATGATAAGAAGAAGGTTTTTGTCTGTGGCCTCAGCATTAACTCTTGTTGTTTCTTTGAGAATGACATCATCCTTCAGCCAAGTTGCTGTAGCCTTAGGACAGGCAACATATGGTACATCAATCTTAAGATCATCACCTGCCAGCACACTGAATGTGCTGAAAATCAGTTTGAAAGCTGGTGGTATGACTAAATCTTTAGCCACCACAGGTACATTGAGAGGCCGGGGGTCACTAACACCCTTTTCATTGAATGCAGAAATTCTGAACATATACTCCTCTCCATGTGTAAGTCCAGTTACGTGGGCCTCGTTTGTCTTTACCACCATCACTTGTGTCCATTTCTCACTTCCTTTACATTGCATCTCAACATTATAGCCTGCAATTCTGCTTCCTCCATCATGGTCTGGTTTTTCCCAAGTTAGTGTGACACTTGTTCCAGTAACTTCACGAAGAGATACCTTGCCTGGTGGCAGAGGCTTTTCTGATGCCTTAATTGATTCAATGGTTTCAACTGGGAGACCAATACCAAATTCGTTTTCAGCGACTATTCTAAAGAAGTACAATTTTCCTTCTTCCAGGTCTCCCACTTTCCAACTAGACTTATGGCAGCTGGCACATACGGTTGAGTAGGCTTTTCTGGTCGACTCGCGCTTCTCCACAATGTAGCTGCGGACCCTGGAGCCCCCATCTATGAGAGGTGGATCCCAAACCAGGGAAACTGAATCTCTTGTGACCTCCTTAACGATGAGATTCTGAGGTGGTCCAGGAGTATCTAGTACTCTGACATTAACAAAAGCTGTTTTACTTCCTGAGGCATTCTCTACTGTCACCAAGTATTTACCTCCATCAAACCTGTCAACATTGTCTATCTGAAGAGTTGTGAATGATGGGGTAATTTCAATGTTGGCCTTGTCCAGGGATTCTCCATGCTCTCTTGACCATTTAACTTCTGGTGCTGGCCTTCCTTTGATAGGGACAAAAAGTCTAAGTGTGCTACAGGCTCTGATGGAAACAACTTTACGTAGCTCTGCTCCAAGTTCAATTTCAGGTGGAATTAATCTGTCTTCAGCCTTAGGGGTTCCAGGTACAGGAGCAGGTTCTCCCACCCCTTCAGAATTTGTTGCACAGATGTTGATTTTATACTCCTGGTTTTCTTTCAGACTAGTAATGGTAAAAGATGTGGCTGTCCATCCTTTCTTAGGAGTATGAATTGTCCACTCATCCTCCTCAGGCAGGCAAGTCTCTACAATGTAACCAGTGATTTCAGAACCACCATCATAAACAGGTTTATTCCAAGCGACAGTAATGGATGATTTAGAGGTGTCAAGCACTCTTGGGTTTCCGGGAGGTCCAGGCTGAAAGATTGTGTCAACGGCCTTGTAGAATGGACTAGAAGGACTAGGCTGACTGAGACCAGCATTATTTTCAGCAAAAACTCTAAATTCATACTCGTGACCTTGTGTGAGACCAGAGACCTTGAATCGCAAATCTGTCACAGTTCTCTTGTTACATTTCACCCATCGTAGACCTGTCTTATCTCTTCTTTCAATTATGTATGTATTAATTCTACTGCCTCCATCATGTTCAGGACGGTCCCAGCAGACAACCATTGAGTCTTTAGTGATAGTTGTGACTTCAGGCTGTGTTGGTGGATCACTGGGACCATATGGGTTGACACAAGTGACTGGCTCTGATTCAAGGGGTTCACCTATGCCATACTTATTGACAGCCATTACTCTGAAAATATACTCATTTCCTTTAAGAAGCTTTGTGACCTTAAACCTGTTTGCTTGAAGGTCTGTGGCCACATTTGTCCATGCCAACCTACTGGTCTCACGCCTCTGTATGATGAAGTATTCAATTTTGGCACCACCATCATGTGTTGGATGCAGCCAGTTAAGCACACATTTTTCTGCAGCAACATCTGTAACTGAAAGGGAATCTGGTGGTCCAGGTCTGTCGAGTACTTTAACATTAAAAGTGAACTTTGCAAATCCACCAGGATTGCTTGCAGTCAAGGTAAAAGCACCACCATCTCTCCTTAAAGAATCTTTGCTGATTAAGGTTGTGTGGAAGTCAGATGTCTTAATTTCTATTTTAGCTGTGTCCTCCAGCTCCTTTCCTTCCTTGGTCCATATTAGAGAAGGAATTGGCCTGCCGGTTACACTGGCTTCCAACTTGAATGGTTCTCCTGCCATTACTATAACATTACTGCTATATGATGAATCAATATCAAGCCTGGGTTCTTCAATGTCATCTCTGCATGTGATGGCTTCTGATGGCTGTGATGGAGCACTAACAGCACCAGCTGAGTTTCGAGCAAGCACACGGAACTCATAGGTTGCATCTTCAGTCAGACCACTGACTGTGAACATGGTTTCTAGAATATTGTTGAAATTTGTTTTAAGCCAGCGTCCATTAGGCATCTTCTTCCTCTCCACTGTGTATCCCGTAATAGAAAATCCTCCGTCACCTTCTGGTTTGGTCCATGACAATGTCACCTCATGTCTGGTGATATTCAATGCCACAGGCCGACCTGGTGGGTCAACTGGGTCCAAAGCATACATAGCCTCACAGGGTTTGCTAGGTTTGCTGAGACCAGCCATGTTTTCAGCAATGACACGGTGTTCATATGCAATGCCATCAACAAGGCCTGATGATTTAAAGATGTTTCCAACAACAAGAGCTTTGCTGATCCTCTGCCACAGGATACTGTTTTTCTCTTTTCTGTCCACATGATACCCAAGAATAGGACTGCCTCCATCAGAAGATGGCTCATTCCAACTAAGAGTCATTGAATCTTTGTTGAAAGCTGTAACTACAGGAATGCCAGGCTGGCCAGGCACATCAAATGGATAGGCAGCTAACACTGATTCAGACAGAACACATGGTCCAACGCCATATCTGTTCTGAGCCTTGATACGGAACTGATACTGGGTTCCAGTATTGAGTCGTGCTGCTTTGAATGTGGTGCGAATAACTGTAGCTGCCAACTCCACCCATGAAGTACCTGTAGTCTCACGCATCTCAACAATATAATTGTTTATAGGAACACCTCCATCATTCTCTGGTGGTTCCCAGGACATAATAACATAATCACACGAGACCTCATCCAGCTTGACAGGACCAGTAGGAGGACCTGGAATGTCATGGACCAGGATTGTGATGGTTTCTGTCAGTGTGCCCAGAATATTCTTTCCAGTCATGGAATACTGGCCTTCATCAGTTCTTTTGATCTCACTGATGTTTAGGATTGTTGATGTTGCTGTGGTTTCAGTATTGATTCTTTGTGTTTCCTTAAGTGCCATGTCTCCTTTCTTCCATGACACAACAGGCCTGGGTTTTCCCAGCACTGGAATCTCCACCTTAACACGGTCCCCTGATTTGGCAATTACGGTTTTCTGGTAGATTCCTCTCAGGTCAAAAGATGGAGCAGAAGTTTGTTCTTTAATCACAGCTGGCCGGCTCTCACGAGGATCACTCCTGCCTGATGCATTGACAGCCATTATACGGAAGGTGTATTCAGCACCCTCAATCAGATCTGTCACAGTATAATCTAGAGCCTTAATGGTGGTTATGTGGACCCATTGATCAGTGTCTTTCTTTTGAGCCTCAATGACATATCCTGTAATCAAGCTTCCACCATCATGAAGAGGCTTGGTCCATGCAAGGCTTGCGCTGTCATTGGTTAAATCAGTAACATACAAGTTATCTGGTGCAGAGGGCGCCTGAGATACTCTTATGGGCTCAGGGGTTTCAGCAGGTTCACCTACACCAAGGTCATTTTCAGCAGAAACACGGAAGTAGTAATAAGCTCCCTCCTCAAGGTCTTGAAATTTAAAAGAACATTTTTGCCATGTGGTGCTAAGCACTGTGTAAGCCTTCTTTGTAGCATTTCTCTTTTCAATGATATAGTTATGAATCTTGGACCCTCCATCAATAATAGGGATTTCCCACTGGAGAGTTATGCTGTTTTTAGTGATCTCTCTTGGTTTAAGGTTGACTGGAGGTCCAGGTGTGTCCAGAACTTTCACGTTGACAAACCCTGACTTGTTACCAGCAACATTCTCCAAAGAGAGATGGTATTTTCCTGCATCGTACCTAGTGCAGTCAGGAATAACCAGTAGAGTGTAGGACTCTGTTGTATCAATATGCGCACGTGCTTTCAGGTTGGTATTTTCTTTGCTCCAAGTGACTTCAGGAACAGGACGGCCCTTGATAGGAACAAATAGACGAATTGAAGCACGGCATCTGACAACCAGAGTTTTCCTGAGCTCTGCATCCAACTCAAAGTCTGGCATTGTTTCCTGGTAAACGAGTTCAGTCACTTTCTCGACTTCTGCAGGCTCACCGACTCCCTCAGAGTTTATGGCACTAACTCTGAAGTGGTATTTGCCTCCTTTTTGAAGTTTACCAATGACATATTCAGTAACTTTAATTGGATATTGTGTCTCTGTCTCCCAATCATCATGACCCTCCTTTTTATACTCAACAATATAACCTTCAACTTCAAGACCACCATCATAATGAGGACGGCCCCAAGCAAAGACTGCTGTAGTTTTTGTGGTGTCTGTAATTCTAGGATTGGAGGGAGGACCAGGTGGATCTGAAAAAAGTAAAAAAAAAAAAAAAAAAGGTTAGTAAAGTTAATTAAAGTATTTTCAGAAGGAATTTTAAATTCTTACATAAATTCTTTGATAATGCTATATTATTGCTTGCTGTAAAGGTTGGTTGCAAAGTCTTCTTTACTTACATACAATATCCTTGGTCATTACAGGGCGCGATGGCTCACTTGGCTGCCCAAATCCAGCTTTATTCTCAGCAGTGACTCTAAACTCGTATTCTACTCCCTCACTCAGGCCTGGCACCTTGAAGCGAAGGTCAGGAACTGTCCTCTTGCAGGCTCTCACCCATCTCATTCCTCTCCTTTCTTTCCTTTCTACACAATATCCTCTAATGTCACTTCCTCCATCCTGTACAGGTCTCTTCCATGAAATGGTAACAGCATTCCGACTGACATTATCTACCTCTGGAGCTGAGGGTGGACCTGGTGGACCTAAGGAAAAAAAATTGCAATGAAAAAAAAAATATTTCCAACATTTCAATGTTGGTATTTTTTAACTTTATTCTTAAACAAGGTAAACTTACCAAAGCTGTCAGCCATTTTGACGGAACCAGACAGGCTAGAGTCTCCTGTGCCATACTGGTTTATAGCGCAGACTCTAAAGATGTACTCATTGCCCTTGATCAGTTTGCTAGCTACATGTCTGCAGTCCATAATATTTTCTGCAACTTTGGTCCACTGCAAGCGGCTAGTCTCTCTCTTCTCAAGAATGTAGGACTTGATAGAGGAGCCTCCGTCCTCTTCAGGTGGAAGCCAGGTCAATGTACACTTCTCAGCTGAAATGTTACTGACTTCAATAGGGCCTGGTGGTCCAGGAACATCTAGGACCTTTACTTTAATGTGTTCTTCCTTAATACCAAATGGGTTACTAGCATTAATTGTGTACTCTCCGGTATTTTTCCGGCTTGCATACTTGATAGAAAGAGTTGAAGAGGTTGGAGTGCTGGTTACAGTGACTATGTCAGAGTTCTTAAATTCACGACCTCCCTTGGACCAGAAAGCGGTTGGGGGAGGTTTTCCCACAATCTTTGCAGCTGAGATAACAATTGTGTCTCCTGCCTTGACGGACACAACTTCCTTCATCTCTTGGTCAAGAGTGATAGATGGAGGCTCTGTTAAGAAACAGGAAGATGTTGAACAATAATTGTACATTTAAAACTTTGATCTTTCAAACCTGAAGCTGCATAAGTCTTAAATGTTAAACTACATACCATACTCATCCTTGCAGGTAAGTGATTCAGTGGTCTCTGAGGGAACACTGACAGCACCAGCAGCATTCTTGGCTCTGATTCTAAACTGATACTGAGCTCCTTCTATCAGGTCTGTAACTGTGAAAGCACAGCTCTGGATGTTCACATGATTGGCTTTCATCCATGCCTTTCCACCAGCCTCAAGTTTCTCCACCATATAGCCAGTCAGCTTATAGCCACCATCATATTTAGGAGCAGTCCAAATTAGAGTGACTGTGTTCCTGGTAACATTAATCACATCTGGTTTACCAGGTGGATCTGAAAAAAAAATAAAATAAAAGACATTCAAACAAAGCCATTGCAATTTAATTCAGGCATTTACAATAAAAACAGAAAACTTCCGATGTGTAATATTTAACTTTGAGAAAATGGTTTGGACTCACCAATAGGATCAAGGGCGACAACAGCTTCAGTGACTTTGCTTGCCTTTCCAAGGCCAGCCATATTCATAGCCATCACCCTGAACTCATACTCTAGTCCTTCAACGAGACCCGTAACTCTACACTCCTTCACTCTCAAAGGAGTCTTACAAGCTCGCTTCCACATCAGGCTGTTTCTTTCCTTAAACTCAAGGTAATACCCTGAAAAACCCCCAAAATATACAATTAATGATGACTGATGACACTCGATTACCTACTTACAGAGATGAAAAACAGTATTTTACCAGTGATTGGGGAGCCACCAGTGTCTCTTGGATCAGCCCAAGTCAGAATGGCTGACTCATGTCGAATGCTCAGAATCTCAGGAGGAGCTGGAGCCTCAGGTACATCTTGAGGAAAGATAAAAGATCAGTTAATTCACTAAAATCTTGACTCATAAAAACATAAGACCTACTTACTATGACAAAACATTTCAAGATTACTTCATAATACCAATGACTTTTACCATCAGAAAAATTTAAACACTAAATTTTCAGGCTGTACCTTTCAACATTAATCAAATTAATTTATCTTATTTAAATGCTGCCTGTCAGAAAACACTGATGTCTGCATATTGCCTTGAGGTCACTGATCCAAATGTAAGTGTACTGTATATCACGTAACAAGGAAAAAACATTAACACAAGCTGGAGCTTAGTCCAATTATTAATCTCAGAGTTGGATGTCATCTGTATCTGCAGATATTTAAATCCATTTATCAGAATTGGACTGGAACTCAGTAATTCTTGGTGTAATCAGAATCGTACAACTCTGGATCAGAGAATATCCATTTTAACTATTTGAAAGACATTTGGATATCTGAATATTACCTGTTAAACAATTTACAAAAACTAGACCGACATTTGACTGACAGTCTAGTAATCACAGAGAGAAATCAGAGGATTTTTCAAGTAAAGTTTTTAAGACCAGAATTATACTCACTGAAAGGATGCTGGGCGATGACTGGGTCAGACCTCAGGAACTCTCCGATACCGTACTTATTCTCAGCACACACTCTGAAGATGTACTCTATTCCGTCATGGAGTCTGATGACCCTCATGGTGGTCTTTTGGATGGCGGAAGCCACAGTGGCCCATTTGTTGTCTGTTGTCCTCCTCTTCTCAACGATGTAATTGGACACCTCTGCACCTCCATCGTCTTTAGGCGGTGCCCACTCCAGGGTGATGCCATCAGCAGTTATCTCATCAAACTTGATGGGTCCTGTGCATATTCCGGGCTTTCCGACGACCTTCAACTGGAACTTGCAGTCCTTTGAGCCTGCGCTATTCCTGACATTGATGGTGTAGGTATCTGCATCTCCTCTTTGGCAATCTCTGACCAGTAGAGTAGTAGTGCCCTGGGAAGCCTCAACACATATACGGCCAGTGTCGCCAAGTCCCATGTCACCCTTCTTCCAGGTGGCGGTAGGGTAAGGCACTCCAATGACAGGGATGTTGATGCGCATGGTGGTGCCCTCCTTCACTATGCAGCAACCATCATGAAGACTGCTCAAGTTGCAGTCAGGCAGCACTGAAATGTTACCAATTGGTGTTAAAAACTTTTTAAAAGAAAAATTTTTTAGGCATTGAAAATCATGTAAGTGCATTTAAAGGGGCAGTATTATGTATTTCTCAGTCACTTAGTGTCACTTTATAGTACAGAAATGGCACAGATATCAAACATGACAGAAGAAATTTGACTTTGTGATTTTGATTAAGGCGACAATAGGAATTCGCTCTGCAATTGGTGGGTTGCCTGCTTGATTCCCACTCTGTCCGTCTTTGTCATTTTATATCAGGTCATGTCATTTTTCAGCTTGAAATTAGGCTTCTGTCTCTTTAAGAAATTCCTTCTTTTTCTGACTCTCCGCCTTCAGGAAGTCATCACAACATCGCACAACATTTCACTGAGAAGCAGCTCCTACAATGACCTTAATTAGGTGTTCGGTAATTGCTGCTGTGACTAGTCTGAAGGAGCTGAGTGAAGGAGCTCAGAAACTGCAAAACTAAAGAGGAGTTGGACATCAAAGGTGAGGCTATGTCCACACAGGTGACATTGAAAGATTCTCAAACATGAATGAAAGAACCAAGGCAACACACTCGATACGTATTTGAAGAGGGAATAGTGTCATAACATCATAACATGATGTAAAGCTTGAAAACGTTGACTTTACATAGTACTACCTCTTTAAAAAATGTGTATATTATGTCGGCTAACCAGGTAGGTTCCTTACCAAACTGGTCCTTGGCAACAGCAGTGAGCTCAGTTGGTGGCCCCTCTCCAGACTCGTTGAGGGCCTTGACCCGGAATAAATACTCCTTGCCGTCTGCCAGCTCACTGATGGTGTGACTGGTGTTTTTGCCCTTCATAATCTCCTTCCATTTCTCCTCTCCTTCGCTTTGCTCCAGGATGTAAGAGGTAATGTAGCTTCCGCCGTCACTGATGGGTTTCTTCCAGCTCAGTGTGATAGAGTCTTTGGTGGTCTTTTGGGCTCTGAAGGCTGTCACTGGACCAGGTTGTTCTACAAAAGTGGATTTAGAAAAGGTTAAAGCGTATTTTCTGATGAGAACAAAAGAATTTTAGTTCCAGTGCATAAATCTTAAGAAACTTGAATACAAAGAAACCTCCAAATATGAAGACATATGAATGTACTTTCTTTTAGATCTGAATGGAACATGAAACTCTTTGGGTGTTTTTTACCTGATAGACCAGCAGTTTTCGCTCGATTTGGGGCTAAAATTGTAACATTTATTATTAAGCTGGTGTGGTTTGCTTTCACACTGCACTGTGTCAAAAGAACCAAACTAACTGAAAAATCTGTTCACCCATTTGCCTGTGGTGGCGGTGCACCAAGGACTGTTAAAAGAAATTTACACAAAAACCTCTGAAGAAGGTACAATCATACGTCTTTGAAAAGCAGAAGTGGAACCCCCTTCACAGCCAACAAGAATGCAACAAGTGGTTGCTGAATGGTAAGTCGACAACAAAACTCTGGTTTTGTACAGCACATAGAGCGTAAAACCAGCTGACCAATCATGATGGAGCTCAGCTTGGCTTACTAGGTGACAGAAAGAACTGTTACCTAGGTTACTACGTAACGAGTTCAAAAGAATATTTAATGACTTAATTATCCTTTAAATTACTCAAGTTAATTCCACATCCAAATTTTTAATGTATGTTTCTGATTGAATGAATAATTTTGGATTCAGACGGTCGACTGTAATCACTCTGAAGTATAATAAATTGTTACCTGAGGCCCGGACGCTGCCTGCTGTCTCACAGCCCTCTCCAATACCATATGCGTTTTCAGCCAGAACTCTGAAGCAGTATGCTTGACCCGGCTCCAGATTGGTGATCCTGAAGGAAGTCTTGTGGCACTCGGCAGAGATGCAGGTCCACGCTTTCCTCTCAGCCAAACGTTTCTCCACAACGTAGCTTTTTACTGGACTTCCACCATCGATCAGCGGAGGCTCCCAGCTTATCCAGGCGTGGGTCCTGGAGGTCTCCTTCACAGTCAGGTTGGCAGGTGGTCCAGGTGAGTCTGAGTGGGGAGGAGCAGCAGAAACCTTTAGTCAGCTGATCAGGGTATCAAAGAACAAATAGAAAACTAAATGGTAATTTTAATTTACATTAGGTTACATGCATTAAATGAGCACAACATTATGACCACTGACAGGTGATTTGATCTCATGGTTTTGATTTAATGAAGGCTCCACCTTACAACTTGCAGTAATTAAAGGATCTTGGTTTCAGATAAAAATAAACACACCTTCAGGGATGTAGTACAAAAGCGCAAATTCTTGCCAAGTGCTTTAGTCTAGTTTCTAGTGGACTTGAAATAAAACAAAACTAATTTACAAGTAATTTTTCAACTACTTATAGGAGGTTGTGTACAGTCAATAATTCTTTAATATTGTTGAAAAAGTAAGTTCTTGTTTCACTGGCAGATTATTTCATTTTTAATAAGGTATCTTGTTGATCTTGAGAAATAATCTGCCTGTAGAACTGGTACTTTCTTTTTATCAATATAATATTTCTATATCTTGCTGAAAAGATATTTGTAAGTCAGTTTGTTTTATGTCAAGTATGGTGAGATATTTGCACTAGAAACTAGACAAAAATACTTGGGAAGATTTTGTGTTTTTGTAGTGTAATCATATTCGTTGAAGCTCAACATAAATGTGTTTCTGTAACTGCTCTTTTTTTTAACAACAGTTCCAAACAAATCCAGGTTTACATTTATTCACTGTAATGGAACGCCTATGATTATACCCTAACTCTTAACAGTGTGCGTACTCAGACAAATCCTTACCGAGGACTTTAACAATGATGGTGTAGCTCTTAGATCCACTGCTGTTCTCCAGAGACAGGACATATTTGCCTGCATCATATCTGTTAATGTCCTCAATCATTAGCAGGGTGTCCCACTCGGACGTCTTAATCAGCAGGTTCTGCCTCTCCTTCAGGTTGGCGTCCACCTTTGTCCATGTCACCTTGGGCGGCGGGCGGCCCCTCAGCGGGACGTACAGCCTCATGGTGATGCCGGCTCGCAGAACCAAAGCTTTCCTTAGATCAGCATCCAGCTCACCTTCAGGAGCAACTGCAGAGAGGCAGATTAAAATATTAAAACAGATTTAAGTCATTTTACTGGACAATAAATTGTCCCAAAAATTATTGCAATAAACAATAATATTGTCATTTTGAGACTCATTTCAATTAATAATAATGGCTTGTAAATGCAAATATACTCACTCAAAGATAAAAAAAATTCTAAAGAATCATCACACTGGGACTAAAAACATTTTAAATATACGAGAAACCCCAAAACAAGAATAAAAATGATTATGAAGTTTCATAACTAAAACTGCATTTAAAATTCAGCTTAGACAAGGAAAACAGGCAATTTGTCGGTTACCGCAAACTAACTACTTCATACTGGGTGTCAAATGCTTCCAGTGGTTTTTAAAATAGTGGCTTTTCAATAATAGAGCTCAGTTTAATTTACTATGTGATTAATTGTTTTATTGCTTATTGTGACAACTCTACACACAATAAACATCTGATGAACGTACTCAGGATGTCCTTGGCCGTGTGGTTTCCAGGAACCTCGCTGGGCTCACTGTAGCCAATCTTGTTGACGGCAGTGACTCTGAACTGGTACTCTGTGTTTTCCATCAGGCTGGTCACCACAAATTTGGTGGCCTGAAGTTTCTTCGGGACGTTGCACTTGGTCCACTCCTCGGCGTCGGCTCGTTTGCACTCCACTAGATATCCAATGATCTCACAGCCGCCATCGTAAGCTGGTTTGGTCCAGCTCAGGCTGATCGAATGCTTGGTAGAATCCACCACCTTGGGGAACGCAGGTGGGCCAGGCGGATCTTAAGAATAACACACAAAGCTTATGAGTCTGACCAACATCAGGGATATTTTCAGTTACATTTTTCTGCTAATCAGACACTCACAAACGGGGTCAACAGCCAGAGCGGCGTTGGACGGATCACTGGGTTTGCCCAGGCCGGCCTTGTTCAAAGCGATGACTCTGAATTCATACTCTGAGCCCTCGGTCAGCTGAGCTGCCTTGATGGTTCTGTCGATAACGGGTCTGCGGTTAACCTTAGCCCAGGCCAACTCTGTGGCCTCACGCTTCTCCACCAGATAACCCAGGATGGGAGCTTTGCCGTCATTGGCGGGGGCTTTCCAGCTGACTGTCATGGAGTCCTTGGTGATGTTGGTAATGACCGGTGGCTCACATGGCCCAGGAACATCTGATGGAAGAGATAAAGGCATGACAGTCTCTTCCAGATGTCATATTTACTTGTTTAGAAATTTAAAAAAGTATTCATACTGCAAGAAAAAACAACAAGAGCTATTTTAAACTTAAATAGTTTGAAAAGGATCAGTCAGGATGAGGGTACAGAAAATTGCCTTATATTTTATATATATTCCCCAATGATGGTCTTTCTGGGTTCAATTAAAACTTACATTTACATTTTTCTGTTTGCAAAGTTTTTCAGATAAATGGTTTTACTCATCCAAACAAAAATAAAAAAATGTATTCTTACCGTATGGGTTCTTCACGGTGACGGCGTCAGTCATGATGGCGTCTCCCACACCATACTGGTTCTCAGCACTGACTCTGAACTGGTACTCATGACCCTCGATGAGCTTTTCCACTGAGCAGTCGGTGTTGTGGCCGTGGATGTTAGCGGTTACCAGCGCCCAGTTGGCCCTGCTGGTTTCACGCTTCTCAATGATGTAGTTGGTGATTTCAGATCCTCCATCTGCGAGTGGAGGCTCCCAGCGAATCTTCACATGGTCAGCGAACACTTTGGCGATTTTTATTGAGGCTGGAGGGCCGGGTTTGTCTGCAGAGCAGGAAGAAGAAAGGTTGAATTTCAAATATGAATGCATTTAAGGATTGTTGAGCTTTAGCCTTAGTTTCAGCCTTAAGGCTGAAACTAAGGATTATTTTAGTCATTGATTAGTTTGACAATTAATTGGTTAAAAAACGGCACATTTTGCAAATATTTGTACTTGCTTCTACATTCCTAACTGGATTTTATTTAATCAGTTTCAGGCAAAATTAAATTAAGTTCTTTTTAAAGCTATGGGACACCATAACCAGTTAAAAATACTTATGAAGGGTACCCACATTAAAATCTTTATAAAAAACAAATAATTGGAATTACACAACCCTAACGGAGCACTCAATAATTGATTAATCAGAATTAGTTGCACCATTCACATCACTGTTTTTACTGCAGCTTACCCAGCACCTTGACCTTAATGGTGGCATACTTGCTACCACTCAGGTTTTCAGCAAGGATGGTGTAGTCTCCAGTTTCCTTCCTGGTGACTGAGTAGAGCTCCAGCAGATGAACGTGTTTCTTCTGCATCGCCTTCATTCCCTCTGCGATCACCAGTGGCGCACCGTCTCTCTTCCAGCTCACCTTAGGCAGGGGTTTGCCATGAACCTCAGCGTCCAGGAAGACATTGTCGCCTGCCTTTACCACGATGAGGCTCTTCATGTTGACGCCCAGTTCAACGCGGGGAGGAACTGTATAGGAGACAGAGGGAGGAAGTTCAAGACCCGCCATTGGATCTGATTTGTTCTTTACGGGTTTAATGTTGAGCAGAACCGTACCATTCTCAGCAATGACAGCAATGGGATCTGACACCTCAGACGGGAGGCTGGCGTTGATGGCAGTCTTGGCGATGACTCTGAACTGGTACCTCTGACCCTCCTCCAGGCCCTCGACCACGTAGCTCTCAGTCCGGATGTTCATGCAGTTGGCGTTGCAGCAAGTCCATTTGTCCTCTGGCAGCTTACTGTATTCCACATGGTAGCCAATCAGCTTGCTGCCGCCGTCATGTTTGGGACGGCTCCAGACCAATGAGACAGAGTTCTTGGTCACATCCATTGCTTCGGGTTTACCTGGTGGGTCTGGAAGGAAAATGGAAAGGCTTCACATGAGCAATGTTGTCTAGTTTGATCCTATTCAACATGCATTTTAAATAATGAATCTAAAGCTATTCCAGACTTGTTTGTTGTAGCACTTATTTCAGTATGCAGGATTGAATAAGGTCAGGATATTAAGATATAACACTCTGTCGTACAAGACAGCATTTGGCTATTGATTTTAAACATGATGTCCACTTTGAAGAAGTTTGCTAAGGTTCCCATTTTACCTCATGAGCACCCAAAATGTCTGAGCACGCCACTAAAAATATCCCAACATCTTCTTGAAAACAGATCATACATCATCCATTATCCTTACTAAAAATATGCATAAAAGTAAACAACACTGAAGTAACTTAATAATCAATCTGGAAGAATAATTCATGTTAAAACATATTATCCTACCAAAGTAGACATTTAAGTTGTTATAGTGAGAAAATATTTGTTCAAATTTATATTGTATGAATATTCTAGTCATATTCTCTATATAGTTTTGTTTGATTTTGCGCTGACGTTCTATTGAAATAAAAAAAAATTGCTGGCCTTTTCTATTTCTAATGAGAAACTGAGATACAAACAGATTTACTTACCAACTGCAGTTCTGGCGGTGATGAAGTCGGTCTGTTTGCAGGGTTTTCCCTGTCCAGCCATGTTGTAGGCCGACACCCTGAAGGTGTACTCCAGGCCCTCGATGAGGCCGGTGCAGGTGTACTGCGTGGCTTTGACCACAGATTCGTTAGCCTTCACCCACAGCAGACTGTTTCTCTCCTTCTTCTCTATGCAGAAACCAGTGATGGGGCTTCCACCATCGCTGCTGGGACGCTCCCAAGACAGAATGACAAAGTCCTTGTTGATCTTGTTGATCTGGAGGTTTCTGGGTTCACTTGGAGGATCTCGGAGAAAAAACGGCAAAAACATTAACACATCTAAAAAGGTAGGAAATTTGAGCTACCCCTTATTTCTAGAAAACAATAAAAAACATTGATTATGTGACCAAACCTCCTGGGGAAAGTATTTAATAGATTTTATTTCTTAGAAAAAGTTTTTCACTCTTGAAAATGAATTTCGTCTTGCGTAAGTTTCATAGGATTTGACTTTAGACCACAATAGATATTTTACATTTGTTTTATATTTACAGCTACAATATGAGATCACAAATCAAACAAATAAATCAAAATTCTAGCTTTAAATTTTATGCCCAAATGGCGCAGATAAACTGAGCCATGTGGTGACAAGGGCTGTAACTAACAACTAACAATTACACAAGTATTTGATTTATCAAATAATCCAATGATTAATTAGATAAAAATTGGTTAATCTTAACCCTAATCATCTTACAATGAAAGAAACTCACCAAAGGGATATCTGGCAATCATCTTCTCAGAGTAGAGGGGCTCAGAGATGCCGGACTTGTTCTCAGCCCGGACCCTGAACCAGTACTCCTTTCCAGCTGTAAGTTTGGTCATTCGGAAGCTGGTCTTGGTGCAGGAGATTGAAACGGTGATCCAGTCACCCTGGCTGATGTCACACTTCTCCACAATGTAGTTGGTGATGTGGCTGCCTCCATCTTCCTCCGGGGAGTTCCAGAGCAGTGTGCAAGCATCAATATCCAATTCTGAGATCTCCAGAGGGCCACCTGGAGGTCCAGGGATGTCTGAGAAACAGAGAGGACGTTGTTATTGATGAAAAAATTTCAATATGTCAGTGGTATGTGGTCAGAAGCAGTGATGGGTTCTTTAGCTGACCCTGGACAATGACTCTGAGGATCTGGTTGACTTTCCCGGTGCTGTTCTCGGCAGACAGGCTGTAGTAGCCGCTGTCCTTTCTGTTCACATTCTTGATGATTAGGGTACAGGTTGTCAGAGTCTTTACGATCGACAGGCGATCTGAGGTCAGTACGTCCTCGTTGCCCTGCTTCCACTTGCAGAAAGGAGCTGGTTTACCAGCCACGATGCCCTCGATCACCATTTTCGACCCAGCCCTCACTGTGACAATGTCAGGCATGATGACCTTTGGAGCCACTGAAAGCAAAAAAAAAATTTAAATGTGAGCTATTATGCTTCCTCTGACAGGTTTGGATAGGTCTATGGGCTACACAAAACCTGTTCATGACATTTTTACACAAAATCGTTCTTAGATGATGGGATTTTAGTCTTTTTCTCTAGGAGAAATTGTATTGGTGTAAAAGTTCTGGAAATTTTACGCCAATAATCTGCTGCTAGCCATGGCCCCCAACGTTTACACACATAAATGAAAATGGCTGCAGACAGATGCAATGATACATCTTTGAAAAGCAGAAGTGGAGCCTCCTGCACAATCAACAAGACTGTAGCAAGTGGTTTCTGGATAGTAAGTAAAGAGTCAAACACTTGTGTTTTCCAGCAGCCATTGTATAGAACATATTGTTTTCCTGGCACAAACATACATCTTTTGCCAATAAACCTTTTCGTGGTTTATTTAAGCCCTTGGGTTACTTTGAGAAGCAGTAAAAACCCAAATGAAAGTATGAAATTGTGCAGAGTAGGTCCTCTATAACAATTAAACCAGTGTTCACAAGAATCTGTTATTCTGCAGATAAACTGATCTACTTACTGAGCTGCTCCTTGACCTCAAACACTCCCTCTGCCTCGCGGGCCAAGCTTACTCCGACCGAGTTCCTTGCTGCCACTCTGAACTTGTACTTTGTTCCTTCCTTCAGACCAACCACCACAATGGTCAGATCTTTGACGACAGAGTAAGGTGTCCACTTGTCCTCGGGAGCTCCCTCTTCCTGGTAATCAATGACATAACCGTTGATCTTAGCTCCTCCATCTCTGAGGGGCTTCAGCCAGCCCAATGTGGCGCTGTTCTTTGAGATCTCCAGCACATCCATCTTCTTAGGTGGGTCCGGCTCACCTTGATTTAAAAGTAGGCAATTATTTGACAAAAGTATAATAAATATAAAATCTATCCACATAATTTTTTGTAGGCCCTACTCACTTATAGGATCCACAGCCAGATAGGATCTGGGAGAATCCTGAGGAACTCCAATTCCGTATTTGTTGCATGCCATGACTCTGAAGTAGTACTCGATGCCTGGCGTCATGTTGGTCACCTTGAAACTGGTTTTCTTCAGGTCCTCTGTGCATTTGTTCCAAGTCTTCCTATCCACTTCCCGCTTCTCCACAATGTAGTTAATAATTGGGCTGCCACCATCATTTTCCGGAGGCAACCAGGAGAGTTGAGCGGTTGTCTTACTTATGTCTGTAGCGTCCAAGCCACCAACCGGACCAGGAGTGTCTGGATAGGGTTAGAAATAAATTTAGTGGATAAAGATCAAGTATGTTTTATAGACAAGTTGCGATGTGTCATCCTGCGTCCAAGATCCTTCCGCTTAGCTACCTGCTAGAGAGCAAAAAGCTACTCGCTGACGATGACTGCCATTGGTTTTAGCTGTCAGGTTGTCATCACACACTGAACTCTCTGACAGATCAACACGTGTTTAAATTTGCTACTCTAGCACAGCTATGTTCAGATGATCACTTATTAATAATTGCAAAATAAACAGAAAGCCTAAAAACAGAGTTGGTCTATCGCGGCAACATGACTGTGTATGGAAAGAAAAAATCGTCTTTTGCCCTTTTGTGTTATGGACATGTGTGAAATTTCCAGATCTGAACAGTAACATGCAACGAGTCTATTAAGACAAGCAACAGTTCGAGCCTTTCAATGGCTTCCAGTTCTTACCGAGCACTTTGACTCGGACAAACACAGCTTTCTCTCCAGCCGAGTTGGACAGAGTCAGTGAATATTTCCCAGAATCCTCTCTGGTGCTCTCAGGGATCACCAGGAAGCACATGGTGTCAACCTGGTCCACATGACCTCGGCGTACGACGTTGTCCACACCCAGGCGCTTCCAGGTCACCTTGGGTGCCGGCCTTCCTCTGATCACAGCAAACAACCGGATGGGACACCCAGCCCTGACGGCGAGGCCTTTCCTCAAACTGGCATCCAGCTCGATTTCAGGGGCCTCTGTTGTCATGAAAGCACAAACAAATCTGAGTTCATGACTTATTTTTAGGGCATTTAATTCATTTTGATTTTTTTCCACTGTTTCTGTTTTAATTTTTCTCAATTCCATTTATTCCATGTCAACCATATTTATTAACCAGGAAAGTATGGAAAAAGATGAACAAATCAATAGCTGGAGCTACATTTCTTGTTTTTCTGCATCACAAATGAAACAACTGCTGCAGCTGAACAGAAAATTGGTTTTATGAAGTGCTAAAAGTGTTTCCATCTCGTTTTTTGAAGAACTCAAACTTAAGGAATATATGATTCAATAATCACCTACAACTACTGCTTCTACTGATTTATTTAAATGTTAAAGATTATTAGACATGACTAAATTGCAGCTAGCTAAATAGCTTCTTTATGAATAGTCGTCTAATTCTTCCACTCAACCAGGTCCTGACAAAAACTACAGAAGTTTTCTATCATTTGCATAAAACTCGCTATCATCTGCCAATTCTATGTTTTATTGTGGATTACATTTTGTTTATTAAATTTCAGATTTCTGTCCGAGTTTTCCGGATTCATTGGCCCTTTCAAGTGCAGAGACTCACCAATGATCTCCTTGGGAGACACTGCCTCTTTCAGGTAGGCATGGCGACCCCAGCCCACCTGGTTTTGGGCGGAGACTTTGAACTCATACTCCTGTTTCTCATCCAACTGGCCGATAGTGAACTCTGTGATCACCAGTGGGCCACGGGTATCGATTCTCTTCCAGCCCTCTGAGGGTTTCTCTGGGTCGGCGTCGCTCTTCAGTCTTAAGTCCAGGCTATATCCTATGATGGGGGCGCCACCGTCGTACACGGGTTTAGACCAGGACAGGGTAATGGAGGTCTTTGTGCTGTCAGAAACCTTCAGGCCTGCTGGCGGTCCAGGTGGTTCTGAAGGTGCAAGGGAAAACATAAGACAGTGATGAATGGAAAAGCAAAGAGGAGACATTCCAGACTGTAAGGTGAGCTGAACGAACCAATAGGATCTTTGGCTGCAACAGGTCTGCAGGGTTTGCTTGGTTCTCCCAGGCCAACCTCGTTCTCTGCTTTCACTCTGAACTGGTATTCATGGTTTGGAATCAGGTTTGTCACTTTCATGCGTCTTTCAGAGATGGGGCTCTTTGTGCAAGCCACCCAGCGCACTGCTCGCTTCTCCTTCCTCTCCAGAATGTAGCCGGTGATAGACTTTCCGCCATCGTTCTCCGGTGGAGCCCAGACCACAGTCATCTCCTCCTTACTGACCTGCATCACAAAAACAGCAAATGGTTCAGTGACCAAGGAACTCGCTTCTATTAGGGATGCAAACAATTAATCAACTTAAAATGTCTTAATTTAAAATGAGTTCCAATTGATTAACTGATGTAAGATATTCTTTTAGTGCTGTAGTTTGGGCTCCATCCAGCAGAGGGCGTAGCTGGTCATACTTAACCCAGTTGTGAGAGAAACAAACATGGCGGAGGGATACAAAAACGGAAAAGCTAAACTGTCCAAACAGATGGTGTGGGATGTTGTTTTTGTTTTAAGATATAAAAACTCAACAAACTCCTCAAGTTGTTACCGTAAGATTTTTACCCTCCTTGGCGGAGGATTCCCAACATCTCGTTTAAAGATTATTGATGCACTACAAAAGCCAGGATGTGTTGTTAATAGAAAAGTTAAGGGGATAATGAAGAAAAAATTATAACATGATGAAAAAAAATATGATGCCAATAACCAAGTTTGATTTTGAGGGCTTTTTTGAGTTGATGCACTTTATGGAGCAAAGTTTCATTCAAGAACAGACAGTTCTTCTGCAGAAACATCTCTGTTCATAAGGAATCAAGTTTACATTATATTCATTTCTTACATTTTTTTATTCAGCAACTTAAAATGTTTCTGTTTTGTTATATTTTATAAATATACCTAAGTTTAATAATGTACAAAAACCATAATTTTCTATTTATTTGATAAGTATTTGACACAAAATAATGTTAAAAGTCAATCACCTCTTTTAAAATTCAGCACATTATGAAACATTTTGTCCTCTTGATACAGCAGAAAACTGAGATTTTAAGATTAACCTATTAATCAATAACTTGCATCCCTCGTTCCTACAGATACAAATATATTTCAAATCGAGACCTTATCTTTACCTTTGTAACTTCAGGGGTGTCAGGAGGTCCAGGTCTGTTGAACTGAGTCTTGACAGTTACAGGCCTGCTTTCCATGGCGGGGCCAGTTCCCATCTTGTTTTCTGCTCTCACTCTGAAGATGTACTCATTACCCTCCACCAGTCGGGTGACGTTACAGTAAGGAGTGACTACAGAGGCAGAGTATGTGGACCAGACCATTCTCCTGGTCTCACATTTCTCCAAAATGTAACTGTCCACTTCACAGCCTCCGTCGTCCTCTGGACCATCCCACACCACTCTGCATTTGTCAGCCCCGATGCCGGTGATCCTCAGGTTCCTCACTGGTCCCGGCACATCCAAGACGTTGACGTTTGCATAAGCTGTGAAGGTGCCAGCAGGATTAGTGGCAGTGACGACGTACTTGCCAGTGTCTGAGCGTCTGGACTTGGTCAGAAGAAATTTGGAATAATCTGAACCAGTTTCATAGCTCATTCTGGGATTGTCTCCCACAGCTTTGTCTTTTGTCCATTTGACTTCAGGCTGCGGTTTTCCTCTCAGGGCAGCCTCCATCCTGACCGACTCTCCAGCCTTCACTGTCAAAGTTCCAGCTAGCTTCAGGTCAATGACTGGCTTCTGGATCTCCTCCCTCACCACAATGTCAGGGATCTTTACCCATGCACTTTCTCCGCCTTCATTCACAGTTTGTACCCTGAATAAAAAAAACAAGACTTTTATTTTCAATAACACTTGTTCAAAGTACTAGGGAAGAAATCACAAGAAAAAAAAAGTTACATCTCTCAGTAAAAGCTAGGGCTGGAGAATAAATTAATAATTTTTATTGTGACGAAGAGACAATCTACATCAACAGAAAATACGTCTGACAAAATGTTCAATGATTTCACTGAAATCCAATCCATTGTGTCTTACAATTGCTTCAAATTAAAAAGCAACGTAAAGTGTAAACTGTGGAGAAAACAAAAAGTCACGGCACTTTTTCGGTTGTATTTCAGATAACTAAAACAAAAACCTAACCAATTATTGTGATGTGTTTTTCAGCCACATCATCCCGTCCTAATAAAAATGTGCTAAACAAAGAATATTTCTTAGAAATATAATCAAGTTTTAAGTTACCTGAATGTGTAGGTTTGGTTTTCAACCAACTTGTCAGCCAAGAAAAAGGTATCCGTTAGTGTGCTAGTGTTGAGTTTCTCCCACTGTTCAGCATCTTTGTGTTTGCACTCCAGGTTGTATGAGAGGTTGGGGCTGCCACCGTCATAGTCGGGCTTCCTCCATCTCAGATAGACAAAGTTTTTACCAATGTCGGTGGCTCTAAAGTTCTCTGGCTCACCAGGCTTCTCAATAGGGTCGATGGCCAACAGAGGGGTCTTGGTCTCCACACTGGGGCCAGGTCCCAGCTTGTTGACGGCACAGACGCGGAACAGGTACTCATGGCCCTCCATCAGTTTGGCTTTGATCTTGCGGTTGGTGCAGTTGGAAGAGATCATGGACCACATGCTAATGCTGGGTTCACGGCACTCCACAATGTAATTGGTGATCTCAGACCCACCATTGTCGATGGGTGCCTCCCAGTTGACCATACATGAGTCCTTGGTGGCATAGGTTATGTGCAGATTCTGGCAGTGACTTGGTCTGTCCAGCACATTGACTGTAATGGTGCAGGAAGCCTCACCACCCTCATTTGAAGCCTTCAGTGTGTATTTTCCATGATCATTCCTCGTAGCTTCTTTTACCCGGAGGTGAACCACAGGGAGGTTCTGGATGATGGTCACTCGTTTGCTGTTCTCCAGAACCTTCTCCTCCTTTGACCAAATTACCTCAGGATCAGGACGGGCCTTGATGTAGCCAATGATGTTGATGTTGTGGCCAACACGCACGGTTAATCTCTCGCGACAGGTAGCCTCCATTTCAATCTCAGGAGGAATGAGGATATCCTGAGCAGTGATTGACTGTGGTATTTCTTTTGGCTCTCCATCTCCAATCATGTTTGAAGCATAGACTCTGAAACTGTAACTTACACCTTCTTCCAGACCCTTCACCCTGTAGGCACACTGCTTGATGAAGTCATCCAGATTCACTTTCTTCCACTCCTCGGTATCAGCTTTCTTCATTTCCACTGTGTAGCCAAGGATGGGGCTGCCTCCATCTCTGGAGGGTTTGGTCCAGACCAGGTCAGCGGTGTTCTTACTGTAATCCTTAACTTTGGGATTAATAGGAGAGCTTGGGACTGAGATGGGTCTGCAGGGCTTGCAAAGGTCGGAGGTAGGAGAAGGACCACTGTAGCCAGCTATATTCTCTGCAAACACCCTGAATTCATATTCACTTCCTTCAAACAGACCCTGGACTCTGTATCGGAGGTCCTTGCAAGGGGTCCTATTAACACGGATCCATTTTCCTCCCTTGTGTCTGCGCTCTATGAGGTAGCCAGTGATCTGGCTGCCACCATCAGCTAGAGGCATGGTCCATCCGATTGTAACAGCGTCTTCAGACAGATCATAATGCTGTGGTTTACCAGGTGGACTGGGTGGCATGAAGGTGTGTTCAGCCACAGTCGGCTTGCTCTCCAATGGAGCACCTACTCCCATCTTGTTTGCGGCACGAATGCGAACCACATACTCTGTTCCTTTCTGCAGGCGAGTAATCCTTAGCTCCGTTTCAAGGCTGCCAGAGCTAACACCTCCCCAAGTCTCCTTGTTGGACTCTCGTTTTTCCACAATGTAGCTGGTGACAGGGCTTCCGCCATCATCCTTGGGAGGGCGCCATTCGATTGTCATGGAGTCTGGAGTGACTTCCAGGATATTGACAGGACCAATAGGTGCAGCTGGAACATCCAAAACAGTTACACTGAGGGCCACGGTTTTCGTCCCGGCCGCATTGGACACAGTGAGCAGGTAGGTGCCTGTGTGGTTTCTGGTACACTCATTGATGTTGAGCACAGTTGAGAAATTGTCAGTATCAATTTTGATGTTGCCCTGGCTCGTGATTTCCTCCCCGTCAATGGACCACTTGGCAGAGGGAACAGGGATTCCTCTCATTATAGCTGGCAACCTGATGGTGGTGCCAGCCTTCACAATGATGCCTTCTATCAGCTTAACATCCACCTCGACAATTGGAGGGACTATGAGATCACAGAAAGACACAAATTACTCCACATTTTCATATTAATTTGATGTATCACAAACAAAGACACATAGATAATGGTAGAATAACTAAAGTTGTACATTGGTGTATCGATTTCTGTCTATTTTCTGCTGCCTACCGAGTTTCTCCTGGCAGAGGATGGGCAGGGTGGTGTCAGGTCTACTGAGGCCAATGGCATTTTCAGTCCTCACTCTAAAGCGGTAAGTCTTTCCTTCCTCCAAGCCGGTAACATGACTCTCTGGGATACTCTCAGTCTTCCATTCTTCCCACTCTCTGGCTCCTTCTTCCTGATACTCCACAAAGAAGCCAGTGATCTCACTTCCTCCATCGCGATCAGGCCAGTTCCAGGCCAACCAGACCTCTGTTTTGTCCACATCAACATGATGCAGGTCTTTAGGAGGACCAGGAGGGACTGAAGCACAGAATGACAAGATTGTAAAGTAAGAAAGGTAAAGTTGTTATGAAAACAATTTACTGAATGAATATTCACTGTTCTTATACTTACAGAGAGGGTTCATTGCCTTTATAGCCTTTGGTGTCTCAACAAATTCGCTTCGGCCATAGTGGTTTTCAGCAGCAACTCTGAACGAGTAGGATGTGCCCTCCATCAGGTGCTTTAGCATCATGCTGCGCTTCTTGGAGGTGGAACAGACAGGAACCCACTGAGTGGATGCAGTGTCTTTCTTCTCTACCACAAAGTTAGTGATGCGAGAGCCGCCATTGTCTTCCGGATCCTTCCATGACAGGTAGGCGGAGTCACTTCTGACATCAGACACCCGGAGGTGCTGAATAGGACCAGGTTTATCTTAAGATAATAAAGAGAAAATGAGGAATGCTTCATAGGTGACACTTCTATTATTGTTTCTTGTCTACCTTAATTCTATACTTACCAAGAACCAGCACAGTGCAGGTAGCAGTCTTGGAGCCGGCCGGGTTTTCCACGGTCAGAGTGTAGTCTCCGCAGTCTCCACGGTTGCAGAATCTCATCTCCAGCTTTGTACCAGCCTGGTTTGTCTCAATGTCAGCTCTGGTAGGAACCTCTGCATCGTTCTTCTTCCAGGTGACTGTGGGGAATGGCACGCCTTTGATGGTAGCCATCAGGGTGATGTGAGTACCAGCCATGGCCTTCACCTCTCGGGTCATTCCAGCATCCAGAATCAACTCTGGAGGCTCTGCAATAAGAAACATCAAATTATCCCAATTTATTTCCAATATGATAAAAATCACCTACAATTTAGTTTGTTGTGGGGTTAGACAGAATTTAGAGGTTGTTCATTTGTAACTCACCAAGTCTCTCCTGTACTCTGATTGGGTCCTTCAGGTTGGCTGGGTCAGACTCTCCAGCTGCATTCACAGCTATGACTCTAAAGCGGTACAGAGCACCATCTTCTAGGTCTATCACCTTAAACTTGGTCTCCTGGCAGGAATCTGGAGTCTGGTTCACCTGTTGGCCAAAGAAGGGTGAAGGCTGACCATCTTATTTTTCTCAAAGAACAAGAAGACGCACATAAGGTCCTTCAGATAAAAACAAATGGTGCATTTACACCAGCCTTGTTTAGGCCAATTCAATAAACCTTCCATTTGTTTGGGTGGAAAGTCTGTTTTGTTTGGGGTGGTGTTAATGTAAAATCAAACTCTGATGTTTATCAAAACACTTAAAGTCTAAAAACCTCAGTCTTGATTTAGCTGAAATGAACTCGTAGGCAGTTGGAATGCATGTGCGAATGCCAAACAAACCTACGATTACTCTAAAAGCGGTAAGTGGATTTAAGCACTGGGCATGCTGGGTACATAAAACCAAAAGAAAATGCATGAGTCGAGCACTAACAGGAGAAATGCCTTGTAGTCTTTTACCAACAACTAAAAAGAAATACTACAGCCACTAAAATCTGTTGCCACGTTGTTTTGTTTCTAAGTAACTCTTCTTCAGAAGTTCGTAATACAGCGTCCCCATAGGTGAAGAGGGAACAATTTCTTAAAGGGTTTAGTGCAGTGTAAAAGTGACCTGCAAATGTTGCACTTTTGTTCCCAGATCGAACAGAGTCTACTGGCCTAAAAGGTGTAAAATACCCTTAATCTCACCTTGTTCCATTCCTCTAGCCCAGCCTTCTGGAACTCCAGCAGGTATCCGAAGATCTTGCCTCGTCCGGTGTCGGTGGGCGGCTCCCAGGAGAGAGTCACTGACTCTTTGGTGAAGTCAATGGCATGAAGGTTGACAGGTGGACCAGGTTTCACTGAGGCAGAAGAGTTCTTCAGTTATTATTACTGCTAACCGTATAAGGCTTATAAAATTGAAAGTTTTAAAACGTGAGCCTACCAATGGGATCCTTTGCAAAAACTGGTTTGGATGGTGGACTTGGGTCTCCAGCTCCCACGACGTTCTCAGCACTGACTCTGAACTCGTATTCACAGCCTTGCAGCAGCTCTGTCACACAGTACTCCACTTTGGGGTAGATTCTTTCTGTGTTGCAGCGAACCCATCTGCAAAAATAACCATTTCACCCATTTTGTTTAATCTTCTGAAACATGGAAATGTTGAAGATAATGTGCCTGAAAAATGAAAAATTCCTGGAAATATTTCGGTCATCTGTTAAGCTTTACCTTGTATTTTCTTAGTTACAATTGTTGTTTTTGAGCGCTACGGGATAACGTACCTGCTGGCCTTGGTCTCCTTCCTCTCCACAATGTAACCTGTGATTGGTTTTCCTCCGTCAGCAGGTGGCTCCCAGCTGATCAGGGCACAGTCATGGTAAACTTCCTTCACTGTGGGCTGCTTTGGTGCATCAGGCACCGCTGAAAAGCAAACATATCTAATGGTAAGACACCACTTTAACTTTATTCCTACCTAGAAGATGGATTTGTTTATTCAGCGTCAGCTTACTGAAGACATCTCGAGCTTTGGTCTCCGCTGACAGGAGTGGGTCACTGATACCGTACATGTTCTGAGCCATGATCCGGATGATGTACTCACGACCTTCGATCAGCTTTGGCACCTGTATTAGGACACAGTGATTGATATGGTCAATCCTTCCAATCATCTACTGTCCAATTTTCAACATTTAAGCTTTCAGAGTTTTCTGGTAACTTTTCTGAAAATGGTTTTTTTCTCTGTTCTAGCTGAAAATATTAGAGGGACCTAAACACTGAGATCCACAGACAGTATTCTGAGCTTGCAATCTATTTAGTGGACAGCAGAATGTTCAGCTCCGATTAGAAGGACTAACTACTATTGCTGGGTTTCAGACACGTGATCCAGATGACACGTGTAATGCAGATGGAGGGCCAGAAGGGGATTTTTCCAGTTCAAAACAAAGCAAAGTTGATCACAAAGAGTATACTAATGCCCTTAAAAGGCTGGAAAAGAAACGGCATCTCGAAAAAAATAATGGTTATCTTTCTCTCTATTAGAACAGTTGGAACAACCGTACAGAACTCAGACTTTAGGCATTCTGATGCTGGATTAACAGACAGAAATGGGCTGCATTTACTTCCCGTCCTCCATCTGCATTGCTAAAATAATCTTGCATAACAGTAAATCATTTATCCACATCGTCTTTTTTCACATTCATTCAAACTAGAAGATACAGAAAAAAACCCTATATCTTTGGGTTGTGTATATATTTAAAAACAACAACAACATTCTGCTCAAGAGTTTGAAGAATAAAACTGACCTTGCAGGAGGTTCTGGTGGAGGAAGTGGTGACGGGCATCCACAGGTCTCTGTTGGTGTCTCTCTTCTCAATGATGTAGTTGGAGATGGCGCAGCCGCCGTCGTCTAGAGGAGGGTTCCAAGAGACGACCATGTAGTTCCTGTAGACTTCGTTGAAAACTACGGGGCCCTCTGGTGGCTGAGGACGGTCTGACAGGAGGAAAGAGTCGCACTAATCAAAGCTAGTTTATCTTCAGGTCATACAACTTTAAACTCTGGCAATAAATGATTAATTTTTAGGGTTGCCCAAGTTAAATAGTGTGAGAAAACCACAATTTAATGTTTTTTCAGGCAGTATGTAACAGCTAACAAAAAAAAAATCAATTCAAACATGAAGATGGACACAAATATCTCATTGTGACTCACCAACTACAGTGATGGTGCAGATTCCAGTACGAGGCCCGGCGGCGTTCTCCACATTGACGCAGTAGCGGCCACTGTGTTCTCTCTTGGCCTTGCTGATGTTCAGGCTGAGGTGGCGTGCGGTGCTGTGAAGGTTGATCTCTTCGTCTGACTTAAGCTCTTCGTCGTTCTTCGTCCAGGTGATTGTCGGGGCTGGCTTGCCGCTGTAACGTCCTGATAGCATGCATGGATCTCCCACCTTGACCATCATCGTGTCTCTGAAGTCGAGGTCCAAAGTAGGTGGCTCTGAGTTGGGATAAAAGCAGTTTGAAATTACATGTTTTTAACAGAAAAATAAATTAACATTTGCCTCCATTAATGCAGACTAATAAATTGGTACAAATTCATCTATAAATGGATGGAGTGACCCCTCCATACCTTTGGTCACTTATCAACATTTCCAACAATTTTTCTACTTTGTGTTCTAATGAATTTATCATTATGCATTATTTTATTTTGCTGTATCCAGTGATTCCTCTTTGTTTTACATTCTTCTGTTTTCTGTTGCATAATGTTTTAATGTTTTCTGAAAACGAGAATTTGTCATCAATCTCCTTACCTGGTTAAATGAATAAAAGATAATGTTTGTGTGTAACTTACCGAGCTCGTCCTTGCACTGCACAGGTTTGGTGGGGAAGGAGTGCTTGCCTTGCCCCACCTGGTTGACGGCTGAGACTCTGAATTCGTGACTCGAGCCTTCCTTCAGTCCGGTTAGCGTGAACTTCCTGTCTATCAGCTTGTCCTCGCCTCCGATCCGAGTGAAAGTGTCACGGCCCACCATTCGGGACTCAAGGACGTAGGAGGTCACCTCTGCACCACCGTCATATTTGGGTGGTCTCCAGGCAACAGAGATGGAGTCCTTGGTAACACCTGTGACAATCAGGTCCTCTGGACGCTCCGGGACGGCTGCAGGAGACAGAAATTAGTTTCAGAACTGCAATTTTTTCGTATTTATAACCCCGAAGAGTAACATGTTGCTGTTTTGGACTTACAGATTGGGTCTTTAATAAGGACCATATTGTCGATCTCGATAAAAGGTCCCATTCCGATAATGTTCTCAGCTGCAATCCTGAAGAAGTAGCCCTTGCCTTCGATCAGTCCCTGCACCACAGCATTGTTCCTCGTCACCGTGTAGGACACCGAGGTCCAGCCCATTCGGTCGGACTCTCGTTTCTCGATGATGTAGTTGGTGATGGCCGAGCCACCGTCGTCTTCAGGGGAGTACCAGGTCAGTTTGCAGGAGTCGGTGGTCAGATTCTCACCAACAAAGGGAAGACCGACAGGTCCAGGAACATCTTAGAGAAGAAGAAGGACAAAGTCCAATAGTCAGGAACTGTCTTTAGAAAGATAAAAAATAAAATTTCTTCCTGAACTTTTCACTCACCGAGAACCTCAACAATAACGGCCTTCTTCCTCTCGCCTCCCTCGTTCTTGGCGCTGAGTGTGTACATGCCCTGATGTTGCCGTCTGCAGTTCTTGATGACCAGAGAGTTAGAGATGCCTGTCGTCTCCACCACGGCCTCTTTGGGCACCTCGGCGTCGTCACGGCACCAGGTGATCTGCGGAGCGGGTTTGCCTGACACGTAGGCGATGATGCGGATGGTGGCTCCGGCGTGGACCACAATCTTCTCCTTCACTGAGGCATCAAGGTCCATCTCAGGAGGAACTGGGGATGGAGATAGTTTTTAATTAAAGGTGACCTATCATACTTCCTTGAAAGTTCAGTTTGAATAGGAAGTGTAATACAAAACATGTTTATTATATTTTATGGACAAGATATTTCTTAGATAATGACATTTTAGCTGTTTTAGGGCCTTGTGTCACTTAAAATCCAAATAGGCTGCTGCTCGCCATGCCCCCCCAACTCAATGTTTACACTTGCACGTAAAAATGGCTACAAACAGATGGAACCATATGAACGTCTTTGAATAGCAGAAGTGGGGCCTCCTCCACAACCAACAAGTCAACAACAAAACCCTTGTCGTTTCCAGCAGCCGTTGTACAGCACATACAGCGCTGAAACTTAGCTTGGGTTACTAGGTAACGGTGCAGTGCCTGTCGAATGTGACTTACATTGACAGGTTTTTGATTGGTTTGTGATAGGTTTTTGAAACAGCTCAGTTTCTAGACACCAAAAAACATTGTTAGCAAAAAATGTCTTTCTTCTAAAAGTGCTTGCATAATTTTTAGGAGCAAAATTATGCTTCTATAAGCATAATTTTTATTAGCAGTAGAGCCTCAAATGGAAATACAAAAATGCAAAAAATGTGAATTTTATATGATATTTCCTATTTGAAGATTATATGTCCATACATATAATCTTCAACATAATGGTTGTTGATCAGATCCTTACTTGTTCTGTCTTTGACTTCGATCAGCTCAGACACGAGACCTGGGTCTCCTACGCCAGCAGAATTCACGGCCCGGACCCTGAACTGGTACAGCCCTCCTTCTTTCAGGTCAGTCACAACAAACTTAGTTCCTCTGATCTCTGTGTCCTTTGCCTGCAGACACACAAACACATGAGTACTGAGAAAACAAAACACCTTACCAAGTATTTTTGGTGCAATTTTCTTATTACTTGAAAAAAGGCAAACCTAACTTACAAGTAACTTTTCACCGACAAACAAGCACTTGTTTGGAGTCAATAATTTCTTAAAATTGATCAAAACTAGAAACTAAACCAAAGCTACTTGGAAAGATTTGGTGTTTTTTTAGTTTGGACTTCAGAAGAGACTCTACCTTCTTCCAGCTCTCGTCGCTTTCAGGCTCCTTCTCTTCCTCAGCTTCGCTCAACAGCAGCCTCCTCTTGGCTTTCTTCTCCTCTTCCTCCTTGTCTATCTCCTTCAACTCAACAATATAACCTGTCACCTTGGACCCTCCGTCTGTAGAGGGAGGGAGCCACTCCAGCTCCACCGTTGATTTAGTCCAGTCCATCACCTTCGGGTAAGGTGGCCCTGGAGGCTCTACATAAAGAAAATGTAAAACTTCAGTTTGGATGCAACATTATAAGGATTAAAAACACTCAACTCATTGGCGGAAGTGAGAGTATCGAACAAACAAATAATCATCCATCCACAACACACAGTGCTAAATAGTAAAACATCATTTAACAAAGTCTTCAAGCAGATAATTTGCCTCAAGAAATTTGAATAATGGAGGTACAGACTAATTTATTTAAAAATAACCAAATAAAGTTTTTCAAAAATGCAGGAAGACCACAATTATGGAGATCAGAGCAATAAGATGACATACTGATGGGGTCTCTGCAGAGTACAGGGTCAGAGGGCAAGCTAGGCAGACCACAGCCGGCGGCGTTGATGGCGATCACCCTGAACTGGTACAGGGCGCCCTCCAGCAGGCCTGTAACATCCCAGTTGTTGCCCAGTGGGAGCGCATGGATTGGTTCCCGGGTGACACGGGTCCAGCGTTTGGAAGTGGTCTCCTTCTTCTCGATAAAGTAGCCGGTGATGGGGGATCCGCCGTCATATTTGGGCTCATCCCAGTTGACCGTCATGGACTCCAGACAGACTTCAGTAACTGTTGGTTTCTCACACTGACCGGGTACGGCTACAGTATGACAGGATGGTCATCAGTCATCAAGAATATTCACAGGCGCATCAAATATGTTATATTTAAAACCTCTCTAAACTTACTGAAGAGGTTTCTGGCCTTCTCAAGCTCACTGATCACTGCTGGTCCAACTCCAAACTTGTTCTGGGCCATGACTCTGAACTCGTACTCGTGGTTCTCTGTAAGACGTGTCACCACATAGGCGCACTCTTTCGGATCGTTGGAGACATGGACCCACGTCTTTCTATTGTCCTCACGCTTCTCAACCACATAGTTGGTGATCTTGGATCCACCATCGTCTGTGGGAGGGTTCCAGGCCAGACCGATCCTCTCCGCAAACACCTCTGTGAACTTGATCGGACCCACTGGTGGGCCAGGAGGTCCTGGAAGACAAGAATAAAAAATATATAATTTTTCCATATATTTTAGTTAATGTTTGGCTAAAATGATTCATGTTTCTCACCATTATGCCAATGAAAAACATTCAATATAGTTAATAGTTTTGTGATTAAAAATATCATTAACAGATTATTTTGTGAATATTTTGGTATTAGGAATTAGCCTTGTTTTGCTTTATGCTAAAGATCTAATTCGCATATAAAAAGATTTCTAAATTAAACATCAATGACAACTCAAAAGATTAAAAACAGTTCATAATATTTTAGTGATAAAAATGTCATTTCATCTTAAATAGATGACAATTTAGTTAAAAATGTCTATACACCCAGTCTTGGTTTATCTGTATTTTATTTTGAAGGTGAATTATTTTACATGAAAAAGAGCTGATGCATATTTTATCTTCTGTTTATATTTTAGTTTCACTCAACTCTTTTCATTGAGCTTTTCAAGTCATAATAGTAAAGAATTAAAAGCTGTCAAGAAGACCTTAATAAAGAATTTTTAGGTTCCTGGTTGTGAAAACTAGATTTTTGCTTGCTGTTTAATAACATACACTATGTATCCAACACCAAGTGATAACAGTAAACTCACCCAGCACTGCCAGCTTGATGTCTTTGGAGACAGTACCCAGGCTATTACTAGCCGTCAGGCTGTAGAGGGCGCTGTCGTTCCGGCTGGCCTGTTGGATCAACAGTGTGCACTTGTCTGGAGTCACCAGTTTGTTGATATGCTGGTCATACTGGACAGCAGCCTTTTCCTCGGGTTTGGCCAGGCTGGCCTTGTGCCAGGTCAGCGATGGGAAGGGACAGCCGCTGATCCTCGCCACGATGCTGACGTCGCAGCCCTCCTCGCCCTCCATGGCTTCACGCAGCTCAATGGTGGGAGGACCTGCAGAAAAACAACAAACATCAGCAATTAGCTAAAATCTAAAATCCAGATAGTTTTAGATATGTTTCCAGAGGAAACATTAAGAAATGACTGAGGTAGTTGTCACTCACATGTCTGGTCCTTGATGACCAGAGGTCCAACAGTGGCAGAAGGTCGGCTGGGTCCAGCTGCATTCACAGCTTTTACTCTGAATTCATATTCTCCTCCCTGCAGGTCAAGTTTGATTTAATTTATTTGATTTCGACAATTCATGGCAGTTTAAAGACAATAAGTACAACAATATGTTACCATACAAATCACATAAGAGAACACAGCACACATCAAAGTACACAGTACGTATTAAAAGAAGCAAAGACGAAAAAACTGAACAAACAGAAACAGAAATCTAAAAAAAATACAAGACACTCAATATTAAGCAGTGGAAAACATTATCAAATAGTACATGACTTTTTAGCATTTAACCAAGTTTTAGAAATTGCAGTTTTCACACTGATATAAGCTTGTAGCCCATCCCATGAACGTGCACCTCTAGTAGACGCCACCTTCTGGCTAAACTGTGTTTTGCACCTCAGTATATTGGTATCTCACTATTCCTTTCTTGAATAAAATCAAGGTTTAAAAACCTTAAGAATAACACGATGTAATGATGCAGTTGATAAGAATCAAGGATTGTAATATCATGGTAATGGGATGGTTTCTTGTCAAAAAGAGACATGATGGGTTTTATTCCACTTGGAATTGTAAAACAGTATGTTATATGAGGGTAATAAATTACAGCATGCATATAAATTCTAGCTGACTGTGTGGTGGGAAAATATTGTAGATAGCAGAAGTTTGCTAAATTGAATTTTACGACATTTGAAGAAAACCAGTTTAAGGTCACCACCGTATTGTTTAGACAAAGTACCACTGCTGAGTGCTGTAACTAAAGGCAAGAGGTGGTAAACTGACCTCCTTCACGTCCTCCACAATAAAGGTGAGCTCCTCCACATCTCTCTTGTTGCACTGCTTCCAGGTTTCCTTCTCCTTGCCGCTGGTGTCCCAACTCAGACGCTCGATGATGTAATGTTTTACAGGTGAGCCGCCGTTGTTCTTTGGAGGCTCCCAGCTCAGAGTGACTGTGTTCTTTGTGACTAGGTTTACCTTCAGCTTGGTTGGGGGGTCGGGTGGGTCTGAGGAGGTGGCAAAAGAACAATAAACTTTATAGACACGATTATGGAAATATAGTGTTGTATGTGTGCAGCTGGAAAAGAAGGATTGTCCTTACAGATGGGATCTCTGGCTCTGATGGGTTCGGTTGTCTCGGTAAAAGGACCAAATCCCAGTCTGTTTTCTGCTCGAACCCTGAACAGGTAATCCTGACCCTCAAGCAGGCCTGGAACCACAAAGGCCTGGCTAGCACAAGCGGCATTCACCTGGGAGTAAAATAAATTGGGTAAATTTATCATTCAAGCACAGGAAACATTAAGATGACGAGGCAGAAAATCAACAAGCTGCCTTTTTACCTTGGTCCAGGCCTTGTCAATCACAGACTTTTTCTCAATGAAGTAGCTCTTGATCCTCTCTCCTCCGTCGGTGTCTGGGAGCTTCCAGATCAGCCTCATGGTGGAACGAGTTACATCAGTGACCTTCAGGTCCTTTGGAGGTCCAGGAACATCTTCAAACAAAATCAAAAGCAAAGTCAGACACCCTTAAACATAAAATGAACAATTTCTACAAACCAACAATCCCAAACCATAAATTCAGGTTAATTCAGACAGAATGTTTCTAGTGATTAAAGGTCCATACCGACGACAATGACTCTGACGTTGACATGTTTCTGTCCAGACTTGTTCTTGGCTGTGATGGTGTAACGTCCAGAATGACTCCTCAAGCTCACAGGGATGTTCACGACTGAGGTGGTGTCTGTGGACTCAACCTGGAAACAGTCATAAGCATTTTAATACAAACTCTTATGGGTCTGGATTTGAGATGCTTACTTAATGAGCCTCACATACCAAACAATCAACTATCCTTACCTGAGCCTCAACAGGGATTGTGTGCAGCTTGTTCTTTTTCTCGCTCTTGGCTTTGCCTTCATAGTCCCATGTAACCTTGGGAGCAGGCCGGCCCTTAATGGTTGCGGGAATCCTGACTGGATCTCCAGCACGAATGTTGACTAGTTCCTCAGCCATGACATCAATTGTAATGACAGGAGGAACTGTCAAAAACAGAATTCATCAACAGGTCAGAGACAAGGAAATTGGTATGTTTGCTGTTTTGACAGTTCAAGGCTCAACATACATTGGACATCCTCCACCAGAACTTCGCTGGTGCGTGGGCTGGGGTCAGACTCGCCGATGTCGTTGACAGCGATGATCCTGAAGCGGTAGCGTTTCAACTCACGGAGACTGGGTACGGTGAACTCCGTGGTGGGGTGCAGGCTGTCAATGTCATTGATTTTGTGCCACTCTGATGAGCCTTCATCCTGAATCTGGATGATGTAGCCCTTAATGGGGCTTCCTCCGTCATTCTCTGGTGGCTTCCAGGACAGCGTGACGCTATGCTTTGTCTTATCAGCAACCTCAGGAGCAGCAGGCATGCTTGGAGGAGCTGGGAAGTGAGAAGAAGTTTGCATTTTTGTAAACCATGTATTTATTAACTTCAGAAAATATTCCTGCTGTGATGAACTCACTGATCGGATCAACTGCAAAGGCAGAGTCAGACGGCCCACTGAATGGTCCAGTTCCAGCTGAATTGGAGGCTGCAACCCTGAATTCGTACTCAGTTCCTTCAAACAGTCGAGTCACCTGATTGAAGTAGGAATCAGGCAATGTGTTTAGTGTTTTTGATGTTTCATCTCTTAAAGTGACCACCTTTAAGCAACAAACCAACCCCAAGAAGCTCACCTGATACTCCCAACCTTTCACGCCTCTTTTAGTGACTGGCATCTTGTTGACTTTGGCCCAATAGTCTGTTCCTTTCTCTCTTTTCTCCAGCCAGTACCCAATGATCATTGAGCCTCCAGTCTCTCTTGGAGGCTCCCAGGTCAGTGTCATGGAGGTCTTGGAGTATTCTGCAATAGTTGGTTTTTGTGGTGGGCCAGGAAGACCAAATGGATCTGTGATAAGGACTTCCTCCGTTGTACATGGGTCAGATACGCCGTACTTGTTTTCGGCTCTGACTTCGAACAGATAAGTCTTGTTGGTCTCCAACTCCCACACCTATAAAAGGAAGACCGTTAGCCCTCCACTTGCAGTCACTAAGCGCTTATCATTAATGATTTTGTTGTGACATACCCCTAATTTCCTTTCAATTACGGCATTGCTGACCACTTCCCACTGTGGCTCTGGTGGAACCTCTTCTCCCTCTTCTGGCTCAGGCTGGTCTTTAAGCACTTCCTTTCTCTGAATAATGTAGTTTGTCAGCTCGCTTCCACCATTATCAACTGGTGGGTCCCAGTTTAAGTAGCAAGACTCGGCCCTGATGTTTGACACAGCCAGATTCCTGGGTGGGGTTGGTCGGTCTGAGGAGAAAACAAACAGAAAGTCAGAACACTAATCTTTATGAACTTTTTAATTTCTTTAGCAGCATATTCCCTGCATGTTGGCCACTCACCAAGCACCATGACATAGACGGTGTGTTTGGCTGAGCCCATGTTGTTGGATGCTGACACAGTGTAGCTGCCACGGTCCCTCCTGTTGGCAGCGGGGATGGATAGAGTGGTCTTGGCATTCAACCTTCCAGTCACCTCTGTTTCCATCAGCAATGTCTCTGTCGGCTGGTCGATTAGCACGTCGTCCTTGAACCACTCGATCTTTGGGATGGGGAGTCCAATGATGTCAGCAGGAATTTCAATAGGCTCACCCTTCTTCACAGTAATGCAGTCAGCAGTAAAGTGCTTCAGCATGTGGATCTCAGGACCAACTGACAGATTGGGAGAGACACCAAAATTCAGGACATGAGGAAAAACATTTCCAGTAAACCTACTGGTTTGACTTTGCTTATATAAATGTTTCTCTGAATACAAATGATGAACTCGAAGTTTTAATGAAATGTGGTCTCACCTTCATCATCTTGAATTACTACAGTCAGTGGAATGGATGGCTCACTCTCTCCAATAAGATTGGCACACTTGATTCTGAACTCATACATCCAAGCCTCCTCCAGGCCTTCAACAGTGAGAGTCATGTTGGGGCAGATCTCTGTGTTGCAGGGTTCGAAGGCCTGTTGGTCCTGCCTCTTCTTCTCTACAAAGTACCCAATGACTGGGCTGCCACCATCACTGCGCGGTGGCTTCCAGGCCAGAGTGATGGAGTTTTTGGTCCTCTCTGTGTAGTGGAACTTTTCAGGGTATGATGGTGGACCTGCACAATCATCAAACCCAGTTATGTTTCAGTTAAAAACCCAGCTCTGAATCATTTGAATCCTGGCGATAAAAAGATTCTGAACTTACCCTGAGGATCCACAGCTTTGATGGGTCCCAGCTCAAAGGGAACACCCAAACCGTACTTGTTCTTGGCGGTGACACGGAAGAAGTACTCCTGTCCCTCCATGATTCCTACACATTCGCACTTGGACGAAGCAGTTTCAACAGGCTGCCTCCATGTGTGCATCTTGGCATCCCTTCGTTCCACAAGAAAGCCTGTCAGATCGCTGCCTCCGTCATCGTCTGGGTCATCCCAGTTCAGGAAAATCATCTTACGAGTAACAACAACTGGCTTCAAGTCCTTGACAGGACCAGGGACATCTAAAACATTAAATAAAACAAGGCATTAGCGAAACTATAACAACAGGTTCTTGCAGGTTTGCTGGACTTTTAATTACCCATCACTTCCACTCTGGTCGATGCGGTCTTGGTGCCACTGGGGTTGCAGGCAGAGATCTGATACTTTCCACAATCCTGCCTCTGGACATTCTTGATTGAGACAACACTGTCATTTCCCTCACTGAGGATCTCCACACGGTCTTTATCTGGTTTGCCATCATCCTTTGTCCATGTGATGGATGGATAGGGTTTACCAGTGACTGTAGCAGGAACACGCAGCGTTTCTCCAGCTCTGATGATTATACCATTCTTGATGGCAAGGTCCATGTCAATTATTGGGACCTCTGTGGAGTGCAACAAGGAAAGGTTAGAATGCAGAACATACAACAAATTGTCCAAAAGTAACAATAAGTTCTCGTTTTAGGCAGACCTGCTGGGTTCCGGACAAAAACAGCGTCTGTGAAACCAGGTGTTCCTTCTCCTGCAGCATTGCATGCGATGACTCTGACTGTGTACTTCGCTCCCTCACGAACTCCATAGACGGTGAAGTTACGCTGCTTCCAGGGACGTTCTGTTGATCTAGACCAGTCCTTGGTACCAGCCATTGCCTGAGGAACAAACAACCACTCTTTGCTCAGTTGGGGTTTTCAGATGGTTTACCAGAAAACAAGATATATTTCAGAGCAAAATCATAAAGTAAATCTTCTGACCTTGTCCACATGGTATCCCAGAATCTCTCCTCCACCATTGTCAGCAGGAGGATCCCACTCTACTTCGATGGAGTGGTCAGTGGTTACCACCACTCTGGCAATGGGAGGTCCAGGTGGCACTACAAGGTTAGAAGAAACGCCATAAGTTGATTAAAATGTCATCTGACTAGCATCTTCTGTTGTGATGATTTAGATTTGTTTACATACTGATTGGAGCCTGCGCTGTTTTAGGCTCAGAGGGAGGACTGAACTTTCCAGGTCCGGCCTGGTTTTCAGCCGCCACCCTGAAGATGTAAGTGAGTCCCTCCAGGAGACCTTCAACTTTCAGCTCTGTGTCTGGGACGATGTTCCTGGAGATCAGCACAGCAGGAAGAATTATTTTTATGAACTTGAAGACATGCCTCTGTTTGAATGGGAAGAAATGAAAATCTTAGATTTCCTCACCTGTTGACACGTGCCCAGTGTGAGCTGTTGATCTCCCTGCGCTCCACCCAGTATCCCAGAATAGGGTTGCCATTGTCCTTTGGTGCTTCCCAGGTGACCACCATGCTGTTGGCTGTGATGTCGTCAATCTGTGGCTTTTCTGGAGCCTCAGGAGGTTCTGAGGAAAATGAAAAAGAATATTAAATTTTTTTTCTACTACTTGCACAGACAATGCCACTGAAATATTCCCTTATGTGTGCGTACCGAAGGGATTCTTGGCGATGAGAGGTTTGGAGACGCAGGGTGGACCAGGGCCAAACTTGTTTTCAGCTACGACCCTGAAGATATACTCTTTCTTCTCAATGAGTTTGGGTACCAGATAGCGGCAGCCTCTCAGTGTGCTGGTAACACAACTCCAGCCGAACTCCAGCTTGGAGTTGTCCTTCTTCTCCAGGGTGTAGTTGAGGATCTCACTGCCGCCGTCATCCAGAGGAGGATCCCACATGCAAATGACTGAGTTCTTCCTCACTTCCTCAAATCTAAAGTTTACGGGAGGACCAGGAGTATCTGCAAACACAATAGATGAGTTCTTATAGTGCGACAACTCAACTGAAGTATTTGCGACAAATGTGCGACAACATCAGTGTTCCCTTACCGAGCACATTGACCTCACAGGTTGCTGAGGCAATTCCGTGGTCGTTCTCCACCTTCACCATGTAGACCCCGTGATCTGGGCGGACTGACTCATTAATGACGATGGAGGACATGCCCCTGTGGCTGTTATTGATGGTCAGACGTTCATTTATGGTGGGATAGTCAGGCACCTCCACCTCTGGCTCAGCAGCTTCCTCCTCTGGCTTTTTCTCCTCCTCTGGCTTCTTCTCCTCTCCTTCTTTCTTTTCCTCTCCCTCCTTCTTCTCCTCTTTTGTCTCGGCTTCTCCTTCTGGCTTTTTCTCCTCTTCCTTCTTCTCCTCTCCTTCCTTTTTCTCCTCTCCTTCTTTCTTCTCCTCCTCCTTCTTCTCTGTCTTCTTCTTCAGGGGTTTCTCAGGTCTTTTGCGGAGTGGTTCAGGTTGGATCACCTGGTTGTTCCAGTACCAGGTGATCTGAGGGTACGGTGAGCCAGAAATATTGGCGTCCAGGCAGATCTCGCAGCCTCGCTTCACACTGAGACCGGACTGTAGGCTACCACTGAGGAAAACCTTTGGAGGATCTGAAACACAAAGTCCAATTAACCTAAACTTAGAGGAAAGTGGTACTGAAGAGAACATTGTTGATTTTTTTCTTCTCCTTACCAACAGCATCAGAGGCCTTAACGAACAATGTGTTGCGTGACGGATCACTGATGCCAGCAGCGTTTTCAGCTTTGACTCTGAACATGTAGTTCTTGCCCTCTGTTAGTCCTCTGACTGTGTAGGACAAGACGGGAACCAGGAAGTCATTGCACCTCTCCCACTTGTCCTCGCCCTTCTGCTGCCGCTCCAGAATGTAGCCCATAATTTTGGCGCCACCATCGTACATAGGAGGCTTCCAGGTCAAGGTTATAGTGCTGGAAGTGGGATTGTGGGTTTCCACGTCCACTGGCGCGTCAGGAGCATCTGGGTCAACAAACGCACAGTCCAATTATCTTAAATGGTACAACCAAGTTAAATTGTCAACAGGACGTTATTTTGACCACTAAATAGGGAACAAAGTTGTGATATTACCAGAATAAAGTCAGTTACAAAAATAAAGTGGTAGCACTATCAAAAGAGCCAAAAAAATAGAACACCAAAGTTCAAATAATATGAGAACAAAGTCGTAATATTACCAGGACAAATCGTAATAATGCAAGAATAAGGTTCTAATATTATGAGAAAAAAGTAATAAAAAATACAAGCATTAATTTCTAATATTACAAAACTGGATCCATAGTGTAAGCAGAATAAAGTCATAAAAATATGAGAATAAACATAAAATAAGATTAAAGCTGTAATATCAGAATAAAGTCACAAAATTACGACAATGAAGTAATTTTATTAGAACAGTCTAATTTTTGTCTTGTAATATGGCTTCTTTATTCTGCTAAAGTTTTAATTCTATTTTCATAAGACTACGACTTTATTGCGCATTTAATTATTTTTTCCTAGCTTGACAGTAATTCCCCTTTGCTAGCATTATTTGAATGCACAAAAACCATGAGCAGATTGAGCCAAATAGCCGACAATTAGTTAATTTTCATAAATAATTTCACAAAGTGAAATATTTTTCATACGTTTTTGGTCCTCTGCAATGACGGGGTTGCGCAGTTCGATGAATTCTCCTCCTCCAATCTTGTTGACGGCCTGGACTCTGAAGTAGTACTCTCCGTTGGGGATGAGGTCTTTCACCATCCAGCTCACCTTGTTCTCTCCAGACATCATGTTGACGTAGGTCCTCCTACCAGCCTCACGCCGCTGCACCCACATGTTCCAACAGAGCACCATCAGTTTGTGGCATTCAAACTAACTCTTTTGGTTTAAAACTGAAAATGAAACCGACCTGAAGGACGTAGTGAAGAATCGGGCTGCCACCGTCATAGTCTGGAGGATCCCAGGAAACTTTACATGAACTCTTTGTGATTTCAGATGCAACAATCTCTTTGCAGGGACCAGGAAGTCCTGAAGACACAGAGACAAATACATGTTGAAGAACTGTTTGTAAGCATAAGAGATTCTTGTGTTTTTATGGCAAATAAATGGAGTGCATGTGGTTACCGATGACTTTAACGTTAATGGTTGCACTGGCACTTCCCAGTTTGTTCTCCAGAGTCACTTTATAAACTCCAGCATCGGGATGAAGGCTGCTGTCAATCTCCAGGTGACAGGAAATGTACTCCTTCCTGCTCCAAACAAACAAATCAGCCAAAAGCAATCAGATTGAGGAGTTATATACATTTTCTTTGTGTTTATCCTTTAAGCTGTCAGTCAGGGTTCACATACTTTTCCCACGGTAAAATTCAAACACTATTCAAGTGATTTTTCAAACTTTTCCAGCACCACACTTTAGAGAAAAAAAATAATGTGTATGAACTCGAAAAAGACAATAACTACTAACTAAGCTAATCAATACGTCATTATGCCATTGCAAATAATAAATATTCATTACATTGAAACAATCCAAACAAATTTTTAAGCAAAACAACTTTGCTGCTCAAATTAAATGCCTGAACATGATTTAAAAAGTTACAAAAAAATCTCTAAATAAATTTTCTACAAAGTTTTCTGGAATTTAGCGAACGGAAATAATTTAAAACACAAAAAGTTTAGTCATATTTAACTTCAAACAGTGAGAAAAAAATCATTATGTGCTTGAAAATATCTGGTTTTAACTCTAAATATTTTCACATAAGTGCTGGATTGCACTTTAGTATAAAATTGTGCAGTTCAAATATCAAGCACTTTCAAGGACTTTGAATAGAAAACCTGGAAAACACCTAATTGGAATTCAGTCATTTCAAAGACTTCAAGCACCAGTATGAACCCTGCTGGTCTGTGGGTTGTGTCTGGATCTTAAACTGTTACGGTCAGCCTGTTCTGACCTGAACATGAGACGCTCATCGGCCTTCAGCTCCTTGCCGTCTTTGTGCCAGGTGATTTTGGGAGATGGGACGGCTCTGAAGGGAACTGGGATGTGAAGCTTCTCTGTTTCCACCACAACAAGGTCCAGAGTCTGGAACTCCAGTGTTGGGTTACCTGGGACCACAAAGAGGAAGAGGATGTCTAGTCATGCTTTGGCATGTTTCTATGTTTGTTTAAGAAACAGATGTGTTGTGCTTACAGTCAGAGTCTTTGGCAAAGACGTTTTCTGAGATGTCGGAGGGCTCACTCTCTCCTACAGAATTGATGGCCCTCACTCTCAGTATGTACTCCTTCTCAGGGACGACGCCCTCTTCCACTCGGTATTTAAGCTCCTTAACTGGACGGGAGTTGACCCTCATCCACTTCTCAGTTCCGGCTTCGCACATCTCGATGTGATAGCCGCGGATCTGAGAACCGCCGTCCTGCTGCGGAGGCTTCCAGGCGATGGACAGAAAGTCCCTGCTGGCTCCGGTAACATGCAGCTCGATGGGAGGAGATGGGATTCCTGAAGATAACACCAAACAGATTCAGAGCTCAGAACTCGACCATCAGAGACACATAAAAACTGTTACAAAGTCAGCCTTCTATCACCTGAAGAACATTTCCAGAGTTAAAGATCTGATATCCCAGCAAAATTTAGGAGAAACTCGTCCATTCATTTATTGTCATTCACACTGATATATGAAACATTGATCAATATATTTGTATATCGATGATTTTGATGATGGCTTGTGAACTAACACAAATGTAACACTTTTTACTGGTTTCTCAATTGGTGACTGTATGATGTTTTTATGATATAAAGCAGGACACTTCACATGAGCTCTTTATGAGTTCAGATGCTGGAAACAATTGTTGAAATGTGCTATACAAATAAACTTGAGTGATTGATTGAGGTCTCCAACACATTGGATTCAGGCTGACCTGTTGGATCTTCAATGGTCAAGATCTCTGTAGGTTCACACGGGTGTCCGACTCCGGCCTCATTCTCAGCCCGGACCTGGAACTGGACTTCTGTTCCCTCGATAACATCCGTTACCCGGTATTTACAATCTGGACCAGAAGTCTTTCCACATTTCACCCAGCGTGTTCCAAGCTTCTCCTTCTTCTCAATAGAGTACCTGGATGGGGAAAATGCCAGAAGATGAACATAATGGGAACAACATTGAACAGCACTACAGCCTGAATGATGGCGAGTAAAGAAATATCACCTGAGTATGGGTCTACCGCCATCATTTTTAGGTGCCTCCCACTCCAGGTCCACATACTTTTTGGTCACTGAGTTGACGGTGAGTGCATAGGGAGGCCCAGGAGTAGCTGCAACACAAACATGTTTTATTTTCAATGAAATTTTATGTACCTATGCTTCCACTACAAAAGTGTGCAAAATTAGTTAATATCCCACCAATGTAAAAAAAAAAAAACAATTTGGAAATTGCGGCATTTCAAAAAACATAAGAAACATAAAAAATATTTGCAATGGAAATGTTTATTGATCCACCACTCACTGAAAGTATCCTTGGCCAACACGGAGTCTTCCAGCTCGCAGAACGGCCCGACACCCACGGCGTTCTCTGCGGCGACTCTGAACACGTACAGAGCTCCGTCGTTGAGCGGCGTGACGGTGGTCTTCAGCTCCTTCACCGTGGTGTCCACGGCCTGCCAGCCTTTACGCCTGACGTCGCGCTTCTCCACGACGTAGTTGGTGATGCGAGATCCTCCGTCGCGCTCCGGAGCCGTCCACTTCAAGTCAGCGCTGCTCCGGCTGATACTCACAACCTCCAACCATCGAGGAGCCGATGGAGGATCTGAGGAGGATTAAACAGAAATGTCTTCAGTTTTATTTACTCAGATGATTGTTTACAATGTTATTTCTCTGTTTCCATCTTCATATTGGTGTTATGAGGCTATTCTTGCTTAATCCTGTAGGATATACAAATTAACAACACAAAGTATGTAAGTATAAGTATAAGCCTCAGTTTGTTCCTTCTTTGGTAAATTATTGGTTTGTAATGTAGTATTTTGTTTTGTCTTTTGTAAAGTTGTTAATTTACCAAACTAAAATGAAATGAATTTGAATCTACCATGTTTGGAAATGTCCATATATTATCTGGTATCTCCTGAACATTTTGTTCTTTAAATTAACTTAGGCAAAGGTGTTTTCTCTCTGTTAGTGTTTCTTACTCAGTCTCTCCTTGCACAGCACCGGGTCGCTGGGCTCGCTGGGTTCACTCTCCCCGGCCACGTTAATGGCTCTCACTCTGAACGAATACTCCTGCTTCTCCATCAGGCCCTTCAGGAAAAACTCCAGGAGGCTGATGTTCTCGGCCACACGGATCCAGTCTGTGGTTCCGCTCTTCAACATCTCGATGACGTAGCTGTCGATCTTGGCTCCGCCGTCATGCTCGGGTTTGGTCCAAGTCAGGAAGCATGAAGTCTTGGCAACATCCTTCACTGTGGGTTTACCAGGAGGCCAAGGAGGATCTGGAAAAAGATCAAACATGAAGGATTTAATTTACTTTATAACTTTAAATGATAAAATAACCTGTTTAAGATAAGAAACATGTGGTACCAATAGGGTCTTTAATAAGGATCGGATCCGTCTCTTTGCTGGGTTTTCCAGTTCCAGCCAGATTTTCAGCCAGGACTCTGAACTTGTACTTCTTCCTCGTGGGAAGGCCTTTCACTCTGCAGGAAAACAGGACAATGTCAGTAAAACCCCCACCAAAGACACTCCAGACCAGACGCTGAGCTGGCCTCACCTGTAGTTGGTGTCTTTGATGGGCAGCTTGTTGCATCGTATCCACTTGTCATGGTCCGGTTCGTATCGCTCCACCCAGTAGCCTGTGATGGGGCTGCCTCCATCCTCATCCGGCTCGTACCAGTTCAGGGTCACAGCGTCTTTGGCGATGTCTGAAGGCTCCAGTTTGTAGGGAGCTCCAGGTGTGTCTGGACCAAACAAAAGAATCACATTAGACCTGGCAGAATTTAGCAGAGCTTTCAATTAACTTAAAGGTAACCCATTAAGCTTCCATGAACAGATCTATGGGCTAAACAAAACATGTTAATGGCATTTTTTGGACAAAATCATTCTTAGATGAAGATATTTTAGTCTGGTCAGTTGTGCTTATTTTAAGTTCCTTTCAGAATGAGCTGTTTTTGGGCTTCTGTCACTTTTAATCCAAATGACGTAACTGTCGATCTGGTCGATCTATGTCCAGATCTGGACGATCTACGTCCAGATTGATGTATGGCTTTTTTTTTTTAAGGCGCCTCAGCTGTTTTAGAAGGAGTATAGACCCAAATGAAAGTACAAAAATTTGCTAAATGTGAAGTTTTAAGAGTGTTTGCAGGATCTAGCACAGGTGAAAAGACTTTGTGGAAGTTTATTGTTTTTATTTATAAAGTCTAACTGCTTGATGTCAGAGTCGGATCACCTACCAAACGGATATCTGGCGATGATGGGCGGGTGTTCAGCTGGTGGACCCACACCAAACTGGTTCTCAGCGAACGCTCTGAAGATGTACTCCTTGAACTTGACCAGGCCGACTGCCTTGTACGTGGTCTGTTTGACGGTGGAGGACAGCCGGTGCCAGATCTCGCTGTCGGCAGCTCGGCGCTCCACGATGTAGTTGGTGACTCTGGAGCCGCCGTCGTCGCGGGGCGGGTTCCAGGCCAGGAGGCAGGTTTCGTTAGTGATCTCAGAAATGTCAAAGGCAGCAGGAGGACCAGGTTTGTCTGTTTTACATTAGAAATAGTGATTTAATTACAACTTACACTGAGATAGATATTACATTTCTGGGCTGTAAACTCTTCTCACCCAGGATGTTGACATCCACAGTGGCGGTGGCACGGCCGCTGCTGTTGGTTGCCTCAATGATGTAGGTGGAGCTGTCGTCTCTCTTGGTCTTAGCAATGGTGACGGTGGAATGTCCTGGCTTGGTGTCGATGGACACCCTGTCGTCTGGCTTCAGAACCAGGTCGGCCTTGGTCCACTTCACTCGGGGTTCTGGCTTACCCTTAACTTCAGCTGGGAGTTCGATCTTGCTGCCAGCCTTGGCCGTCAGACCAGCCAGAAGCTTGGCATCAAGCTGGATCTCTGGAGCCTCTGAGCACGGAATAACCATAAAATATTGTCATTTTTGAGACCATTTTCCGTTAATCTTTATGTTTTTAGAAAAACTAATCTTTCTAAATAGTGGCTTTTCAATGATAAGTGGAGCATCTATTTAACTATTGTTGTCCAACTGGAAATTATTGAGCTTATTTTAATTTATCATGCAATTTGCAGCTCATTGTGACAGACCTTTGTGTCACAAAAATAATGGATCCAAATAATGCTCTTGATATAAACACAAATAATGCTTTTGAAAAACATTCCTATTTGTATTTGCTTCTCTTTTTGTGACTTGAGTCACAAAAAGAAGTGTGATTTATATCATTAAACTGCAAATTACAACTGCCTTTTAATCATATTTGCTAGATATTTATTGTTGCTTTAATTGAACAGTGAAAGAAAAAGCAAAATATTGATTGGAATTTGTCATGACAAGGTAAATCAAAATTCTTACCATGAAATGAAGTTTATCACAATAAATGATAATACAGTAAATGCCCACCCTACACTGATTCTATCAAGGAGAAGGTCCATGTTATTACCTATTGGATCAACAGCCTGGATCTCGTCTGTGGGCTTGCAGGGCCGGCTGGCCCCGAGTCTGTTCAGAGCCCGGACTCTGTAGGCGTACCACTCGCCCTCGATCAGACCGGTCACCTGGCACTTCAGCTCCGGCACCATGTCTCCGCAGGGCTCCCACTTATCTGTGCCTCTCTGGCAGCGCTCCACGTTGTAGCCTCGGATGCCGGTGCCACCGTCGTATTTTGGCGGCTCCCAGATGAGGAAGATGCCACTGGCTGACTTGTCTCTCCACTTCAGGTTCTCTGGTGGGTCTGGTACAGCTGGAGAGAAAGCAAAGTCGATGTATATTTGTGTAATGATTTTGGTCATAGTATTTGACAAAATGCGATGCTTATTACTTGTTTCATTTTTGGTGACTACGATGATTTTATGATGTAAAGTACTTACTGATATGTGCTATGCAATTAAACTTGACTTGTTTTTAATAAGATGTACATATTAGCCAAAAGACCATCTAAAACCTTAGATTATTCATGTCTTTAAAGGTTTAAATGTTAACTGTGCAGTTAGTCTGACTTACTGGCTGGAGAAGAGACGTTGACGGGCTCATCGATGTACGCTGGCTCTCCTGGGCCGCACTTGTTGCAGGCTGTGACTCTGAACAGATACTCCTTCCCTTCAACCACGTCGGTGACGGTGAACTCCAGATCCTGGATCCCTGTTGTAACCTGAAACAGTTTGATTTTGTTACCAGCAAGGCCACATGTTATCTCACTTCTGATTTATTCCTTATCCCGGTTAAATGATGATGATTGATTCCAGACACTGTTGTCGTACCTTCACCCAGGTCTTGCGTGACACGTCCCGTTTTTCCACCTGATAGCCGGTTAGAGGACTTCCTCCATCGTGTTCTGGAGCCTCCCAGCTAAGATGGACGTGCTGCCGGGTCACCTCTAGAACCTTGAAGTCCTTGGGAGCGCTGGGTGCAGCTGGAAACAAAAACACAAACAATGAGTTAAAAACAATAATTAAAATCCATTTTCCCCCCAGATTTGCAGTAGTTTTCCGTACCGATGACGTTGACTTCGATATCTCCAGACACAGAGGTGACGTCGTTCTCCAGGTGGAGGGTGTAGATGCCTTTGTCTGGCCGGACGCTCGGCGTGATCATAAGTTCTGTGAAAGTGGACTTGGTCATCAAGGTGACGCGTTCGTCTGCAGTCGTCACCTCCTTCTCTCCGAAGGTCCACTTGGCGACGGGGGTTGGGTATCCGGTGATGGGAACTCTGATGGTGAGAGGCTGAGGGACGATCACTTCCAGGCCATCTTTGAAACCACTCAGGTCAAAGGATGGAGCAACTGGAGAGGCATGATGAGAACAAAAGCCTTATTTTAACACCTCATTTTCTATTACATTAGTGGAAAACCAATTTTTCCTTTTTTGGAGTCACTGTCAATTCGACAAATGTCACGTCTCTCACAATGTGGGTCGTCTGCCAGCAGAGGTCCGATGACGTTTGACGGTTCAGAAACTCCAGCAGCATTTTCAGCAAACACTCTGTAGTTGTACTTGGTTCCATATTTCAGACCAGACACCTGAAAAACATTCAAAGATATTAGAAAGTGAAGTTGAACAGAAATCTGTGATCCTCAGTAAGGTAACTATAGATTTAAGGCAGCATGCTGTCTTCAGCAATTCAGAAGTTGTAAAGTAGGGCAACTTTGACTGTTCTCGAGTTGTATGCGCTGCCTTCTGACGTCGTATTAAGGATATTATACTCAAGAGAAAATAAGAGTAAATTTTAATCTCAGAAATTTTTTTGAAAAAGTCAAAAATTTGCTTAAAAAACGCAAAAATTCACATTTGAATTTCAAAAGAAAATTTTTTTTTTAGTTTGAAAGGTCAAACATTTCTGATTTAAAGAATGTGATACATAACACAAAATATGGTGAATTTCTTGAAATGTGAATTACATGAAATGAGGTTTTTGGTACAAGATGAAATTAAAAACTTGGAGGAAAATGGAGGAAAGTGTTACTTTTCAAAAAATCGATTCAAAAAATCGGACAAGTAATTATTTGATCTACCAGTCACTGATTAGATCTGGTCAACTGAAAACTGGTTGACAACAATCCGACTGACTGACTTCTCGTTCCAACTCCGTGTTACAGACAGAAAACGGGCCATCTGGGCTTTTGTGAGGCCGTGATTCTGCACCTTGTAGAAGAGGTCTGGGCAGAGGCGTGCGTTACAGCGGAGCCACTTGTCGGTTCCCTCCTCGCAGCGTTCGATGATGTAGCCAGTGATGATGCTGCCACCGTTTTTCAGAGGCGTCTCCCAGGTGAGCTGCACTGAGCTCTTGTTCTGGTCCTGCCAGATCAGGTTCTGAGGTGGACTGGGACGTTCTGCAGACAGGAAAAACAAACAAATTAGGAACTTCAGACTGAGACTGGGATGCTAACTTTGTAGTAAACACAATTTACTCCCCAGTCCTCACCAATTGGATCCATGATCTTAACAGGTCGCGACGCGGCGCTGGGTTTGCCCTCGCCAGCTTTGTTCTCAGCTTTGACTCTGAAGATGTACTCCTTGTTCTCGATGACGTCATTGATGATGGCGCTGAGCTCGCCGGCTTTCGTCACCTGGACAGGCGACCACTTCACCGACGTCCTGTCGCGCAGCTCCACGATGTAGGAGGTGATGGGAGAGCCTCCGTCTGACACTGGAGGGTCCCAGGAAACGGTGCAGCCAAACTTGGTGACGTTTCCAACGTCAACGTTCAGAGGAGGTTCAGGAACATCTGAAACCAAGAAATGGAATATGGAATGTTTCATATTGCAGCTACTGAAAACACAAAGTTATTGCTTAAAAAAAGAAGAGTATAAAAACATGTGAAATGTGTAATATGTGCCTTTTAATCCCCAATTTAAATTGTTAATTGTATTTACCATCAATAAAGGAGCAGAAGAGTATATTCAAAGTTAACCCTACCAAACTTGTTCTTTGCTTGAACAGCTTCGTCCGTCTCAACGAAGGGTCCGTTGCCGACCCTGTTTCGGGCGCTGACTCTGAAGAAGTAGAAGGAGTCCTTCTGCAGCCCCGTCACTGTGTATTCGGGGCTCTCTGAGTGATCGGTGGCCAGAGTCCAGGTCTTCCGCTTCACATCGCGCCTCTCAACCACATAGCTGATCACTTTGCTGCCGCCGTCGTTCTCAGGCTCCTCCCACGCCAGGCTGACCTCGCCGTCCGCGGTGTCGACCACCTGAAGGTTCTTCACAGGTCCGGGAACATCTGGAATGAAGATTTGCAACATTTGAAGATGTTTCAAACATTACAAACAGCTTGTGACAACCATATTTTTGGAAAATTATGAATTGGAACTGCCACTCTAACATGTAACCATCTCCAGTTGACTTTAGTCGACATATTTTTCTCCACAGAAAGCTCACCGATGACGTCCAGGTTGATGAAAGCTTCTCCCTGTCCGTGTTTGTTCTTGATGACGATCTTGTAGCGGCCTTGGTCCGACTTCTTCGGGTCCTTCAGCCGGTACTCGGTGCGCTCGGCGGAGGTGTAGATGTTATCTTTGGGCAGACTCTGGTTGTCGTACAGCCAGTCAGCCTCGGCCTGAGGATAGGCGCTGTACGGGACGGCCAACACGATGGGCTTCCCGGCGTCTGTGACGTAGCTCTGATCGGTGGTCTTTATCTGAGGAACAGCTGGAAGAGGATAAAGGTTCAAAAACCGAGCATCTTTTTCTCTTTTAAACTAACAAGACCTGCTCCTGCACACTGTGGAAAGACTTATAAATGTAGAAATATTTAAAGTTCAGCAGACCAGTGCTACCGTAAGGGTTGTTCATTAATCTTCCTCCACTGAACCGGACGCTCACCTGCCAGCTCCAGCTTGGCCTTGGCGTCCTTGTCTTTGACGATGACTCTGTACAGCCCCTGGTCTCTGGGTCGGATCTCGCAGACCTGCAGCCGGTGCATCTTCCCCTCACTCATCATCTGGAACTTGTCTCCCTGGACGACGGTCATGTTGTTGCGCAGCCATTTCACCTCCACCCGGTCCTTGTTGAGTTCCACCTCAAACACGACGTCCGAGCCCGGAGGCTCAAACACGTCCTGTGGAGGTCTGATGATCTCCACTGGAATCTCTGTGGGAAACACAAACGGCCATAAACATTATTAACAAGTAGTTTTTGTCTAGTTTTTAGTGAAAACATCTAAGTACCCTTGAAATGAAATAAAACTGGCTTACAAGTACCCTTTCAGCCAGACGTAGGAGCTCGTATTTGTGTCACATGTGGACTATTTCACTTACAACATGGGAAAGTATTTTGTTATAAGTGCATTATCCTGCCAGTGAAACTAGTATTTTTTAATCAATATCAAGGAAATATTGGCTTAAAACAAGCTCCTTTATCTTCATGAAAATATACTTGTAAGTTTTGTTTTATTTCAAGTGCTTTAAAACATTTGCACCAGAAAATACATTAGTAATAGTAAGATTTTGAGTTTTTGCAGTGCAGGTTCCTCTGAGGTCTTTCTGAGAAAACAAACCTTCAACAAAGAGCCTGGCTCTGGATCTCTTATCGTCGACTCCGCAGGCGTATTCACACTCGTCATCTGGCCTGCACTCCTTGATCCGCAGTGTGCAGAACTTTCCGTCTTTCACAAATGTGAATCTGAAAAAGCAATACGAAGGATTATCTACAGGACTCCTTCTCACTCCCTAAAACATTGAAATTCACCCGATTGCCATAGAGAAAATGTTCTATCATCGAAATTAAATGCAACGTGGCACTATGAGGATGTAAAATATTATAGCTAAACATTGCTATATCAGATGGATTTATGCAACATTTTCCACCATCATTGGAGAAATTTATTATGGTGAGTGACATAATTTTGCCCATGTTGGTATTTTCAGTGAATTAAATAAAAAAACTATTTTTGACTTTTTAGCTGTTGACCGCCAGCCTAAGCTCATGTCTATAACAGCGTATTAAGTACCCTTTCAGCCAGACGTAGGAGCTCGTATTTGTGTCACATGTGGACTATTTCACTTATAACATGGGAGAGTATTTTGTTATAAGTGCATTAACCTGCCAGTGAAACTGTATTTTTTAATCAAGCAGACCAGTGCTTGCAGACCAGACAAAATGAGTAAACTTCAGCCAAAAAAATAAGTAGTAAAAAATTTGCTAGAAAAAAACTAACATTTGAATTAATCTCAGAAATTTTCTAGAAAAAACTTGGAAATTTCAGTTTGAAAAGTCAAACATTTTAGACTTTTTGAAATTTTCTGATTTCTTTTCTAGAACATTTCTGAGATTAAGTTCAAATTATTATTAGTATTATTTTTTAGCAAACTTTTTACTTTTCAAATCTGGAAATTTCCATTTTTCAGGGTGGAATTAAGGGGTTAATTATCATCCATTGTTATTTCAGTAAACTGCTCCTTATATCATAGCATTGATTCTAGACCATATCACTTGTTTATCTTATAGATGCTAGCTTTAGCATTTCCATAAAATCTGGCGTGAGAGGTGTGTGCATCAGGAACAGGTAGAGAACACCTTCATCTATTACAGGTAGAGAACACCTTCATCTTCATCTTCATCTTCATCTAGTTTACCAAATATTTCTTTAATAATGTAATATTCCACTGTTAGTGAGCTAACTTACCTTGGTCCTTCTCTGATCTCCCGTCCGTTCCTGTACCACTTGACCTCGGCCTTCTCCTTGGTCAGCTCGCACGTGAACTCTGCATCCTCGAACTCGGTGATGGTCTGGTCTTTGAGCTGCGCGCTGAAGTCGGTCGGCGCCTCGCTGATGATCAGCTCTGCGGTGGCCTTGTCGTCCCCGGCGACCACCGTGTACTCGCCCTCGTCGGCCAGCATGCAGTCCTTGATGGTGAGCGTGTGCTTTTCTTTGTCGACCCTGTAGACGATGCGTTTGCTGAAGGTGATCTCCTGGCCGGCCTTCATCCACTTCACAGTGGCGTTGGGTCTGTTGGTCTTGCAGGAGAAGCTGATTGTCTTCTTCTCCTGAGTGTCGACGTCCTCCGGAGGAACCATGATTTTCAGACTCTCCTCTGGAAAACACACAGTTCACAGTTACTGGTCCCAGTTTGACACAAAGTTAGTACTACGAGAAAAAAGAATAAATTACAAGTATAATTATATTACTACTAGAATAAAGTCAAAATAATGTACAAATAAAGTCATACTATGAGAACTAAGTTGTACATAAGATCAGATGAGAATAAAGTGACAGTATTATGAGAATAAAGTTCTAATATTACTAATTGAACTCGTGTCGATGGAGGTGAAGCACCAACCTCTGACGGAGAGTTTGCCGGAGCTCTTGGCCTGTTCTCCTCTCTGATTGGTCAGAGTGATACTGTACTCGGCTTCGTCTCCTTTCCGAGCGTCTTTGATCCTCAGTGAGAAGACGTTGTCTCTCTGAACCATCACGTACTTGCCGCTCTCGAACAGAGTCTCGTCGTTCTTCAGCCACTTGGCCTTGGCTCCCTCAATGTTCACCTCACAGTTCAGGACGATCTCCTGACCTTCTTTGACCTCCGTGTCTCTCAGAGGGGTGATGACTTTCAGTTTCTCTGCAGGGAAGAGCGAACGTTGACGACATGGGCTGAGGTTCTTGCAGTGGCTCGTCGGGTCAGTGGGTGGAGCTTACTTACCGCTCACAGTCAGATCAGCGCTGGCTCTCGTCTCGCCGATCACCACAACGTATCCGCCCTCGTCTTTGAGCTCGGTCGCCTTGATGACCAGACTGCGCTTCTTGCCGTCACTGACCAACTCGTACTTGTCTCCTGCCTCCAGCTCCTTGCCGTCCTTCATCCATTTGACACTGAAGGTTTCCTTGGAGACGGTGCAGGTGAACTCTGCCCTATTACCCTCCACCACTTCCTGGTTCTGAGGTCTGGACAGGAATTCAGCAGCCAGTTCTGCAGGACAGACACAGTGAGATTTTGTGAAGCTTCTTGCTCCTTTACTGTTTGTTTTTGTAAATAAGCTTTGGAGCAAAAACATCAGGAATCACTTCACCAAAAGAACAAAGACGTCCTTGTGTTCTTGTATGTAAGTAACTTCTCATGTGGGGTTCCCCAAGGCTCAATCATGGGGCTCCTCCTATTCAACATATACACAGCTCTACATTATGATGCCACCAGATGACTCTGAACTCATCCAAGCACTAAGCAGATAAACTGTGGATGTGCCACAACTTTCTACAGCTGAAAAGAAACAAAACTCAAATTTTAATCTTTTGATCTAAAGAGGAACGATCTAGAGTCAATGCACAGCTTCAGTTATTACAGGTAGAAAGTAGAGATTAGGCCCAAAATATGCGAGTAGTGATGAACCTGAAGAACATCTTAAGGATTAGAGGACTAATGTCTAAGCAAGATCCAGAGAAACTCATCCATGCATTTATCTTTAGTTGCATTGATTACAGCATCTTCACAGGTTTGCCTAAAAAGAACTGGCATTCTAACTAAAACCAGGAAGATAGAGAACATAACACCAGTTCACACAAAGTCCTTACACTGGGACCTACACTGGCTCTCTCAGAGAATAAACTATAAAATACTGTTGCAGCAATGGCAAGAACAGTTTAGTACCATAATACATGAAGATCTGCTGTTGTTGTATCAACTTTACAGAACCTCCCAGGTTCTGGTTCTCCTCTGCATCCCCAGAACCAGAACCACACATGGAAAAACAGCATTCAGCTTCTATGCACCACAAATCTGGAGCAAAGTTCCTTTAAAGCTAAACTAAAAACCCTGCTATTGCTTTTAATTAATAATAACTGAAACATTTATCAATAATTTGATGTATATTTACTTGACGATTTTGATGATAGCTTTTGACAAAATCTAATGTTTCCTAATTGGTTTCCGTGTTTATATTTTGCTGCCTTGTTTGCTGAAATGTGCTAAACTAAACTAGACTTTTGAAAAGTCTTTACCGTTGATCTTGAGGTTTCCTGAGGTTTTGGTGCCGTTGCTCAGCCTGCAGCTGTATTCTCCGGCGTCATCTGTCTTCAGGTCCTTGATGAGGAGAATCCTCTTCTTGCCATCGATGATGTGTTCATAGCGGCCGCCGTCTGGCAGCTCCTTGTCACCTTTGTACCAGGTGACGTCAGCGTTGGGCTTGGAGACCTCACAGATCAGCCTCACGCTGTCCGTCTCCGTTCCCTCGACGTTTGGCAGGTTTTTAGTGAACGTAGTTTCCTCCTCTGGAGCGACAGGAAGAGATTCAGAAACGTTCAGAAAACAATAAACCGAGAAACTGAGAATGATTTGTCAAAATTAAGAAAATCGTCAGAACCATCTTTTCTCTGGTGTCAGTCCTCTTTATCTGATGTCCTATTTTTTTTTTTGCAACTGGAGAAAATCTGATCTTTGTTTGTCTTTTCTTACCAACGACGGTGAGCATGCCGGAGGATTTGGAGGTCTGTGCGTCACATTCGTATTCAGCTTCGTCATCAAATGCGGCCTTGTGGATGAGAAGGATGTGTTGGCGGCCTTGTGCAATAATTTCATACTTCTTTCCTTTTCTGATTTCAGTTCCATCCTTCAACCAGGTGATCTGCAGAGAAAGCAGGAAGAAGATTCATTCAGACAGGAGGACTGGGTTTAGATTCTCATGAACAAATAAAATGAAAAGTGCTCTTCTTACTTTAGCGTCCTCTCTGGAGACTTCACACTCAAACCTGGCAGTTTCTTTCTCCCGAACCTCAACATCGTGGAGAGGCTTGGAGAACTCGACACGGGCAGCTGTCCACACAAAACGAGATTCACACAGTTACTTTAACAGATTATCTTCATTTTTGGTTCCTTAATGAAGTGGAGCTCAACACAGCTGGTGTGAATTCACTCCTAGGGTTTTGAAACTCCAATTATTTGTTTTAATTAATAAGAATACCTTTCATAACTAATGTAGCCAGTAAAACATTTATTTTCTTATATAAACAGGAAATTCAGTTACTCATTTGTATATTCTAATACATTTCTAATATTTTCTAAAAAGCTTCAATGAGAAAACTGCATAATATGCCAATTTTTTTTTATCTGATTAATGGTCAGAATAATTAATAACTGAAATAATAATTTCGTCATTGCAGGAGTTTTCCAAGGAGTTGAAGTTTCTCTTATTGTGTTAAAAATGATCTTTGTTTAGCTTTACTCACTTTCGACCGTGAGGAAGCAGGACGTTTTGAAGTCTTTGGCGTCGCAGGTGTAGGTCTTCGAGTCGTCCAGGGCGCACTCGTGGATGACCAGTGTTCTCTTGCAGCCCTCTGCCAGGATTTCGTACTTCTTCGTCTTGCGGATCTCCTGGTCGTCCCTGAGCCATTGGACCTCTCCGTTTGCTCTGGAAACTTCACATTCGAGCGTGGCGGTGGTTTTCTCCTCCACCGTTTGGTCCTGCAGAGGTCTGGTGAACTCAACAGGCGGCTCTGGATGCACAAACACAAAGGGCAACGGTTGGGTTTCTATTTACCTACTCTAGGGATTTTAAATGCAGTGCTTGTGCATTTTTCCCTCAGTAAAATTCAAGAACTTTTCAAGCTTTTTAACTAAGTTTTAACATTTTTTTCCAGCAACTCAATACAAATTAAAAAAAAAAGTTTAAATGTTCTATTATTACTGTTATTAGTAATGTTGCAACTATTCGACATTCCACAAAGGGATAAATTAACCTTTCTGTTCCGTTACCATAGCTACCCCAAGAAGGACGTCACCAAAATAAAAGCATAAAACCTCAGAAACAGTTACAATAACATTTGGCTTTTACAGCGGGTATTATAACGTTTCAAGTGAGTAAATCTGGTCTTTAAACCAGGTGTCTCCAGTCGAGTCAGTGAGTTGGAGCCTTACCTTTGACAGTCAGGGTCGCCTCTGTCTCAAAGTCTTTGGCGGTGAGTTTGACTCGTCCAGCTTCACTCAGTTGGACGTCTCTCACCGTGACGCTGTAGGTTTTCCCTTCATCCTTGAATACAACCTGAAGGTTCAACAAAGTTCGTTACCACAAGGTTTACTTTGCAAAAGGTGTTTGTATCTCTCAGTTCTGACTTTTTCCAGATTTTTCTTTCCAGTGTCGCTACTCCTCTTCCACATGTTGCACAACACACAGAGGGATTGGGTTCCCTTTTTCAGTGGCCCTACATCATCAAACTAATACATCTTTATGACAAGAAATCCTTTCCGGGCCCAGCAAAACCAACGCGAGATTTGCCCAGAGATTTAAACCTGTAGCTAGCAAATATCTGCAGTTCCCACCTGCCCTGTGCTGCGGCCTCTGGCGGCTGTTAAAAATAAACCCAGAGAAACGCTTGCGGGGCAGAAAACACCCCCTGCTTGCGTTATCTCAAAACCAGGATTGAATTCTCAGCTGGAATCTTAAACCTTCACCTGCAAGACCTTATATGAACAGGCAGTCGCAGCACAGGAAACTGAAGGGAAACTCAGGGACCTGATTCTGGACCAGAGTCAGCACCTGGGCTGGGCAGGAAGTGGACAAACAGGTGTGTCAGGTGTGACGGGACTCACTCTGTCGCTTGGCTCCAGCTTCGTGTCCCCCAGGTACCATTCAACGGGGATTTCTTCATAGGACAGCTCGCACTGGAAGGTGGCGGTCTCTCCGGCAGTCACTGTGATGTTCTTCAGGGGCCTCACCAGGGAGATCACACGGCCTTTGGGTTGGGTAGAAGACATGGTTAGTCCCTCCCCTCAAACTGGTCAACAGACTCCAAGAAATCCCCACAGAGATTTCCTTATGGTGTGTTCGAGGTAACGGCAGGGCGCTGGGCGCACGGAGGATGACTGAAGCCAGCCGCCCTGCGACTTGGCACCGAGGCCAAGCTCATTAGCATACGACCTGATGTCAGAGGAGCAGCGTCTAAGGAAACCAATAAGACACAGGGTCATGACCTGCCAACCACTGAGGATCTGCGCTTGATAAGGCATCCAGGTTCTAAAATAACTGAGGGGCCCGATTGGTTAACGGCCCACGTCTGCCAAAACCATGACGGGAAGTCAATCTGTTCCTGTCAATCACCTGCCTGCATTTTCCTTGGAAAAGGAGAATGTGATGCTCCTGGCAGGAGTTACCCAACACTTCATTGAAGAACTATGGTTTCAGGAAGTTTAGGTAACACGGGCCAAGTGGAGCTTCAGCATTTCAATTTGGACAAACAAGCACTTTGAAGTATTTACAACAGACTTCTTTGCATGCCTGAATTAAAGCCACTAACAGCCAGTTAAAGAGAGGTTGACGGTGTTGCTGACAGCCAGCAGATGTGTTTATAGTCACTCTAGTCATCTGAAGCAACATAGCTACCTATAAACAACATCAGGTATCAGTTTAAATATAAGATGTATCTCACATCATCGGTTTATGTGGAGAGTTTTGCATATAATCAAAACCATCTGGACAATATGAAAGCAACAGGTTTAAAAACATTCAGATTCCTTTGAGTAAATTTTCCGTGGCTCAGAGTGAGGCCAAGATATTTCCTGTTTGTCTCTAATAGGAAACATATTGACATTTGTAGTGGAAATGCACATATGAACTCAGATTTTCAAGGATCTTCATTACAATCACTTAAACATCTAACTTCTTCTGGAACTAACTTTTTGTGGAAAGAAGGAATTCAATAAAATGCCTAAAGTTCATGAAATAAAATTTGAAATATCTTGGTTTCATGGTGAAATAAAAGTCATGGGTATTCTTCCCTAACTTTTCTTGTTTTTTTGTTGCAGATGCTCATCAAAAACCTCTAAACTTTATCAACTGTATCTCTTCAAGCTGCACATCATACCTGAGGAGATATTCCACCTGTGAAGTAACATAAAGCAACATATCCATCAAATATCAACTTTGAAAGAATCAACTAAATGTTGGTTTTATTTCACGGGGAAGTATGTGATTTGAGGAGTCTTCACCAACGTCGATTCGACCCAACAGTACAGCGATAAAATCTGGCGACTCAACAAACAACATAAAGACGTAACACACAATACGAACATAAGGATTCCCGATCTGGAATAAGAAAAAGCTGCTTCCCAGAACTTCAATCAAGAAAAGCGACGCCTGTTTCTAACCAGGTGTCTGTGATTTTTTTCGTCACCTTTGACTCTGAGATGCGCTGAAGACTTTGCATTCGCTGCAGAGAAGTCAACGCTTCCGGCCATATCCATTCTGCAGCAGAAGAGTGTCAAAATGTGTCGTGCTCCTTCCTCCTTTATCTCCACATCCTGACAACAAACACCCACAGCGTTCATTCAAATGGGAGTGCTGACCGTGCACAACAAAACTGAAAGATGAGGTTTCATCAAAATAAAACATCAACTCTTGTTGGGAAAATGTGGCTTTATTTCCCATTAGAGGATTGGTCAGTGTTGTCTTACAGCAGACGGGTGGAGCGTCTCTCCCTTCAGTTTCCAGGTGGCGTGGACGTCGTCTTCAGAAATCTGCGCTTCAAACGAGGCCGTCTCGGTCTCTGTGACCTCTACGCTGTACAGCGGGCGAACAATCTTAATGTTGCGCTCTGTGGAAGTTCAGAGACGCGTTTAGAGCAAAACCAGAGCGAGGCTCAGTCCACGTGAAAAACTGTTGCCATGGAGATGATGGGGACAGACAGAGATATGAACGCATGCAATAGGTTGGGGTGTTGCACCTTACTGATGGTGCAAAGAGAGCGACAGAAACAAAAACATGGAGCTAAAAAAGAATTATTGTGAAGAATGTGTGAATCCTAAACGTTATGGTTGGATCATGAGGTGTTAAAACACTCAAAGTGGAAGTTGAAGACATAAAGATGAAGAATGGAGACTGAGGTGAGCATCAGTCCAGGTACAGGTGAGGTTTCAGTGATGTTGATTCTGCGGTAATGTCAGGTTCTGGAGGGCAACAGGCATTCATTACCTTCGATGTTCAGCTCTGCTGTGGTTTTGTCAGTGCCACAGTCACAGGTGTAAGCTCCCCTGTCTTTCTTCGCCGATTTCTTAATGACCAACATGCGCTTCCTGCCGTCGGATTGGAAGAGAACGTTCCTGGACGCAAAGATTTCGTTACCGTCTTTGAACCACTTGACCTCAGTGGCGGCCTTGCTCAGCTCGCAGGACAAGATCGCCTCGTCCTTCTCGACTGCAGTGTAGTTCTGGAGTTTTACTGTAAAGTAGAGGTCACCCTCTGCAAGCAGACACCCGTAACAAGCAGTTCAAAACAAAACTAAAACCACAGAGATCCGTTACTAATCTTGTTTACAGCTGATCAACAGCTAGAATTTACATCCTGGTGAAGGAAGACTGATACTAACCAAGAACAGTTAGCATCGCCTCTGACGTCTTTCCCATTGCCTCCACCTTAATCATGGAGGTATCATCGATTGTGACCTCCTTGAAGGTCAGTGTGTGCGATCTTCCATCTTCCGACATGTGCACCAGCTTGCTGGGGTGCAGGCGCACTTCATTTCTGTACCAAACTACTGGAATCTTGTCATGAGACAGTTCAACGCTGAACTCTGCGGTTTCTCGTTCCTTTACGGTTACGTCTTTAATTGGCTTGATAAACTCAAGGCGAATACCTGATAAAAAATTACATTTACAGGGAAGTAAATACAATGTTGCTCCAGTTGGGAAGATTGTGATTGTTGTGTGGATGTTTGCAAATGTTTGCCCAAAGCCTTTAACAAACATAACCTGGGTAAATGCAACCAAAACAAACACTTGTGTCTCATGTTAGACAATAAAATTGATGCTACTCTTTTTCTGTTTACATTTTATCAAGAGAAAAAAAGATGCACTCAATGTCTTCTCAGAGGTTTTCATGTCATTTTCTTCTGTTGTTCTTGGTGCAGGCGAGGAGGAGAACAGGTTTGTTAATTAGTTTTAATGACTTTACTCAGTGCACTGTAGAAACAAACTGCAGCAGTTGAAAATGTAACAAATGTTGCCTTTTTGGTTCCCAATTGCAATGAGTCTACCGGATTATCAGGTATGAAAACATACAGATTTTGTGGCTTTCCACTCTTCTTCCAGACTCTGGCACTCTGATTTTGATAATCTTCTGAAGTTGCCTCTGGTTCTGGGGTGCCTTGATACAAGAAAGTCAATCGTTGAAGCCTATGTCCTCATTGTGTGGTGGTTCTTTAGCTCTGACTCCAGCTGCAGTCCATCTCCACTAAACTGCTGAGCTGGGGTTCCTTCACCGTCCCTCTAAGGCCACATTAGTCTATTGCTTCCTTTTACTAAATTTTTTGCTAAAATGCTAAATTGCTTCTTCAGGAATGTCATTTGTGGCTTATTTTGCAGGGGATCCGGTGACTATCTACCATGGAAATCTGAAAAAAAGTCAGACTCCCCTATGATTTTATAGGCCATAGAATGGTCAAAACATTCCTCTATAAAAATATTTTTGTCTTATATAAATTCTTCTTTTGGATCATTAGCTGTAAGCTCGCATCAAACTTAACAGCAATTAACACTCGAAATGTGTCTGTATGTAAAAAATCTACTGCATTTAAGATATAAATTAGTTTATGAATTGAATTACTAAAAGAAGGGAAATTTTTGATGCAGTTTTCCTGGATCTCTGTTGGAGTTTTTCTTAATGCAACAAAGTTATCAGTTGTTGATTTTTCCTGATAATTTTTATAATTTAAAGGCTTTTAGCAAACATTCACATCTTTCTGTGACTGGTGTCCAAATAAAACTATTCCTGTGTGATAAAATACAGAGGCACCAACTCTTTTTACCTTTAATAATCAGTTTTCCAGACGTCCTCTTATCCTCAGCCTCAAACATGTATTTGGCTTCATCTTCATATATGGCAGATTTTACAACTAGAGTGTGTCGTTTTCCGTCTACTTGGATTTCAAACTTATCGTCGTTTGACAATTCCTGAGTTCCTCTGAGCCAACGGTAACTTTTGGGCTCTCGTGAAATTTCCAACTCAAACTTAGCTTCGTCTTTCTCGTACACATGCACATCGGCCAATGGTGTAATGAAAGAGATGGGAAGCTCTGTTGGTTCAGAAGGAAAGAGTTAACATGAAGGGAAGAAGGTTTGGATCAGGCTAGTTTGCCCGAAGATACCACAATGAGATTTGGTTTGTCCTTTGTACAGTGTAATAGCATTTACCCCAAACTGTAAATCACTATTACATCTGTGTTATCTTATAGTTGCCGAAAAAGCAGGAAGGCAAGCTTCAGCTTTTACTTTTTGACAGTTTTGGAAGAGGAAGCTCACCCTTCACTTTCAGGTTAGCTGAACACTTGGCGTTGGCGGCGGTAAACACAAGCTCCCCGGTTTGGGGCAGTTTGCAGTTGTACAAAACCAGAGTGTGTTTGGTGCCATCTTCCACAATCTCAATGTCCTGCAAGCGGCCAACAAACTTCAGTATTTTACCAAAAACATGAGCAATCGATGAAGAGTGATTAGGATGGGGGGAAGCTGATTGAGGAGCTAGAAATCCCTGAATTAAACACGTCAACTAAATTAGAATCACATGAAGATCAGAGATGTAGTTTAATGGAACGTACAGCAGACGGATTGAGGACTTCTCCGTTTAGCTTCCACTGTCCATGAACGTCGTCCTCACTGAGTTCGACTTCGAATCGAACGGTCTCTCCTTCTGAGACCTCGGCACCATACATGGGCCGAACCACCTTGATGTGCCGAGCTGGCGTTCAAGAAAGGGGACAAATTCCTCTCATTGGAGATATTCAAAATTTCAACACAAAGACAACATTAACTGACACAGATATGGAGACAGTAGATGAAAGTAGACAAATGATGGTGTTATTTGTCGGAAGTGTAAAAGGGAATTCGAGGTTAAGGCCAAACACTTTGGACCATAAAGAACCAAACGGGGCTTTGAACAAACCAACCCACTTGGTTTTCTATGGAACTGTTGAACAGGTAATAAAGATCAATAAAATAGTTTTTATAATAAAGAAGTGGTGGTTTGTTAGAGTAGTTGTGTGCAAAAGAATCTAGAAAGAATGCAAGACTTCTGCTTCAAAAGACAATATCCAGGTTTTCAAAAGGCCAGAACCACTTGGTGAAGCTAGAAGCTTTACTCTTGGAGAGCACAAAGATGACAGAGAGTAGTAACTCAAAAAATGAGGACAAAAAAAGATGGTGCATAGAAAAATACATGAGGTGGGGTTAGAAGATGGTGCAAGTGGAGGTGATGAGGATCCATGGAGATGAAGGTGGCTCAACACAGGTGAGTCAGTTACCTTCGATTTGAAGCTCGGCTGTCGTTTTGTCTGTCCCACAGTCACATACATACTGTCCCTTATCTTTGTCACCAACTTTCTTGATGATTAGCGTTCTCCGTTTGCCCTCAGCCTTGATGGTCACCATCTTTGAGGCCTTGATCTCGGCCTCGTTGTGGTACCACATGACATCGACATCTTTGCTGAGCTCGCAATCTAGAACCACTTCATCTTTCTCGACTGCAGTATAGTCCTGCAGCTTAATCGTGAAGTAGGGATCTCCCTCTGGAATGTGGAGAGTTATGATGACTCTTCAAACCAAATGTACGACAGATAATGCATGCAGCAGAAGATAACTCAACAAAGACAGATGGGAGGAACAGACAGACAACATAGTCCAACAATTTCTTACAACAAACAGACAGAATGAGGCATTTTTGGGACCTCAACAGACATAAACATGGAGAAACTTTGCAAAAAATTGAAGAGTGAATGTGGATACCTATAACTGTCAAGTTGGCCATGGAAGGAATTCCTTTGGCCTCTGCCTTAATTTGGCAGATATCGTCTAGAGTCACGTCCTTAATTTCTAGTATGTGTTTCTTTCCGTCCGTGTGAGTGATGACGGTTCTGCTCGGATGGATTTTAACGTCATTCTTGTACCAGGTGACAGGGATGTTCTCATGAGAGAGCTCCAGCTCAAAGCGAGCTGTACTGCCCTCCTTTACGGTTTGATCCTTTAGTGGTGAGACAAATCTGAGCCTGATACCTACAATCATATTCATAAAACATGTTCATACAAGAGGAGGGAACCCACTCAGTGAATTAAGTCAAAATGGCAATCTCTGTGCCATTTTGACACTTGGTGATGGAAATCTGGCACTTACCCTCAACGGTGAGTCTAGCTGTGGAAGTTTTGCCCAAAACCTCAATCGTATATTCATCCTCGTCATCAAACTCACAGCAGTTGATGACCAGCATGTGTTTCTTTCCATCATCGATGATGTCGTACTTTTGGTCTGGGGTGATGATGTCAGCCCCTTTATACCACATGACCTTGGCGACATCCTTGGTGATGGTGCATTCAAACTTAGCCTGTTTCTTTTCTGGTACGGAAACGTCCTTCAGCGGGACAACAAAGTCCATCTCGATTTCTGGTTGGGGTGGGGTTGACACAAGGCACAACACATAAACAACACAACAGAACAAAAAAACACAACAGTCAACAGCCAGAGCCCTGTTTATACTGTCATCGACATTCTGTGTAATCCTGGTCGAAAGCTTGAGATTTCTTCTGGTGTTCTTGAGATGGACTCCACTCCTCTTCCAGCTCTTTGATAAGTGTAAAAAATGTATTGGTGTTCTTCAAGGACTGCAGATGTTGAGTATAAATGGTGTCATCAGGGCACTTCTTAGTCAAGGGATTCAAGTATCCAACCTCTCATTCAGTTGGCATGAAATGTTGATGATGTTTGTTTTCTTCCAGAAAGCTTCAGTTTACTTCTGCTCTGCAAATTCCAACTCAAAAGTCTTCTGAATATCATCATATTAGCTAAAGATAAGGAAACTGTAAACTATAAACAGGGCACTGCTTAAAAGAGTACAGACAAGACACATGACTGAAAGACACTGACATAATAATGAACAGATCTACATACATCCATACATTCTATATATTATAGAAAATATAATAGCTTTATATTTTCTATTGACGTGACAGACAAAACAACAAGACAGAATAAGCTATTCACCCCACAAAACGAGCATTGGAGTTCCTTCTCATCTTACCTGGTTCATCCGCTCTTTTGAATAAAGGTCTAAGGTCTGCTGCGGTATGCCTTTTGGCTTTATTTGATTCCTCTCAGACCTTACACCTTTATTTTCACAGATAAATTCCAAAAATCAGGGTCCATTGGGGTTTTGTGGGGGACCAGGAACGCCTCTTACCTTTGACATTTAGCATTGCAGTTGTGATGGCGTTCAGAGCCTGGTACGACACTTCCCCAGCCTGATCCAACTGGCAGTTTTTCAGTGTGAGCCTACGAACCGTACCCTCCATTTGGATGTCACACGTCTGATGATTACATTGCACTACTATTAAAAGAATAGTCAACACTGACATATTTATGTACAACTTTATGAGAAAAAGTCATACCGGAGATCTGATCAAAACCTCTCCTTTGAGTTTCCATTCTCCTGGAACATCATCCTCAGATATTTCTGTTTCAAATGCAGCATCTTCCTTCTCTACCACCTCTATACTGGCCAAAGGCCTCAGGATCTCAGCTTCACGCTCTGGAAACAGTATTTACTGCTTGTAAATATGTAACACCGTCAATAATAACCTGTAGAAACTATTTCAGGGGATAGCAATTGAAAGAAATACAACCTCCGAGCGTTAGCTTGGCGGTATAGACGCGTCCTTCCACCTCCATGGCATATTCTGCCACATCATCCGGCTGGCAGTTCTTAATGGTCAGCGTCAGCTCCTTTCCATCCTTCGTGATCTCAACCTTGTCTGATGGAGTGAGCTCGTTCTCTCCTTTGACCCACTTCCAGTTGGGAGTGTCTCTGAAGAGCTCACACTTAAATGTGGCATTGGCCTTTGGTTTCACATGCTGGTCTCTAAGTGGTTTTACTATCCAGTCTTTAATAATCTCTGTTGGAGTTAAATATCTCTTAGTCAGAGATTGGCATACTATTCACAATGTGACTAATTTGGTGAGAGTTGGCAGAAAAAACAAAAATGAACCTAGTCTGAACTTCTAAAATTTTTCAAGGTTAGATTTTAGCTGACTTGTCCGTGCCCTGGCCCAACTCTATTTTTCATTCACGCTAGGAAGGCATGCACCCTTTTTCCTTTGGGGATCAAGGAATAACAATAATGTAGCCATCCGAAAGACCCCTTACAGCCCACATGAAGGGAAATATGATGGCTACTCCTTGTTCCCCTTATAAAAAGGATTCCATACCTCAGTAAAATGGGGGGTAAGGGCAGAATAGGAATTAGTCCTAACATTGGCTACCATGGTCACCTAATTTCCAGTTCTGTTTTCATATATGCGTATTTGAGACCTCCGTTTGTCTTACCGAGCACTTTGACGTTCGCGGTGGTCACAACGTCCTCCTGTCCTGACACTTCACAGGTGTAGACACCAGCATCTTCTGGTGTGGAGCCTTGGATGGTCACAGCGTGTTGCAATCCAATGACGTTGATTTGAATTTTGCCCTCCTTTTTCTTGAGGACTTCACCATTCTTCTTCCAGACCACATCCCTCTCTTTGCTCAGCTCGCAGGATATGTAGATGGGCTGGCCCAGGATGGCCGAGTTCTCTGGATCCAACTCCTTGATCCATTTTACAGGAAGCTCTGCAAGAATACAGAAATGTGGTCATGTCAAAATCATGAATGTTCTCAGAGAGCTGATTGTGAGTGAATGTATGAAGCACACAACTGTTATACTGAAGTAGAGCTGGAAGATATGACTGAAAAATATAATATAATAGTTTTATATTGATTGATATAATTACTTATGGATTTGTTTTTCTTTTAAATATTTGTATTGTTTTTTATTTATTTTCAAATCTTAACGGTTGTAGTTACGTTTCCCTCACACGTCCAGAGGGCCACATAAAAAAATGCGTGAAGTATCTGAAACAGCGTTGGTATGATTGATCAAAGGCAGCTGGGTTACCTTCAACTATGAGCTTAGCAGTGCAGGAAATCTCCTTCCCAGCATTCTTGGCCACACAGGTGTATTCTCCAGTGTCAGACAGCTGAACATCAATGATGTGCAGCTTCCGATCTTTGCCGTCAGAGGTGAACTTGTGCTTGGGACTCTCGCGCAGGTTGCCGCCATCTTTCATCCAGGAGGTGACGGCTGTAGAGGGTGAAACCTCACACTCAAATACAGCCGATGAGCCAATGGACTCGGCCTCCTTGAGGACAATATTTTCAAGCTTCTTGATGAACTTCAGGGGAACAGCTTTGAGTTTGAAGCCTGCAAAAGGTTCCTCTGGTGGTGTGGGGCCGCCTCTGCCACCAGGTTTCATGCCTCGACCTCGGCCCTCTCCTGGCGATGGCGTCTGTTTGGCTGAAAGAGGATTTTAAGATACAGACATGTGTCTAAACAATGTTATTTTTGAGTACTGATGTGGACATTAAGAAAGCATACTTACGTTTTAGCCCTCTTCCTCTGCCTCTTCCTGCTTCCTCTGCCGGCTGGCCCTCTGTTCAGAAACAATCACCATTAATCCGCTGCTTAACAATGAAACTGTTTATTCTTTTTTATGAACAAGCAAATGGGCGGCTATATGCAATGTTGTTTTCGTCAAAATATGAAGACATGAAGTAATTAAATGAAGACAGATACACAGAATAATGAATTATGTATTAAATTTTCACAATGACAAATTTCACACCATTAGGAGATGACATGAACGTAAAGATTGCATTATGGTGGGATGAACAAATGTTGGGCAAAATGAGAATGGAATGGCAGACGACAAAAATGACTTAACAAGCACGTCTGGAAGAGATGGATATGACAGACACAAACATGTAAAAAACACAACAAAATGATCCGCAGGAAGGATTTAGATGGAAAGCGTGGTGGGAATTATGGATGGCATGAATGGAGGATTTTTCTTGGTTGGCACCCAACATGTTGGGGTTGCCACCTTCTCACCTCTCTGGGTTACCCCAGGAACCTCCAAGGCACCTTCTTCTCCTTCACCTTCCCAGTCCTCTGAGCCATAGCTGTCCCGGGGAACCAGTTCCCAGCCCCAGGCTTCCTCTTCCTCCAGCTGAGCCTCTTCCTGTGCCTCCTCTTCAAACACCTCCTCTTCTGGCTGAGTGGCAACCTTCTTTATTTGCACAGCCCCGGGAGAGATCTCCTTCACTGCGGGAACTTTCTTTTTGCTAGGCTCTGCTGGTTTGATAGCCTTTGCCTCTTCTGGTGATGGTTTCTTTGAAACTTTTTTAAGAGTTGCAGCTTCAACTGAGTCTTTGGGTGAAACGCTTTTTGGCTCTTTTTTAAGTTTGTCAATGCTTGGCCTCCTCTCAGCCGGAGCTGCTTCTCCCTCTTTGAGTTTTTCAACTTTAGGAGAAGGAGTCTTTTTCAGCTCTGCCTTTTTGAGCTGCTCCACTGGCTTCACTGCTATGTCTTCCTTCTCCTCTTTAGCCTTGGGTATAACTGCTTTCTTTGGCTCCAAAGGCTTAGGTTTGATCTCCTCTGGAGTCTTCTCAGGCTTCTTGTCAGGTGTCTTCTCTGTTGGAGCAGCGTCTACCTTCTTTGGCTTCTCCGGCTTTTTCTCAGGAGCTTCAGGGACGTCAGGTTTCTTGGGCTTAGCTTCTGGCTCTTTTGCCTTTGGTTTTTCATCAGGACTGGTGCGACGGCGCTGCAGGTCATCAGCTGGTTTCCTGTCTTTCTCCTCTGGTGGTTTCTTCTCAGGCTCCTCAGCTTCTTTGGAAGGTTTGGAGAAGGGCTTCAGTTTGACGCTTTCCACTTCTTGTTCTGCTGTTGGGATTTTCTTCCCTTTAGTTGGTACTTTGACCTCCTCTGGCTCTTTCTCTGGAGTTTTCTTTTTATCTGCTGGCTTTGGTACCTTAGCTGGAGGCTCCTTTACCTCAGGGAGTGCCTCCGCAGGTTTCTTTGCTGGCTCTTTGGGTTCCACCTTTCGGGGGATCCTTTCTGCCTTCTGGAAAGACACACTATCTCTATCTGGCCTCTCCTTCTTATCTTTCTCTGGCTCTTCTAAAGGTACAACAGGTTTCTCAAAAGGTTTGAGCTTGACTATTTCTGGTTCAGCTTCAGATAAGGGTAACTTTTTCACTTTTTTTGGTGCTGTACTCGGAGGAGCAGGTTCCTCTTCTTTTGGCGCTTTTGGGGTTTTCTTCAGAGAGATCTTGTCTTCTGGTTTCTCATCTTTAGGTGTGGGCTTCTGGCGGGTCCAAACGTCTTTTGGAGTTTCTTTTTCTTCCTCCACTTTAGGCTTGATAACATCTGGCTTTTTCACAACCTCAGGTTTCTCTCTGGGTTTTCTTTCTTCAACAGTCCGTCTGGTGACAACAGACATCTCAAAAGACTCTTCTTCACGCACCATTTCCTCGGCATGGAAAACGGTGGTCTTGGTGACTTTCTGAGGTTTTTCTTCCTCTTCAGATTCTGTCAGTGGAACTGATGGGATTTTCTTCAATATGACAACCTCTTGCTCCTCTTCCATTTCCCTCATGACTCTGGTTGCTTTCTTCAAGGTGGGAATCTCAAACGTCCCGTCCTCTGTGACTTGAATTTTACCCTTTTTGTGCTGAACAGTTTCTGAGGCAGTAAAGGTCTGACATTACTGAACGACACAGGACTGATATCACAGTTCTTTCAACACAGACACACATATAAAGTTAAAAAATTCTCAACAAATATACTAAACACAGAGATTTAAGAAGAGAAATTACATTTCACATTTTCTCATGTTACAACCACAGAGTATTTTAACAAAGATCCAACATCATATTAAACATCGGTGGATTCATTGGCCATGTTCAAGATTATATCAGAGTAAAGGGGACAGAAAGCACTTGTTTTTGGAAAAACATTTAAAAAAAACAATGAATACACTAAGGTTGGTGGTTGCAAAGTGATTGTAAAAAAGTCAGGTAGTATCAATAATTTTTGCAAGCTACTGCAGGGTAATTTAAACTAATTAAGACGAGAAAATTTAAAGTAAAACTGCACAGATCTCACTTTCTCATATATTTGTGAAAACATTCTTGCCATATTCATTGTAGTCCATATTTAGTGTTTGCTAACACTCGTAAACCAAAGTTTGCACATCCTTCCAACTCACAACTCCCTCATCAAAACAGATTTTCACTTCAAATTGGACTGGCCAGCTAATAACGTCTCCCATATTTAAACTTCATGCTATAAATTTAGAGGAGAAACTTTCCATGATTACATAAACCATGACTTAGCTTTTACTTTCTCCTGTTAGCTAAAAATTATTATAGAGCAAAAGAAAGCTGTGCGGTAACTTTACATTAAAACGATCGTGCTCTGATGTAGATACAAATTTGAACTTGTTTTCTCCCTGATTGAGAACCACAAAAAATGCAATCTGATGCAAAAAGAGAGCAAATTGCTCATCTGTAATGTACTTTGAGGGCCTGAGTGTGCTAGCATGTCACATGTGCTAGCATGTCACATGTGCTATTTGCCTTGTACGTAATAAGCTGTAACATAACAGAAAATGGAGCTGACAGTGCAATGAATCAGGATCCATTTTCTTAAAAGTCAAATATCTGATTAGTTGAGATGCTTATTTCTCAAGTTAATACCAACTAATTTCTATACTGAGCATAACAAAGCAGCAATTAGTGATGGTTTACTTTAGCGCCCAACATTGTGTTCAGGTGTAAATTTGCTAGCATCTGCTGGTTGTTTTGAGGAAAAGTGAGAAGTGGTCTTACCTTTCTGGACTCCTCCCGGTGTCTGGACCGGTCCTTTGGTTTCATCTAATACAAAAGGATAGTGAAGAAACTCATTAGGTTTTGGTTATTAATAACAATGTGACTCGTTTTCCTCGGAGACTGTAAGAAACATTTAATTATCGCGCAGTAGAGGTGAAGAATTAAGGTGAGATATAAGATGTTTAAAAAATAGCATGCTTTTGTTGCACTGAAGAGGAAAAGGTCAACATGACCCATATTAGTAAAGACACAAACATCTGGTGATGAAATAAGAGGTTTTAAAAGATGGATTTAACTGAAAAGATAAAGAGGACAGTTCTCTGAAGGTCTTCTACCTTTCAGAGCTGGCTTTTCTTCTTCTGGAACCACCTTAGTCGGCTCTTCAGCCTTCGCAACAGGCTTGACCACTTTTAAGAGCAACATTAGATTAATCAGATGTTTGGCAAACTAGAACCCAAACGTTCCTTCAACCGTTTTCTTCTGAATACCTGGTTCTGTTTCCTTTGGTGGAGGGATTTTCTTTTGAGTAACTTCAGGTCTTTTGGGGACTTCTCCAACTTTGGGTTTGATCTCTTCAGGTACAAAGAAAAGATGAAAATTTACACAAACATCTTAAGAATATGTTTCTCTGAACTCAGAGAAATTTAAACCCAAGAGATCATTTTCTGACCTCTGTGTTCGGGATAAAGTTTAAAAGATTAGCTTTTTTCCAAGAGCGCATTCTGTCACAAATGCCTTTAAAACCAAACAATGTTGAGTACCTTCTGGTGGAGGAACTGACTTCACTTCTTTGGGTTCTGGAGGCAATTCCTTCTCCTTCACAACAACTTTAAAGATAAATAAGACAACAATCAGACAAACATTCAGACTGAGGTAAGAACTGAAGCACGACAAAGAAAAACCAGCCTTTAGGCAGCTGGAAGACCAAGCAACCTCACCCCAACTGTTCAGACACACATTGGATAAAAGAGTTAGGGAAATGGTAAGGGGGAAAAACACAACGCAATCTTCCTGCGTTTGCATTACAAATGTCTGCAAGACTTTGTTGATATTCTGCTTTCAATATCAAGAAAGTTTTGGACACATTTGTAATGTAAACACAGCAAACAAGAAAAGACAAATTGTGCTTGAACAGAATGGGTGACATGACATGGAGGTTCTTCTGGACGGTGATATGGGTGAGGAGAATCTCCACAGGAAGTGATGTCAGGTGCTCAGATCAGAAAATTGTGCTCAGTGATAGTTTCCCTCTGTACCTCTGGACGTTTCTTGAAGAAAGAGATTTTCTTTCTCTTCTGTTTCCGCAGTCAGACTCTTCGTTTCTGTGATGGACTGCATTCCTTGGCGTTCTGTCTCGGTTCTGGTTTTGTGTGTTTTTGGAAGCATGGAGTGGATATGTGGTGTGGTTCTGGTATGTTCTGATGAGTGACCAGTGGTGCTAACTTTGGGTTTATCTGTTACTGAGGGCTCAAAGCTCGGCCAACCTTGGGTTAGTTCTTTTTCTGCCTCATCAGCAGACATGTTAGGTTCAATTGGTTGCTCTGACATCTTTGAATCTCTAAGATATTCTCTTCTTCTTTCAGTTGTGTCCGATTCTTTAAACATCACATTAGTTGTAGAAGTTGGAGAGACTTTTTTTCCTCCACCAATAGTTGCTGCCGTTTCTTTCACTGAAACAGTCTTTGCCTGAACTGTAGCATCAGATTTATCTCTTATATGTGTAGTAATTTGTGAAGAAAGGTCTGTAGGACTGGTTGGTTTGTCTGATTCATCTTGAATTTGCAAAGTTTCCGCTTCAACAAATGATTTTCTTTCTGTTTCGAGCTTTAGTTCCCTAGCATTCACTTTAATCTCTTCAGGTTGATCCAATGCATGCATTTGACCTTTTGTGGATCTTTCTATCAGAACAGAAACATCACCTGATGTGTAAACAATTTCTCCTGGTCCAAGATCTTTTACTTGAGAATCAGAGGATATATATGTCTGTATGTCAAGCATCTCCTGTGTGTGAGCAATCATTGATTTTTCATACGCCAAATCCATTACCGCCGTCTTTGAAACTTTTTGCTCTGCTTCCTGCTGCTCCTTCATTGCAGTTTGGGAAACGTCATGAAAATAATTTCTAACTGTTTCTGTTTTAGATGTAAAGCTTTCGATTGGTGACTTTTCTCTACATTTCACCTTGTTCTCTATTGTCTCTGGACTGACTGAGTCAAACATTTTATCTGTTACCGTTTCAACATTTGTCTCCAGGTTATCAGGAGCTGTAAATCTTTGTAAACGGTCTGATTTAAAGTCACCAACATCAGTGATGAGATGTTTTTCAGATGGGATCTCCATCAACGTTGCAGCTGCGACTGCTTTCTGCTGTTGTTTTGTTTCTGGAAAAAGCTGGCTAATTTCTCCATGTTCTTGTTTTACTCTTACCGTCCTGGAAAGTTCTCCACCTTTTATTTCGCTTTGGTTCACGCTTTTGGGAGGAAATGAAGCTGGTTTGTCAAGGAAGCTAACTTTTTCAAGAGGAACCTCCTTGGCTTCTGGTTCTGCTCTAGCTTGAGATTTTGATGTATCTTGTGCTATTCTGGTAGGCAGCTTGTCTGCTCCATCTTCTACCTTTATTTGTTTAGACTTCTTCAGAGAGGAAGTTTCGTTGTCATCTACAGCTATACCAGATGTTTCAAACGCCACCTCCATCACAGGAGCCACAGAAAGTTTCATTATTGTTTTTGATGTTTCAGCTTCTTCAGCTGGAGTAAAACATCCATATTCCTGTTTGAAAACAGCTGCCTTGGACTCTTTGTCTTTAAATTGTGCATCTTTTTCTTTCAGATATTTTGATTTCTTTCTGGCAACATCTTGTGTAATTTCTGTTTGGTCTAAATTCTCCTCTTCAGTTGCTTCCTGTGAAATGTGGCTGGATTTTTCTGTTTTCTGTCCTTTTCTTGCAGCTTCAGTTTCTGTGTTTGAGGTTTTCATCTCCTCAGCTGTACAAGTTGTAGTGGTTTTATCCATTTCAGTAACTTCTGCATTTTCTGCATCTCTTAGCTGTTTCTCTATTGAAATATTTCCTAAAATTTCAGTTTTATCTGGTTTATTGAAGATCTTTAAGTCTCTGACCCTATCATCAGTATCATCAGCATCTTCTGGTCTTTTTTGTTTTTCAGCTTCTTCATGTCCAACAGGAACCTTTGTCATCTTTCTCTGTACTTCTTCCAGTTTATCTTGTGTCGGTTTTAAACCCTCTAACTCATCAACTATTGCCTCTGTGGGGTGAACGTCTGTTATGTTTTGTTTTTTGTGCTTTTTTGTGGAGCTGTTTTGGTTTCTTTTGTTATTCATTTTGGTCATCAGTTAGACATGCCTGATCTTCTGTGTCTTGAGCCTTAAGAGACGACTGAAACTCATCCACTTTTCGTAACTTCTTGGTCGTTAGGGCTTCCTCTGTTAATGTGCTCCCTTCAGCTACCTTTTGGTCTACCTGAAACTCTTTCCTCGCTGAAGTTTCTTCTATATTAGCTGGAACATCAGCCTCATCTAAGACTTTTACTTTAAATTGCTGTTTTGTAGATTTTCCTCTTCTCTCAGTTTTAGTTTTGTCTTTATCTCTGACTAACTTTGGTTGGATTTTTTGGTCTGTTCCCTCCACAGTTTGGTCCATTTCCTTTATTTTCTTTGGCGAACCCTCAGCTTCAGCTGTTGCAATCCCACCTTCTTGGATTTGTGACAGATTTTCTGCAGGTCTTTCTTGCTTCATGGCTTCAGGTAATGGTTTGTCAGTTCTGTCATTGACAGAGGTAAGGTTGGCTTTATCCAAATGGCAGATGGTTTTTGACAGGATTTGCTTGTCTTCCGTTATGATCTCAGATGTCCACCGTTGTGGAGAAACTTTCAAAGTTCTCTCTTTATCTCCACTGGTCTTTATCTGGTCTTGGTCAATGATCATTTTTCTGTTTTGATCCATTACAAGTGAAACATTTTCATCTGAAATATCAACTGTTTGGGGAAACTTTTGTTTTTTATTCTCTGAGGAAATAAAAACCTTTGGAGAATCTAAATCTTTGGTTTCACCAGATGCTGACTCGGTTTTTTTTATGTTTGGTGATTTAGGCGTTTCTTCATCACCAATTGTCGTTTTGTCTTCACTGACTGTTAGTTTTATGGTTTTATCCACAGCTATTGCTGGTTTTAATGGGATATGTCGGTCCAAAGCATCTGTAGATTTTGCAAGCTTGGATAAAACTGATTGCTCTGGAGAAACATCTGCCTCTTTCACTTCCTCAATGACTGAAAACAAAGATTGTCTCGTTTCTGGTAGTTTTTCTGTTTCCTTAACATTTTCGTCTGTGTTTATCTGTGAAACTTTTCTTTCTATTTGTTCCTGTGTTGCTTGTTTCTCTTTAATGGCAGAAACTTTCAACATTTTATCCGAAACTGTACTGATGTTTATCTGGTCTTGTTTAACTATTAACCCCTGAGGTTTGCTCATTCTCTTTGCAGTTAATATTTCTGCAGCTGTTTGTTGTTCATCAAATTTTCTCTCTTTCTTAGTTTTAACTGATTTTGATGGGATTTCTTTCTGTAAAATACCCACAGAGCTCTCAAGCTTTGAGAAAACAGATTTTTCTGGAGAAATGGCAGAACAATCTTTCACTTCTTCAATGAGTAAAAACTCAAACTTTCTCCTTTCTTGCATTTTTTCAGTTTCTTCTGTGTTTATTTGTGAAACTTTTCTTTCTGCTTGTTCCTGTGATGCTTGTTTCTCTTTAAGGGGAGAAACGTTCAACATTTTATCTGTAACTAGTGCAATAATCGACCCCTGATAATCTTCAGATGCTGGTTGTTCTTTTTGCTCAATTTCTTTTGCTGTTTTCTTAGTTTTAAGTGGTTTTGATGGAATTTCTTTCTGTAAAACATCTGTAGCTTTCTCAAACTTTATTAAATTTTCTTCCTTTGGAGGAAAATGGCTTTCATTGATTTCTTGATCTTCTATTACCTCTGTAGGTTGTTTTGAGACAACTTTATTTTGTTCACCTATGTCAGCCATTTTGTCTTTGATTGGCAGCCCTTCCTTTGTTAAAACTGTTTTTATTGGTTGTTGATTATCCACAGCATCTTCAGTTTTCAATAGTTTTTGTCTTTTCTCTTTAGATGATCTTGAATCTTTCAGATCACCGTCAACTTGACTAGATTGCTCATCAACTGCCAGTAATTCAACTTCTTCTAAACTTTCCTCTTTTCCTTTTTCTTCTTCCTGCACACTTTTAGTCTCTTTCAGAGGAGAAACTTTAAGAGTTTTATCTTTAACTGTACTAATGGTCACCTGATGTAGTTGAGTAACAGTCTGAGTTTTTGTACGTTCCTCAGCTGTATGTGGCGATTTCTTGACGATAAATCCCTTAACTGTTTCAGGTTTTCCATCTTTTCTAAACGTCTCTGTTTCAGTTTCATCCTTCACTGCGATGCTTTCTGATGGTGTCTTTTTGTCTGACGCTTCTTTAGTATTAGCAAACCTCTGTCTTCTCATCTTGTTGGATAACGATGCTTTCTGAGGAACTTCCTCAGGAACTGGGAACTCCCTGTCTGGGACGATGTGCTGCTTTTCAGAAACTTTTACTTCACTAAGAGTTTCTTTGTCTTGAAGTGAAGTGTCATCTTCACCTAATATCTGCAGTTTTGGTTTCTCTGCAGCTTCTTTCTTTGAACTCCTGGTACTAATGTCAGTGAGTTTTGATGAAACGTTTGTTTCATTGACCTCACGTGAATCAGTTTCATGGATTTTTGAGTCTAGATCTTTCTGAGGAGCTTGTTCTGACGCATACTGTTCTATCATGACAGAGATTTTTGGTTTGTCTTTAAATTTCTGTTTTGTAATTAATCTGTTTGCTGCAGAAACATTAAGAATTTCATGTTTTCCAGTTTCAGCAGTTTCTTTCGGCTCTTCTATGTCTTTGGGAGCCAATTTCTGTTGTCTATGTTCATTAGGTTTATTCTGAACTGTCACATTAACCTTTTCATCAGTTGAAGGAAAAAAGCCCATTTTCTTTAAACCCTCAGTAACAGATATTTTGTCAGTTTTTTTATTGGTTTCTTGTGTCTCAGATTCAATATTCTTGCATTCTTTAAAAGAATCTTTGTGTTCTGCACATAATGCTATTTTCTCATCCACTGTACTAAATGATGCTGAAGGTTGAAAAAATTGAACAGTTGTGAAGAGAAAGCACCATGAGGCGGTGCCAAGAGATTAGAAACAAACAGACACAAACAGTTGGGGTTAAATGATTGATAATAAAGAGGTTAAATAAAAGATGATGGTTGTGGTTTTCTACCTTTTTCCACTTTCTTTCCTTTTGTCTCAGCAGGTTTGGAAGGAAGCTTCTTGAGTTTGTCTTCAGTTTCTTTAAAAAATAATAAAATAAAATTTTAGGTTTGGACACTTAAGAGAAACAACAGAGGAAAAAAAGCCAAAAACATTCCAGGAGGCGGATTGAAGGTGACAAAACAAACTCAGAAATGGGTCAAAATATGGAAAATGATGTTAAACTGAAGAATGGATGTGAAATGGTGACCCCTGGTGGTTGCTCAGGATATTGCACAAAGAATAAGCAGCCTGCAACCAATCAGTCTGATGAAACGGTTAAATATGACATAATGATGGTACCTCCAGCGGATGTTTCTGAGGGAATCTTTGTCTCTTCTTCTGGTTTTAAAGAGACTGAGCGTTTCATCTGGATTAAGACTTTCCGTTTCTGAGGAGGAACGTCTTCAGACTTCAGCTGCTCGGCTTCTGGTTCAAACTTTGTCATAAAATCCACCTCTGTGACAGACTCTGATGTTTCCAGTTCTGCTTTTACAGAGCGGTAGTCCGGTTTCACATCAAACACCGGTTCAGATATCACCTTTTTGTCTTCGGTTAGCTCAAAAGATGCAACTGATTCACTTAGTTCTGATTTACTTTCTATCTTATTCACTTCTCTGTGAGTTTTTTCTCCTGTTCTGCTGAGTTTTTCTGAGATTTTCTCAGATTTCACACTGATAACCTCTAATTTTTCACCTGCTTTTCTTGCCAACTCTTCTTTAACTGAACATTTTTCTTCAGTTTTGCCTTTGCTCCTCGTTTCGTCTGTTGGTGATTCAATCTCTTTAGACTCATCCTCCGTCACTTTCACTTTAACTTTCTGTTTTATCTCAGAAATGTTTACAGATTTTCTCTCCTCTTCTTGTTTCCAATGAGTTTCTTCTGGCTTCTCAGTTAGAACTGGTTTTGTAGAAGAAGAGGCGTCATGCAGCGACGCCAAGAGGTGAGAATAAAACACAGAGACAAACATCTACGTTAGAAGGATTAATAGAAAGACTGATGATAATCCAACCTGCTGGATTTTATCATCAGGACTTAAAAATGAGGATGTGGTTACAGTAATCCATCTTGTTTTCAGATGGTCGGTACCTTTTTCAACAGGAACAAAGACTTTCTTCTCCTGACGAATCTTCTCTGTCTTCTCATTTATAGCTTCTTTTATTCAAGTATTTTTTAGCCCAACATGGTGAGATCAAAGAAGATTGTTGTAAGGAAATAAAAGTTAAGACAATTAGAAACAAACACACAGAAAGATCCAGAAAACACAAAGATATTAGAGTTTAAAGAGACGTGGAAGATGTTCTGAAACCAGCAGCGAAATCTGGAATGTATTTGATTATTGTATAAAATGCAGGGTGATTTCTTTTGTAAAAATGTAGAGGAGACAATAGTTTCAACAAGTATACGATGTAAATATTTAGGTTTAAAAGTGAAAGGCATAAAAATGTCAAATGATGCCTAAATGTGGATAAAAAGTTCAAAGAAATTCAGCTACATTTGATCTTCTGAAGTCAGTTTTGCTGTCAAGTTTAAAACTTAACAAATTTTTCCTCAAGGTTCTTTGTTTTAAATAATTAGGAGAGAAATTATATTTTATAGTTCTTTGATTAAATTTTTTATTGTTGTGAAGGATTGATTTACTAATATTTACCGTCTGAAGTTCACTTTCTCCATCATATCACTTCTTTGTCTCTACAAAATAAACTAAGTATTTCACACAAAACAAGTTGACATCTTAAGATATTAAAAAAATGTGCAAAACATGATTGATTTTTAATAATTCAAGGCAAAACTGAACTCAGAAAAAAACTTAGAAAAAACTTATACCTGAATTTGTCTGTAAATTTTAACATTTCGGTTTTACTTCTTTGAAGACGTTCTGTAATATTTGACCCGTTCTGTGTTTGATGAATGCTGAACTCAAAGACGTTTCATGAAGAAGACAAAGAAGGAAAAAGAGTTGATGTTTTTGTCATCTGTACCTTTCTGAAGAGATTCTTGTGCTTCTCGTTTTGGTCCGACCTCCTCAGGTGCTTTAATGGAAACGATTTCAGTTTTCTCTGCTTGTTTCTGTGGTTTGACTTTGTCAACTTTCTCAGGAGTTTTTTTCTCACTGATCACCTCTTCAGCCTTTTTCTGAGGAGGTTTAACCTCAGGCTTTGACTCAGAAATTTTCTCTGGGAGTTTCTCAGAGACTTTTTCTGGACGTTTCTCTACAATTTTTTCTGAAAGTTTCTCTGAGATTATTTCTGGAGGTCTCTCTGGGATTTTCTGTGGAAGTTGCTCAGAGATTTTATCCGGTATTTTCTCTGGAAGTTTTTCTGGAATTTTTTTCTTTACTTTCTCTGGGATTCTTTCAGCCTCCTGCACGACTTTCTGTTTACTTTCTGCTATTTTCTCCAGAGTTTTTTCCTTGACCTCAGCTTTCCTCGCTGCTGATTCAGATACTTTTTCAGGTTTTTTGCCCAACACAGCCTCCTGATCAGGTGTTTTCTGGAAAACCTTTTCAGATTTCTGTTGGGACTTGAGATCTTTAAGAGGGTTTGACAGAAAAACATGCAGAAGATATGACCATAAAGAAGAAGAGAATGTGCTAACGCACAAAAAAAAGAGGTTAATTTCCTAAAATCTAACAAATTTTAAGACCAGCTTAAGAATACCTTTGTCCTTCTGAGCTGACTCTTCTTTGGGAGGAGCCGCTTTAGGTTCTGGTTTCTTCGCCGCTTTCGGGAGATCAGGAACTTTTTCTTCCACGGGAACTTTAAAGAGTACCATTCACAAACATTACAAGACTGTTCAAGGTCAGGGAATGTCAAAACACTCCAATGAGCGTCACAAACACAAGACACAACTGAAACAAACACAGCATGCACCCTCATCACCACAAAAAGAACTTCAGCTTTTAATGTCAGGAGCTGCAGAATGAGCTTCGGATACCTTTGACTGGCTTCTTCTGTGATTCTTCTGCCTCTTTCTGTACTTTCTGTGGGACTGAAGGAGGTGGAGGAGCATCCACCTCCTTCTTTACTGGTTCTTCTGGCACTTTAAAAAGAACAAATTGTCCTCTGTCACTATGATAACCTAAAGGCAGTCAGTTCTCTCAAAGAAGGAGGTAAAAAGGTTAATAAGACAATCGGACGAAGATTATTTTCTGGGTTGAATAATCCAGAAGTTTGAGCAAACGAAGGAGGGGTTTGTGTTAGAAGATGTTGTGTACCTTTCTTCTGAGTTTCCTTTGGTTCTGGTGTTGGTTCTGCAGGTTCTGGTTTAGGAGGTTCAGATTTATGGACTTCTGGTTTTGTTTTCTTTGGTTCTGGCTTTGATTTTGGAACTTCTGGTTCAGGTTTGATCTTTGCTGCCTCTCCAGGGGCTTAAAGTGACATTCATACGGTTTCAGAAAGAATCGCTTCCACATTCGAAGCTAAACACTTTGTTTTCATACAACCGTAAAAACTCAACACACAGATACAAACAGAGCAGAGCATACAGGAGCTGAAACAATTAACTGGATTAATCAATTATTGAAATAATCGTCAACTCCTTTAGTAATCGATTAATCGATTAATCGTCAGAATAACTGAAAACAAATAATCGTTAGTTGCAGCCACAGAGCATACCTTTGGATGGAGGAATCACTGGCTTCACTTCTGGTTCCGCTTTAGAAGCTGGAGCAGGTTTAGCCTTTGGTTCTGGTTCTTTAGGAGCTGGAGCAGTTTTAGCCTTTGGTTCTGGTTCTACTTTTGGAGCTGGAGCAGGTTTAGCCTTTGGTTCTGGTTCTACTTTTGGAGCTGCAGCAGGTTTAGCCTTTGGTTCTGGTTCTACTTTTGGAGCTGCAGCAGGCTTAGCCTTTGGTTCTGGTTCTACTTTTGGAGCTGGAGCAGGCTTAGCCTTTGGTTCTGGTTCTTCTTTAGGAGCTGGACCAGGTTTAGCCTTTGGTTCTGGTTCTACTTTTGGAGCTGGAGCAGGTTTAGCCTTTGGTTCTGGTTCTACTTTTGGAGCTGGAACGGGTTTAGCCTTTGGTTCTGGTTCTTCTTTAGGAGCCGGAGCAGGTTTAGCCTTTGGTTCTGGCTCTGCCTTTGGAGTTGGAGCGGGTTTGGCTTCTGGTTCAGCTCTGGGCTTTGCTTCAGGAACCAGTTTCTTGGGCTCAGCTGGAACTTGAGGTTTGGCTTCATCTTCATTTATGCAACATAAACATTAACTGATGTTAGAGTCTGAAGAAGAGTTTTAAAGAGGTTGAAGACTAAGAAGAAAGAGGAAGATTAACAGAAAAGCAGACACCAGCCAAGTCCAAACAGAACAGAACAAACCCAGATCAAACATCACGAAGAAGTGAAGAGATCTGAAACTCCAGATTGGAGCCACAGAGAAGAAATACAGACCTTTGGTTGGAAGTCCAGGCTTCTCTTTTGGAGCAGCGACTGGCTTCTTCACCTCCTCTGGTTCTGTTAAAGACACATTAAAACAACAACTAAAGGAGCAGAATCAAAACACGACAGCATTAACCCACATTGCAAGGAAAGTTATTGTAAAGATAAACAACATTGAAGAAAAACATTGTAAATATTCAGGCAGAAGTAGAATACCTTTGGGAGCAGAAACTTCCTTCTTCTCTGGGACTGAAAGTGCAGGAATCTTTTCCTCTACTGGCTTCCTGGCCTCTGGTTCTGCAAAGTTTTAGTTAAATAGTCTGAGCATTTTCAAGAATACTTAACGGCCCATACATAAATCCATCCCTGAACAGATTCATACTTTTCTTGGGTTCCTCCACAGCTGCAGCCGGCTTCTCTTCAGGCTTCTTCTCAACTTTGGAATAAAACACAAACCATGTTAGGAATAAATGAGAAGTAGTCACAGGTGAAGTTACTTTAAGACAGGGCAGAAATAATCTCAAAATATACATTTATTGTACATTTCTGTCGCGATACAGGTCTTAGATATAATTGATAATGGTCTTAAGAATGTGTGAAATAGTCTTAAGTTTGAGTTGGTGAAACCTGAAGAAACCCTGAAATCTCTCTCAATCAAATTTTGTGTCGAATGTCCAAACTTTGAATGATGTTTCTGCTTTAACATGCGACTGAACTACCTGAACACAACACCTTGATTATTGTGTCGTTGGAAAAAGATATTGCAGAATTAATATGAAAAATAATCATCTTAAACTTAATTAGAGGATACAAATCTTGATGGCGCTCTGTGTTACCTTTAGCTGGGATTTCCTCCTTCAGTTCAACTTTCTTGGTCTCCACTTTTTCTTCAACAGCAACTCTGGCAGCTGAAACAAGACACAAAGACTTATAATCAGTGTCTGAAAACATTTATAGCTATGACAGAGAATTAGGCCATGCTAGGAAAGGAACCAAAAGAAAAATTAAATTATGAGAACAAAGTAATAAAATTGTGAGAATTGCAGAATTAGCAGAATGAACTTGTATCAGAATAGTCTTAATTTCACATGACAATATTCTTTGATTTTGTGTTAACAAGAGGTTATTAGGAGAAAAAAAGAGCAACGTTAACACAACGGTGATACCTTTAGTTTCTGAAATTTGTTGTGTTACAGTCTCTTCTGTCCAGCTCTGATACTCGACTGAAGACGATCAAAATCACAGAAGTAACAAGAGACAAACAGAAGACATTTTGGAAACAGTTTGACATTAAATAATGAAGCTTTCTGACGTCTCAGAGAAGAAGAACAAACCAGTTTACACTAGTAGAAGAAATCTGAAGTTAGCATAGATTTAAGGTGCGACACCAAAAACAGCAAAAATAAGGGAGTGTTAGAGAAAGGAGTGAGGCACAAAATGAAAAAAGAAAATCAGGACAATGGCAACATTTATCCAAGACGGTGATATTAAAATGGTGATGAAGGAGAAAAGAAGAGGGTGGAAAAAAAGAAGAAGATCTTGGTCAAATCGATCTGATACCTCCAGAGACTTCACTAAATAAGAACAGATTTTCCTCACTACATTTAAACGTTATTATTTTTAATCCTAACAGGATGGAAATATAAAGGACTCAGATGTGGGACAGATAGTAGTTAGATGGTTAGAAGCTGATGAAGAGGATGAAGAGGGAGAAACATGGTACCTTTCTGCTGCACCTCCTCTTCGTACTGATACGAATATTCAGCTGATTCTTGTAAAGAAAAACAAAACATTTCAGCCCCCATTATTAAGTAAAATGTGCTTAGTTTTGTTGTTAATAAGATCTGAGTTATGCTCATGTTAAGGAAGATTTCTAGATAAGTACCTCTCTGTCCGATCTTTTCTTCATACTGATAGAACTCAGAGGATTCTTGAAGAAAAACACATTTTGGGTCTGTTAATAGCCACAAAGAGCCGTTTCAGGTTTTATTTTAGTCCCTGCAGCAGTCTGAGAATCTTACCTTGAATTTCTTCTGATGAAGGCACTTCAGGCCTCTGAACTGAAGAGTCTGGGAAATCTACACAATACGGAGAATGGTTCAGACCAAACAACTTTCCTGCTGTAAATCTCAACTATCATGATCTGTCTTTTTTACCTTCTGAAACATTTTATACCAATAAATTTTGGAATAATTAAATTTCAATACAGGAATTTAATGAACACAGAAATTTATGACAATGACCAACATCACTTTGGCCATATCTGTGTTTTTGGCTCTGTTTTGTTTCATCTGGATATTTCGCACATGTGCACAAAGTTGGAGGGGATAAATACGATTATACTCCTTGCCATCCATAGCAGCGCTGCCACAATAGAACAATTCTGTTAAGAAAATGAAACCTGGAGATGTATGTATTATTAATTTAGCAAGAGAAAAATAATGCAGAAAAACCATTGAAGAATCTTGTCCACACTGTGCGCGTGTCCCTTTAAGACGCTAAGCTACATGTGTTCAGGCTGCATAGTCACGCGATTTTATTATGAATTATTGCTTGAGTAAAATTTCTGGATGAAGTGTTTTAACCAAAAATGTACCAAAGTACACCTGCAGTTTCAAAAGTTTTACATTAAAATAAATTAATTTGGAAAAATTTGTATTTATGCCTAATTTTTTTAAATTATCTGAATTATTTTCATTTTATCCTATAAAATATCAAAAATTCCACAAAACTTTAATTTGGTCCATCTGTTTAAGTTATTTTAAATATTAACTGTATATATCAGCACTCGAGTCGTCTTTTTTACAAAATAATTTTTTACAAAACACTTTTTTACGACTAAGTAATTTCTTGGGTTTTTCTTTTTACTTTTACTTGAGTAAAAATTTGTTGGAGTAATGCTACTCTTACTTAAATACCATTTTTCTGCAAATGTGACTCCACATCTGAGAGGACAACAAGAGTTTCCAAAAGTGTCCCTTCTGAATAAAATTTACCAGATGTAATTTTCTGAATAATAAATGACTCACCTGTCGGTACCATCGCTAATTCAATTTCTGTGAAAAAAAAAAGTGCGTTTGAATTAAAGTCTAAGATCGTCCAAAGCTGATCAGAAGCAGAAAAGTGGGTGCCTGACTAATAACTGTACCTTTGCCAGACAAATAAAGCTCAGCTGTGCTCTTAGCCTCTCCTCTGGGCTCCAATCTCACAATCACTGAGTACACGCCTACATGGGATTAGTGATGAAGACACTCAGGTCACAAAGAACAGCAAGAGGAGAAAAATCTGCAGGCGGTCTCTGGAGCCCAGTTGGGCTCTACACACCTTCATCTTCAATGGTCACATTTCGAATGACCATGAAATGTCTCCTGCCTTCGCTTCTGAAGTTGTACTTAGTGCATTCTTTCAGTTCCCACGTGTCTTTGTACCAAGAAACAATTGCGTTGTCGAAGGACACCTCGCACTCGAAGGTGGCCGACTGGCGCTCGTTGACTTCCACGTTGTGGATGCGCTTGGTGAAATGAATTTGTTCGGCTAAAACAGATAAAGACGTGAATGGGTGAACGTGACAGTAAGTGGGTGGCAATTTTTCACCAAAACATCAGCCACACAGTTAGAAACGACCGCAAAATGGATGTTGATGGAACGTTATGATGACTGGTTGTTGTTGAGGATGATGGTGCAAGACAATCATGGATTTATTATTAAGACAGAGTAAATCTAAAAAGAAGAGGAAAAAGAAGGCAAAAGCCAAATAGCCAACATTAGTTTCAGGGGTTTTTTCACACCTGATAGTCCAGTAGACTCAGTTCGATTGGGGCCCAAAAGTGCAACATTTGTTACATTTTCAGCTGGAGCATTTCGTTTTCAAGCTGTATGATCTCAAACGATCCCAACCATTAAGAAAACTATTCCACCAGTCGTTTGTGGTGGCGCTGCAGCAAGAACCACTGAAAGAAACAAAACAAAAACCTCCAACAAAGAAACTGAACATTACTTCCTTCTTGAAGCTGACCTATTTAGAGTTTACTTTCATTCATCTTTTATGTTGTAACAAAGCCTTTAATATATGTATTTGAATGTATTTTTACACTTTTAAAAGTAAAGTATACAAATTATTTTATTTTGCTTATGTGTAAATTTATTTTACTTTTTTTAACTTTACTTTGCATTTTACAACACTTGGTTATTTTATATTATTTTTATTGTAATCTGATGTTGCTTATAGTGTTGAAGATCTTTCAACACTATTTACATTTATTTAACTATTATTAAAAAAACTCAGACCGAGGTTTGTAGGTGGACCAGTTGGATTTTTTGGTCTGCATCAGTTTGATTATGCGCTCACATCTCCCCAAACCAACCGGACTTTCAAGCAAACGGACTGGAGTTTGATAAAATCTGGACTGGTGTGAATTCACCCTTAGAGTCGGATGAAAGAGGTTAGTAATCGGGCAGAGCATCCATCACGTCTACAGGAAGGTTTCCAGGTACAAACCTTCCACCTTGAGGTCCGCTGAGGACTCCAGGTGCTGGTATCTGCAGGAGTATCTGCCCCGGTCTTCAGACTTCAGGTCTTTGATCAGAAGCTTCTGAACTTTGTGTTTCACCTCGGACGAATACCTTCCCTTCATCTCTAACTGCTTTCCGTTTTTGAACCACTGAGCCTCAACGTTAGGAACAGACAACTGACAAGACAGACTGCACGCCTGGCCTTCCTTACCCGAAGTGTCCTGCAGGTGCTTCTCCACCTCCACCTCTGAAACACAGAGAGAAGAAAATTCAGCTTCTGCTCAGACTAGAAACTCAGTTTGAGATGCAGGGGTGTATTCAGGCAGGGAGCGGTTTCTAGGTATACCGAGAAATGAAAAAGTCATGGTTTCAAACCACTAAAATATTCTGTCATACTGTCCCTGCAGTATAACGGAGTTCTCACCTATTTACATTACAGCATGAAAAAGAAAATGCAAAACAACACATTTTAGAGTTGTAATAATAATATCGCGATATGTTATCTTACTGCTATAGTTTCATACCGGCCCATGCCTAGTTGTGTCAGTACTGACCCGTGACGGTGAGCTTGGCGCTGGAGATGTGCGGCCCACACACCACTCGGTAGTTGCCCTGGTCGGACGGCTGGCACCTTTTGATCTTGAGCAGGTGGCGGTCGCCGCTGATGCTGATGTCATATTTGTCGTCTGTGTCAAGCTTCTGCGTGCCCTTGTACCATGACAGCGTGATCTCAGGGTAGTTGATTTTGATCTCGCATTCAAACACCGCCTCTTCGTTGGTGAAGACGGACTGGTTGGAGATGTCCTTCACTACGGTGACAGGCTGCAAACAAAACAAGACAATTATCGCTCATGATGGTGACAGAAACTGCAACAATTTCAAAGCGACGCTTTATTATTTATTTAATGTTTTTTTAACGTTGAAGTGTTTAACGGTGTGTCCTGACCTCTGTCCTCTCCATTCTCTTCTGCAGGTCGGCCACCAACCGAGCCATGTCCTCATCTGACTCTCTGTCTCCACGTTCCACTTCCTGTCAACAACAACGGCATTACTCAGCAACGTCCTCAAATAAGAAACCCTTATTTTCTTAAGGGTTCTTCTTACCAAGTATTTTAGATCTGGTTTCTCCTGCAAATATCTTAGTACACTTGAACTAAAATGTAAAAGAAAAAAACAACTTACAAGTGACTTCAGTAATACATAAGTGCTTGTTTTAAGTAAATAATTCCTTGATATTTATTAGTTTTACTGGCAGATTGTTTTACTTATAACAAGACAGTTTTCTAATTTTTATAAGTTAAATATTCTGCCAGTGGAACTTAAACTTTTCAATAAATATTAAGGAATTATTTACTTAAAACAAGGTCCTTTATTTGGCTGAAAAGTTACTTATGAGTTAATTTAGTTTTATTTTAAGTGTAATAAGGTATTTTCTCTCAAAAGAAAACTGAATACTTGGTAAGAGTTTGTGTGTTTGCAGTGAGAGACGAGCAGCAGACTGTGGGAGCCTCACCGGTCTTCCACTTTCTTCGCCCCTCTCTTTCTTGAGCTGCTCGATGGCCTGAAGCAGACCTCTGTAGTCGGTGATGCCGTACATACGGGCGTATTTCTCGTACTCTTTGGGGTCGACGTTTCTCAGCAGCTCCACAATGTCGATGTCCTTCTCCTCCTGAGGACTCTTCTGCTTCGATGGTGTCCTGAAGGGACAGAGATCAGATGTTAGGAGTTTGTTCTGACAGATTTCAGCTGAGAAAGTTCTGGAAAGAACTCACTTCTTCAGTTTGGCTCGGAGGTCTCCCTCTAGTTGCGGCGCCTCTTTCTTTCCGTCAACGTGCATGTCGGCATTGCACTCGATCTCGCCGTGCTTGTTGGAGGCAACGCACCGGTACTGACCAGAGTCGGACTTGGTCACCTCTCGGATCTCCAACTTGGACTCCTGGCCCTTCTGCACGATTGAGATGCGGCCACCGTGGGTGAGTTGCCTCCATTTTCCCTTCATCCACTTCACACTCGGGATCGGTTCTCCTCCAACTTTAGCAATGAAGGTGGCAGTTCCCTCTGTAGAGAAAGAGTTAGAGGTTAGGTCAGGAAATAAACACCTTCTAAAGATTTCTTCTCTCCACTTTGATGGTCTTACTCTCTGTAACGTGTATGGATTTGGGTTCCTCGATGAAGAATAGATTATCCAGTTTTTTGGTTGGAGCTGCTGCTGGAGTCTCAGGTTTAGCTGCTCCTGGTTTCTCTGTAAGACAACAACACAAGGAAAAATTTTCGCTAAATAAATGGTAAACTGAATACACAACATGCATAGTCAGATTTCTGCAGACAAATAAATGACTAAACGATTGTAAATGTAAAAAAGTATCCTGCTTGTCTGGCACATGAAAAAAGAAACAGCAAACCATACGTATGCTAATTTTTTAAAATCTTTTTCTGGATTTTCTTTGTCTTTTTAGTAAGAAGATCAGAATGTGGCTCACTCTTAGTTTATTTAGATATTTATTAAATGGTTATGCTCACAACTGTTTTTGGTTCCTAATAATGAATTAAATTAAAAGCAAAACCCTGGAGGAATACTTTGTGTTGCACCTTACCCAGTATCAATGAAAAAAATTCGCCACAATAAATTTATAAGTAAAATAACATATGTGTACAAGTGAAATGTGCGTTATTTCACTTAGAAATTTTTTGTTATACGTGAAATGTCAATGGAACAAGCACTTTTTCATTATTGACAAGCTTCTATGACAGAAACTAGACAAAAATACTTGGTAAAATTATGAGTTTTTGCAGTGAAGGTTTAGATACCGGGTGAAATGATCAGGAGGTAATTCGGGTTTTACCTTTAACTGTGACTTTGGCCTTGCAGAACTCAGCGCCGGCTTCATTTGTAGCCTTGCAGAGGTAATCGCCAGCATCGTGTTTGGAGGCCGAGCTGATCTCCAGACTGGCTGTACCATCAGAAAAGCCGAGCCGGATGCTGCCGGCTGATGAAAGCTCCTTCCTGTCCTTCATCCACTGGACCTTCAGAGGGGCGGACCCACAGACGTGGCACCTGAGGCTCAGCTTATCGCCTTCATCCACAGTCACAGGTTTGAGTGGAACATCAAACACTGGAGGCTTCTTGGCTTCTGCAGATGAGATCAAATGGTTTGAACGCAGCTGCAGACACAGGGTTCGGTTTAATCTAGAAACAAAACTTCTGCACCATGGTACTAATGGGCGATCCATTTCATTCTGCACAGCACAATTTTACAAAAGGCAGGTTCCTGAAAAGGTATTAAAAATTCAAAGTGGCCCAGTGAGCAGAGGCTGTCACACTGAAATGAATACCAAAAGATTTGTGATTTTGGTGATCCTTTAGCTGCTTGAAATAACAGACTGGAAGACATCAACAGAGACTAGAACAGGCAAAAACAGAGACAGGAACAAACCAAATAACCAATGGGAACAAATAAAAAAAAAGAATAATTTTAACTTAGTAAAAGTGAAGGAAATTAAAGGGGACCTATTATGCTTCCATCAACACGTTATGATATGTCCATAGTGAAAGTCATTCCTAGATAATCAGAATTTAGCAGTTTTAGGGCCTCCTGTCACTTTAAACACTTTTCTTTTCCAGCACATACAGCAGTAAAACCAGCTGACCAAACATGCTGGAACTTCACTGGGGTTGCTAGGTGACTGGTGAAACTCTGCTGGGGTTGCCAGGTAACAGAAAGGCTGTGTAGATGTTTTAAAGAAATTGAACTGTTTGTAGAAGCAGTGGAGCCAAATAGAAGTACAAAGACATCCAAAATGTACATTTCACATAATAGGTTCCCTTTAAAGTGTATCTGAACTGTTACTTTTAAGAGGAATTTAACTTCTTTTACAGCCACAGGCTGTTTTTCTTTGTATTATATAAACTTTTTTTTTCCTCTTAAAATGTTTGTCACATCAGCCGATGAGTGAACTTTGAACACCAAACCCACCCAGGATGCCCACAGTGACGTCGCAGGAAGCACTTCCAGCTTCGTTGGAGGCCTGGCAGGAGTACCTGCCGCTGTCGGTCACCTGGCTGCTCTTGATGCACAGAACCGCCACATTGCTCTTAAAGCTGATATCGTATTTGTCAGAGCTGTGGATTTCCTTGCCGTCTTTGAACCAGCTGACCGAAACGGGCTGAGAGCCGGAGACTCGGCCCTCAATTTTTACCAGTTTGCCCTCCATGTCTTCGATGAGCTCCGAGGGCTTTTTGGTGAACATCGGTGGATTTTTACGCTCTGAAACCAAGAGGTAAAAGAAACAGTGAAGAGAAGAAGTAGGTACTCACCTAAGACTTCCCTTCAGATGGGTTTGAGGGTTTTGGATGAGAAGACCAAAATACCTTTGACAGAGATGTCAGTGGAACAAGAGTCCTTCCCCATGTCATTGGAGGCATGGCAGAAGTATTTTCCTGTGTCACCTTTATCCGCCTTCAGTATGGTCAGGTGGGCAGTGTTTTCCACACAGCTGATCTTATAGTTCCCACCAGAGCGGATATCTTTATGGTCTTTGGACCATGTGACTTTGATGGGGGCAGACCCAGTCATGTGACACTCCATTTCGATACTGTCACCCACCGTCACCACCCGTGGTGACAACTTTCTGTCAAAAACCGGAGCGTATCTGGGTTCTGCAGACCCGTGAAGGAGCAGCAAGAAGATAAAACAAGAAATCTTTAGACGGACTCCAACTGTTTTGACACACTACTAAAGCACAGAAAGGTTTCTAAACCCCTTACTCTCCACTGCACACATAATCTTAACATCATCTAATACATCTAAATATCTTCTTTGTTTAAATACTTTAAACAAACAAGACTCCAGTTTGATCCAAGTTCATAAACTCAACTTTATCTAGTGACACTTCTAATCATTTGTCATCAAAAGCAAAGTTAAACTAAGACCCAGAACCCTCTGCTTCTTTTGCAAACATCCTACAGTGGGACTATAACAGACCTTGCATGGTGAGTTTGGCTCTGCAGGACGCTGAGCCAACACTGTTGGTCGCCACGCATGTGTACTCCCCAGAATGCCTCATTTCACCACGGCTGATCTGCAGCACAGCCGTATTGTCGTCATATAGCATAGAGAACTCGCCTCCCTGTGTCAGCGGCTCGCCGTCTTTCAGCCATGACACCTCAATGGGTGATGAGCCGGCGACACGGCACTCAAAACGCAGCGCCTGACCCTCTATCTCCTGCAGGCTGGTGATCTTTTTGGGGAAGGAAGGAGGCGTTTTGGCCTCTGGAGAAAACAGAGGAACAGTAGATGTAAGGACTTCTCTAAATTAAATTCTGCGTTTTCTTAGGGTGAATTCTCACTCGGGTGTTTAATCCACTTTATTCAAACTCCAGTTTGTTTGCCTATATCCCAGTTTGTTTGGGGAGATGTGAAAGCTTAGTTGCGCTCTGATCTGGACTAAAAAACAGAACTCTGGTCCGTTTAAAAAAACTACAAAACCAGAAAGCAAACAATAGCGCAAGGCACTCTGAGTAAATAAAACCAAAATGAATGCGAGTTTAGTTCTAACAGCAGAAATGACAATAAAAGAGAAATCCTACAACTGATAACATCTGTTGCACTCCATTCTTTTTTACATTTTACGAAGAAGGAAGTTGTGCTCCGTGTCTTCTTCAGAGGCTTTTGTGTAATTTCTTTCTGTAGTTCTTGGTGCAGTGCCACACAGGCAAGGAAGGGAACAGGTTTTTCAGTTAGTCTGGTTCACTTGATGCAATGCAGTGTGAAAAAGAACCACAACAGCTGAAAATACAAGAAGTTTTCCTATAATCTATGGGACTATCAGGTGTGAAAACCTCCTTACCGAGAACATTGAGTTTGCAGGTGGAGGAGGCAGAGCCGATCTTGTTCTCCGCCTTGCAGGTGTACTCCCCAATGTCAGCTTTGGTGGCTTTGGTGAGCTTCAGACTGGCGACGCCCTTTGTGTACTCCAACTTACAGCTGGAGCTGGAGCGCACTTTGCCGTCAGCCTTGAACCAGGACACCTTGATCTCAGGTGTACCTGCCACCTGGCACTTCAGACACACAGCATCACCAGCTGTCACCTCCATTGGCTCCAGAGATTCAACAAAGTATGGAGGCTCTGTTGACACAATGAAACATGGGAGTGAGGACTTCTTCAGCAGAAGAAAATCAGTCAGATTTGAAGTAAGACTAACCCAAAATGGACACAACAGCTTCACTTGTGTCCTTTCCTGCGTCGTTGGACACCTGGCAGCAGTACGTCCCTGCAGCTTCCTTGTCGTCTGTGCTGAGACACTCCAGGATGCAGGAGCTTTCCGTCGTGGTGATGTTGTATTTGTAGGAAGCGAAGATCTGTTGGCCATCTTTGAACCAGCTCACTGTGATCTTTGGAGTTCCGGTGTACGAACACTCGAGCGTTAAAGGTTTGCCCTTCTCCACTGACACGTCCTTCAGTTTCTTAGAAAAGGCTGCCGGTTCTGACAGACACAAACAAAAAATCCTATTTAAAACGGAAACAAAACAATCTCTCTGTACATGCGAATTTTAAACACCTCTCTAAAAACTTGTAGACTAATAACAAACTGGCTGTACTAAAGCTAAAGTGCTAATTTCAATCATGTTGACATCTAAATTGTGTTTGTCTCCAAAAATTAAACACAACTGAAAGTTTACAAAGCGACAAACTAAATTAGCACTTTAGAAGTTATCTGTAAGAATTAATATAGGGGAAGCTAAGTGCACAAAACATTTTCAAAGTTAGCTAAAAGTTAGTTTTGCTAATTGTGGCCACAAATGCTGATTAGCATGCAAAAGAATCATCATCAACTCCTCATTTTTATCAGACAAGATACAAACTTACTGGGACCTAATCCTTCCTGGGTTAACTTCATATCTCCTTTCAAAGACCTTACAGACCTTAAATTATCTAAAGAACTGTTATCACTCCAGAAGAACCATTTGCTCTCATCCTGGTTCCAACTGGAGCTTCTAGGACTGTAAATGGAGGTGAAACTGACCTTTGATTGTGAGATTCACAGCACAGCTTTCTTTTCCTGCATCGTTGATGATCTGACAGGTGTACTCTCCAGCATGGGATCGGTTCACGTTGTGAAGCTCCAGAGTCACTTGGTTGTCTTTCAGGGTGAAGCTGCAGTCCTTCCCTGGCAGCATCTCCTTGGTTCCTCTGAACCATTTCAGGGTGAGGGGCGCGCTGCCCTTCACCATGCCTGAGAAGGTCACGTTGGAGCCAGGCATGGCCTCCATCGGCTGCAGTGGCACCACGAAAGACGGAGGTTCTGGGCGAGACGGAAATATCCAACAAGATGGAATTAGAATGTAATAGGGAAAGAAGTTATCAATTAATGTGTTAATTAATGATTGACCGAATAAGGATTAATTAATAAGAGGCCATTTTCTTAAAAACCTGAGACTTGTAGTGGATAATATGTTGACAGTATGTTGAATCAAAAAACATTGTTTTGTGTCAACTTTATTAAGAAACAGAAAATTGAGGTTTTCTCACATTATTAAACTTAAATAAATTGACAAACTATAAAAAACAAGAATCTCTGAGGTTGATCAATAGAAACATAAAATATGGAAAGAATAAAAGATGTGAAACACATAATTCCCCAAAAACAGAGAGATGTTCATACAGAAATACCATCTGTTGCTCTTAAAGGAATGTTAAAACTTTCCTCAATGAAGGGAAATAACTGCCATCAAAACTAACTCTGCTTATTTGTCCAGTTTTCATATTTCAAAACAGAACCGCACAAAGATCATGTTGTATCTCTCAGTGGACTCAGTTAGACCCTTTCTAGTATCAACTGGCTCTGATTAAGGAAGACCCATGGCGCCCTCTGCTGGATGGCAGCCAAACTACAACACTAACAGTAGGTCTAAGCAGCAGTTGGAGCTCATTTTAATCTTCAATCCTTCGTTAAGAAACAACGAATTACAGGTAGATTAATTATTTTAACCTCCAGAATGTGACTTTATATGTTTCACTGAACACAACCAAAACAGAAATGGTCAACATGAAGCAGGAACCTACCTTTGACATCCAAAGTTGCTGACGTTTCGCTGAAACCAGCCTTGTTGACGGCTTTGCACTTGTAAACTCCGGAGTCAGTCAGCCTCAGGGTCGGCACTCTGAGCATGCAGCTGTTGTCGCTGAAGGAAATCTCGCAGTTCGGCCCGCTCTGTATCTCCTCACCATCGTGGTACCATGAAATAGTAAAAGGTGGGGATCCCGACACTTTGCACTCCATCTCTGCAGCTTCTCCTACAGTCATCTTACAGTCCTTCAGTTTCCTGGTGAACGATGGAGGAACGATCTTATCTGTTGACAACAGAAGCAACAATTTGTGAGAACGTGCTCAGGTTTACAAGTACAACTCAGTGAATTACAATATCATAAAAATATTTTTATTTTAGGAAATTAGAGGTAGTCTGCCCTTGCAGGTTTTTAACGTTTGTGCAATTGACAACTTTATAAAATACAAAGGATGTTAAATATATGTTTACAAAAGTTAAGAAAATGAGTAAAGATAAAATAAAACCACATACACTACAGCATGTGTCAAACTCAAGACCCGTGGGCCAAACCTGGTCCACTAGAAGTTTTTATGTGGACCTCCAAACTCTTTAAATATAACCGTTGACACTACAGTTGTGTGCTAAAATGTCACTTTGACAACCAAACCACTCCTGTTTCGTTTTGTGCCAAATAACATCAAGGCAAAAAGATATTTAATACTTAACTTTATGAGAATCTCAATGCAGAAACGGCTTTTTATTTATCTAGTTTCAAGTGCAAATGTCCTAGTACCCTTGAAATAAGATGAAACTAACTTGGAAGTCATTTTCCAGCAACATAGAGGAGCTTGTTTTTAGTAAATAATTCCTTAGTATTAATGAAAAAGTTCAAGCTCCACTGGCAGATTTTCTCACTGCCAGTCGAACTAATAGTTTATCAATATTAAAAAACAAACTCATAAATCTTGCTGAAAAGTCACTAATAAGTTAAATTTGTCTTATTTCTAATGTACTAAGATATTGGCAACCAGAAACTAGACCAAAAATACTTGGTGATATTTTTTTTTCTTTCATGTGTTTAATGAATTTATATCATGAGTTTGACTTAACTTGTTACAAAATAAAACGCATTTATCACAAACTAAAAGGAATCACACAATGTTACTTATTTCCAAACCAAATTAACAACACCCACCCAAAACGTTGAGATTAATTTTACTCAGGTCTTTTCCGACTTGGTTCATGACCTGGAACGTGTATTCCCCAGAGTCCAGTTTCTCCGTAGAAAGCACGTTCAGACTGGAGATCATCTGCGAGAAGGAGATCTTGTACTTCCCGGATGTGGCCAGCTCCATGCCGTCCTTGAACCACTTGGGAACGAGCTCTGGTGTTCCGCACACTTTGACCTCCAGGGCGGCCATGTCGCCTGCCGTCACGCTCAAAGTTTCAGGTTTATCCACAATCTTAGCAGGTTCTGGAAGGGGAAGGAGCAGGAGCAGAACATGCTTTTCATCAAATATGGACAAGACGCCGACTGACAGACAAGACTACGACGGCATATTGGGGCCATTATAAATAGAAACAGAGAAGGACAAAATTTCTGCCAAAATATCAGAAATTTTGACAATAATCTCAGATATTTTCTAGAAAAAAAAACATGAAAATTTCTGAGTTAAAAAAGTCAAATGTGCTAGAAAAAACCTCTAGATTTATCTCAGAAATTTTATGATGGAAAATTTAACATTTGAGAAAAAAACTAACATTTTCTAGAATAAATATGGAGATTTTTGAGGTACAAAAGTCAAATATTTTAAAATTGAGTAGAAGTTCTGAGTTTCAAAATTTTTGACTTTCGAAACTCAGAAATGTCCATGTTTTTGCTAGAAGATTAATCTCAATTTTTATTTCTGAAAAATTCCAACTTTTTAAGCTCTGAAATGTTTTTTTTTATTCTAGCAAATGTCAGAGATTTATTTAAAAATTCTGAATTTTTTTCCAACAGATTTTAAACTTTTTTGGAGCTTATCTCAGAAAAGTTTTCTGGAAATTTTCTGAGATTAAACTAAAGAGTAAAAACAAATCTAATACATTTTCAGCTGTTGGAGCTCACAAATGTTCAAGATTCTTCTAGAAAATCTCTCAGATTAAACTAAAATTTATTTTTCTTTGGAGTTCAGCGATCTGCTTAGTTTTTCTAGAAAACTTCTCAGATTAATCTCAAACTTCTCAGATTAATCTCAAAATATCTGAGCTTTTGGTGAAAATTTACTCCTTTCTTTTCTATTTACAATACACCGTCCAACAACACTGACAGAGAAAGAGAGAATTATACAATTACAAACCTAGGACAGTCAAGTTAGCGAAACAATCCACACTCCCAGCATCATTTCTGAGTTGGCAGGTGTATCTGCCTGCAACGCTTGCATCGGCCTTAAACACAGTAAGCGCCACCTGGTTGTTCTCAAAGGTGATTTTCCTGTTGTCACTGTCCCTGAGAATGTGATCCTTGTCCTGAACCCAGGACACAGTAATGGGTTCAGAGCCTCTAACTGTGGCCATAAGGGTCACCTCCTCTCCCAGCATCACTGTCATGTTGGACAGTTTCTCCACAAATGATGGCGGCTCTGAGGACAAAAACAGCGCAGAAAGTAGAGTGAGAAAAGGTGGCAGGAGTGGAGGGAGGGGGGTAAGGTAACCTGAACGCCCACGACTTTCAATACTGACCTCTGAGTTTAACCGAAGTGTGGCAGGAGTCACTTCCTACACTGTTTGAAACTTTGCACTCATACTCGCCGGCGTCTGAAGGCTCTATCCCAATGACATGCAGAGTGGCTGAACTCCCCTCACCCACCATCTTATACTTCCTGCTCTCCATCAGAGGTTTCCTGTCTTTGAACCAGGCCACCTGGAACGGAGCGGAACCGCTCATCTCGCAGTACAAGCTCACGTCCCTACCCATCAGCCCCTCAATGGGCTGGGGTACTTTCACAAATGCAGGGGGGTCTAAGAAAAGATCAGGAAACCATTACAGAGGCATGACGGGGGAAAATGAATCACAACTAAAAGCTCAAAGCTGACAGCTGTAACTGGAGTTTTAAGTGTTTTTGTAAAACTATGAAATCTCTGCGATGATCTGCGTTTTCACAGAGCATTTTTTGAATGATTCATCTGTCTCTAAATGTCTATAAATATTTACATTTCACTGAAATTAGCAAGCATGATGAGGCAATGACTCTTAGACTTAGTTCCAGTCTTTTGGTTTTGTTTCTTAGATCATTTCAGGAGTTTTTTCTGACACAGGCGTGCATAGTGAGTACGTTTCAGTAATTTTAAACAGAGCGATATTCTTCAGTTGCTTAGCTGTTAATTGTGATAATTTTGACTTCCAGTAACTGAACAGGAAAAGCTAAATGATACAAAATGAAATGGCAGTTTTGACAAACAAGTAGCCTTGTACTGCACATTATTTTAATTCAATAATTGGATGGAGCTTCATTTGTTTTAATTGGTCTTAAGTAATATAATAAAAACAAAATAAATTTTGGGGTTTAATTGGCTGTAACCCATAACAATCAGAATTTAAAAATTAAGTGAAATATTTCACTGTGTATGTTTAATGAATCTATAAATGAGTGTTTTAGGAAATACTTGAACTTCTTTCTAAATTACTGAGATGCACCTGAGGACCAAACTACTTGGTCTAAATGTAGTTTATTTGGTGGAAATCAGGACAAAATAAGGTTTACATATTAGAGCTACATAAGAAGCTTTAGTTTTAGTGAAGTTCAAAGTGTGTAGTTAGTGGAGGGAAAAACTGCTGATAGATCAGAGGAACTTATCTGGAAATTAAAAGAAAGTTGCGCTGTAAAAATGGAAAAGAATAAAAAATTTGACCCACAGTTAGTTGTTATGTTGAGAAACAATTATGTGTCTAAAGATAAAATGTTGGGTCCATGCATAAACTCAAGAGTTTAGATGGATTAAGGTAAATTTTGCTTCATGTTCAACATTTAGGAAAATCACAAGTGGGCGTTAACAAGGTCAACTTAAACAATTGTAACAATTAAAAAGGGGCTGCACAGTGGGGTAGCACAAAGAAGGATCTGGGTTTGAATCTTTGGAGGCCGTTTTGTAGAAATGATCTTGAATTAGAAGATTTAAGAAATTAATTATTGGCATGTTTACCTTTTGAAAGCTCAGTGTTGACTGGACCGTAGCCCAGATGATGTTAGAAGGTGTTAGGAAAATTTCTTGTGTTATTATTTAGTAAAAAAAAAAAAAAGGAATAAAGGACTTGTACGCTAAGCACTAAACTTAAGAATAAAAAAACTTACCAAATAGTTTTTAGTTTATAGTGAAAATATTCTAGTCTACTTGAAATAAGACTAAAGCTAATTCAAGTAGCTTTTTAGTAAGATGTGAGCTTGTTTTAAGTAAATTATTCTTGAATACTAATAAAAAGTACTAGCTCCACTGGCAGACTTGTTTCGTGTATAATATGGAGAAAATGTTGTGATACAAATGAAAAAAATTTGTCAATGAAACTGGTATTTTTTAAATCAATATTCAAGTATTATTGTCTTAAACCAAACAGCGATATCTTGCTAAAAAATTACTAATAAGTTAGTTTTGTCATATTTTAATTGTAATAAGATATTTACCCTAGAAATTAGACAAAAATACTTCATACCTTTTTGTGGATTTGCAGTGTGGATGTAGAATGAGTTTGAATCAGATGTTTAGGAAGTAGTGTTTGGTGAGTATGTAGTTAAGTACGGCTAGGATATGAAGGTTAGAGGAAATATGTTAGAATTGATTAAAGCATGTTTGCTAATAGATTGTGTCTCACTTCAGAAAAAGACTCAAGTGAAGTCAATCCGATTAATAATTAAAGTGAAGAAGAGCACTTCTGATGGTGGTTGCTCAGATTCAAGATGGAGATAAAGAGGAGTTGTTACAGATGTCAGCTTTCAATGTGAGCACCCAAGTATTAGAGGCTTGTTAGACGTCCATGGGAGGCTGACCTTTAACAGTAAGTGTGGTGCTGCAGCTCACACTGCCAGCATCATTCTGAGCTTCACAGGTGTAAACTCCATCATCATCATAGCTGCTGGACACCAGCTCCAGGGCAGCTACTGAGTCAACAAACGAGGTCCTGTAGTTGCCCCCATCCGAGACCTTGGTGTCGTGTTTGTACCAGGTCGTTTTCAGAGGGGCCGTGCCACGGACTTTGCACTCCAGGCGGAGTGATTCGTCGCGCTTTACAAACTTAGTGGCAGGGAGTTTCAGCACAAACTCAGGTGGTTCTGGAAGGCCGAAACACAGACAGACAATCAGCAACTGGAAGCAAACAGAACAGACAGTAACAAAACATACAAGCTGACAATCATGAGCTAGCAGTGAATGCAATGCAAAGACCAGACACATTTTGATGAACTACATTCTGAGTGAACAGAATCACTGCACTATAAAATAGGAAGGATGGGTTTAGCTGGAGTATGAGATGAAGAATTGATACAAAAAATTGTGAGTCCCAACCTTTGACAGTCAAATCTGCACTACAGCGCACAGAACCAGCATCATTGCTGACTTGGCAAGAGTAAATTCCACTCTGAGCAACGGCCACTGAGTAGAGCTCTAAGAAGCAGGACGTTTCATCCACGCCTGTGAAACATGTTGGCCCGGTCATGAGCTCCGTGTCGTCCTTAAACCATTTGACCGTAAAGGGTGGCGTACCCATAAACGTGCTTTTGAAGCGAACTGTGGCATTGGGCAGAGCCGCCTGTGACTCAGGCAGCAACAAAAAGCTGGGAGGCTCTGAAGGCAAGACAATGAACCGGGTTAAAGAGGTACTCACCTTTGTTTTCAGTACATTATGACCAGTCAAACTGAAGAGCAGTGTCTGACCTTTGACCCTGAGGAATCCACTACATTCACAGCTCCCAGCAGCATTGGTCAGTTTGCAAGAATACGACCCAGCATCAGGTCTTTCAAGCTGTTCGATTTCCACAGACACAGAGTTGTCCTGCTGGATCAGTTTGTGTTTGATACCACTGGAGATTTTACTCCCATCTTTCTGCCACTCCACAGAGATTGGGAGGGAACCGGATATTTTACAGCAAATCTGAACAAATGAGCCCAGAATCTCCTGCATTTCTACCAGTGGTTTGATGAAGCTTGGAGGAATTACTTGCTCTGTCACCAAAACAGGAGTAAGAAGGTCAATATAATTTAATCAGTGTGTAGCTGATGTAGCTCATTTGTTGGGATGAATACCAACCTAGTACAACCACTTTAACTTTGCAGGAGCAGCTGCTAATGTGGTTTGACACCTCAAACACATACTCTCCTTCATCTGTTTTCTGTGCTCCCTGAATCTTTAGGCTGCTGATGTTGTTCTCAAAGATAAGCTTGTGCTGCCTTATGGACTGAAGTTCCTTGCCATCTTTCATCCATCTCACCTTGAGCTCAGGCGAGCCTTTCACCTTACAGTCCAGACTGACCGGATCTCCAACTGTTACCTTGATTTCCTCAGGTTTCTCTAAGATCTGAGGGGGTTCTACAATGCAGAGCAAAGTCAGGATTAAATTGATTCCTTGCTTTAATAGTCATTCACCAACCATTTAATAGGTACATCCTTTCTATTGCATGTGAATTTGATACTTTTAGGATGGCGAAGTCTCCTTGTATGGCCTAACATGCCTGTTGATACCAGACCGGCCCATCTGAGTATTTTGGAAACTGGTGAATTTCATAAAATGGTCCAAAAAAGACAGCAGCTGATGTTATTATAGAAGAATGAGAATACTAGAAATGCAACAGTAGTCCAAACCTACTTGATCTAATTAGGACAGTGGTTCTAAATCCTTGTCTTCAGGACTCTTCACTGTGTTGTATGTTTTTGTGGGTTTTTTTCCCTTTTACACATCTTAAGTGAATTATTGACAGGTTTCTGTAACACTTAAAAACCCAATCACTTCCAGTGTATCAGAGCATTTGTGCATTAAAAAACATAAAATACAATGGGTCCTGGGGACTAGGTTTGATAACCCCAAAACCTAAGGTATCTGGAATATTATGTACAATGTATGAACAATGGGACCAAATTTGATATGGCAAGAGAACACCAAATTTGTCGCCACTCCTGCCAACTAAAAACAGTAAATTGACACTGCAAATTTCAAAATTAAACAATAAAAGATGGAAGGAATGTTCCGCTATTAGAGATGTGATATTCAAATGGTAGGGTGAAAATTTGACCCCAGAAAATTATTATATGGATTGTATGAATGGGTAAGGCTGGTGATGGAATTGTAAAATTAGGACATTTCTGACGCCCAGTGCTAGCAAGGTGTACATAATAAAATGGCTTAGTAAGTATTAAAAGTATGGAGAAAGGATTGTTGGTTCAGCAGATTACCTTGAACTGTGAGCGTGGCAAAGCATTTATCCTGCCCAGCTTCGTTTATCACCTGGCAGCTGTATCTACCTCCATGAGATGCTTCACAGGCAGAAATCCTGAGAGTCGCCATATTGTTTTCAAAAGTTCTCTCAATCTTTGGATCCTCCAAAATCCAGCTCTCATCTTTTTGCCATTGAACAGAAAGAGTTGGAGAACCTACAACAACACACTGAAACTGTGCCAGTTTACCAAGGACAGTTACACTGTCCTCAATCCTCCTGGTAAAGGCTGGAGGTTCTATTGAAAAAAATAATGTGAAGTTAGCGGTTTTCACTCCAAAAACTAAAAATAGGGGGCTTTTAAATCTAAAGAAACCAACCTTTGAGGCTTAGAGTTGTCTTACAAGTGCAGCTTCCAACCTCATTAGCTACAGTACATTGATATTCACCCACATCTACACCATCACATCTGTGGATCTCAAGGGTCAAAGTGTCATTCATCTGGGAAAAACCATGTTTTGCACTGGGCTTGATCTCTTTTCCATCTTTGTGCCAGGTTATCTCAAATGGACCTGTTCCGGCAACCTGGCACTCAAAAGATGCTGTTGAACCCTTCACAACATCAGCTGGAGAAAGTTCTTTAATAAAAATTGGCGGTTCTGAGACAAAAGAAGAAAAACTATCATATAACTTAACCTAAAGAGGTAATTCTCTAGTAAATATTTGATGCTATATGTGTTTAGCCACAGAATTATAGTGAGTTAGGTCCATTAGGTCATTTATCTTCAAAGAGATATCTACTAAATATGCTTAGTTCTCAGTAAGGAACAAAGCATGAAAAACTTTCTGCCAATTTAACTTTAAGAATAACTTCCTAGTGTTCAGATTCTCAAAGCTCCAGCCCAACAAACCTTTCACTTTGAGGTCCATGCTGCAGCTCTCACTGCCAGCCTCATTACGAGCCTCACAGTAATAAAGGCCACCGTCCTTAGTTTCAGCCCCGCAAACCTCCAGAGTAGCCACAGAATTTACAAAGGCCATCTTGAAGCGATCACTGGCGCTGATCTCAGAGCCCTCCTTGAACCAATAGATGTCTATTTCAGGTGTGCCAGTCACCTGGCACTCAAACATTTTGCTTTGCCCGGGACGCACTACGGACACACGGTCCGGTGTCCGAGTGAACTTAGGAGGCTCTGAGAAGTAGAATAAACAGCCAAATGAGCTGTGGTATAAATAATCTGCAGAAACTATAATGATGAGGACAACTGGGACTTAACATGAGAGATATTATGAGAATTTTCCCTTGAACTACTTTCAAATGGTTTCAGACCCATGATTCTCAAACTGTGGTATGTGCATGATTTGTGGGAATTTGGACTGGATTAAAAGCATTCAGAAGAAATGTTGGTTTTAATCAATTGTGAGGTAAACATGAATGTAGTAACTGTTATGTAAATAGACATCAGCAATCAAATCAATGTGCTTAATGACTATAATAACTAACAGCAAGTTTGTCAACATTTACTTAGTTGATACTTGTTATAAAAATATTGAGAACCACTGGTCTAAGTGAGTAAAGCATGACTATTCAGAACCAGCAACTACAATAAAAACAAAACAAAAATTACAATCTGTAAACAAATTAAAATGTGCATCTGCAGGAGAGTCATATATAAATTTATAGTTAAAACCTTTGACGAAAAGCGTTGCTTGGCAGGAAGTGGATCCCACATCATTCTGAATTTCACACACATAGTCTCCGGAATCTGAGCTCTTAGCAAAGAAAAGCTCCAACGAGCTGGATGTGTTGTCTTTAACCACAGAGCAATCAGCACTTGATAAAATCTCTTTCTTGTTTTTAAACCATTTGATGTTCAGTGGTGGTGTGCCAGAAAGCAGTACGTTAAACTGGACCTTTGATCCAGGTAAAACATTCATGGATTCAGGCTTTTCAAGAATGCATGGTGGTTCTGAAAGAGAGAAGCAAACCACTGCTTGTGAAGAGAAGCCAAAAATCCTCTCAGTTAACATTTGTTTTCTTTTCTGCTGGAATAAAACAAGACAAATCAACCATTTCAGACCTTTTACAAACAAGATGCCTGAACACTGGACTGTCCCTGCTTTGTTTTTGGCGATGCATGTATAACTTCCACCATCTTTAAGGTGAAGATCAGAGATTTCCAGGCAAGCAACATTCTCAAAGAATGTACATTTATGTCTATCATCAGCCTGGATCTCCTTCTCATCTTTGTACCACTGGACAGTAATCGGTAGGGAGCCTGACACAAGGCATTCCAGATGAGCAAATGATCCTTTAATACCTTCTGTTTGCTTCAGTTTTCTTGTAAAGGATGGAGGAATTACTTGATCTGACATGGATAACATAAAAAACAAGTGTTACAAGTTACAAATTTGGATGAAAACAAGCAAAGTTTACTTTAGCGTTACCCATGCACATTAAGCACTGACCAAGAACGGTGAGCGTGGCCTCGCAAGAACTTTGTCCGACATCATTAGAAATCTCAAAGATGAATTCACCACTGTCAGTTTTCTCAGTTTTGAGAATCTTGAGCACAGAGCTGGTGTCTGTGGTCTGTACTTTAAATCTCTGGCCTGAGGTCAGCTCCTTGCCAGCCCTAAGCCATTTGGCCTTCAGTGGTTTTGTCCCAGAGAACCTGACCTCAAGTGTGGCCGGATCCCCCTGAGTCACACTGATGGACTTAGCCTCTTCTGTGATCTTAGCTGGTTCTGATATGTGAAGAAGAATGTATTTTAAAGAGAAAATTAACATTTCAAGAAAACCATGTGGTTCTTATTTACTTCCCAATCTTATTTAATCCCAATCTGTTCCCTTCTACGAAACACTTGGACCTATCTAATCTAATCTACACAACCTAGCATGTTGTGTAGATGTCTATTTTTTTCCAATAAGCAGTGGTTGATGGTTGAACCCAATGCTATATGCTAAAATGTTGTATGTTGAGATGGTTTTTAGAGATCTGATCAATAGCTATTCGGGCAATTACCTAAAGGAAAACTGTATAACAAATACTGACATCTAGTGACAAAGTTAAAAAGAATATGAATTATTTAGATTTGGATATAAATTGGACTGTTTGTCCTGCAAATTGCCTTGACATGAAGTTTGAACGAGATTGTTGCTATATAAAAACATCTGAAATTAGTTATTGCTATACAACTTTAGGTTAAATGTGAAGACATTGGCTGTTTCAGTGAAACCTCTTGCTTGTTATTGTATTGAAATATGAATGACTTTAAAATTGTAACTATAAATTGAGAGCACAAACCAAAATTAAAAGGTTTAACTAACCTTTAACTGTCAGAACAGCAGAGCATGTCTGGCTACCAGCTTGATTCTGTGCCTGGCAGGAGTATTTTCCTCCATGTTTATTCTGCAATCCATTTATGTGCAACAGGACAGTCTTGTTCTCATACGAAATATTAACATTTTCAGCTTCCTTGAGCTCATGGTTGTCCTTTAGCCAGGTCACAGTAATGGGCTCAGAGCCCTTCAGTGTGCATTGGAGAGAAATATCACTCCCCACCAATGAACTGACATTTTCAAGCTTTTTTACAAAAGACGGTGGTTCTACAAGTCAAAAATGGTATATGAACATTATGAGCTTGAAAGTTGTTGACTAATGATTAAAGTTTTGGACAGAATACAGGTGCATGAAACCAACCTTTGAGTGTCACTTGACATTCACAGGTTGACATCCCCACTTCATTCTCAACAGTGCACTGGTACAAGCCAACATCTCCAGCCTCGACCGCCTGCACTTGCAGAGCCACCAGATCTTCTTTCACTGTGACTTTGTGTCTTTTGTCATTTCTGATTGCTTTGGCGTTTTTGTAAAATGACACAGTGAAAGGAGCAGAGCCAGAGACTTGGCCCTCCAACATCATCTCAGAACCTTTCACAACATCTTTGGCCTCCAAGCTACGTACAAACACCGGTGGTTCTAGAAGACAGTAATGATGTCGGTCAGTGAGCAGAAGACAGGACTGAATAAGTCTAATACAAAGTTTATAATAAACTTTGACTGAAAGTTAAACATTAAATTATCTTTACTAAGATAATTTGACCAATTAACCAAAGAAATTCAGGAGACCTTCCTGTAGATGAACCAACCTTTGACAGTAACTGTACTGCTGCACCGATCACTGCCTGCTTCACTTGACGCAACACAGACATAATCGCCACTGTCCCCAGTTGCACAGTTCAATATTTCAAGAGTTGCTTCTACATCAGACACACTGATTGTATATTTAGGACTGGAACTGATCTCCATCTCATCCTTAAACCATTTGAAACTGATGGACGGACTGCCTGACACTTTGCACTCCAACCTGGTGGAGATGCCACTTGTGATGAGCTTGGTTGCATCAAGCTTTTGTACAAACACAGGAGGTTCTGGGAGAAGAGGTTAACATTCATTAGATGATACAAGGCTTGTTAGTCAATTCACTGTCAGGGTTTTAAGGATGCAGTTATAATGAGGACAAGAACCTTTCACAAAGAGGACTGTGGAGCAATCCACTTTTCCAGCATCGTTGGACACTTGGCAGGTGTATTTAGAGGAATCACTGGGTTTCACAGAGTGAAGGTCCAGAGTGCTGGAAGAAGCATCGTTTTTTATAAAATAAATGCCTCCAGTTACAACCTCTTTTTCCTCTTTGAACCATTTAACAGCCAAAGGAGCAGTTCCAGTGAAGGCTGCCCTAAAGGAGACTTTGGCTCCTGGTATAACATCCTGGTTTTCTGGTTTCTCTGTGAACACTGGGGGCTCTGGAAGCCAGCAACAAAAAACAAAAAGTCTTGTCATGTTAACATGAAATTCTTCAAATATCACACAAGAGAAAGAAAGGGAAAGTAAGACAAAGATTTATAACCTTTGACGTAGAGCGTGCCACTGGTTTCTTTAAAGCCAGCCGAGTTGGTGGCTTTGCATTTGTAAACTCCAGAGTCTGCCTTTTCCAGCTGACTGACTCTCAGTGTGGCAGAGCTATCTTTGAACTCCGATTGAAATTTGGCTCCGATCTCTATTTCCTGGTCATCTTTGAACCAAACAATGGTCATGGGTTGGGACCCAGACACCCTGCAGTCCATGGACACATCATTACCAATGTTGCCGTCAACTCTTTTCAGGGACTTGGTGAAAGTTGGAGGCATTATCCGATCTGGTAGTTTAAAAAAAGCACTTTTAAATGCTGTTGTGTTTTATTGTTCATAGGTAAAAATAGTTGTTTTCTAATAACCTGGTACACAGAGTCCTTCATAATGTTTGTTTTTCTAAGCTTCCCACTCTTTGCTGTATGAAATTCTTAATCCAACATTTCAGACATGCTTAAAGTGAAAATTCCAGCTCTCCCAAGTAGAAAGCATAACTTTTAAATCACAGTCAGGTTGTTTTGGACAACTGGTTTTCCAGATACTTGTCATTGCTCGGCTAAGTTTCATTGCTTTTTAGTCAAGCAATTATAAAACTCAAAAGCAAAATCAAATGTGCAGAATCTCATGTAGAAGAAGATCTGACCTGGTGGGACAAATCTTCACTAAGAAGAATCATCACTTTGGTAATGTAAGTGAACATTTGAGGATCAGTCTGCAAAAGGGAGCTGTCAGAAACTACTGTCCACAGACAGTTGCCACTAATGCATTTATCTAAAATTGGCTCATGGGACTTGGGATCAGGAAGAAAATCCTAAAAGCTCTCCCTTTCTTCAAAGAAGGTTTTCAGCCCATTTTGGAGGATCCCAAAGTGTTCTTACGGCAGTAGGGATACATCGTCTCTCCAGGGATTTTGTGTCTCCTCACAAAGGAAAGTGCAAGGGTAGAGAGCTAACTGACTGGATAGGTGCCTGCATTACTGCAGAAGAGACTTTTATCTATCTATCTTCTTCCTGATCCGTCCTACAGTCTCTCAGCAACAAGACACAAAGATACATGAACTCCAACACAATCCAGGAGGAACAACTTATTTAGATCACAGTTGAAGTTCAATGGAAAAAGATTCAGGAGAAAATGAGAATATGTGTTAAAAAATCTGATTGTTTATGTGGGATCTTGTTCCAAGAGTGAGACTGTTTTGCAAAATATCCAAATAGGTTTGGATAGATCCTCAGAAACAATATTGAATATGTTAATCATGTCTGAATTGTTTTACACTGACAATCAGAGTGTAAATTTACAGAAAAGTGGATCAATGCCCCAAACATTATGGAGGACCCATTTATTGTACATAATTTGCAGTGAGCTAACCTAAGACAGTGACTGAGCATGTGCACTGGTCTTTCCCGACTTTATTGGACACTTCCATCTTGTACTCCGAAGTGTCTCCTTTCTCTGCTGTCAAAATTTTCATGGTGGCTACGTGGTCCTTCAATGTCATCTTGTATTTCCGCCCACTTATCATTTCCTTCCCGTCTTTGAACCACTTCACTTTCAGCTCTGGGCTTCCAGAGATTGTACACTCCAATGTGGCCGAGTCTCCTGCAGTCACACTAATAGACTCTGCAGGTTCTATAATTCTAGCAGGTTCTGTTGTAAGACAGATTAAGTGGTTATTAACAAGAAGAGTTTCGGACCTGTATACAATGACATCTGCATCAAAGATTTTCCCTGACCTTGCACAGTCAGAGTGGCTTCACATTTTTGCTGCCCAGCCTCGTTTTCTGCTTGGCATGAGTACTTGCCACCGTGATTGATGGCCACTGCTGTTATAGAAAGACTTGCAACATTGTTCTCAAAAACCATCTTGATATTTGGATCATCATCTCTAAGTATTTCAGAGTCTTTCATCCATTTAACAGTTATGGGAGCTGAGCCCTTTATGGTTCCTTGTAGCTTCACTGCATTTCCCAACACTGCTGTAACACTTTCAACTCTCTTTGAGAAAGATGGTGGCTCTACAAAAACATGCAACACGTTAAAATCTGAGTTTCAGGTGCAGCAGTAATTCTCAGCCTTTAACGGGTTTACCAACCTTTCAGTTTAGCTGAGGCCTTGGTGGTTACCTTCCCCACATCGTTGGAAATGACACACTGATAATCTCCAATGTCTGCACTTTCAAAGGTCTGGATCTCTAGCCTTGACAGAGAGTCTTGGGAGATGATTTTATATTTCTGATCACCTGTGATGGGCTTCTTATTTTTTAACCAGCTGATTTCAAAAGGAGCCGTTCCTGCAATCTCACACTCCAGCTGAGCTGCTGCACCTTTCACAGCATCTATGGTCTGTAGCTCTTTTCTAATGGATGGAGGCTCTGAATGTCAAAAGATTAAAGTGTGTGGGGTTAAAACTAATATTTTCTGAACTGAACACAGAGAATCATATAAGTCTTTCTCAGAACAAACCTTTAACAGCAACCACAGTGCTGCAGCTCTCACTACCAGCATCATTCGACACCTCACATGTATAACTTCCACTGTCTGTCACCAGAAGATTTAATATTTCCACAGATGCAACTCCGTTCTTAAAGGTGATTTTATATTTCTCTCCATCACTAAGCTCTCTGTCATTCCAGAACCAGTGGATGTGAAGTTCAGATGATCCTTTAACGCTGCATTGTAAACGTGCAGTTGCACCCTGCTTCCAGGTAAACTTAGGCTCCATTTTCCTGACAAAAGCAGGGGGTTCTGAAAGAGTGTTTGGAGACACTGAGGCTTAAAAACATTGTCAAAACAGACACAGAAGAACATAGGCAAAAAACAAAAACAAAGACAAAAGCCAAAACAAAGGACAACATTGCAACACATTAGCAGCAGCTTGCAGTTCGGATAGACCACCAAAAGTTTTTACCAGCAGTGATCACCTGCAGGTTCTTACCTTGAACTGTTACCATAGCCTCACAGGATGAGCTCCCAGCCTCATTTGTGGCTGTGCAAACATATTTCCCAGAGTCCTTGAGCTTGGACTTGGGAATTTCAAGAACTGCCACCTTATCCTCAAAGGACATCTTACAGTCCATGCTCAGGTGGACTTTTTTGCCATCTCTGGTCCAGGTGACGGTCACCGCAGTGTCCTCATCCACCTGGCACTCCAGTTTTAGTGGGTCATTGACAGCAGCTGACGTTGGTTCAAAGGTCCTAACAAAGCTGGGCTTTCTTATAACTGTAAGCTCTGTGGTAAAAGTAGCAGTGCCGACACTGTTGGAGGCCTTGCACAGGTATACTCCCTGATCAGTCAACTCAAGACTTTTAATGTGAAGAGAATACTTGTTCTTTTCACTTTTTATGACATAATTCCCTTTAGATGCGATGGCTATGTTGTCCTTGTGCCAGACAACCTCCATTGGTGAAGATCCAGTGAGTGAGCACTGGAGAACAGCTTGTTTGCCCACAAATAAGGTCATTGGCTCTGGTTTTGAAACAAACACTGGTGGATACATCTCTATGGAAAGCAGGTAGACATACAAAGCGTTTAATGAGTGGCAAAAAAAAAAAAACACACACACACATCAGAAACAAACCGAACTTTCCATCTTAGTGAGGGATGTGGATTCAACATTGAGGATATTTTAAACCTCTGCATAAACATGTTGGGTCAGAATCAAACAGCGCCTTCCAAACCATAATGAGTCACATTAACACAGAACATGAATATAATTCTCTCTCTCTGCCTCCAACACATACATGCATAGAAAATTAAAAAGATTCCCACTGGGATCTTACCAGTCACGATGAGCGAGGCGGTGCAGCTATCGAAGCCCTGCTGGTTTGAAGCTTTGCAGGTGTATTCACCGCTGTCAGCCTTCACAGGATTCAGGAGCTCCAGTGAAGACCCTGTGTGGCGGCTGATGATCCGGTATTTCTCACTCTGTTTGATTTCAATGTTAGATTTGTACCACTTGAAGGTCACGTTCAGTGCATCCTCGGTCTCACAGTCGAACTTTGCATGGCCTCCAACGTTGATCTCTACAGGGTTGATTTTCTGCCTGAAAACAGGTGGCACTGAGGCACACACAGACAGTGAAACAGAGATGTTAGCTATGACATCCACAGCTTTTGATGTAAGTAAAAAAAAAACTGACAGGAGCATCAGGAGCATGAAAGGTGGAATGTACAGAAATGGTGGAAGGCAATTCAGCAGTGACTGTGGAGGAGAAAAAGAGCAGGAACATTAGCCCCATGTTTTCACAGAAGGTTCTCATGGGGCTAGGGTTCCAGTTGAAAAAAGGAAAATCTTTGTGAAAATGATGCAATGCCAAGTTTAAACCCTCAAACATGCAGAAAGACTGGCAATGTAGCAAGAGTGGACCTAAAAGGACAGACCAACCTGTTGATTCTTGCATGCCACAGTGATCCTAAAAAGGCTGTGAAGTGTCCCAAAGACCAGTGACCATGAGAATCAATACTGAAATATGGTAATAAACTACAGGACCACAAGTGGTCGTTGCATGGCCTTGATGGCCCTGGTCTTTAGGACATAAAGATCAAGAAATGATGTGGAACAAACAAAACACAGTGAGTTAGTACAATCCAGTGTCCATGCAGAACCCGAACAATGCTCATGCTGAGCTATGAAATGGATATAAAATCAGAGTGATAAATACAAAGTACTTAAATGAGAGACGCTTGGAATGAAGAAATTCATGTGAATTATTAGTTGCTAATAGAAAATGAATGGGTGAATAAATGGTACATATATTTCTTCTGTTAGCAAACCTCTTGGGACCACAGTGAGTCTTGAAGATGTTGTTGTCCTGCCGGCTTCATTTTCAGCCTCACAAACATAATCTCCTTGATGTCTCTCCTTGACAACTTTGTTGATAACCAGTGAGTATGTGTCATGATCTTTGAAACACTTGAACTCTTTGCCAGATTTCACCAATTGGCCATTAAAAAACCAGCTTACTTTTGTTGTAAATTTAATGGTTGTAATAAAAGTGACTTCACTATCTTCTTCAATAGCTAAGTCCTGTAGGGAGGTGACTATTTCAGGGTATTCTCTCTGCTCTGGTCGGGATAATGTGACTTCTTCTTTGAAGAGCTCTTCCCTGTGCTCCTGCTGCATGCTTACATCCAGTGTTTGCTTAGTAGGAATGGTGGCAAGAGGCAGAGCAGTAGTGACAAAAGCAGTTCCCACTTCTTTTTCTTCACTTTCTACCATTACAGACCTCATTTCTTTTCTTGATACCTGAACCGACTGTTCAAAGGCCACCTGAGTCTCTGTGGTTATCTTGGTCTTAGATGAAATAGACTTTTCCACCTTCGCTGTCTTGGATTTTTGAACTACAACTTGCCCCTCTTCTGCAGCACATTCAACTGTGACATCAGACTCAATCTTAAGTGCAGCAGCCTGAGATTTTGCAGCTGTGAAATCTACTGTACTTTCTGCCAAATGCACGGACTCTACCATTGTAGAAAGCAATTTCTCTGACCTGGCTGAGGAAACATGAGCCCTCTGGGGTTTGTCTAGCTGCATGGTGCCTGGTTGCTCTGAGGTAAGAACATGAGCCTCCTGGTACACAATAGAGTGGAACGCTGCCTGTAGTTCGGTCCTGAGATCAGCCTTTTGTGGGTATTCACCTTCAAAAGCTAGCGTGATCTCCAAAGGGGCACCTGTTGTTGTAATCAGATATGTAAACATAGAGCGTTTGGGTTCTCGCTGAACTTTGACCTCCTGCACTTCCACAGCCTGTAACTTTCCAACTACATCAGCCAGTAGGACTGGCTGGTCACTGGCAACAGCAGACTGCAGTGCCTCTCTGAGCTGATGCCGTATATTTAGACTGGAAGGTTTAGGGATTTGAATCACAAACATCATCTCTTTGGGGAGAGCAGTACTGTCTTTGGATTCTGATGCCATAAGGGATAGTTTTGGTTGTGTGCTGACTATAACTTTAGTAGACTCAGATTTGGAGATCTCTTGAGAAAGCTCCCCTGTCAACACTCGCTTCTCATCCATCACTATCGACTGCCTCACGGACTGACCCTCCTGGATCTGAACAGCAAAGTCTTGTTCTGCTGCCTCCAGAGAGATACTGCTCTCAGTGGAGATCTCCTTCTCTTCAATCTGGACTGGTTCAGTGGGCATTTTAGGCTCTATGATTGTTAGACACTTAAACTTGTCCACACCTGACAGAGTTTCTGTGTGACCTTCTTCTAAGACATGACTGTCTGCTACACTGGTGAGATGCATCACATTCCAGCGATCTTCTTTCTGAACTAAAGCTTTCTGGTGCTTGAGATCAACAGTAATGGGGGTCTCCTTTGGCAGCTGCATGGGCTGGTAGGAAACCTGGAGGATATTCTGAGGCTTGGGCTCAGTTCGAATGTTAGACTGAACCCCGGTCACTGACAAGTCTAGCTCTGCATGGTAATCTGCTGTGAGTTCTCGTCTTTCTTCTAAGACAGCTGCATGGCTCCTTGATTTTTCATGCTTTTGTGTTGCTACCTGTTCATCAGGCTTTTCATCTGTGAAAACACCTTCTTTAGGCAGCACCTCTACAGGCATTATTGACTGGAGATGCAACACAGTCTGAGGCTCTTTTTGGGGTTGAATGGCTATCGAACTGGCCTTAGCTTCAAACTCTGATATGTCTTCACAAAAAACAATTCTTTGTTCATCTTGACTGACAGTGTGCAACAGGGTGGGACTCTTCCTGGTATCTGCCTGCTCAGGTGCTGGTTTTTCAGAACTGAAGCTCTTTTCAGATGAAAGGAGGTCTTGGTCTGAGATGACCTGCAGGTGCAGTACCTTCCCACTTTCTACATGTGACTGAACAGTCACTGCCCTGTCCAAACATGGCAGTTCTTTAGTTGGTTCAGCCTGCAGTATTTGCCTTTCTTCAGCATTTAAAGCTGCCTTCATTATTCTGTCTTTGGAAAGCTGAGCTGTTTCTTCAGCAGGCATCTGCATCAAGAACCCTGTCTCCTTAGAAAGAGTTTGTTTGGACTCACTGATTGAGGCTAAAATGGGCCGACGCTCTTCTTTCTTAATGGTGGATTTGACAGCAGATTCTGCTGTTGATAGTTCAGCTGTGTGGCCTTCTTCCATTACTTGTTTCTCTGTAGACTGAGCTGAATATAAAATTTTAATACCTTCCTTCACACTGTAGCTCTTCTCTTGCTGTTGTCCAGGGATATCCTCAGATTTCTCTCTTACAATAGAAAGTTGCGACTCCACCTGATGCCCGCTGACCAAGTGTTTGGGTTCGGAGGTGGGTTTAACTTTAGCAGGCTGCCTGTCATGCAGAAGCTCTGTGCTGACGGTTGAAAGAGGGATGAGTTCCTCTGCCACGGCAGACATTAATTTTGATTGTTTTTCTCTAGCCAGCTGCAGTTCAATTACCTCAGGACTCTGAATGCGGTCACAGTGCTGCTCTGTGACGCCCTGACTCTCTTCTACAGAGGATGTAAATGCTGCCATGTGAAGCTGCTTCCCAGGAACAGCTGATGCCTGAGGCGGGTGAGTGGGAACCACAGAAACCCTCTCCTCTATCTCATGAGTCTGAAGCACAGCTGCCTGTTGGGTCAGTGTCTCACGATGGATGGTTGCAGCAGAGATGTCAACCTCCCCAAGCGAGGCCACCTGCTCACTAGGAATGATCTTCCTGTCTTCGGTACCAATGGTATAAACCATTTGATCTGACCGGGTTTTGTCCTGGCCTGGAAGACTGACCTGATACAGACGAGACTCTGTTGCCTGGTCAGACACCGACACCTTATAGGACTTTTTATGAACCATAGTTAGCTGCTCCTCTTTGTGTGAAACAGAGACTGACTCCCTAAACACAACAAGCTCAGCACTACAAGTTGCCTCACCAAACTGGTTGGAGGCTTTACATGTGTATAGGCCACTGTCTTCCTGTTTGACGCTCTTGATATTGATAAGGCCAGATCCATCTGGGTTGGTTACTATGATGCAGTTTCTGCTGGGCTGAATTTGGAAAGCCCCTTTCAACCATTTCACATCAGGAATTGGATCTCCTGTGGTTTTATAATTAAAATAAACCTCCCCTCCTTCTGAACATCTAACAGGTTGAATCTGAACAGTAAATGTAGGTGGCTGACCTGTGACCTTAAACATTTTCTCCACCCACCTCTCTGCCTGGCTGATGTCAGGCTTTTTCACTTCTAGGTATGTGGAGCATGTTGTCTGCCCAAACCTGTTGGTGGCAGTGCAGGAGTATTCACCCTCATACTCAGATGTAACTTTAGTGATCACCAATGTGTACTCCTCCTTTTCCTCTATCAGCCTGTACGCAGAGGAGCTTTTTATCACCCTACCATTGCGAGACCACTGAACAATCGGCTTTGGAAAGCCGGACACCTTGACCGTAAATCTGGCTGTTTCCCCTGAGCTTATGGCTGCTGGGGATAGCTGGCTGAGAAAAACTGGCTTTTCTTTTTTCTTCTCGAAAGTCGAAGAGTAACGTTTGGGTTCTGGCTTGAGTTCAAGTGTTTTAGATTTCTGTGGTAACTGGACACCAGTGTAGAAGGTTTCCTCTCGTTCTTCCACAGTGGTGATGGTGGTGCTAGAACGCTCTGTCGGAAAATATTGAGCAATACTGAAAACAATGTCCACAAATAAAACCTTATCATTTTTCTAATTAACTCACAAAAACACATCAAGGCTGTCCATAGCTACAACAATTTCTCAATATGTATGTGAACAGTTTATTAGCACGAAGTTTTCAGGTTGGAAAAACTCAAGTGGTGTGAAAAGCCACTTGAGTGGCTTTTCAAGTGGCCTGGTACAGCTTTAACCTGTTGTACCAGGTTAAAGCTGGTACAACAGCTTTAACCTCCTTAGGTGTATTTTGCAAAAAGCTTTTGCACATTTACAAGTAATTAGAATGTTCTAAAGTTAAAATTTCTCAAACATTTTATGCTGCCTGTTAAACTAAGAGGATCCTGACTCCTTTTCACAAATTAATTCAACATCTAGTATAATATTAATCTACACTAACTTTCACTTATTTATCAGTTACACATGATTCTCTAATGTTAGTGAGGATCATCAACGCAAGTAGTACAAAAACAGAGTCAGCATTGTTCCTTACTCTGTTTAATGATGCTATTTATATGATTGCACAAATACAAATGACTAATTAGGAGATTCATTTTAGATATTGTCTTGAATTCACAAGTAAAAATAATTATATAAATCCTAACTGGTGAATCATTATCAAGTTTTTCTTTGAAAAAATATGGCACTTTGTGACAACAGTGGTAATCATTTATAAAAACACAAACCATGACCAGACTCAAACTTTACATCAAACCTTTTATTATATAAACTCTGAGACAAACTGACATATCTGTACAAATAAACCACACAATGTTCATCACACTAGTTTTTTTTCTCTCTCGTTATTGAACACTCATACACTCCTAACATTACACTTATTTACAAAACATCCACACCTTCGTTTTCTAAAAAAATGTTTCACAGTGTCCATTTTCAAAATAACTTATCTTTCCTTTTCATTTTCATCTTGATTTATAATTCCACTAAAAAATCATACACAGACAGTGAAAGCACTCAACCCTCCCAAAAAAAATCCACATTAAAGACCACTAAAACTTAACCAACAAAATAACTTCAAGTCAGCAGTACAGAACATTTGAGTTTTTAAATTTATTCAGATAGGATTGTTTTTTAAGCTTGAATTTTAATATTATTGAAAATTAGACCAACTTATAGATTGATAACAATAAATCTTATGAGTAATACATTATAATTTAACAAATAAAGTGTATTTATAATTTAAGTCCTATCAAATGAAATCCTATCAGTATTTTTTGAATTGCGTCTTTATTTTCAAAAACATGTTTATATATATATATATAAATGTCTGTAAATACTATAAGAACAAGAAACTTAAAGTGAACAAAATATCAAATAGATATATATTTTTTTATGTTGAATGCATTGTTATTGCAGACATGCTACATTCTACCACTAAAACTTAACTTCAGTTACGTTAACTTCAATTAACGTGACTTTGAGTGAAACGCTATGGTCGCAATTTCCTTCATAGTTTGAAAAATAATTTAAACAGCATAACTTCAACATTCAATCAGTCAAGCTCAAAGAGTTACCAAGGAAAACATGAACCAAGACTTTTCGATCAAAGACTTACACTAATATTGCCTTGAGTTGTACATAAAGAATAAAAGATCAACTTTCTGACTCACAATGACAAACACTAAAATACTATTTTCATCATCAGTACAACAGACACTATGCTACATATCTCAGCTTTTGCTTTTAAATCAGTCCACATATAAGGCAATGAAGCTAAGAAGTTCTCAGTTTACTCCATAACCACAAGTTGTCGTCACACATATTTATGACTTCAAAGGGAAAAAAAAGAAATTAATTTGTAGCTAATTGAGTTTAGTGCCACTTATGGTAAACCAGTAGTTAGCAGTGTAACCACACTGCCAGAAGGTTCTTGTTTGAAATCCTGACCAAGGTTTTGTTTGGAATTTGGTTACTTCCGTTTCCTCTTGGTTACTTTTGCTTGGAGAAACTTTGTGTGACCAAACCTTACAACCTCTAGAAAATCTTCAGCAGTGCTGTTGTTTCTATGCAGCCAGCAGAGTTTTGGATTAAACACTTATACTCTCCAGCATCACTCTGAGTCACATTGGTAATGAGCAGATTGAAATGACCAGCACTTTTCTCCTGGATTATACATCTACTGTCAGTGACCAGCTCTCCATCTTTGTACCACTGAGCTGTGGGGTTTGGTTTGCCGCTGACCAAACACTGAAGAATGACAGGGGTCCCTACAGCTGCAGTTACGTTAGTCAGTGGGATGACACATTTAGGGGGGATTTCAGTCACCTGGAAGTGAAAGCTGCACATATCCGATGACTTCCCCTTAAATTCAATTTTTTCATCTTTGGCTGGCTCAGCAAACACATCAAAGTTAACACTAACATATTTCTGTCCTTGCTCACTGGTTTGGTGGTCAGTGTTGGCCACCAACCTCACTGCCCGCTGTGACTCATCAGGTTCTTGCTCAAACTCAAACTCAAGCTCTATTTCAGACACCTGTTCACCATCAAATGATGTGTTTCCAACCATCAGGTCAAACTTCTGGGGCTGGACTTTAGCACTTCCTAAGGATACAGCGGTCAGCTCCCTACCTCTGGTCTTCCCTGAAAAAGCCTTTGCACTTATCACCACCAGGGAGGCTCGACAAAGAGTCTCCCCAACGAGGTTTATCGCCCTACAAGTATAAACTCCACTATCCTGAGTCGTAACTTTACAGATCTTCAGGAAGTGGTTGTCTCCATCGGAAGAGTGCAAGTATTTCTTAGTATTATGTGGAATTTTCTTGTCTCCTTTAAACCAAGACACAATTGGAGACGGGATTCCCATCAGAGAGCACTCAAACATAACAGTAGTACCCTCTGGGGTTTCCATGTCACAGATTGGGTTGATAAACCTTGGAGGCATCTCTGTGACCTCAAATGCTATTTTCAAGTCATCATGCTCCTGAGTGACAAAATCCACAGCACCCTCCTCATAAATACTGGGTAACACATCCAAAGATATGACCATGCTCTTGTTGTCTGCTGTGTATTCAGGAATGGTGATGATCTTAACCTGCTTCTCAAACTCCTTTACCTCATTTTCATCCAGTTCTACCTCTAGCAGAATCTCCTGAGGGGATGGAGAACGAGAGGAGTCGTTTTCCTCCACATCAAACTCCATCACATGCTGATGGGTGACAGCAGGTGGTGCTGGCATGAACCTCACCTCCTGTGATACAACCACCACCAGAGCAACACTTCTGGCTTCCCCAACATAATTCACAGCCTCACAGATGTATTCTCCCTGGTCAGCCTTAGTGACGTTATGAATCACTAGCGTGATGTTATCACCATCTCTGTCCATTCTAACTCTATCGTCTGCCACCAGCTGCGTTTTGTTGAAAAACCACCTTACGTCAGGGGAAGGTAGGCCAAAAACTTCAGCATAAAATGTCAGGGAGTCGTTTTCAAACACTCTTTTCTTAATGAGAGGCTTAAGGAAAGCTGGAGGGATTCCCTGCACTTTTTCTTGAAGGGTGGCCGGTCCTAATGACCCTTTGCCTTGTGAGAGAAATCTGCTTTCATCCAAGCTTATGCCATTTGGATCAGCTTTACCACCCTCATCAGCAGGAGAGTTGAGAAAATGAACCGGAGAAAAAAACTTCTCAGTGGAGTCTCCAGTTGAGGGTCTCTTGTGATGTACCGGAGAGAACTGAAACTCATCCGGTGTTATAAACCCACTAGGTATGTCAGAGTTTGGAGTGTGAAAGGATGGTGGTGACTTGAGCGTGTGAAGGGACTCTGCGATTGGTTGAGACACCTCGGTAGAAGAGCCTGGGGTGAAAAACCTTTCAGGTACCTCTGCTATTTCTTCACTCATAGTGCTACCAATTTCTATGGACATCTCAGACTCAGGGGTAAGTGGCCTACCCCAGTCTGTTGGAGGGTTGTAATACTCGTACACAGCCCCAAAAGTTACTTCCTCCTCCTGTATGGAACCCGCCGCTGTTGCTACTCCTCCCTCAGCCTCAGCTGCCAAGGATTCTTCAAGAGTATCTTGTTCCTGTACCGGTTGAGCAGCTAGTACATCAGGTGGTTTAACTTGGGTGTTTATGTTTGGGTTTCTGATCATTTTGGGGGGTTCAGGATTCACATGAACACCAGTTCTACCAATTTTAGCTATTATTTCAAGTCCATCTTTTTCTCCAGTGAGGGCTTTCTCCAATATTTCTGTTGTATCAGTCTTTGAGTCTGGCATACTGACAAAAATGCCACTGTCCATAGAAGGTTCTGTGATAGACATAAACTTCTCACCACTAACTGCAGCCTTGTCACTTATTTCTTCTGATCCCTCTTCTAACCTTTTGACCTCCTCATCCATGTGAGTTCCACCTTCAACCAATGCTTCAACAACTTCAGCTGCATCAAGATAAAAAGATGATTCCAAACCCACATCTGGAGGTAGAAACTGCCGCTCAGTGTCTAAATGCCCAGAAATTCTTTTAGCTGCTACACCTCCCTCAACAGGCGCCCTAACAGAACGTTTCATTACAGGGACCTTCTCAGGCTTGAAAGGAATGAAACTACTCATTCTGTCAAATGGCTGTTGTGTCTGATCCCCAATCATTTCGACATCACCAGTTGTTGTAGGATCTTGGACACAAACTGGTTTTTGTGGCCTTGGTCTCACAAGCTGTGGAGACTCCTGCAGCTCTTCCACAAACTGTTTCACACCTGCTCCTTGTTCAACACCAGTGGCCTCAGAGGTATCTGACAATACAGGTTCAGTTGCTTCTGGAACATATGGATTTACTGATATTGCAAGTTCCTCAGACACCCTGTCAAGTCTTAACACTTCCTTCTCCTCTTGTTGGTCAAGAGAAATGGCCACAGCAGGAATAAACTCTTCAGGAAATTGTGTGTCTTTTCTTTGCTCCTCAAGTGAAGGGGGTGTCATTACAGAAACTGGTGAGTCAGACTCAAAAGCCTGTTTG